ATCGTCACCTGCAGGTTGTCCACGATCTTTGTCACCAGACTCTCCGTAAAGCTCTCGTTTTTCGCCTGCTCGTCTTCCGACAAATTCGCAGAATAAGGCGTGCTTTTGTTCACCATCTCTAGAGCCTCGAGCTTCTGCTTTTTGATCCGCAATTCGCGCGCGGCCTCCTCTTCGGGATTGAACTCCGTCACGATGCGAGGCGACGACAGCAGAAAGACGTCCTCGATCAGCACCTTGACAGGCTTGCTTTTGAGATTGGACCACGGAATCTGCAGCGTCAGCTCGCCGATGTGGCCAAACCGCACGTCCATAGGTAATTGGAACTTTTCCAAAGACTCCTGCTTCAGCTTCAGGTTCTTGAGCTTCACGTCTCCGCTCCAGATGCCTATATTCAACTGCTTGGGGTCGAAGTTCTCAACATAGGCCCCAAGGGCTTTGTTGAGAATATTGGCAACCAGCGACTCCAACATGTATAAGGTGGGATGTTTCTGTGGCTCTTTCTGAGATTGCGATGCTGTTCTCTGGGCCAAGAGCTTCTGTTGTGAACTTTGCTATGTGGCGTAAGATTAATCGGTAGATCTACGGCGGTGCAAAAAAAAACCTAGGCAGACTGCACGTGATTCAGGTCATCGGCTCTGTGATTGCATGTGAGGTCCCGGACGAGACAGTTACCGGGACTCTGCTAAAACAGAACTCATACATCGCAGCTCTGCGCCCGCAGATACGCGTTCTAGGCAACGAACCGCAGACTCCTAGTCGCATTACGATGCTCCCTCCCTACTTATTGTAACCGCTAGTGGAGAATGTTGTATCATTATTATTACGGCTAGCATAAGAAAGCCTCCGCAGTAGCTGCTTCCGGATCAGTGGTGCTCACCATGTTCAGCGCACTGATAAATGCTCACGACAGAGCTCTGGTTGTAATTAGTGGCCACCATCATCCGATGTGGATGCAATGACAGAGCGTTGACGTACGAATTAGTTCTGCCTGTGCCGTTGAGCGAGTTGATAAACCCACTGTTGGCAATACTGGCCACCATGTCGCCAGCAGTCGAGTAAATGTCGACCTCCTTGGACGCACACGCCACAAACGGAGCGTGCTCGTGGATCATCGCAGTAGTCATGGTCTTGTCGAACGCACGGAAACGCACAATGGGGTCGTCTTTACGAATGTCCCAAAGCTGCACCAATCCGTTGGAGCAGCCCGAGACCAGCTCGCGAAGACCGCCCCGCTGCATGTGCACGTTCCTGATCATGCTGCGACTCTGAATGTCTTTTGGCTTCCATAGTCGGACCATCGAGTCACGTGCGTCCAGCCGCCGGTCGTAGACTCTCATGCTTCCATCCTGGAACCCGCCCACGAATATGTCTCCGGCGACCTGGTCGGACGTGAGCGAGGTGATCAACGACGTCGACCTTAGCGGGACATCGCTCACGCACTTTTCTCTTGGCGCGTCCCATATTTTGATGATTTTCACGTCTCCCGTGACCAGCAAGGACCCACGGCTCTGCTGCCATTCGGAAATTAGACCGATGGACCGTGGGGTCAGCAGAATGTCAGTGAGCGCTCGCCAGGCAGATATCATGTGGAAAGAGCTCGGATCATTGAATGACTTATAGATCTTCACCACACCGTCGCTAGACCCTGTCAAAAGCAGCGGTATATCGTCTTCGTTAAGCAGCTTCAAGTCTGTGATTTTGGTGCCAAATGGGTTCCCGTTCGAAAACCGCGACAGCTGTTTTTCGCTCCTCCAATCGAAAACCGTGATATTGTCTTTTTCGTCGCTCGTTACCATCCAGTCTTCGAATTGCGTGAACTTGAGCAGCTTAGGCTGTGTACGGTTGTCCAGAGAACTGATCTGGTTTCTCCAGTCGCCCGTGAGCGAGAGTTCCTTCTGTGGCTGGGTCTCGGCAATGATGGCCTCGTTTCTGTTTCGCCTCCACAGTCCTTTTATATATTCCTCGCTTCCCGGCTCGTCTGGCTCGCTGCTTCCAATCTGTGGTTCTTGGAAATACTCACAGCTGTACTGGAAGAAGCCGCTAACTAGTGGCAAGATAGGTCTGCCGTGGTCTCTAGGACGGGGCGTAAACCTTGGAGACGTCGGTCTCGGTTCCACGCCATAGGCCAGGGAAGCCGGCTGCTGAATCAGTAAATTGAACTTATTCAGACTCGAGGTCTCGGATTCGTCAGACTCTGGAATCCCCAGGTTCTTCATCAGCTTGTTGATTGTTAGCTTGGAAAAGAGCTTCTCGGTTAGCGACTGTGTGGAGGACGACGACGTTTGGCGCGGATTGGACCTGGCTGGTGGCTTGTGTGGATCAAATTCCGACTGGACTCTTCTTCCGGAATCGTGGCCGTTCCACAGCTTTGGAGCAGACCCGTTGGTAGAGAGCGGACGCAGAGGTGAATCTTCCTTGTCAACGCCGCTGCTCGTCGTGCGCTTCTGGAGAAGATAATCTTCCATCGCTGCTACAACATCGCCCAGCTCGCTCTCGTTGAGCTTCCACAGAATATAATCAACGACTTGCTCGGCATAGTCCTTGACCTCGTCTTGGGGGTCTTCGCTCAGAATTAAGAGGGCCTTCCAGACGGAAGAAAACACTGATCCGTACGCAGGCGACTTGCGTCGCACCTCGTCGATCATGCTTGGGTTGTCCACCAATGTGATCTCCTCCTCCAGCTGCCCGAAAGCGCTGACAAGGAAAAATTGGAGGTATTTCAGCACAAACCTGCTGTAGAAGCACGTCACTTCTCTGCGAATCAACGGCGACCCATCGTTGATCATGTCCAGAACTTCAATGGCGATCTTGATCTCCTGTCTATTCAGTTCATCGCAGACAGCGCTGTCGTCGGAATCTTCAGTGTCCAAATAGATAAAATTGTAGAAGCAATTGATAATAGAGGCTCTGATCTCCGGAATCGGGTCGTTCATGATCCGCAGCAGCTTTTCAACAAAGCCCCCGCGATAAAACACGACAATGACCTCAAGATTGTTTTTCAGCAACTGGCTCATCAGAAGGGCGCTCCACTGTCTTAAAAGCGGGCTTTCGGACGTTTCAACGTAGAAAATACACGTCTTAACCAGATCGACCGAGAAACAGAGTTTCTGTCCGACCTCGTGGTCGCAAACAAACATTGAAAGAATGAACCCGCTCATGGCCTTTTGTTCGTCGTAGTTCGCATCGTTTATTTCCAGCTGAACACCGCCGTTTGGTGCTCCGTTCAAGTGCGGTCTCGTTTGCATCGTGAAGATGGACACAAAGTAGTTGTATCCGCGGTCTTTGCACAACTCCTGCTGTGTGTTTTTGTAGTCCACAGACATGGTACGGGCCCAGATAAATGTGAGCACCGGTTTAAGCTCGGGGGCAGGACTCTGTAGGAGCCTCACGATGTACGGGAAGATGCCAATGCTCAGAGCAAGATACACGGCCCACGGTCCTAGATCTAGGAACTTGGAGAGCAGAATTAAGGCCCGCAATCTGTGTGCCTGAGAGAGAAGAACCTGCAAGACAACAGGCAGCTGTTGGGGAGGCTTTTTGGTAGAGGAGCCGTATTGAAGCCAGATCTCGAAGGCTGTGAGATGCTGCTCGAAAAACGAGGAATGCTGGTAATTCATCACGGAGGGATGTGGAGGAGCCATACTTTGCGACGGTTGGCGTTCCGGCACCTGCAACTGCGGGATGTCCAGCTGCTCCTGCTGCGCACTGTCGTCGTTACATTTATTTTTCACCAGCTGCGACAAAACCTCGTCTATGGCAAGCTCCCAGGACTCCCACATTGGGTGGTGGTTGATGTCAGGCAGAGGCGGGTCGGAAATCGGATGGCACCCCACCAACGGCATAATTTTCTTTGCGAGGAGGAAATTTCTAAACAGCACGGCCACCATCAGATCTTGACGGAATAGTCTTTTAAATAAGGGCCTTGACAGGGAAGTCCATGCAATTGTGTCTGTGATGGCGGTAAATATCCAGTTCAGCTCGCCCAACGGCGTTCTTCTGTCCGTCAGTTTCCCCGGAATGATGATCTCGCCCTCTTTATTTTTCAGAACGTCGTAGTAGCCATGGCGACTCAACGGAGAATACAGCACAAACCATTTCACGCTCATCTCTATGGGACTTGTCAAGCAGCAAGTGAACAGATCTGCCGGCAGATCTGGGTTGAGAGGAAGAATCTCGTCAGATCGACATGCGCCGAGCTGGATAGACTCGATATAGGCACTCACAGGGGACGGCGAATTACTATCTGGTCTTTCGTTCGCCTCGTCCTCTATTCTTTTTTGTATGAATTTCTTGTTATTCTCAATGACGTTTCCAGCTGCGCACGTATCTATCACAAAAATGCACGGAGCACCCAGCCAGCTTTGAAGATCGTACAAGCTCACAGGAATATACTGCGTGTATCCTCTGTTGAACACCCATATCTCTCCGCTCTGCGTGGGCTGTGGAACACCATGGCCGTTGTAGTGAAACAAGATCCTCTCGTCCTTTGAGCTTCGGCGTAGAGTTGTGCAGAGCCGTTTGAGATCCTCAACAGACGGATCCAGTGATTGCTTATACTTGATTCGCGAGCTCACACCTTCGCAGGACTCGTAGTTTGACTGTAAATTCTTACCTATTGCTTGGAGGGCCTTTTTCGGGTCCGAGTAGGTTGTTGGGTCGACAAACGCCTCCAGAACGGGATAGTCAGCAGGCTTCTGGATATCCGGCGGAGGAATTCCCAGATTCAAGCACATGACAAGCGCAGCAGTGGTGGTTTTCTTCTTGTTCGACTGGGACTTCCAATCCGGTATCTTGTAAGACTCGTCCTCGCGAGAGGGATTGGCACCCATCGTGTTCCGCTTCAGGTCATAGTGCGAGTAGTAATGAGATTGCAAAATGCTAAGCTGCGATTGGTCGTTCAGTAAACCATGTCGTAGACCACTCATGTGGAAAAGAAGTCGAATAACAGAATTCAGGCTGTGCTAATCAAATATATTATAATACTAATATCATACGTTATGTCATTTTGAAACCAAAGTAGCCGAGCTGGCTGTGTCGTTCGGAGCTTGTGTGTGGAGGGTGTTTCCGCGACTTCTGTTCTTCATGCTTTTATCCCAGAAATCAAGTGAAGCCACCACGTCATAGCCTCTCTCGTCTTCGTATGCGTACAAAATTTCCTGTGAGCTGGAGTGTAGGAAACGAATCTTCTCTGCGATGATGACGCGCAAGAGTTCTCCGCTCTCAACGTGGCGGATCTCAATGAAACCAGAATCAAAGGCGAGAAGATACGGGTACCACAGAGCAAAAGCGTGTGGAACACCCTCCCAGTGGATGATCCATCTGGGTCTCGACCGCCAGCCACTATAGTTGATGAAAAACGAGAAGTTCGAGTAACTCAGCAGGAAGTCAGAATTGATTCTGTCTATTTCCAGGGGTTTCAAACCTTCCTTGCCCACCACAAAGTCAAGCGACGTGTCGGCAGCATCCAGAAGCTGCTTAATTTCATTGGTTTCCAAAGAAACAATCTCAAAGCCTTTGGAGCAGCCCACACACAGCTTGGTCTTGAGAAAGCTGATCGAAACAGGTTCCGAGTTGAAACTGACGTCTTTTGTTTCCGGAGAGAACTTTTTCTTTTGCTTTCTCTGGCTGATCGGATCAATAGGCTCAAAAATCCTAATGAGATTGGACGAGGACTTGGCCGCACAAACAAGCATTCTTCCAGCACAAACGCCCGTTTTGAAGAACGACACGTGCGTCATTAGCTCTTTTCCAAGCTTGCCGTTCTTCGCTGCATCCCCTCCACTCAACACCTCGCTAGACCAGTAGAATAGCTTTTTGTCACTTAAAGCCAATAGAGTCTGGTATTCACTGAGGATCTCGACCTGGATGATATTGATTTTGCTGATGATCTTCACCGGCCTCGAAACAACCCTGGATCCGTTGTCAGTGACTTTCACATCACTCACATAAATACCCGAATCGGTACCATACAGCAGTTTTCTGCCTCCATCGAAAGGAACAACACAGTTGATCTTATTATTATGGTCAAAGAAATTGGACGTCAGTGGGGTTAAGGTGAAAACATCATTATCATCAATTAGTTTTCTGGCTTGCGTTTCCAACTTGTCAATTAGCATTCGTTGCACTGTTGGCGTAGCATACAGTGTCAGGTCATACCCACTTCTGCCCAGGTATGTGAAAGAAATGGGGCATTTGGCCGAAGTCGTTGCCAAATGCAGTCCGCTCGTCGAATTAGCGTCTTTGAAAAGTAACGAGGACGTTGATCCCGTCAACGATCCCGTAGAGGCAGATTTTTTGATTTGTTTGATGGATGGGCTCTCTTCAGTCAATGAGACAAATAGTAGGGGCAGAGGGATAGGCCGCTGATAGACCCTGTAGACCTCTCGCTTGTTGACCACCTTGATTCTAACAAACAGTAAAGCGTGGTCGAAAAGGTACACTTGCACTTCTCCTTGCTTCTCTTTGTCCTGATAATTTCTCTTCTTCAAAACGCACTGGTATAAAAGCTTGCGGTGCTCTGATGTCAATCTGAGATCTATGTACTCACCAGGTCTGAAAACCAGTTTCTGTTTCAACAGGAAAAGGTTCAATCTATCGGCCGCCTTTCCTGTCTCGTAATTAATTCTTGTCAGCATTTTTTGGAGAAGCTCAATAGCCTTATTCAAGTTGGCATAATCCTTAGACTCGGGGTCAGTGTGGTCTCTAATGCTCTTCAAAAGAAGAGGATATCTTGCTGGCCGAGTTGTAGGTTTCGAAAGATAAGACGACACATCTAGTCGGCGAGATTCAGCTCTATTGCTGGTGTCTTCGATGAATCTAACGAAAAATGGATTGTGTCTCTTCTGACGGTCAAATTCGTACTTGCCCTTCACTTGGCCAGCACCATATTTCACAAATGGCTCAAAACGAGGAATAAATTCTAAAAACAAGTCCCCTATCTCGTCAACAACCGACTTTTCCTGTTGTCTCTTGGTCAATGCCTCTGCAAATCTCGAGTTGACCTCCCAGATTTCATTAATGTTGTAGAATACAGTGTTCACAAAATGTTCTCTCTCATTCTCTTTGATGATCTTTGTCTCAGACAAAGGTCTGATCCAGAACTCCCGCAAATATTCCAAGTCTTTCACAAAATCTCTTTCGGAATAAATCATCTCAAAAATACACTCCTGGCGCTTGATCTCTCTCTTGTCCATGCTATCCAAAATGCTCTTTGGAACCGTGTACGACCAGAACGCTTTCTGCTCCTCCTTTTGGGTGAGCGACAAGTGCGAGTCAGATCTCATCAAAGAAGATTTCGACCCCAGTCTAGCCTGCTGCTCTAGCCTTCTCGGACAAACAATACTATAACAGAGATTGTCTCTTGAACATGTTGGCGAATAGCATTCTGTGAGTAGAGTGAAAACTCCCACCACCGACACCCCGAAGGAGCCTGATTTGGAATTTGGGTTGCCGTTTGGTGAAGACGTCATCGATGGAGAGCCATTGTTGTCGATCTCGGGAATATCCGAGCTAACAGATTCATGACGCTGAAAAGCCGCTGACTCGTGGGGATAAACATCGAACACCTCCTCCGAAAACTGATAAACCTCGTTATTGGAGTCCCTGAGTCGGTGCTCGTATGTCACGTCATGGAACAATTTCTGCGCATCCAAAGACCTGCCTAACAGAAGCGCCAAGTTGCGGTCCGACGTCCTGATGATCCTAGCAATGCAATCCACGGCCTCCGCGCCTGTGAACGAGTCTCTGTACTCAAGACCATTCTTGAACTTTGAATCTAGCTGGATCCGTGCCCTGAACGCTTTAGCAACGTTGGAAAGGACTGCAGGATACACGTTCGGGACTTTGGTCGAAGATGAGGTCACGATGGTTTTCGAGCACAGCGATGCTGCTGGATATAACTTCTCTCTGTCGGCGGAGTTTCGCAGTGAATTTGAGGACGCAACCCTTTTGGTTAGAGATGTGAAGCTTCTTGACTTCTTGGGGGCCTCCTGGGGAGACGGATTTATGTCGGCTTTCTGTGGGATCACTCGTCCAGAAATGGTGACTTGATGTTTTGTGGTGGTGGTGTGGTACTTTTTTAAGCCATCGTCAATTTGCTGCGGCTCTCCGAATCTCTCAGGATGTTCCGAAGGCAGAATCGGAGAGGATACGTTCCTCGTGCCTCTGAGGAAATTCAGAGATTGGCGCATCACGGGACTTTTCTGAGTTGGATCAAGAGTTCCTGGCGACTGCGGGGCCAACTGTTGCGAAGAAGATGGGAGGTAGTATCTTTGTGGAACAGCGTTTGGGTTGATGAGCTTCGGTAGCGGAGGTCCTCGCTGCTGGGACATCGGGTGCATTTGGGGCATCTGCTGCATATGCAGAGGATATTGTCTTTGGCGAGGCGTGGTGTCCGATTGTGAACGCTCCGTATGCTGGGCCCCGTCATCTGGTTGCGGATGATCGGTGTGAGGGTCTCTTGCCTGTGGCTTGGGAACCGGCTGATGAGTATCGATCTGAGGGTCATTTTGGAACGTGAGGTTGGCTCGGTAAGGATGTGGCTGTGACTGCGTCTGCTGCGGGTGATCTAAATACCGCCGTTGTGGGCCAGCCGAAATGGGGTGCTGGGTCTCTGGACGAGGAATATGGGGGACCGGCACCTGGTTCAGATGCTGGAATCGAGAAGGTGGCAGCGGGGGAATATGCCCCACAGGAATGGCCTGTTGCTGACTAGGGATCGCGAGCTGCGAGGGCTGTTTTATGTGAGGAGCTTGCTCATTGTTTTGTTGCGAATGGTACATGTCTCTGGAAAGCTATGCTGATCTGAGTGGCTGAGCGTCGCTCTTGGGCAGCAAATATCCAATAAGCAAAATTGTGGAAATCTGTATGTTGGCGGGATATAATGATATAGCAATGGATGGGACTATAATATATTATAATCCGTTCATTCAACGAAATTACTTTTGGCTGTTCCTTGTTTTTTCTAGCTTAGTGCAGTTCGCGATGGAAAAAAAGGCCTGCCGGTGCTGCGCCACAATTGCCAGCCGGTCGAGGTCTCGCAAGACGGGAAGAACCAGCCACATCGGTTACGCCGGTCGGTCTAGATACACCTGGCACCCAAATTTTATATCCATTAAAACATGCCAGTAAGTACCAACACCGCCCCATACCTAACACACAGGCCTACCATTCGACCTTCTTGGCAGACGAGTCGCAAGACACGAGACTTGTGGGCAACTTCGCAGTGCTGCCGCTGAGAACAAGGTTCAAGGGACCGGCCTTTCCTGCCTCGTCCGACTACGACATCATCGACGAGGTTCTCGACCTATTCAGGGCCAACTCGTTTTTCAAGAACTTTGAGATCAAGGGCCCTGCCGACAGGACGTTGATCTACGGCATTCTGTTTGTTTCGCAGTGTCTGAACGCCCTCAACGCCTCGACGCCGCAAAACGAGGCTCTTCGCGTTTTGACCAACCTTGCTTTGGACAACTTCTCAATTCCTGGCGAGGTCGGCTTCCCGCTGAACTCTCTCTACCAGCCCCCAAGAGACAAGAATGAGGCACTATTCCTGAGGCAATACCTAGCTCAATTCAGACAGGAACTGGCCAACCGTCTGATTGCTCGCATTTACAAGGATAGCAACATGCCAAGCAAGTACTGGCTGGCCTTTACTAGACGCAAGTTCATGAATAAGAGTCTGTAAGAATGCGAATATCGATTAGTGTCTAGCTGTGTCCTACATTTTGTATAGCGCGCCGCCTCTGTCCTCGAGCTCGTTCACGAGGTCCTGGACCGAGTCGCTGTCGTAATTCCACCCCAGCATCATGCTCACCTTGAGACTCGTCAAACAGGGTAATCGCTCTTCCCATAGCGCGATGGTGAGGTCGTCCGGGTGGATCTTGGACCCTTGGCCCAGCAGTCCTGAGGAGTCAATGCATAGTGTGCGCAACGGGCGCGGGTACTCTTCGAGCGGCGGCAGCAGCTCGTCATGAAACAGGTCTTTCGAGAAGTACTCGATGTTGATGTATAAATAAACAAGATTCGGACAGTAGAGGAAAACCGTGTCCAAAGAGTTGCTTTTCAGCTTGGGCATTGGATAGAAGATCGAGAGTCGCCGAAGGTTGTATCCAATGTGCACGAGCATTTCGTTGATCGCTTCTCCGGTAATATTCGGACAGTGGGCAAGCTCCAGAGACGTGATGGAGGAAGGAAACCGCGACTCGGCGAGGAACTTGTTGGATATGCCTCCCTGAAGCCGCAGGTACCAGAGTTTGGACGGCCATTCCATGTCGTAGTCCTCACACGAGATCGACGAACGTGGAAACGAGAGCTGTTCTAGCAGCGGCGCTGACTTGATGGAGTTGAAGAGCTCTTTCAGATTCACGGTCTCAGAAACCAGCCGCAGGTCTAGGATCTTCAGGTTGCGGCACAGTCGCAAACTAATCAGCGGCGAAAGCCCAAAACTGGCCTGTGACGCAATGAATACCTCTAGCGACCCGCTGAACCGTCTCAGTAGCTTCGAAACGTACGAGTTCTTTCCCGACTGTATGATCTGGGACAGATCAAGAATCTTGACAAGCCCCTCGAACCGCTTCTTGTTCTGGTGCTGAGATATCAGATCGACAAACTGCGCAAAGTTTGAGGACTTGAGGCGCGGATAGTAATACAACTTGGGCATCAGAACGTAGTAGAACGCACGGCTGATCAAGAGGTGGTTCAGACAGTACGGCTGTTCGGTGTGCTCGAGAATCAGCAGAATAAGCTCAAAAGGAAGCTTCATACGATCTTCCTGCACCACCATCCCACGCCCCAGTGCAACAGAAACCTTAAGGACATCCACCTTCTGGAATTGAGACCGGGGCCACACGTAGCCATTCCACACCTCGGAAAAGATCTCCGGCTGCAGCGTGCTGTCTGTCCCAGCATCAACCGGATGGTCCTCCTTCACGCCATAGACGTATTTCTTGTACAGCTGGCCCCTTGTTTTTTTGGGCCGGCTCTTGTTAGCCATCGTAAGGATAGTATTTTTTTCCTAGCAAAGCTATTAATGTTTGTTATCTACACCCGTACACCAGATGTCCCGTCTAGATATCCAGCACCACTTTGAACGAGAACGGCTGGTACGCAATTCCCTCGCCTTCGAAGTACTTCGACATCGACTCAACCCAATGCAGCCTGAGCGCGTGCAGCATGGCCGACGTGCCCTCCATGACCACCAAAATGGCCACCGTGAGCACAAACCACATGCCAAACATGAGAAACACAAACACCGATCCGAATAGTCCTGTGGCCGCAAAGCTGTTGGCGATCGTCATGGACCACAGGACAGACGACAACTGTGCGTGCGCAAGCGAAAGAGCCCACAGACGGAGGTACGAGGCCGTGTGGGAAACGCAGTTGAGACAGAACTCGATGGTGTGAATCACCTGGTGGATCATCACGTCGCCAAAGGTGTGTTCCTCGTGTTCTTCGTCGTCGTCCAGGTTCAAGTTCGTGAGGAGGTTGTTACTTGACGATTCCGAAGGCAGGTTCTTGTAGTGGTGCGAGTGAGAGAATTTGAAGTGCAACGGCTTGATGAGCAACAGGCATGGCACGGAAACTAGCGCAATCAGCAGAAGCGTGACCTGGACAGTCGACTGGCCAGGGTACAGCTCGTCCTCGATTTTTCCTGGGGCCAAGAACATGTTAATGAGCATGTTCAGTAAGCTTGGAGCCGGTTTGTTGATTTTGATCCAGTCGACACACCACTTGTAGACGATGCACAGGGACAGGTAGCCAAAGATTCCCTGCATGAATAAAAGGCCAGGAACAAAGTTGCCGATAATGTCGATTTTGGACTTGAAGTAGACATAGTTCACGAGCGAGAATGCGTAGGAGTAGCTCATGTGCACGAAGCCCATGAGAATGGAGAGTTTCATTTTGTAAGAGTTGGTGAAGAGCAGGTTGTTTTCCGTGCCATGCCATGCTGGGTCGAGACCGAACGGATACACTCCCGTCTGTGTTCCAACAACGGTTTCTCCTTCTTTCCAGGATTCTGGCCACTTCCAGCCGGATGTGAAGAACGTGGTCGAGAGCGAGAACACGTCGTTGTACAGGAATCCGGTATACATCGAGAAGAAGCCCATCATGAGCAGAATGTATCTTCCTGAATACGCCATGTCGAAGATCTCGTCTCTCTTCAGCTTGGCGATCTTTCTCTCGTTGAGAACGAGCGTCAGAGCAGCCAGAAACATGATGAACCCGTGTCCTAGGTCACCAAACATGATGGCAAACATGAACGGGAAAGTAGCCACGGTCGGCAAACCAGGGTTCACCTCTCTATACGTAGCCACACCGTACGCATCGCACATCGCCTGGTACGCGGCGGTGAACTTATTGACTTTATGGTAGGTCGGCGGCGTCCTCGTTGTCTCAACGGTGTTGACCACAATAGGAAACGACTCCTCGGAACTGGCAGAATATTTGGTGGTGATTTCCTCCAGCACGCTCTTCACCTTGCTGAAATCGTCGCGCGGCACCCACCCCTCTCCAATAAGACACCGTCTGGTCTGATCATAGTGGCACAGGTTCATGACAGAGTACACCGATTTTTCCAGCTTCACGGCTTTCCACCAAAGATCCAGCTCGGAAGCGACGGCGCTCAGTTCGGTCTCGAGCGTCAGCTCTGTCGACTCCAGCACGTTTGTCACGTCCGCAAGCTTGTCGTTGACCTCGCGCATTTGCTGGGCTCTTCTTTTGGGCTCCTGGTCCACAAAGTACAGGTCTGCATCCAGAGACTCGCAGATTTTGCGCACACGAGACAGAATGAGCTCGCCGTGTGCAAAGATTATAAAGCTGTTTTTGTTGACGTAGCTTTTGGTTTTGATATCGTACAGTCTGTGGCCTATTTCGGCCGAAGTCATGAAAAGATTGCCCCGGAGAACACGCCACAATATTCTCTCCAAGATCTCCACCTTGGCTCTGGGAATCACTCCTGTGATGAAATTGGCGTCACGAACTCCGCCATTTTCTAAGAACTCGGGCTCGCCCAGATCGATCAGGTTGGCGGTTTCGACATGCTGGAAATACCTGTCTGTGGCTGCCAGCACTTGCTGGTACTGTTTCAGGTCCACCTGCTGTTTGAGGAGGTCTTCAGAGGCGTTGCTCAGCTGGCCGATTCTGTCCTCCAAGAGCTGCGCGTCTCCCACAATCTCGTCCAGCTGGCTAGTGGTGAGGGTCTCGGGAGTCGAGTCGTACTCTATAAGCTTTATTCCCCTGTTGTCCATCTCCGACTGGAAGTAGCGGTATTGTCTTTCCACGTTGTCTAGACGCCTGATTTCGTTAACAAACGAGCGCTGGAAAGCGTTCACCTTTTTATTCAGATCGCGGAACTCAACAAGGCCGAGCTTGCCCAAAGAATATATAGCTGTCCTGCCGATCTCGGCTGGGATATACAGCTGAACCAGGGACATCTCCGCCGAGCCTGATGTTAGAAGCCCACAGTGCAGTATGGGTACTTACGGAAAATGGCTTCGGGTTCGACAGACATCGTCTTGTGTGCAAGCAATGCGTGTGTCTAGCAAAGAACGGTGCAAATATATTATTAAAACGAGAGTTTTTTGGAGTGCTGCACAGAAAATCGCAAGAATGCACGACCTCAGAAACTCCTGTCTCTCCAGCGTAGGCGGTGTACGGATGTACTAGATCTCGAGACGGTGCGGCACTACTTGCCGCTAAGATTAATCGATAATGTCTGAGACGCAGTTTTCCGCGGGTTTGATTTTCCGAGTATAAAACCTTGAGCAAGCGCTTCCACTTCAGTTATCATGTCTACTTTGAGCCCTATCCACTCTCGGCTTTCTGCTATCAAGTCGCACCAGTCGCAGGTGAGGATCATCAATGCGACCCAGGCTGCTGGCGACGAGGACCTGTTGAAGGAAATCGGATACAAGCAGGAACTGAACCGGAAATTCAAGACGTATCAGATCTTTGGTATTGCATATAGTGTTATGGGCATTTTGCCCGGTGTGGCTTCTGTTTCTTCCCTTGGGCTTGCTGGCGGTCCAGCAGCCTTTGTTTGGGGGTGGTTTATCACCTCGATCATGATCTTGACTATTGCTGCTGCAATGAGCGAAAACGGTAAGTATTTTTTTTTCTCCGGTCCGCTAATTAGTAGCATCTGCCATTCCTACCAGTGGAGGACTTTATTACTGGACGTATGTGTACGCTCCAGAGAGGTTCAGGGTGCTGTTCTCGTACGTCATCGGCATGACCAATGCGATGTCGCTCTGTGCCGCGCTGGTGAGTGTCAGCTACGGTCTCGCCGAGGAGATCTTGGCTATTGTGGTGATCCAAAAAGACGGCAACTTCGACGTGACAGAGGGCAGGACGTACGCTGTTTTTGCAGCAGGCGTGATCGTGGCTGCGATCGGAACCTGCGTGAGCAGTCGTAACGTGGCCACCCTGCAAACTGTGTCTGGGGTCGCCAACACGCTGGTGATGTTCATCTTTTTGGTGGCTCTGCCGATCGGAGCGTCGAACTCGGACTTTGGTCGGAGGGACGCCAAGTTCATTTTCGGCAAGGTCAAGAGCTACTCGGACTGGAGCACGGGCTGGCAGTTCTGTCTTGCGTGGATGGCAGCCATCTGGTCGATCGGCGCGTTTGACTCTCCGGTGCACATGTCGGAGGAGGCGCAGAACGCAACTTACGGGGTTCCTCTTGGCATTATCAGCGCAGTCGCTGTCTGTGCATTTGGCGGCTGGGCGTGCGTGCTGTGTCTGGTGGCCTGCATGAAGCCAGACGTTGCTGCCGTGCTCGACACCGAAACCGGCTTCCCTTTCGCTCAGATCTGCTACGACGCCCTGGGCAAAAAATGGGCCGTTGCCATCATGTCGCTCACTGCGGTGTGCCAGTGGCTGTGTGCGGCGTCGATTCTGACCGCGCTTTCGAGACAGATCTGGGCGTTTGCCAGAGACAACGGACTGCCTTTTTCGAGCATAGTCAAGGTGGTCAATAAACGGCTCAGGGTGCCTATCAGGGCTGTCATATTTGCTACCGTGGTGGCGTTGCTGATCGGCTGTCTGTGTCTCGCTGGCCCTACGGCCGCCAACGCCCTGTTCTCGCTCGGAGTGTCCGGAAACTACGTCTCCTGGAGCACTCCGACCCTGCTCAGACTCACGTCTGGCCGTTCTGTGTTCCGTCCCGGAGCATTCTACCTCGGCAAGGTGCTGTCGCCGATCGTGGGCTGGATTTCGTGCGTGTGGACGGCCTTTGTGCTGGTGCTGTGCATGTTCCCGTCGAACAAAAAGGTGGAAAAGGACACCATGAACTACAACGTGGTGATCAGCTGCGGCGTGTGGATCCTGTCCTTCGTCTACTTCTTCGTCTACAAGTACAAACACTTCCACGGCCCACGGTCGAACCTCGACGACGACGACGAGCAGCCGCTAAGCGTGGACGTGGTGATGGAGGAAAAAAAGGCGTAGGCAGCAAAGTTGCACCACTGATAAGACGGACGGAATTTGCGTGCGCTTTTTCCCTCGTCCGTGCGTCGGCGGCTATGTGTGCGGCGCAACGGCGATAGTAATTTTATAGAACCACTAATCAAGCGACCCTTTGCGATAACGGTCTAAAGCGGGTGTCACACTACCCAGCTATATATGCCACTCTTCCGGACGCCTAGGTGCCCGAAGTATGTCTCACGCAATCACGTCTGTGCTCTCCAACCGGTCGACCGCGATGATGTCGCCGGTCCGCACCATCGACGCCAAGCACGCCCACGGCGACGAGGACCTGCTCCACGAGATCGGCTACAAGCAGGAGCTCAAAAGAACGTTTTCCACCTTGCAGGTGTTTGGCATCGCTTACAGTATTATGGGCCTGCTACCGTCGATCGCGTCGGTCACGGGCACGGGGCTCACCGCAGGACCCAGCGGTTTTCTGTGGTCCTGGCTGATCGCGGCGGTGTTCATCTTCCTGCTTGGAGTGTCTATGAGCGAGCTGGCGTCGGCCATCCCCACGAGCGGCGGGCTCTACTTCTGGACGTACCACTATGCGCCAAAACGCATCAAGGTCCCGCTCTCGTACCTGATTGGCCTGTCGAACTCGCTTGCCCTCTGCGCCGGGCTCGTGAGTATCGGGTACGGAAACGCAGAGGAAATCTTGGCAGCAGTGTACCTTACGAAAAATGGAAATTTCGAGATAACCACAGGAAAAACATACGGCGTTTTTGCTGCATGCGTCTTCACACAGGCCCTGTGCACCTGCTTTAGCTCGAAGCACATCGCGTGGCTGCAGACCACGTCGATGGTGTGCAACACGGGCATCATCGTGCTGTTTCTGATTGCGCTCCCGATCGGAACGTCGATCAACTCGAGCTTCAACGACGGCAAGTTCATCTTCGGCACCGTGCAGAACTACTCTGATTGGCCGATCGGGTGGCAGTTCTGTCTCTCCTTCATGTCGGCCGTCTGGACCATCGGTGCGTTCGACTCCTGCGTCCACATGTCCGAGGAGGCCAGAAACGCCACGTACGGAGTGCCGATCGGGATCATGGGCTCGATCGGCGTGTGCGGCGTCGTGGGCTGGTTCATCATCATCTGTCTGACGGCCTGTATGAGCCAAGACGTCGAGGCCGTGCTCTCTACCGACACGGGCTTCCCGATGGCCCAGATCATCTACGACTCGCTCGGACGCAGATGGGCCATCGCGTTCATGTCGCTCATGGCCGTCTGCCAGTGGCTCATGGGCTCCTCCATCTTGACGGCCCTCTCGCGGCAGGTCTGGGCTTTTGCCCGGGACGACGGCCTGCCATTCGCAAGCATCGTCAAGGTGGTGCACAGGAAGCTCAAGGTGCCGATCAGAGCAGTGGTGTTTTCGTCTCTCGTCGGCTGGCTCATCGGCTGCCTGTGTCTGGCCGGCTCCACCGCCTCGAATGCTCTGTTTTCGCTCGGCGTGGCAGGAAATTATCTGGCGTGGTGCATGCCCGTTTTCTTGAAGCTCACGAGCGGAAAACACCTGTTCCGGCCTGGGGCGTTCTACCTGGGCGACTTCTACTCGAAGCTCGTCGGCTGGATAACCTGCGCCTGGGGAGCGTTCATCATCGTCCTGTGCATGTTCCCGTCCGCTAAGGAGGTCAAGAAGGATACCATGAACTACACGGTCGTGATCACGTGCGGAGTGTGGATTCTGTCTCTGGTGTACTACTTCACGTACAGGTACAAAGTGTACCACGGCCCGCGCTCGAACTTGAGTCCGGAGGACGTTATCGAGGCGACCGTGGTGGCCGATAAACAAGATTTCTGAATAGCAATTGATTCTCATTACAAGAGCCGTACGTAGTTGTAGGGGAAAATACCCGTGGTGCCGTCGGAGAGTTTCATGCCGCGCCACCACCCTGGGTTGCTTCTGTCCAGGATCTTGATGCGGTCGCCCTCGCGGAAACTCAGGTCGTCGGGCTGCGAAGCGTCAAAACTGAACATGGCAACGCACGTCTCTGCGGGAGCCGTAGTCTCGAGGACCTTCATCTGCAGCTTGTTGAGCGAGATCTGGTGGAAGTTCACCACAGACAACTGCTCGATAGAGTCGACGGCATGCTCCTGGGCGGCGGCGAAGCTTCGCCGCATGTTCTCCATGTCTGTGTCGTACTGCAGCGCCTCAAGGTCGATCTTGAACTCGCTCGACAGAGACGCACACGTGCCGTACAGGTTGTGGAATGTCGTAAAAGTAGCAAAATAGGTCATCACAAACACCTGGCTCATGATCTGCTTGATGATCAGCATGAACAGGGGCAGCTCCATTTTTAGTTTGTTGTTCAGAAGGTCGTACTTGAGCTTGGCCTCGTCGAGTCTTTTCTGAACCTCAAACTTGCGCTTGTGCTCCTTTAGACTCAATTCCGGCTTGTCTGCGAGCTTCCGGGCCTCCTGCTGGTATTTCTCGTAGTCCATGCTCGCGTAGTGGCGTTCTTTGATGGCCTTGTTGGCGTTTTTTATCTGCTTTGATACCTTCTTCAGGTGCTCGCCAACGCGCTCCTCAAAAAGCTTGGTCTCCTCCTCCATTCCGGGCTGGAGCATCTTGTACTGCTCGACGTACTGCGTTGAACGGTCAAACATCGACAGCTGCTGTTCATTGAGGATTCCGCCCTCAGACTGGCTGATGTCTCTGAAACACACGCCTATGGAAATGCTGTGTGCCAGCAATCGCGACATCGAGTTGCGCTGTTTCTGCAGACTAAGCTCAAACGTCTCAAACTGCTTATCGAGGCCCTTGATCTCAGAGACAATCCGGTCAAACTCTGGATCAGAGATCTTTTCGCTCGACCCTAGCTTGTTGATATACTGGGGGGCCTGGGATTAGTCGCCGGTGCTCCCTACTCACCCTTTTCACAACATTGGTCACGTCGTACCAGTCAATGTCTGGCCGCGGCAGATCGCTGACCGCTTTCTGCAAGCTGGAGTTATTCATGTCTAAAGAATATCGCGCCAAAAAAATTTAGGGATCAGAGTTTTCAACCGCCCTCTTTTTGCTGGGATGGCCATGGTCGTATCCGGGCCATGCGCTGATTTGCCGCGTTCTCTTTTTCGTGAATGAGGTGGTGTCGTTGTTCATAAGCACCCTGTCCAGCTCGACCTTCTGCTCGTCGCTGATATCTTCCTTCAGCTTCTTCACTCTCTCCTGAAGCAGTCGAGATAGTGCTTCTATCAGCTTGCTTGAAAAACTCTTGTCGATCGGCAAGTTGCCCAAAATCACCGACCGCAGCTTCTTGACGATGGCGACGGCATTGAGAGTGTCCTCAAAGCTCTTCTCCTTGCTCGACAGATACTCTGGCGGGTTGAGAACTAGCATCGCAGCATAGTAGAGCATCACATGAATATGCACAGGAGCATACTTCAGGGCCGACAAAATATCGGTATCGGCAAGCACGAGGTTCAGCACCGTCTCTGCAGACGACAGAGCCATCTCCGTCGACACCATGCGGGACTGCTGGGGAGACATTTCCAGCTCATAATGGTCGTCGTCGTCATCGTCGCTAACTTCTCGCTGCAAGATGTTCTGGCCCTCCTCCAAATTCGCAATCTGGTCGGACTCAACCTCCTCCCAGCGCGGAAGCTCGTCTCCCTCCATGTGCAAAGACCTCACTGCTGCCGAGTTGATGTGCATTTTGGCAAAGTTGTAGTATATAAGTGTGCTTTTGCTCGACCAGATCGGGGCGTTGTTGAAAGGCGACAGCATGACAGTCCACTGGACCATCCACTTGTCGAGCTCGAGGTTCGTCTTGAACGGTAGTCCAAAAGATGCGGGCGCCATCAGATCCCACGCATCGCCCTCGAACACTTTGCTAATCGCCTGGTTGTATTCCACCTGGGATACCAGTCGCAGGTTGGAATAGTTTTCGTCAGGAGCAGCTCCGTCGGTGTCGTCCTCGAGAAGCAGGCTTCGGCTTTCCTTTAGTGTTTTGTCTTGCGAGTTCATCAGAGGCTGTCTATTAAATACCAGCGATTGCTGGCCATCGAGAATGTACAGGAGATACCACAGCTTGAGCTTGTTTTTGTCGGAAACTTGAGAATTCTTGGATAGTTTGTTCAGCTTGAGGTTGCTGGCCAGCTGGAGAGCCATGCCTGTGAACATCTGGTTCTCCTGGAACCAAAAAGCACAAAAGCATAGCGCAAGCACAGTGTTGAACGTATCGAGCTCCGTGGTGGGCACTCGCACCAGCAGATGCTGGCTCATTTTGTGGATTAGTTGTTCGAGTTGGCGGAACAAATGGCTGAGAAGCGGGTGGTGGATAGATGCGATTGCGCACACGCTGGCAAGCAAGAGAGGAGAGTGAGTCCACAGCTCGTTGACAGAGTATTGCGAGATGTTGAATCCGAACAGCTGTGGAGAGATATTTGAGTCGAAGAACCGGAATAACTCCTCGGCCTCGCTGAGCAACAGGATATCGGACAAAGACTGAGGTTCGGCACCGTTCCGCGGAGCGCCCTCCGAGGAAGCCTTTACAAGCATGGGCCGCGATGGAGACTCTGGAGTCTGCAGGATAGTCAGGATGTTACCCAGCTTGCTGCCAAAATCCTGCAATCGGTCCTCCACCGACGAGTGCCAGCCGGCACCTGGTTTTGGCTGAGGCGGGTTCAAAATATGCGACAGCGAGGCGGTCCGGCTTGAGCTTGCGTTGGGCATGGGCGAAGGTTGTGCGGAAGCCAGCTTACTGGCGGGTTTCGGAGGAGATTTGACGATCTTCGACACCTCCTTTGTGCTCGCATCACCAACCACCTTATAACTTGCGATTTTGTACTCGTAAACACATTGCAGGTTCTGTGCACGGCACCGCTTACAGCTTTCGTCGTTACTATCCTTTTCGCACTTGACCTTGCTCCTGCGGCACAGTGTGCACGCCTTGGGCCGCTTTTCCTTTGCCTCGTCGCCCTGGACTATTTTGGCCGTCGCCCGGTTGCGTGAAATATCGCTCAACAGCCGCTGCTGCTGGTGAGGATTGGGCAAAATCGGCAATTCGCCGGTCATAACAAATCGCGTGTTAATTTTTTTTTCTTTCACTCCAGTAGCTTTTTGATGAATTTGTAGCCGGTCTTCAGCATCTCCTGTCCCGTGTATGCATTTTTGTTCCGTTCAAAGGTGTCTGGCAACGACTCCATGCTGTAGTCAATAAATTCGTCGGACTCGGTGTCAGAAACCTCGAAGTTGCGGAATGCCCGGTTCAAAGTATGCGCTTCGTGTGTATTTAGAGCAAACAGTACCTTGAACGGAAATGGAGCGATGTCGACGCTGGCGATCGGCGGTATATGCGATTTGTTCGTGTCGACGTACTCCAAAATGGCAAACAGGTTATTTTCGAAATCCTGTTTGTGCAGATCGAGTTTGCTGGCCCCGTTGACGTCAAGCATCGGATTTTTATTATTGAGAATGTTGATTTTGAGGACCCATTTCTCCCAGCAATTGGCGTTCTTGGTCACGTTTGCAGACGCAGACACCGACGACGACTGCGACTGCGGCCGCGAGTTCGGCACAATGCTGTTTGGCTGCTCCACCTCGCGGTCGTAGAACTTGACCACCATGACGCCTTTCAACACCATGTTATCGTTGGGGTCGGCCGTCGAACGGGACGCCTCTTGCGAAAAAGCGTCCGCGAGTGCCTGTGCCTTGGCATCGACCAGCTCCTCAAGCACGGGATCATTGGCCAAGGGGTACGCCACGCCGTAGAAACTGCTTTGCGCGGCATTGACACACCCAAACAGCCGGTGAAACAGGATTGACCATAGCACGCCACGCACGTAGTCTGCGGCGGTCTCGAGGTCGGCCACTATCTTTAGTTGGAACTCCATAAAAAGGATCAATAAATAAATTAAAAAAATAATGGTGATAAGACATGAGGTAAATTAGTGTGTGTGTACATAGTTATGAACAGGCGCGTTCGCGTTCCAGAAACTCGACAAGCTCTTTCTGGCGGATATATTTGCGTTCGTTGAGCCATGCACGGCGATAGACTTCCAGAAGGGCAAACGAGGAGTCGTCGGAGGACGCAGGCCTCGACGGCAGCGTGTTCTGCGACGATGGCTGCTGTGTGGGAGGCCTAGAAGTTTGCTGCTGGGCAGACGGGTCGGGCGGCACGTTTTCCGCATCTGTCTGCGACGCTCTCTCGGCCAGCGACGCATCCTCGTTGGCTTCGAGCAGGTCCTCAGGCACCGCATGGACGCTCTTCAAGCCGGCAGTCCCATCGTCGACCTTGCGGCGGACGTTGTTTCCCACCATGGGCGTCAGCGGCGTGGTGGGGGACCGCTTTTGGGCATGACGATACGGCGTGGCACTCATGTAAACAAATAAAAGCTCGCGCATAGCCGAGAAAGCTTGGTGGGGAGTTACCCGGACACATGTCGAAAATTATTTCCCACGTCCACAAAAATACAATTTTCATTCTACTTCCCGACCACATCATGTCCACCGAAAGAACTTTCATTGCAGTCAAGCCAGATGGTGTCCAGAGAGGCATCTTCCCAGAGATCCTGAGAAGATTCCAAAACAAGGGTTTCAAGCTTGTTGGTATCAAGCTGACGCTGGCCAACGAGTCTCTGCTGAGAGAACACTACGCCGACTTGCAATCCAAGCCATTCTTCCCATCTCTGCTGTCCTACATGATGTCCGGACCAATCCTGGCCACCGTTTGGGAGGGCAAGGACGTCGTGAAGCAGGGAAGAGCCCTCCTCGGTGCTACCAACCCACTGCAGTCTGCTCCAGGTACCATCAGAGGTGACTTTGCCTTGGACATGGGCAGAAACATCATCCACGGCTCTGACTCTGTCGAGAACGCCGAGAAGGAGATCAATCTCTGGTTCAAGAAGGAGGAGCTTGTTGACTACAAGCCAACCATGTACGGGTGGATCTACGAGTAAAAGCGAGAATCCTGTCCATAGAATTGCCAGTAAACTTAGTTAGCTACGCTGGGCTTCGGTACCAGCCTGGATACCTAGGTATGGTCAAGCAAAATAGATTCTCTCGTGCTAAAAATTAATTTTTTTATTCTCTCCCATTTTTTTCAAACTTTTCATTCCATGTCGAAAGTACCACAAATATACTGTAAGTAAAACCACCGTCTCGCACTAACTCCAGGCCGGCAACCGCGAACAGTGCAATTGATACAAGCGCAACCGGTTTTCAAGCCGCTGGAGAACTTCGAACCACCCACATTGGAGACCAGATGCTCTGCCTACTCGCCCGACGGAACGCTTTTTGCATACACACAGCCGAGCTGTGTGACCATCTGCGAGGCGGAATCGGGACGCTTTCTGTTCACGATTCCCGTCGGAGACGTGTTCGATTTCCAGTTCTCGCCGAAAGGCACGTTTCTGACCACCTGGTCTAAACCGACAAAGTTGGACGATGAGTCCGGGAACTGGGCCAACAACGTGACGATTTGGAAGCTGGACCTTGCCAGCAGCGCTGGAGTGTCCATCCAGTCGTATCTGAACAAGAGCCAATCGGGCTGGAAGGCGCAGTTCACCAGCGACGAGTCCATTTTCTGCCGGATGATCAACATGCACCAGATCGACTTTTTCAAGTCTCATGAGCCGGGCCAGAAGGCCATCTACTCGATCAACGTCAAGGAGCTGGGCCAGATCCAGTCGTTCAAGATGTCGCCGGGCAAGAACCCGTCGCTGGCGCTGTTTGTGCCGGGATCAAAGGGCAAACAATCCTACATCCAGGTGTACTCTCTGCCGAACGTCAAGACTCCAACTTCCCAGAAACAGTTTTTCAATGGCGAGTCGTGCCAGTTCACCTGGAACGACCTCGGCACGTCCATTCTTGCCCTAGTCAGCACCGACGTGGACTCGTCCAACAAGTCGTACTATGGCCAGACGACGCTGTATTTATTGGGCATCTCGGGAGCTTTCGACCAGAGGATTGCTCTCGACAAGGAGGGACCGATCCACGACATCACGTGGTCGCCCACGAGCCGTGAGTTTGCAGTGATCTACGGCTACATGCCGTCGCAGACAACGTTTTTCGACGCCAGAGGAAATGCCATCCACTCTCTGCCGCAGAACTCGTCCAACACGATCTTGTTCTCTCCGCACGCCAAATTCATCCTGGTGGCAGGATTTGGCAACTTGCAGGGCAACGTGGATATTCTCGATAGACAGAACAAGTTTGCCAAGGTGGCCTCTTTCAAGGCCTCCAACACCTCAGTTTGCAAGTGGTCGCCAGACGGCCGCTACATTCTGACGGCCACCACGTCTCCGCGGCTGCGTGTCGACAACTGCGTCAAGATCTGGTACGCCAACGGCTCGCTGTGCTATGTCAAGGAGTTCCCGGAGCTGTACAGTGTCGACTGGAGGTTCCAGCCGCTGAGCGACTTCCCGCCGATCAAGGGCCTGGACGAGTGCTGCACGCCAGACGTTTCTGCGGTCGAGTATCTGGCCAAAAGGGCCAAGATCTCGTCTGCGGCCGACAAGCCTGCGGGCGCATACAGGCCGCCCCACGCCAGAAACCAGCCGTCGGAGCCGGTGAGGTCGCTGGCGCAGAGAGAAGCGTTGCAACGCAAGAAACAGGTGCCGGGCGCAGTTCCTGCGAAAAAGGCGATTCCAGGAGCAGTCGAGCCTGCCAAGGCGCAGAAACAGCAACAGCAGAAGAAGATCAAAGGCGAGGAGAAGCCTCAGCCGCAGAAACAGGAGGGCGAGGCCGGGGTCATTGGCGGAGTCATCTCGTACGAGGAAAAGAAAATTAGAAACCTGCTGAAAAAACTGCGTGCCATCGAACAGCTCAAGGTCAAGAAGGAGAACGGGGAGTTTCTGGAAGACACGCAGGTGCTCAAGATTCAGACCGAGCCCCAGGTCCGCAAGGAGCTGGCTTCTCTGGGCTGGTCTGAATAACCGAAAAGTGTCTGTCAATCCCAGATCGGGCATCCTGTGATTTTAGCTACTACATTTAAATAGATATCAAGTAATTCGGGGTTTATATTTAATCTCATGGTTTCCTCCAGCGCTGGCGATTCTGCGCTTTTGCAGAACCCCAAACTCCTCAATTCGGTCGCCACGAGCTATGAGTACTCCAACGCCATCCCGCTAAAGGTCTGGCTCCGATCCGCCTCCACGATGCTCAGACATGCGCGTTATTACGCCACAGACGGGAACGTGTCCGAAACCTACGTCCTCTACCTGCGATTCGTTGATCTGCTTGCAAACAGGCTCTACAAGCATCCCGAATTGCGCGGCTGGAAACAACAGAAGGACGGTGCCGCCAATTACCAGATGTACCAGAGCCTGTGCAAGAAAATGCCCGAGATCATGAGCGAGGCAGAACGCATACGAAAAATCCTGGACGAAAGGTACGCCAGGCAGCAGGAAGAACAACAACGAGTACTCCGGCGCCGTGCTGCTGCCGCCAAGCCCAAGCCAGTGTCTGTCACCGCTCCGGTGACTCCCGAACCGCATCCTGAGCTCGACGCTAGTCTGGCTACAAAACTACGTTCGCTTTCCTCCAGCAGCGCTAATAGCTCCCAGGCCAAACTAGAGATTTCGTATCCAGACGAATTTGCGATAGAGAGTCCGAAACCAGAGCCAAGCGCCCAGAGTGAGCCGACTCCCGCGGTTCTCCACAAAACCGTCAATTTCACCGAGGGAGGCTCTCCGTTGAGAACCGTGTTTCTGCCCCCAAAAGTAGTGGACGAGTTCCTCGTCATCGCTAAAAGGAACACGTCCAAGAAACTCGAAACCTGTGGAATATTGTGCGGAAAACTTAATAGAAATGCTTTTTTCATCAACTATCTGGTCATTCCCGAGCAGCACTCGACTCCCAATACATGTAATACAAAAAACGAGGAGAAACTGTTTGACTTCATTGACAATCTCGACCTGTTCGTGCTTGGATGGATCCATACACACCCCACGCAGTCGTGCTTCTTGTCGTCGGTCGATTTGCACACGCAAAACTCTTACCAAATCATGCTTAATGAGGCTATAGCAGTTGTCTGTTCTCCCAGATTCGAGCGCCAAGTGGGGATCTTCCGTCTGACAGACCCTCCAGGAATCCCTGTAATCACCAACTGCAACCAGACGGGGTTCCATCCGCACGAGAGCGATAATCTATATGTCGAATGCGACCGAACATCAACGAAAACGGGCCATGTGGTACTGAAAGACTTGCCCTTCCAAATCAAGGATCTCCGGTGACTTATTCCACAGCCATTTCTCCAGCAAGCTCCTGTTGCGCCATGCTGTCCTTCTGATCATTTTCCTCCAGCTGCGTGCTCAGTAGGTGTTTTTCCAGCTCCACACGGGCAGGTTCTTTCTGCTGGTACTCGTTCACTTTTTCGATATACTTGTTCAAATTGGTTCCTGCGGCAGCCTCCGCCTCCAGCTGAGTGTACGGGAGTTTACTCAGGTCCTTAACCCTTCTTTTGTGAACTTTGCCCTTCAAGTGCGCGCCTAGGGCTTTGTTATCGAGGAAGTACTTTGCACAGTGGATGCAGTAATACTGGCCCAGGCCAGGCTTTGTCTCGTCCTGAGGCTGGTGCTTGAGACTCTGAATCGACTCTGCGGTGGACAGATCGCTGTGTATGAGGTCCAGGTCCCTCGTTCTCCGCTTGGTCTTGTATCTCTTGACCGAATACCGCCCCATTATAGATATGAAAAATTATACTATATTTTCGCATAAAATTTGATCTGTGGCGCGTGAGCAAGGCCGGTGGCGCAGATCCTTTTTTTCCTGAGCCCTGCGTCATGTGACCCGCCTCAGGGCTAAACCACATAAAAATTTTAACACCGTGAAATAATTACTAATCTCCAATATCTATAAAGTGAGTATATTGCCTTCGAGATTTAACCGCTAACCTTTCAGAATGGCTAGAAGACCAGCTAGATGTTACAGATACTGTAAGAACAAGCCTTTCCCAAAGTCGAGATACAACAGAGGTGTCCCAGACCCTAAGATCAGAATCTTCGACCTTGGTAGAAAGAAGGCTAGCGTTGACGACTTCCCACTGTGTGTCCACCTTGTCTCGAATGAGTTGGAACAGCTCTCGTCCGAGGCTTTGGAAGCTGCCAGAATCTGCGCCAACAAATACATCACCAAGATGTCTGGAAGAGACTCTTTCCACATGAGAGTGAGAGTCCACCCTCACCACGTTTTGAGAATCAACAAGATGTTGTCGTGTGCCGGTGCCGATAGACTGCAACAAGGTATGAGAGGTGCCTGGGGTAAGCCACACGGACTGGCTGCCCGTGTTGATATCGGACAAGTTTTGCTTTCTGTCAGAACCAAGGACTCCAACAAGGACGTTGTTGTTGAAGGTTTGAGAAGAGCCAGATACAAGTTCCCAGGTCAGCAAAAGATCATCATCTCCAAGAAGTGGGGTTTCACTCCATTGAACAGAGAGGAGTACGCTGCTAAGAGACAAAACAACGAGGTCAAGGATGACGGTGCTTACGTCAAGTTCCTGTCCACCAAGGGCTCCTTGGAGGAGAACATGAGACAATTCCCAGAGTACTTCCTGGCTTAGGTAGGTAATGAAAAGTGTGTCTGTATCACAGAGTAAGAGAACTAACTGTTTCTATTAATGTACACAACCTTACGTTTCGGAGCCCCTTCGTATAGTTTGCTCTTCGTTCAGTGTTTTGTACGCCATGTCGATATAGTCCTCTTGCGACAGGAAGCCCCTGCCCGCCTCGCAAACATGGATACTTTTGACCCATTCGCTCTGCCAGATCTGGTACGAGCGCATTCTGTACTTTGGATCTGGGTTCAGAATGTTGTATAGCACGTACCGTCGCGAGCTGGCACAAGGGCCCTTCGAGATCGACTCTATCTGGTTGAAAGTTCCTTTTCTTATGAGCCGGAACTGTTTGCTTGCAGACTTCGACTTCGTCGTGTAGTCGTAGATTGCCCTGGTCTCGAGGAAATGCTCGTAGCTCTCGTCGGTCCGTTTCGCAATCTCCCAGACGTACGTGCCGTACAGCATCACCAGATAGATAATGCCGAGCGACCAGATGTCTGCGAGTCGCGGATCGTAGCTTTTGTCGGGCACGAACTGTTCTGGCGAGACGTACCGCTCGGAACCGCACGCTCCCTTGCAAAACTGTACCTTGTCCTCCCAGGCCGTCTTGAACACAGCAGACGTTCCGAAATCGATGATCTTGAGCTGTCCCTTGCGTGTCAACAGCAAATTCTCTACCTTCAGATCGTTGTGCGAAATACCCACCGAATGCAGGTAAGTGATGGCATTGAGGATCTGCTTGAAGAAACAGTCGCACTCCACCACCTCCAGACCGTTTGTCATGGCTATCAGAGTGAAGAGATCGCCGCAGGGCATGAACTCCATCACCTGTGAGTAGGTCATTGTCACAGGATCAACCATCAAATCGTACACGTTGATCACAGCTTGGTGTGTCAGGGATGAGGAAATCATGAACTCGGACGTCACACGGTTTCCAAAATGGTGCAGGCTCTCTCCCGGCCGCTGTTTGAGCTGCTTGATGGCAAACAGAGACTTCCGTTTTTTATTGTTCGCATTCTGCAAGGCAGAGATACAAACAGTACCGAACGAGCCCCGGCCTACCACGCCCCCAATGTGGCCGTACTTGGAGCTTAATGTCATTTTCTTGCTTCCGGAGCTTTGCAGCTTTTCTTTGAATTTTTCTGGCTTTTCTATCTTGTCCATCATCATGTTCATAAGCGTAAGTTGGTCTTTGCCGATGATCGGCTCTATGAGCTGGTCGTCTGCCTCGTCGTCGAAGTCGTCGTCTTCCTCTTCCTCCGAATCGTCGTCCGAGTCCGAGCCCGAGTCTGAATCTGAATCGTCGTAGTTCCAGCGATAGTTCTTTGGATCGCTCTTGAGCTCCATCAGCTGTAGTGAGTACGAGTCCGGCAGCAGACTGACACTGTTTTCGATGCTTAGGAACTCGTCGTCTTCGACTTCTCTCTTCTTAGTCCATCCCCACCACGACTTGGTGTTCTTCGAGATTGGTGTCCGGTACTTGAGGTAGTCGTGTTCGTGCACGGATCCATCCGGGGCTACCTTAAGACGCCCATTCTTGAGCTTCATTAGGTGTTCTCTCTGAGAATTCATATGAATCTGGGAGTAAGAGGCAGATGACGTGTGTTTGAGTGGAATGTAGGAATGCTGGCTGCTTTCGGAGTTCGCCACAGACACTGAGCTCGACCGCTGCCGTGAATTGTTGGAGTTCGACCGAGAAAGCGGCGGCGACAACGATTCCTCCGATAAGTTGTTCCCGAGGAACTTCGACATGAACTTGCCCGAGCGGCCACGAGCAGGTGCCTGAGACGTGACCGAGGACGAGGACGACGCGTTGGAGCCGCTGTGTGGAATCAAAGACGGTAGCCTTACTGGCTTGTCGGAGTTTTCTATCACGCTGTCCAGGTCGTTTTCTGCCACCGGAGACATCATCTTGAGCTTCGTGAGCGAGTCCACCAGCTCAGCATTGTTGACGGCCTTGTGCTCCGCGGCAGACTCCAGCTTGGGTGAGCTATTGGAGGATCCAGCATACTTCGGCGGGGACGCAGCCTTCCTTGTGTGGCTTCCCGAACCAGCAGCCCGGTCCATCTTTGCAGCCTGATGTTCGTGAGGATTGAATAGATTCTTGAACCTGGTCACCGTAGAACTGCGACTCCGGCCCGGAACACCATGCGGCAAGTCCGCCACTGACGAATCCGACATCGTTTGGTACAGAGAGAAATCTGAGTCGTCCTGGGAGATTATCACGCTGGGCTGAGCCTTGGGCGACTCAGAGGGCACTCCCTGTTTTCTGAACAGCGGCATCAAAAGTATACCAGGATCTGGACAAATGCGTTGTATACAATGTATACAAGCAACAGAGGGCTGAGTGCTGTTTCAAAAGGCAATAACTAGAGCTGTGCCTGGTTCTTTAGGGCGAAGGTCAACTAATTGGTGTATTTTTTTTCTTCTTGCCCCATCTCCGCCACCGTCTTGAAAGACATCCCTACACGGGGTAACAGAATAAATATATGGCATTATACCTATAATGGCTGTTCTGGTGCCTCTGCACGGTGGTCAATGAACCCGTGCTCCTTCTCGTAAGCGTGCATCCTCTCGTGCTCGTCCGCAGCCGTCGGCACGTGCTTTGTTCCCCGCAGCATACGCGTAACGTGCGCCAGGTCAGAGTCAGTCACCTGCTCCCAGAACTTGCCAATATCGGTGTTCTCGACGTTTCCAGCAAGATGTTCGCGCAACAGGGCCCGGCCGCGCTCTGTGTTGCTGTGCGCGTAGATATTCACGTCCACGGCAGTGTGGCCATGGGTAGACCAGCCCACTTCCGCTCTCACAGACACCATCTCCACGAGCAGATCGTGTATTTGCTCCTCGTGCTCCAGCAGCTTCGACACCTCCTTGTCTGTATAGTCTGAGATTCCAAGGTCGTTCTCCAGGATCTCTGTCCTGATGAACTGTTCAAGCTTGTGTTTTTCCGAGTTGAGCTCTCTAAAGCTCTGGAACTTCTTGCGAAGATATTCGCCCGACTTGGTGGCATTCAGTAGCACCTCTGGCTTCCATAAGTACTCTGGATATCCGGGACCAACCTGCCGTCCCACCGCAAGTCCGCCGGTCTCGTGGTCCGACGTGGAAACCATGAAGGTCTCTGTTTCTGCCGAGTCGATGTAGTCGATGACGGCCCTGAACGCCTTGTCGTACGCCAGTACCTCGCGGACCTGCGCTGCCGGGTCGTTCGAGTGGCCAGCGTGGTCGATTCTGGAGCCCTCAATCAGCAAGAAGAAGCCCTGGTCCGAGTCTCTGGTGGCATCAGTCAGCAGCTTCAATGCAGTCTTGACCTCCTCCTCCAGACTTGGGTACTCTGTGTCCTCTCTGTCAAGATCGTAGGGTATATTGTAGTACGCAACCAGCGCCAGAAGAGGCAGGGAGGCGTTGTTGCCTAGCTGCAACTGGTCGAACTCTTGCTTGTTCGTGGCCACCGTGAAGTTCATCTCTCTGGCCTTCTCCAGCAAGTCTGTCTCGTCATCGCGGCAGCCCTGTGGATGCGACTTTGGCAAATAGAAACAGCTGCCTCCGCCAATCATGAGATCTGTGACGGGACCAAGCGTGGTGTCCAATCCCAACTGCTGGTTCGCAATCAGCGTCTGCATGAACCGGTAGTCAGCATGGGCGTTGAAAGAGGCCGGAGTGGCGTCCGTGATGCCTGTCGTCACCACAAGACCTGTTTTGTAGCCCTTCAGCTTCAGGGCCTCTAAAATTGTGCCGCACGGCTGCTTGTTGCCATCGACTCCGATAGCACCGTTGTAGCTCTTGAGAGCACACGAAAACGCCGTCGCGCCGGCCGCAGAGTCGGTGATCAGCGAAGACGCGCTCCTTGTGCGACTGGAGCCAATCAGGTACCGGTCCAGAGTCAACACGTCGTCAATGTCTAGGTTGTCTCTATACTGTCTGAAGTAGCGGGCCATATTGATAGAAGCCGGGCCTGTGCCGTCGGTGACCATCATGATGATGTTCTTCTTGCCGTTTGCAAAAGTCTCAACGGCGTCGCCCTCGCCCTTTAGGCCCCGTCCCAAGTTGAGGAGCGAAACAAAGAAAGAATAACAAAGCAGACAGATGAGGGCCACGCGGGCCTTGCTGCTCTTGGGCGACCGTCTCGCCGCGTACGGCAGCACGGTGTGTTCGTCCTCAAGCAGAGGGTCGGCCAAGGAGGCCTGTTTCAACCGATCGCCGTTCCGTTGCATAATAATTGAACGTGCCCAGATTCGGATCTAGCTATTTTTGTATCTGTTTCATATATTACATAAGCAGGAGGAGCCGGCCTGTCTCGTTTATTCGGACTCGGGGTGCTCCTCGGGCGACTTGGCGTGCTGGTGCGAGTACTCGGGGCTCTGGATGATGGAGTCGATGACATAATACTGGAACGTGTTCATGACGAGCGGGAATACGAGGACCACAAAGGCGACCTGGAGATTCGGCACCGGGTCCGACCAGGAGAGCAGCCAGTACGCAATGTGGACCAGGAACGGGCACACGACAAGCAGGATGTAGATTATGAGCTTCATGGACACGAGTCCGATGAAATAGAGTGCGAGCTGCTTGAAATAGTACGAGTACCGTGGCGGATTGCCGTATTGCCCAGACTCGATGCCCTCGATTCCTGCGTTTCTGGCGAGAGCAAAAATAACATGCAGCAGGCCCCAGAGGATCGGGACGCCGATGGTTGTGTCGAAAAGGATATTGAGGAAGTAGTAGTCGCAAGGATTGTCGAAGTCTGGTTTTGGGTGTGGCGGCGAGGGCGGCGGGCCTGGGCGTGCTGGAGCGGCAAAATAGTACCGCGACGTCTGGCTTGGTAGAGTGGTAACCCATTGGTCAGAGTGGCCGCCCAGAATGCTCATAAAAACGTTCAGCATGTGGATACCAAGGGCCCCGATCACCTGCTTGGACACGTCGAACAACCACACTTTCCAGGGCCTGCGGTTCGGGTACTCGCGGTAGCGCTTCCACACAAGCGACGAGAGAGCAAGCACGCCCAGAAACAGCTGGATTACGAGCGCAAACGGGCCCAGAAGCTCGCATTTGTCCGACATGGAAGGCAATAAATGTTGCGGAACTATTTTGCACAGCCGGGAATACGGTGCCAGGGCGGTGGCAGACACTGGCTGGGGCAGACGGATGGCGCACTTCTTTGGCGGAATAGACCAATCGCTGCAGAGGCACCAGGGGAAAGTCCGGGAAACTGCATCTGCAGCAGACTCGGCAGTCCACAATTTGTGGATCCGCACGGCTCTGCGTTTTGCTGGTTTATAGCGTGCAATACATGGTGAAATTATTTATTTCATTTATTTTATTTCGTCAATTACTAATTATGTCGGAACCAGCCAAACAAAGTAAGTGCACATCTCTCCAAACTAACCAATAGACAAGCCAAAGCCCTGCTGCGTGTGCTTGGACGAGAAGCAGCAGAGAGACGAGTGTCTGCTGACGAACGGCTCGGACTCTGAAAAGTGCAAAGATATCATCGAGGCATACAAAAAATGCATGAAAGGCTACGGATTCGAGACGAACTAGCTTGCCAAGAGGCAGCCACATGTACATAGATAGAGACCCCTGGTTGCTGTTCGATTAAACTATTTTCAATAGATTGTTACTCGACGTAGTTGGCGACGAGCTCGCTTAACTCTGCGTCACTCGATCTCACCTGACTTTTCATCATCATGCCCTTGGAGCTGCTGGCCAGGCGCACGATGGCGGCAATCTTGTCGCCGCCGATGCTTTTTCCGTAGAGCTTGAGCGTGTGGCTGGAGCTCGAGGTCACCACGTCTGTCGACTCAGCAGGCATCATGGACATTGTCTTCACCAGCTTCAGAACAACGTCCTGGAGGTCCATGGTGGCGGCGTCTCCAAGGTTGAACACGGCCACACTCTCGTTTTGGAGCTCGTCCCAAGCGTGGGTGAAGTTGCCGGTGAACGCCGGAACCACATAGTCGCCTGGCACAATGCTGAGATCCTCGACCTGGTACTCGTCGGGGAAGCCTTCCTCGCCCTCTGCAGGCTCGCCAGTCGACGGGTCGACGTCCTTGGTGGTGTAGGACAGGGTGTTGCTGAAAACTGCGGGGACGATGCCCTCTGGTCTGCTGAAGGAGACGTAGATGGAGCCGCTCGAGCCGGCCCTGAGAACATCGAGTGGCATGAGGAACTCCTCCGTGTAGGCTTCGTTATCTGGCTGGGAGACTATCGACACGTCCTCCAGCTGGATCTCGGTCAACGTGTTCTGCACGTTGTATTGAATAACAACGTGCTTCTCAAAGATGTGTTTGACCGCCGTGACCACGAACTCGGTTTCCTTCTCGGTGAGCTCCATAACCGCAGACGAGTGCAACAGACGTCCGTAGGCAGCAATCTCTGGGATGGCACCGAGCTCCTGTGCGTATTGTTGCTGCAACAAAGCAAGCTTGGTCGAGTCCGGCACTTTTTCTTCGTCCGGAGAGGCCTCGTGAGTTTGCACGGCCGGCTCGTCGTAGATCGTGGTCTTCTCCTTGAACTCGGTAGCCTTGGCCTCCTCCTCCGTCATCGTAGGGATGGTCTTGATATCGAACGGATGGACAAAGTGCTCTTTGTCTGGGTTGTTGACGTAGAGAGCGAGCTGCTGTTCCAGAACCGGAAGAGAGTACTTGAACGCAGGTGCGATGAAATCCTTCGCCTGCTCAACGTCCTTGGTGGAAAGCAGTTTCAGGGATAGCGCAGCTCTGTCTCTAACCTCATCGTCGACATCCTGCAGACATCTCTCGAGCAAGATCTTGATACTCTTGGTGATGGAGTCGTTGCCGATGAGAGCAAACTTGGACAGCGCAATAACGGCAGACGACCGGACTATCGAGTTCTCCAAAACAACACGGTTGTAGATGTGTCTGATATACAGAGTCGGGTTCGATGTCTTTGGCCCCTCCTCTCCCAAAAGATGCAAAACTCTAACTGCCAGCTCCGTGTACTCGCAGTCCTCGATGAACTCGCAAAGCATTTCCAAGGCCAGCTCTCTAGATTGCGGAATGAACTTGATAATGTCGAAGATCGCCTCTATGATGGCGTTCTTGAAGTTGAATCCTCCCTCGTCTCTCAGCACGTCGTTCAAAAAGTTGAGCATCGATTTGTGTTTGTCTGGGAACTTGAGCGACAGAGTCCTGATGGCCTCGATGACGATGATCTTGAACTCTTCCGAGATGTCGTCCATAAACCCGCTGATCGTCTTGACCAGTCTGTCGACGTTTTCCGAGTTGCCGGTCTTGAGCAGCGTCGTGATTGCGTAGGTCGACACGGATCTGTTCGCGTCGTTGATCAGCGACTCCAGCTCCAGGTTGCACACCATGATCTTCTCCGGGCTCTTCATAGCGATTTTGTTGAGGATTCTCACGGCCGCAAACCGCGTCACTGTCCTGGGAACCGACAGCAGCGTCTGCAAAGTGTTGATTGCTTGCATCTGCTGCTCCGACAGAAATTTCGGCAGCGCCAGAATTGTCCTGGCAGCCTCCAGCTCGACCATGTCGCTCTTGTGCTTGAGCCAGCCAGGGAAGAACGGCCACAGCGTCTGCGTGAGGTTGGAGTCCTCCTCGATCAGCTTGCCAACGTACCTGATCAGCTGCACCGTGGCCAGCGAGCTTTTCAGAGGCTGCTGTGTGTTGAACTGCTGGATCATTTTCATCAGCGCCATCTTGTCGTGGTCTCTCAAATGGTACAGTAGACCCAGCGCGTGGTACTGGTAGGTATACGTTGCTGTGAGGAGTCTGTTGGCACCGTAGTGCTCGTGCATGTTGTACTGGGTCTGCGGGAACACCTTGTTCGAGGAGACGGCCTCCTGTGTCTCGTTCGTCCACCTTCTCACGACGTCCTTGGCCACAGGTAACAAGTGGTACGACGACACCAAAGCTGCCGACGAAACGTTGGGGTTTTTGTCAACGACGCAGTTTTTCATGGCCCTCTCAGCAGCATGGATGGTACTGCCATCCAGAACCCGCGCCAGCGTTCTCACGGCGTTCGGCTTGTACAGAATGTCGCCGCCCTGAATATCCTTCATGATCGACGCGGTCGCCATCAAAATGTCGTCCGACAAGGAGCACAATTCCTTGATTGCCAGGTACACCAGCTGTCTCAGTGAGCTGTCGTTGTGGTGGAACAGCTTGGACGTGGAAAAGAACAGGTTGGTGGCCTCTGTCTTGGGGAAAGTCTCGCCCGCATACAAAAGTCTCAACAGCCGAGACAACAACAGTCTGCACCGCTTGGCGTGGATTGTACTGGCATTGAACGCCTGCAGACATTCCTGGTACACGGTCATTTTGTCCGGCAGCGTGCCGGAGTCGATGTCCTCGAACTTTTTGTAAGTATGGGTGGACATGGCAAAACAAATACGTGGAAACAAAAAAGAATACAAAAAAAAATTATGGTAAGCAGAGAAAAGGTGTTTATTGGATCATCATGAGAAGCTGCGAGAGACACGTTTTGGTGGCCGGGTCGTCGCGCAGCAGCGACGCAAACACGTCGGTTTTCAGGGCCTCGGGAAGCCGCTCCCTGAGCGCAATCCGCGCTTCTGGGTTGTCTGCCAGACGAGAGTAGCACCGGATCACGTGCTTAAGTAAGCGAGCAGTAGGGTTGGCCACGAGCTGGTCGATCATGAGCCGTAGCACGTTCGAAACGGCCTCGAACCGGTCGAAGGTCTGGCACGTGTACGCGAGACCAGCATCGTCCATGAGGATCTTCTGGACTATGAAGATGGCGACTGTCTTGGAGAGCTCCGACGAGGACTCCATGATCTTGAGACACAGCGGGATGATCTCGGTGGTGAGCAGGAACTGGATCACCTCGCTGGTGTCGTTCTTAACGAGCGCGCCAATCACGCCGAGCGACGTCAGCCGCAGGTACTCGAACGGCCGCTGTTTCGAGTTGGTGTTGAGGAACGGGTACAGGAAAAGCGGAATCTGCGCGTTGAGAAACGGTGTACGGGTGTCGGGATGGGAGGCGACGCATTGCAACAGCGCAAGCGCGTTGCATACGCGGTTCGAGGCCGGCGTGCTGAGATTTGGCGGCGACAGCAGCGGGTAGACGGCAACGATCTCTTCGAGCAGGCTGGTCATGACGCCGAACGAGTTCCACAGCACCAGGGCCAGGTCGTCGTACAGCTCCCGTTTCTTGCCCAATTCCAGCAGGGCCTGCTCCTTGTTGGGCCCGTATACAAGCTCCACGATCCACGTGTACACCTTTTCGTCTGTGAGCGCTTTTATGGTCTTTGGTTGGTATGTGTTCTGCTGATCGTCCGAGGGAAACATAAATATAAATAAAAAATTTCGCCAGTGTGTTAGGTAATTTAATATTATGTGCGGGAGGGACTATATAAGGATACGCTTTATCCTTTCCTAGTTTGTCAGCTCGTAGTTATATTTTCTGCGGACCTCATCGACATACTTCCACCGCTGTCCCTTTGGGCCCCTCACCATGACGTCCATTCTAGCCCTGTCGTCTTTGTTCGTCTTGTCCCCCAGCCAGATGTCAGCCACGGGCACAAAGTCGAACTTGGCGTAGATGGGCAGATTTCTCAGCGAGCTGCTCTCCAGATACGTTGTGGCGTTTGCCGGGTCGATGTGGTTGGTGAACACATAGTCCATGACGGCGCGAACGTTACCTTTCCCGCGGGCGCGCGGGGTAGAGCCCAGGTACACAAGGGTCCATGTGTTGGCTCCGTCTGGGTCCACAGCCATGATGTCGGCATAGTTGTCGTGCAGCACCTTGAAGAGGGTGCCGAACACTCGGCGACGGCCCTCTGCGCCCGTCAGCCAGGCTAGTCTGGCAAATCCGGAGCGCACAAGCGTGAGGTAGTCGTCGATGGCGCCCGAGTCAGGGTGCGCGAAAACGGCAACGGTCTCAAACGTGTCGTGGCTCTCGTGGTTTTCGCCCTTCACACCGATAACCAGGCCCTTCAGAATGTGCGAATGCACATACGCTTCGTACATGAGCAGGTCGCACTTCTTTCTCAGCTTGGGATCGTGTTCCAGGTGACGCGAAACGTACCGCGCCACGTCGTCGTCGTCAAAGGACTCGTACAGCGTGCGCGCAGCCTTCTTGCAGTCTGCAAAGCTCAGGACTTCGACCTTGGGAGTCTTCATAGTGGTGAAAATAGTGAGAAAAAACGTTATCAAATGTTTCTGATCCTACCACCTTCCGAAAACGGAAGGTCTACTCTGAGAAAATTAGGTCCATGGTATTACCTGATGGTGGTCACTGCAATGTCCTTGCCCGTGTTGACGACCTCGGATTGTAAGTCGAAAAGCTTCCAGAACTTGAGGTTTTCGTCCGCAGCCACCGTCGCCAGCGTAGTGCCGTCCGGCGAAAGACTGCTATGCAAAACTCTGGAATCGTGCGCACCAGCCACAACCCCCGTTCTCAGGAGCGAAGGGTAGCTGTAGATACTAATGTCGTTGTTGGGAAACCCGTGCGTGGCGGCGATCTCTGTGCCGATGCCGCTGGAGTACCCCCACCGCAGCGACGAGACCTGCGAGTTGGTCTCGATCGTGTTGACTCGGGCCCCCGTCGTGGTGTTCCAGAAATGGATACGCCGACAAGTGGATCCGCCGCCCGTAGCCAGCAGGCTCGTCTGGGTCGGGCTCCACGCCAGCGCCTTGACGGCAGCAGTGTGGCTGGTCTTGGTGAACTGCGGGACGCTGGAACGCGCGTCCCAGATGTTCACCACGTTGTCGTTGCCACCAGAAACGAACTGCATCCCGTCTCTGCGCCACTCGATCCCGCACACCTCGGCGGTGTGGTTATTTAGCTGTGAAATTATGTGCTGCGACAGACGCACGTCGTGGTGGAAAATCTGGCCCGTACGGGACCCTGACGTGAGCACGTGCTCATTCCACGCGTGTACAGCCACGCGCGAGTGATGGCCAGCCATGACGCGCAGCCGCGACCCGGCCTCTGGGTCCCAAATCTCGACAGAGCCCGAGTCGAGGCCGATCGAAAGGTACCCGCCCGTTTCGGACCAGCGCACGGAGGTGACAATGCTGTCGCACTCGGCCGCCAGGTCGACGTCGCCCGTCGTGGCGTTCCAGTAGTAGACGCAGTTCTCCAGCGCGATCGCCAGGATGTTGTCACGTGACCACGACAGCAAGTTGAGGTAGAAGTCGTCGACAAAGCCGGGGGCGTCGAGCACTTTTTCCGGGCAACTGGGTATTTTCTTGATCCGCGCCTGCGCCGCCGCAGTCGAAATAGTGGCCTTGGTTTTGAACTGGCCGCTTTTCAGCTTCGATGCCTTTTTGCTTGCCGGCGGCAGCGGCTGAAATTGCAGGATCCGCTCGCCGACCGCCAGACCGCACGCCTCTGCGACAGTGTCCTGGTAGATCTGGGCCGTCCGCGACTCAATGTGCTCGTACGGCAGCTGGCATTGCGAAGGAAGCGCCTCTTCCAGGGACAGCTTGCCAGACGTCGTCTGGCGCGAAGGAATAAATCTGTCTAGCAGTTCTGCTGTGTTCGTTCGACGGAGCTTCTTCGGCGACCCAGAATTGTCCTGGCTCGGGAACTTCAAGCTCTTGTCTGAGCGAGCATGGTTGGACATGGACCAGTCCGACAAGACGACATTGAAGTTGGGCGAGATGATCTTCTTGCCCTCGTAGATCGAGTTGCGGTTCTGGGAGAACAGATTAGGGCTGGCGTTGCTGAACACTGTTCGGTGTCCAGGGGTAGAAGGGGCCATAGGAAGAGATGGTGAAGAAATAGAGGGAGAGTTTTTTTGTTGATGAGTTTCCCGATCGGGGAGTGTAATGGGTGTAGGGCGGAGAAGGCTGTGCAATAAAAAAAGACTAACTAGCCGAAGAGGCTAGATCACGTGCCGTCTAACCACGTGATCTGGCAGATCGGCTGGATCAGCTTGGTTTCCCGATGCGCTGTCATTTTGGCAGGGTTGAAGCTGGCGAGATTGTCGTGGGGCGCTGCAAATTTGCTTGCCAATGGCCTGGCGCGTTGCTCTCAACCCCCGCTGAGGTCTCTGGGACCATCTCTCAGCTGGAGAAGCCCCCACATGGCGCCCTTTACCACCAACCTAGACCTTGGTGCCCGCGTTCCATGCATAAAATATGTGCTAAGCCACATGCTACATCAAAGAAGCAAGCGGGTGAAAATGAGGCGTCACCGACAACAATTGGTCGCTTGCAAGACGCTGCCTGAAATTGTCTATGTGCGTTTTTTTGCATGGTGTATTATTGTTGCACCAAGGGGCAATTTCACAAGCACCGTTCACCGAGTTTCAGGTAGCAGTATAAATAGATCGCTCCTTTGCCATTGATTACCAGTAATCATGGGATTTATCGATCAATTTAGGGACAAATTGGCGGACGAAAAGTTCAGAGATGAGGTCAAGGAGAAGGCCACCAACGCCTACAATAGCTACATGAACAAGGGAAGCAACAACTCCGGCAATTCTTATGGTTCGGGAAGAGAAGACAACTACGGATCTTCTGGCACTGACAACGACAACTACAAATCTGGAAGAGAAAACGACTATTCGTCCAATTCGTATGGATCGAACTCCAACCCTTACGGTTCGTCGAACGACGACGCGTACGGATCTGGCAGAAACAACAACGACGACGCGTATTACTCAGGCAGAAACAACTCTGACTCGTACGGATCTGGCAGAAATAACTCTGACTCGTACGGATTTGGCAGAGATAACTCGTACGGATCTGGCAAAGATAACTCTGACTACGGATCTGGCAGAAATAACTCTGACTCGTACGGATATGGCAAAGATAACTTTGACTCGTACGGATCTGGCAGAGATAATTCGGATTCGTATGGCTCAGGCAGAAACAGCTCCAACTCTTATGGCAGAAACAACTCGGATTCCTATGGCTCTGGCGGAAAGAACTCCGACTTCTATGGCTCCGGCAGAGACAGCTCCAACTCGTATGGCTCTTCCGACAGGAAGTCCGACTCCTACGGCTCTGGCAATTCCAACTCCTTTGGGTCTGGCGGAGGCTATGACTCTTTCAGATCTGACAGAAACGAGTCCTACGGTACTGGCAGAGACAATTCCAACCCCTACGGATCCAACAACGACTTTGGTGGCAGAGGCTCCGATTCGTACGGCTCTGGAAGAGACTCTTACGGTTCCAGAAACGATTATTAAATAAGTTAAATATTTTACTTGTTCCATAACTTTTTTAATGCTTCGAATGGCTGGGCCTATAGAAACTGCTATCAAACGCAAGCTCACCAGCGAGTTTTCTCCCAAATACCTTGCCATCGCCAATGACTCGCACAAACACGCCCACCACGCGGGTCTTCGCGGCGCTACGAACACCACCGAGTCGCATTTTCGCATAACCATCGTGAGCGACAAGTTTGCCGGAGTGCCGCTGCCGGCACGCCACCGGCTGGTGTACAAGGCACTGGACCACGAGCTGCAGAATGAGGGTGTCCACGCGCTGCAGCTCAAGACCAAGACCGAACCAGAGTGGGAGCGAGAACAGAATAAATGAATTATTATTATATAACCTACTCCTCTTGCAATAACTTGATGTAGTCCTCCTCAGAAAGCAGGTCGCCGTCCAGCTCGCCGACCTTCATCTTGACAATCCAGCCGTCTCCCATCGGGTCCTTGTTGACGAGCTCTGGGTTCTCCTCGAGCGCAGTATTCACCTCCACAATCTCGCCGTCCACGGGAGAGTACACTTCAGAGGCAGACTTGACACTTTCCACCGAGCCGATAACGTCGCCCTTGGAAACGGTTCCCCCCACGGAATCGTGTGGCAGCTCGATGTATGTGGTGTCGCCCAATGCGTCGGAGGCGTACTTGGTGATGCCCACGAAAGTGGTGCCGTCTGGGTGGTGGGATAACCATTCATGTTGATCGGTGAATTTCAGCACCACGGGGCCCGCAGAGTGCGTGAAAACGACCGACTTAGGGTTCAGCACGTTCGATTGGTGTCTCAGAAACAATCTTGGGGTAGATTTGACGAGTTGGCGAGACAAAGCGGAGATCATGGTTGGAGGAAGTGATGAGATTATCTAAACTATATTATATATGTTGCGCGAAAAATACGTGTCCAGAGTCACCAAGTCAATTTCCTGTACGCCCGGTCACCTGCCAGAAATCGATATTTTTGTGGAGCTCGCGAGACAGGCACGAGAGTGGAGGGATAATCTGCACGACTTTCGTGAAGAAGTCGAGCGCAAAGCGGTTGATGAAGAACATCTGTGACGCTCCCAGCTTCGGCTCCATCTGCACTGCCTCGTCGGGGGTGATTTTGGCGAGCGACACCTGCGGCACGGCGGACTGCTCGGCAGAGCCCTCGCCCTTGAGAATTCTCTCCAGCTGGGCGATTTCGGCAAACTCGTGGCCGAGACTCAACCCCCACTTGACCCCTTCGCCGATGGGCCGGCAGACGTTCGAGATGTCCGCGCTCTTGAGGATGATTGCGCACATCAGCTTCAGCTTCTCGGGGCGCTCTTTGTACTCCGCAATCCGGTCCATTTCCCCCACGTACACGTCGTGCTGCGCCATGTCGGTCGCCAAGATCGACCATCTCGCAATCTCCACGCACCGGTCGTCCTTGACGAAAAAGCATTTCATGATGTTGAGGTACTGGGCCAGATGGAATTTCTCCAGCGTCGACTCGTTGTTGAATATTTTGGCGATCGGCGTCTTGTAAGCAGCTAAAAACGCATTTGTGGTGCCCGGGTGTCCAATGTCATGCCCCACAGCGGCGAGTAACAACGCCAACCTCTCGTGGGTGTCGAATTGGAACTCGTACGCCGACTCCATGATGGTCTCCAGAAAATAGTTCGTGGCCTGCATCACGTCAATTGCATGGCGGAAGTTATGGAACGGATTGCCCTGTCTATAGTAGTCCCGAACGTAGAAGAAGAACAGCAGCACGCGGTTGTGGAACTCGGGTGTCTGGAAATCTGCCTTGTAGTCCTTGATGACATGCAAAATCATGAGATAGCCGCAGTACAACAGCTCGTCGTTGGTGAGCTCGAACGCGTGGAACTCCCAGTCGGCAATTTTCTTCTTGTAGTATGCATCGTCGTGTGGGATCTTCAGCAGCTCGATATACCGGATATCCGAGCTCAAGAGCCTTATATACTCCATCCCCGTCGGTATGTCCACACTGGCCTGCAACATGGTGGGCATGGTGTTGAGCTGTGGTATCTGGTCGTAGTCAGCCAATCCGACCCATGTCTGCACCCTCAGCAAACGGGTCCTGATCAGTACGTGGATCCTGTGTAAAGTGGGGACAAAATGCTCATGAAGCCTTGCCCCCACTTGGGCATCGCTCAAGGGCAGGCACTCCACGACGAGGTTCAGATGGTGGAACCGGTAGCTGAGCAGCTTTTGTTGTTGGGCAAACGGGAGTCTATCTAGCTCGCTGCCATCGCTGTGTTTGTCTGTGTTGATGATAAGCCCCACAAAGTGGTCGAGCTCGGCCTCGTCCACGTTCGGAATGCGCTCGAGCCCTTCAGGCCCCTTCGTGAATGTGTAGCTTGCGTATGTCGATAGGTAAATACATAGTGACGTGATATCGGGGAATGTAGTGAATCTTGTCCGTAGAGGATCAAACAGCCGAATTACAGAGTCTGGCAGAGGTGACTGCGTCGGGTCGACCACCAAAATCTCACCGCTCATGTTATTCGCAAGGTTGTGCAACAAGAGACTAATTTGCCATTAAAACTCGCCTATTTCGGATTCCGGAATTAGTCGCCGTTATCAAGCCAGTGCAGCAGGCGCTTAGTCAGATATCTGTCGGTATACTCTCAAGCGCTCGCAAACGTCGCGTGCCGTGTCTTGTTGTGCTGGTTTTGCGCTTGCTGTGGCCTAAGGTACTTTTCGCTATCAAGTTTTTCTCCCCAACATGTGCTACTGTCTGCGTCGTTTCTTTTTTTCCTCTGGAAGTGGGTCTATTGTTCGGCGTATTGTCACGGCGATTGCCGACCGTTGCTTTCGAAGCTTTTTGTGCGCGAATTTAGTGGCTCGGAATTTTCCAGGGAAAAACGGCTTCCAAAGACAATAAACGGTTTGGCGTAGCCCTAAAACCGCGGTGTACGGGAGTGCCCCTACTAAAGCCTCGTAATATCAATTCCTGGTAGCCAGACCAGCAAACTACATATTAGTCGTGTAAGTTCTCCTTGACAAACGCGAATGATTTGAGCAGCTTGTTGCGGGCGCCCACCGTGCTCACACCCAGTTCTGCGAGCTGCGCGTCGTTCAGCTCGATCATTTCGGGCCATTTCAGATGCTGCAGGTTGTCTGTGTATTTGTGCAACCTGAGCGTTTTCAGCCATGCCGGGATGTCTGCCAGCAGCGACTTGGACGCGATGTCCCTTGGCACCGGCGATTTTGGCGGCACCGGAGCGTGGGACGGCGATTTTGCGGCCGCCTTTGGCTGTGGCGAGTGGATCGAGTTTTTCGCCGGTGTCTCGAGCTTCGACGAGCCACGGGGAGCAGGAGGCAGCGAGCTCGACTGGTTCTGCGACGCGCGTCTCACTGCCCCGCGGCCTCTATCGTCCGAGCTGGCCACGACGCTGCTCCACGTTGGCGCTGACGAATTTGTCTGCTTGCTCCTGCTGGGGTCGATCTTGGAGCGGTGTGTAATGGTGTTCAACGAGTTGGACAGCTTGATGGCGTTCGAGCCGCCCAAGTCTGCCGAAGTGAGCCCGAATTGGCCGCTCCCGGTCGGCTCCATGAACTCCTTAGTGCGTCTCTGGAAGCCCGACGGATCCACGTCGGGCGAGAAGACGCGCAGTAGAGGCGCAGTCGACTGCGACTGGTGCTGCTTGGTCTGCGCGCCGAGCTGCGACGCGCGCTGGAACTGCCCGTTCAGCGGCGTCAGCGACAGATCCGAGTGCATCGCGCCCGCGCTGCGCGGCCGCATCACCGGGTCGCTGCCTATGACGTGCGACAGCGAGTTGCCCGTGCGCATCTGAGACGGCAGCTGGTGCATCGGCTTCGGCTGTGCGACCGGGTCCGAGGCCTGGTCGTCACTCAAGATCGAGTCCAGCGTCGCCGACTCCGAGTTCAGCGCAAGCAGTGGCGAAACAGGCCGCACTGGCGCCTGGTACAGGTTGTTGCTCGACAGCGGCGGCGAAAAAAGAATTCCGTGCTCGTTCTGCGTCCGGGTGGTGGTGTCGTTGACTTTGCTCTTGACATACTGCCACACCTCGTCCTTGATTTCGGCCAGAAACACGTCCATACACGTCTTCTGCTCTTCCGGGTTCAAGTGCTTCACCCAATTGGTGAACGTCTTCAAATCCTGGGTGAATCCTTGCAGAACAAGCTCGGTCTGGGGCTCAAAAGCCGGAACGTCGTTTTCGTTGCCGTAGCCGATGGACGAGTTGGGCCGGTCGATGAAGTAGCCGGACGAGCCGAAGCTGGTGCTGTGGACGGGCTCCAGCAATGGCGACCCGTCAACCGGATGGACGCTGCCAAGTGGGGGGATGGCGGCAGTAGTTGCTGAGGGTTCAAAAGCGTACCGCGAGGCCGGCGGCGAGAGCACGGCCATGCTGGTCGTCGGGGAGGTGGGGGAGAAGAGTAGCGAGCCCTGCTGCTGTGTGGAGGGCGAGTCACTGAGATCTTTATCCATTGGCGGATTGAGCCGAGCAGAACAAATTTTTGATATGTGGCAGAAAGGAATAAAATATACAATGTTTTTCGGGCCTTAAAATTGCAGCTAATTGCGCTCTGCCGGATAGCATGGCGCGCGGCCAGAAGCGGGGGGCACGAGGCAGAACGCGCACGGCACCGGCACTGTGAGCAGGTTGGCTGCTCTACCGCTCGTTTCCGCGATTACATAATCCACCGCCTAAGCTGCCCTGTCTCGAATGTTCGGCTCGGTGCTGTCTGGTGACGTGCAAAACATCTAGAAGAAACATCCTTGCACAGAAAAGTTAACATCTACGTTATGTCCAACCAGTCGGGTATTAACTGTAAGTGCAGGCCAGCCCCCTCCACGTACTAACTAGCGTAAGGCTCTGTGGAGCTTGTGGACGCGTTTAAGCGCTACGTTGCCGGTTCGGAGCGGGCATTTTTGATGTCCATTGAAGACGAGCAGGTGGTCCCCAAGGGCGTAGTTGCAGGTTCTGGCGACTTGAGACGGGACCTTGATCTGTTACAGCGCGAACTGGCCGAACAGGCGGTGTATTTGGTGGTGCGCAACGATGGCATTTCGGGCAAGTTCATATTTATCTCGTTTGTCTTGGACAACGCCCCGGTCAGAAGCAAGATGCTGTATGCCTCGACGAAAAACACGGTGATTAGACAGCTGGGGGTCGAATTTTTCCACCCAATTGTGTTTATTAACGACAAAGCCGAACTGAGTGGGGACGCGTATGAGACGTTGCGGGGCACGGACCGCGCGAAGCCGCTAAGCTCGAGCGAGGAGTCGCTGGCCAAGGTGAAGCAGATGGAGCTGCTAAGTGGGGGAGGTATCGAGAGACGCAAGCAGCAGCTGGTGGGCGCCGGCTCAAGCGCAGTGAAGATGGGCGTGGAAGGCGATCTTCTGGACAGTCTCAGGGGGCTGGAAATAGGCCAGACGTTGACGATCGTCATTGGCGGGGACGAGCAGTTCCGCGTCGACGGCACAGCCACGGCTACAGGGCTCGGCGACATTGGCTCCACAATCCCCACACATTCCCCCACGTATACGGTTGCCCGCTTTGGCAACGGGTACTACTTTGTCTACTGCTGTCCGTCGGGATCGAAAGTGCGCGACCGCATGGTGTACGCGTCGAGCAAACAGGGCCTGCTAAACGACCTGAAAAGCGGTGGCATTGACTTTATAAAAGTAGTGGAAGCGGGCGATCCAGAAGAAATCATCGCTGACGAGGGACCATTGCCGGCCCCTGCTGCCCCTGCTTTCCACAAGCCAAGAGGTCCAAGAAGAAGATAGAGGTATTTAGTTGTTCTGATCGGTCCAGAGAGTGTCCTTTGCTGACTCGGAGTTGTACTTGACGAGCCTTTTGCGCTTGCCCGGGTTTTCCGCAGCGCTGGCGGTGCGGGCGAGCCTTTTTTTGTTCTTTTTTGCCCCGTAGCTGCCCTTGAGCGTATTCATGTCTGTGAAGATGATCTGAAACTTGCCGGAGCCAGGCTCTGGCCGTCGGCGCGGTGGCGCCGCGGGTTTCTGGTCCTGGAAGATGCCGATTACGGGCTCCATGCTCGACGCCGACTTGACGAGCTGGCACGGCGCGCTCTTGAACTGCGACTTCGCCACCGGCGTCGGCGACATTTGCGGGGCGGGATTTTGTTTCTGTGCAGATGCAACAACGATCGTAGAGGGCGAGGACTGGTGGTGTTCCTTGAGAGGCGTTTTGAAGCTGCTCGGCGTGTTCGTCTTAGCACTCAGACGTCTCACGCTCGTGCTTTGCATCAGTTTCGGCGTGTGCGTGACCTCGTGCAGCGGCGTCTTGAAACTCGGCGTGTCCATGTTGGCAAACAGCGGGTGGTTTTCCTTGTTGTCGTTCTCGATCCCCAGCAGCGCATTGAGGTCGTACTGGTTCATGGTGGGCGTGTCGATGAAGAAGTCCGAAAGCTTCAGCGTCTTGTCGGGCGCAGGGGTGCGCATCTCGTGCGACTCAAAGTTGCCCGGCGACGACCCCGGCGCGCGCGTTCGCTCCATATTGGTCATGAACACCTTGTCGATGTAGGGCGTCCAGCCGGTGCCAGACACCTGCGACGTGGCGGTCGCCGGCGGCGGCGGCGGCTGCGCGCCGGCCTCTTCAAACAGCTGGTCGAACAGCTTCGACGGCGACGAGCTCAGATAATCGTGGCGGGACATGGTTTGGACAGCAAACAAGGCTCTGTTTATTGTTTCAAAGGAAAAATTAGGTAAACAAATAATTTGATCATGCTCCAAGCCACAGGAGGAGCGGGCCAGGTGAAAGAGCTGCGCCACACGCAGAAAAATAAATAAACAAATGCAGACGGACCCGGAATACACCGACTACACGCAAGAGACGGAAGAAGATGGCTCTGTGGGGGCCGACGAACGCGTAGGCCGCGGCAAAAAGTACATTCTCAACTCCAACTTCAACGAGCCGTCGCCCGAACGCAAGGAAACCGCCCCCACCGACTGGATGCCCGAGATCCTGCAGCACGAGCACTGGCCAGACACGCAGGACGCCTCCCAGGACCCCTACCTGTCGCTAGGCGAGACCAACACGCTGGTGCGTCGCGAGGGCGGCGACGAGGCCGCGTGGAGGAAGTACAAGGACACCCGGTTCAGAGCCGGGCTGCAGGGCTTGCCGACGGCGTCGTTGCCGCAGGACCCCCCCACGGTAGACACTTTTGGCCGCAGCGCAGAGCACTCGATCATCCCGTCGTCGCCGCTCAAGCTGTTCGGCAAACAGGACACGTACACAACGGAGCGGTTCAGAGACATGCTGAACAAAATCGACGGGGCGGACGGCGCGCGCGGCGACGGCGACGGGTCGCCTGCGTCGGCGCGGTCGTCGTCGCACGCGTCGTTGCAGCTGTTGCTGCGAAACTCGGAGGAACTGTTCAATAAGCTGAAAAACCGCACGCAGCCGGCACAGAACGAGGAGGAGAGCGACTACACAGACACGGATGCGGCCGAGTCGGCGGTGTTCGACTCGCCGACGCCGTCGCGGCCCGACATCACCGCGTCGCTCGAGCTGCTCAGACAGAAGCTCGACCTGAGCGTGTCCGGCGAGGTCGGCAAGACGATGTCTGTTCCCAAGATCAAAAACCGCAACGAGCGGCCGGGAATCAAGTTTATCCCCGGCGACGAGTTCAAGGGCAAGGTGTTCGACAAGCGGCTGAACAAGTTCGTCCCTGTCGAGGAGTACGTCCCGGACGGCGACGGCGACGGCGAGTCGATCGACGCGTTCAACGAGATCTCCGACCTCGACGACGAGATGTCGTTTCTGCAGGCCAAGTCGCGGCTCGTCGCGGCCATCACCGAGCAGTTCCCGTCGGACGACTGGCTGCGCCTCGACAAACTGTCTCTTGCCGCGCGCAGGCTCGACAAGCTGCGCGACCTCGACCGGTTCGTGCCGCACCTGCGCGTGCTCGACGCGAGCGACAACGAGCTCACGCACACAGAGGGTATTCCCAAGTCCATCCAGGTGCTCAGGGCCAGCGCGAACGCGTTTTCCAGCATGAGCATGTTCAATTTCGACAACTTGCAGGTTCTCGAGCTGCGCAACAACCGGCTCACAAACCTGCGTGGCCTAAAGCTGTACAACCTGAGCGTGCTGGACGCGTCGTACAACGCAATTGACAGCTTGCAGGGCCTCCAGAACCTCAAGATGCTCAAGACCCTCAAGCTGGCGGGCAATAATCTCTCCGGGAGTGTTGATTTCGCCGCCCTCGACATGTTGCAGGACCTCGACGTGGACGAGAACGGCATTACGGACATTTGCGGCCTCGACGCGCTGTCTGCGCTCACGTCGGTGTCTGCCAGCCGTAACAAACTCGCCGGTTTCCGCTGCGCCAACGGCTCTTTGCGCCGACTGTGCCTGAGCTACAACAACATCAAGGAGCTGGACCTGGGGCCCCTGACGGAGCTGCGTGTGCTGAAGGTCGACCGCAACCCGCTGGCCCGTCTCTCCGGGTTGCCCGACAAGCTTGTGCAGGTCTCCGCGAAATACCTCCAGTCGCACGCCAGCGACGACGTCCTTGTCGCGCCGCTCTACAGGCTGCAGAAACTGAACCTCTGCGGCAGTGTCTTTCCCGCAAAAGGCTCTCTTTCCAGCATCACGGTGCTGAATCTGTCCGCAATGAATCTGGAGACGGTGCCTGACCTCGCGAAGTGGTTCCCGATGCTGACCGACCTCGACCTCAACTTCAACAAAATACACTCGCTCTCGGGCCTCTCCGGACTGCGGTTTCTGCGCGAGCTCAAGCTGCTCAGCAACAGCGTCAAAGACCTCGCGTCGCTGGTGCCGCACACGCGCGCGTTCCGCAAGACGCTCAAGCTGCTGGACCTGCGCGTGAACCCGGCCACGCACGGGCTGTATCCGTACGTTTTCTACGACGACGAGCCGGACGACGAGTCTGCGGCCGAGATGACGCTGAACCTGAAGGACCACGAGGACATCGAGGCGTTCTCCGTGGAGTACACGAAGCTCTACGAAAAGGACGCGATGGAGAGCTGGACACAGAAGAACGCGGGCTATGTGCGGGAGATCGAGGAGTCGCGCGCGTTGGCAAGACGAACGTACGAGAGCACGCTGATTGGCTGGTTCGAGAATATCAACTATCTGGACGGGCTGTGGGTCAGCTACGAGAGACGCCAAAAGGAGCGCAGGCATCTGAGGTACGACTGACGATGCGGCAGAGGACAGGCCGCACGGCGTAGCCTTTAATATTTCTGTCACGTGGTCTCGCGTGTCCGTTTTCACTTGGTAAAATAAAATAATATTTTCCTCGATTTACCATGGCCTCCGCGCAAGACCTCGTCAAACAGCACAGGTTCCTGATGCTGTCCAAGTCGTGGTGTCCCGACTGCCACTACGCAATCGCCGTGCTCAAGAAGTACAAGGTGCTGGACAAAATTACGCTCGTGGAGCTGGACAAAATGCCTCCGAAAGAGGCGGCCGAGCTGGAGAAACAGTTCACCGCGCTTTCGGGCCGAAAATGGGTGCCTACGATATTCTTCAACGGCGCGGTGTTTGGAACAGAACAGACGCTGAAGGAGCTGGAATCTAGAGATTTGCTGCCGAGCGCATTTGAGAAGGCGGGTCTAAAATAATTCTCCACTCGTCGGAGAGACGGTTGTGCAAAATATTAGTAATAAATACTATTTATTGGATGCCCAGAGAGGGGATACCCGCGTAGTCCTCTTTGCCGAGGAGACATCGCTCGTACCCCGTGTAGACTGGGGTATGAAAGAAGGAGGGGGTGTGTCTGGCCGTCTACGGTTACCGCAATCGGCAATCGGTGCACTACGGAGGCGAGCCTGGCACCCAGATGGTTGCGACAGGCAGGGTGATCTTTCCCAAAGTGGGGTAAGGATCGTACTCCGGCGGGGGTGTTGTTGTGCGGCGCACGACCATACGTCACTCCGAGCGAGCAAGGGGACCAGCAACGGTGCGAGCAACGGTCGCAGCAACGGTCGCGGAGAGGCCAAGCGCGCGCTGTGCACAAACTCCGGCAGCCGGCGCTGCCGTGCTGGCGTCTGTAGCTGCGAGCAAGGCCATGTTGCTGGCGGCGGAGCCCGAGTGATCGCAGGCTCACCCCCTCTTCTGCACACCCTGCCTCAGCCTACCCCACTTCGTCAAGCTCCTGGCATTGGAGCAATTTCATTGGAGGTAGTGCCCTTGGACCGTTCAGCAGGTCATCTGGTGCAGAGCTGCATAAATTGAGGGGCCGCAGTATAAATACGCTGCCTCTCGCATTTCTTCCACCCTAGTACCCGTTTCTCATCATGCTCAGAACCTCTCTTAGATCGCTGGCCAAGCCAGCTTCCAGAGTTAGCCTAAGATACTACTCTTCGTACCCACTTTCCACCACCGTGACGCTGCCAAACGGAAAATCCTACGAGCAGCCTACCGGTCTGTTTATCAACAACGAGTTTGTTCCTTCCAAGCAGCACAAGACGTTTGAGGTGATCAACCCTGCCACGGAAGAGGAGATTTGCCACGTGTACGAGGCCAGAAAGGAGGACGTCGACGATGCCGTCGACGCCGCCGAGAAAGCCTTCAAGGGCGCCTGGAGCACCGCCGACCCTGCCATCCGGGGCAAGGCCCTGTGGAACCTGGCCGAGCTGCTCGAGGCACACAAGGACACGCTGGCCGCCATTGAGTCGCTGGACAACGGTAAGGCTCTGCAGCTGGCCCACGGCGACGTGGCGCTCGTGATCAACTACATCAGATCGTGCGCCGGCTGGGCTGACAAGCTGACCGGCCAGTACATCGATACGGGCGACACCCACCACACCTACACCAAGAGAGAGCCTATCGGCGTGTGTGGCCAGATCATCCCATGGAACTTCCCTCTCCTGATGTGGTCCTGGAAGGTCGGCCCTGCTCTGGCTGCCGGCAACACTGTGGTGCTGAAGACCGCCGAGAGCACGCCATTGTCCGCGCTGTACGCCTCGCAGCTGGTCAAGGAGGCCGGCATCCCGGCCGGTGTGGTCAACATCGTGTCTGGATTCGGCAAGATCACGGGAGACGCCATCGCCAGCCACCCTAGGATCAAGAAGGTTGCATTCACCGGCTCCACCGCTACCGGAAGACACATCATGAAGGTTGCTGCCGACTCGAACCTCAAGAAGGTGACGCTCGAGCTTGGAGGAAAGTCGGCCAACATCGTCTTTGACGACGCCGACGTCAAGACCGCCATCAACTCCCTCGTGGCCGGTATCTTCTACAACTCCGGAGAGGTGTGCTCTGCCGGTTCCAGAGTGTTTGTCCAGGAGGGTATCTACGAGGAGATCCTCCGGGAGTTCAAGGCCGCTGCAGAGACGCTCAAGGTGGGCGACCCATTCGACCTGACCACCTTCCAGGGCGCCCAGACCTCCCAGATGCAGCTGAACAAGATCCTCGGCTACGTCGACCTCACTCACCAGGAGGGCGGCAGACTCATCACCGGAGGTGAGAGACTGGGCAACAAGGGCTTCTTCGTCAAGCCAACTATCTTTGCCGACGTGACCCCAGACATGAGAGCATACAAGGAGGAGATCTTCGGACCATTTGCCGTGATCACGCCATTCAAGACGGCCGACGAGGTGATCGAGCTGGCCAACGACTCCGAGTACGGGCTCGCTGCCGGTGTGCACACCAAGTCCATCGACACCGCCACGTACGTCTCCAACAAGCTCGAGGCCGGCTCTGTCTGGATCAACACCTACAACGACTTCCACCAGATGGTGCCATTCGGAGGCTACAAGCAGTCCGGTATCGGCCGTGAGATGGGTGCCCAGGCCCTCGACAACTACACCCAGTGGAAGGCTGTGAGAATTGGTCTCCAGAAGCCAACCTAGGAGCTTTTAGCTAGTACTATGTAAGAATTCAGATTGATGCAAGTGTATTCGCCTCTGTGGCTTACGTCATGGCTTCGCTAGCGTTGTGTGTCCCGTTTGCGCAAAACATAAACAAATAAAAAATATCAAAATAAAAACAATAACGTCAACCCATCTCTTCCTTTCCCAGCATGTTTTCCACGTTGGTGGAGAATTTCCAAGAGAATGAGCCTCTTTTCGACCACCCGCTGCTCTTCCCTGCGCCTTCCGAGTCCGAGATCGCCCATTTCGAGGACGACAGGCTGCTCCAGGGCACCATCGAGTCTGCCGTTTGCCATCTCACGTCTCCCGGATCGATCGACTACCAGTTTCTCGTCGACTTCTTTCTGTCGTACAGGGAGTTCATAGAACCATTGCCGCTGCTTGAGCTGCTGCTCTGTCGACTCACGTGGGCCCTCAAGCGGGCCAACAACATTTCTCCCTTGGACGACAGTACACAAGCTCCGCCGATGGGGCAGGCGTTCTACTCGGCGATTTTGGTGCGCACGTTTGTGATGCTGCGCCACTGGCTGCTCAACCATTTTCCCGACTTTGTCAAGGACAGGCGTCTGAGACAGCTGCTGTGCGGGGCCCTCAACGAGATCGCTAAGCGGGACGAGTTCCGCGGCGAGCCCGATTCGCTGTGCACGAAGGTGATCGTCGACCTCAAGAAGCTGTATGCACGCATGTGCAGCACGTACTGGGACACCGGCGACGTGGTGGACGGTCTGGTTGATAAGCTGAATGCGCACGAGAACGCCCGCAACATGCGCGTGAGCGCGTTGGGCTTGCAGCAGCTCGGGGACAAGAACGTGCGCCGGTCGCAGATCTTGTCCGTGGTGGAAGGCAGCGGTGCCGACCCCGAGGAGACTGCAATTTTGCATCCCAAGGCGTCGCTCAACTGTCTGGTGAGCCAGTCGCCGGTGTACGACGAGATTTTGGGCGACGTCAAGGCCACGCCAATCCAGGGTGTACGTAAGCTGAGCCAGTTGATGGATCTGGAAGACAAGGAGAACGGGTTCTGTCTGAACGGCAAGGTAGACGTTTTCACAGAGAGCAAAGTGGACAGGATCACGCCGACGACGCCGCTGAAGAAACTGGTCGAGCCAAACAGCAAACCCACACACGGTCAGCGCAAGACACGAAAACTGTTTCATCTTTTCGGCAAGCCGGAAACAACGCGTGCGAAGACAGTGGTGAGCGAAATTCCATTGTTGCGGGCCGACAACGTCGACCTGCTCAGTTCCAGAGTTATTACCGAGTTCGGCTACTACCAGGAACAAGCACAATCGCGCCGATCGATTCCCAAGGCAGCGGCCGGGCACCCTGCACGTGACTCGTCAGAGCTGTTCAATGCTGAAGTTTACGACGAGTCACCGACAAAGGGGAAGGAAAAGCGCACGGCAGACGACACGGAGGAGATTCTCAACGCAATCAACCACTCGAACGGGTCGTTTAGGACGCCGTCGGTGAGCATCAACTGGTCATCGTTTGCGGACGGCACAGTGATGGAGGCAGACGTTGAGCGGGTTTTGGAGCACGAAGCACAGCCGAGCGAGACCTCGGCCAAGTCCTATTTGTCGTACGACTCAGATCTTTCATCGCATCACTCACGGCAGTCCAGTGGACACCACATGCTTCGAAAGAAGCTATCGTTTTCCAACCTGAGGAAACAGGAGCAAGAAACCGAAGAGAACGCAGAGGAGGCAGAAGAAAGAGATTCCGAGACGCCGCAGATAGACGATGTGTCCTCGCGGCCGACGCTCTACTTCTACGAACTCCCCTTCTTCGGCACCTCCCTTCCCCATGAGGACGACTTCGAGTACGAAACAGAAACTGCCTCCATCATACTGTCCGGGTCGCACAATCTTCCGTACCCTGGCATATCCCAGAACGCCATCGCCGAGCTGGCCGCCATTCCAGACGAAAAATACACCGACAACCCAGTTAACCACGCGTTGCTCAAGCTCAGAGGGCAACAGCCGGCTGCAGAGCCCCAGGTGGTGTACGGGCTAAACGACGAGCACTCGCAGGAATCGGATTCGAGCCTGGACGAGGTCAAGCTGGAGCGCAAGGTCCGCGACCTGTTTATCCAGCCCGCGGCCACCAAAACAGAGCAGAAGGCGCCTACGCCGTACCGATTCTCGGTAGCCCGGCGTTCTGTCGCTAGCCACGTTTCCAAATTCACGCTCCAGTCGCTGTCCAACACGCCCAGCAAGTCCCTTGCCGTTCCCTCCGGGCTGTCTGTCGAGGAGATCATGTACAAGGGCACTCACGTTCCGTTTATTCTGGGCTACGAGTCGCACGTGATCGCGAAGCAGCTGACCCTGATCGAGCGCGACTTTCTGCTCGAGATCGACTGGCACGAGCTGATTGACCTAAAATGGGATAAGCCGCTGAAACCCTACAACTCGTGGCTCCGACTGCTGTTTGACGAGCAGTCCAAGACAGGCCTGCGGCTAATTACGCTGCGGTTCAATCTGGCCACCAACTGGATCATCTCGGAGATTCTGCTGTGCAAGTCTGTCGCTCTGCGTGCGCTCACGCTATCCCGCTTTATTCACGTCGCCAACAACTGTCTCAAAATGCAAAACTATTCCACCGTGTACCAGATCGTGCTCGCTCTGAACTCGTCCATCGTCAAGAAACTAAAGTCTACATGGAAAACGATGGACGTGGGCGACTTGCTGCTGTTCAAGAAGCTCAAAGACCTGTGCAGTCCGGAGCGCAACTTCGCCAACTTCCGCGCCGAGCTACGCCAGATTCGTGCGTCCAAAGGCATCATCCCGTTCCTGGCGTTGGATTTGAGCGACCTCACAGTCAACAGCGAGCGGCCGACCACGACCGTCGAGGAATATGAACTGATCAACATCGACAAGTTCCGCGTCTCATGCGGTATCCTCAAGAACATGCTTCGCAACATCGAGTACTCGAAGATCTACAGTTTCCAGAAACACCCGCAGCTGCTGTCCAAGTGTCTGTATATTAGCTGTTTGAGCGAGGAGGAAATGGATTATTGTTACAGTCACCTAGAAGAGTGACTTTCAGTATATGCTAATTATCAGGAATGCTGCGCTCAGCAGCGCCAGAAGCAGCATGTTGTGCTGCACTCCGCGAGCGATGATTTCGCTCTTTTTCTGACCCTCCACAACGCGAAGGTCTGCGTCGAAATTGTCCAGTTTCGCCTTGCTGACGCCCAGTTCGCGCTTCACCACGTCGAGCCGCGAATTGAGGTCGTTCAGGTTGCTGAATATGTCGTTCGTGCCCAGCTGATCGATCTCCTGCTCCTTGGCCCCCAGCAGGTTCAGAAAGCCCGTCAGATTGTTCAGGTTCTCCTCCAGTTTCCTGTTCAGCTGCTCCAGGTCCTGCGCGCGGAAGTCCAGCTCCTTCAACAGGTTCATATTCTCTGCCTCGATGCTCTCGAGCCGCTTGTCGACGTTGTCTGCCACGAGCATCTCGAGCTCCTCGAACTTGGTCCGCACCTGCAGACACACGCTGGCGCGGCGTTTGCGGCTAATTTTCGAGATCGTTGTACCCAGCACCTTGGTAGGCGAGATCTGTTCGGAAACACTGGGCACAGACAGGTAATGTCGGTGGTCGGAGCCCTGGATATTGACGAGCGAGGCGGAGCCGTCGCTGCTTCTTTGTGGCGTGTTGTTGCCCGTGTCGCTGGGCGTGACGTACAGCGACGGCACCGACGGCGCCGACTGCTGCGACCCGGCAGATACGAAGCCGGGGCTGTCGACGACGATCTGGGGACGCGGAAGCATTGTACAGCGAATATAGAATGTATTTAATTTTTAGTCACCGGTACTTCAAAATGGCAGACCGTCGCGTATTAAATCAAAATATCGCCAGCTTTAAAACACATTTATTTTCCTTTGTTGGTAACAGCCGGTACGCCAATTAGTAAAGCGAGCCCGAACCGGCCCTGCCAATTTGAGAAAAGTCCCCGAGCTCTGGCTACTACCAAGAGAACACCATGGAGACCCATTTTGAGCCCGGAACGTAAGTACCAACCGGTCCCCAACGCTGACCTTTAGCCGCTGCTGGATCCCAGACGACAAGGTGGGATGGCTGGGTGTGGAAGTCACGGCCGTCAATAAGAAGGACGGCAAGTTTGCGATTGATCTCGTGAGTGAGGACGGCGCAAAAAAAGTCACCATCGAGACAGATAATCTGAATGAAAACAATACACAACTCCCACTGTTGAGAAACCAGGTCGAGACCGTGGAGGATCTGACCGAGCTGTCGCATCTGAATGAGCCGTCTGTGCTCAACGCCATCAAGCTCAGATACGCCCAGTTCAGCATCTACACGTACTCTGGTATCGTGCTGATCGCCATCAATCCTTTTCAGCGCAACGACGAACTGTACTCGCCGCACAGAATCCAGCGATACGCGTCCAAAACGAGGGGCGAGGAGGAGCCCCACCTCTTTGCCATCGCCGAAGACGCGTATCGCTGCATGAAAACGGACGGCCAGAACCAGTCGATTGTTGTCTCTGGAGAATCGGGGGCGGGAAAAACCGTGTCTGCCAAGTACATCATGCGGTACTTTGCGTCCGTCGACTCTGACCACAACGACCACGACATGTCCGACACAGAAAAACAGATTCTGGCCACGAACCCCATCATGGAAGCCTTTGGTAATGCCAAGACCACGAGAAACGACAACTCGTCCAGGTTCGGCAAATATCTCGAGATCCTGTTTGACGAGAACGTCGTCATCATCGGTGCCAGCATCAGAACGTACTTGCTGGAGCGCTCGCGTCTGGTTTTCCAGCCGGCTACCGAGCGAAACTATCATGTCTTCTACCAGATGGTCGAAGGTCTGGACGAGGCTTCCAAGAAAGAATTTGGACTTACATCTGTGGACGACTATTTCTATTTGAACCAGGGCAAAATGCCACGTATCGCTGGTGTAGACGATGCCAAAGAGTTCAAAGAGACTTGTGATTCGCTTGCTCTGGTCGGTATCTCGCAGGACAGAATGCACGAGGTGTTCAAGATCTTGTCTGCTTTGCTGCACATCGGAAACATTGAGATCACAAAGACAAGAAACGACGCCATTTTATCGCCGGATGAGCCGAACCTCGTCAAGGCCTGCGAGTTGCTTGGAATCGATGCCGCCGGGTTTGCCAAATGGATTGTCAGGAAACAGATTACCACGAGATCCGAGAAGATCGTGTCCAACTTGAACCATCAGCAGGCCACAGTGGCAAGAGACTCGGTCGCTAAATACATTTACTCGTCTCTTTTCGATTGGCTGGTCGACTATATCAATTCCGATTTGTGTCCGCCAGAACTGCAGAACAAAGTGAAATCGTTCATTGGAGTTTTAGATATTTATGGTTTCGAGCACTTCGATAAGAACTCCTTTGAGCAGTTCTGCATCAACTATGCCAATGAAAAGCTGCAACAGGAGTTCACTCAACATGTTTTCAAGCTGGAGCAAGAAGAGTACATCAAGGAGGAGATCGAGTGGTCATTCATAGAGTTTTCCGATAACCAGCCATGTATTGACGTAATCGAGAACAGGCTTGGTATATTGTCGTTGTTGGACGAAGAATCGAGATTGCCATCTGGAAGCGACCAGTCATGGATTGAGAAGATGTATCAGTCTCTCACCAAATCTCCTTACGACCAATCTTTTAAGAAGCCAAGGTTCGGAAACAATAAGTTCATCGTTAGTCACTATGCTTTGGATGTTACCTACGATTCGGAAGGATTTATTGAGAAAAATAGGGATACTGTTTCTGAAGGACAGCTGGAGATTTTGAGAGCCACAAAGAATACTTTGCTGGCTGAAGTTTTGGCAACGGTTGACAAACAAGCCGAAAGACTTGCTGCCGAGCAAGCTGCTACTGCTGCTGCTAAACCTGGCAAGAAAGTTGTCAAGAAGCCAACGCTTGGCTCCATCTTCAAGTCCTCTTTGATTGAGCTTATGAACACAATCAACTCCACTAACGTTCACTACATCAGATGTATCAAGCCTAACGAGGAGAAGAAGGCATGGGAATTTGACCCCTTGATGGTTTTGTCTCAATTGCGTGCCTGCGGTGTTTTGGAGACCATCAAGATTTCGTGCGCAGGATTCCCGTCCAAGGCAACTTATCCGGATTTTGCCAGATACTATTCAATTCTTTTACCGTCCAGCGAGAAAGAGAACTACTTGCGTGGCTCAGGCTCCGAGGAGGAAGCGATTGAGCTTACCAAGAAGATTTTGAAGAATACCATCAATGATGAGCAGAAATACCAGACAGGAAAGACCAAGATATTTTTCAAAGCAGGTATTCTTGCTTTATTGGAGAAGTACAGATCGAACAAGATCAAGCAGTCTGCCGTGACAATCCAGAAGCATTTGAAGGGCCACTACCAGCGCAAGGAATATTCCCAGGTGCGTAGATCGCTTCTGCAAACGCAATCTCTAGCTAGAGGATTTTTGGCTCGGCAACGAATCAGAAAGGAGATGGAGAACGATGCTTCCATTAAGATCCAATCTCTTATCAGAGGCTACTTTGTGCGGTCAAGATACAATTCTTCTAGAACGTCGCTTGTGGCATTGCAGGCTCTTATTAAAGGCCATCTCTATAGAAGCAAGCTGAGAGAGTCGCTACAAAAGGATGCGGCAACGTTGATTCAATCTGCCCTGAGAGGAAGAGCGGCCAGAAACCACTACAAGAAAACGCTGTGGGCTGTGGTCTTCGTTCAAAGCTGTTTCCGTCGCCAAGTTGCTCGTAAGGAGTACCTACGCTTGAGGGCTGAGGCAAAGTCGGTGAACAAGCTCCAGGAAGTGCAGTACAGTCTTGAAAACAAGGTCATAGAGCTGACACAGTCGTTGACGTCCAAGATCGACGATAACTCGAAACTAATGAGCGAGATCGAAAATCTCAGGTCGCAGGTTTCTGATTCCCAGAAACAACACGCCGAGTTCAAGTCGAGAGAGCTAGAGCTCAACCAGAAATACGATTCCACAGTTTCGAAACACACAGAGAGCTTGAGCGCCTTGACTGCAGAGCTTGAGAAGTACAAGCAGGATTACGAAGCAGCACGCCAGAAAGTCGACGAGCTCACGCAGCAGCAAGCACAGCTGAAGAAAGAGCTTGAAGAGAACATTGAACAACTCAAGGCTGCTCAGAAGGCACTTGACGATTCACAGAAAGAAAACGGCGACCTGAACAGTTCTATTTTGCAACTAAAACAAGAACTAGTGGAGTTGCAAAACCAGGTTTCCGTCGGTGCCCCGGCTCTTGCCAAATCGCGTACCAGAGGTGCTCCTGGATCACCAGGCCTGAATCACAAGAGTAACGGCAACTACGAGCCTCGTCCAGCGTCGATCGTGACCGCGACTTCGAATAAAGACGATATGGATCTCGAAGCCATCAACAGCGAGCTGTGGTCTCTGCTGCGCAACTCCCAGGCCTTGCACAAAGAGACTGTCGATGGTTTGCTGAGGGGAGTCAGACTGCCGTCTGCTGCCGTGGCCTCTGAGCTCACGCGCAAGGAAGTTCTTTTCCCAGCACGGATCATCATCATTATTTTGAGCGATATGTGGCGTCTTGGTCTTACTTCTGAGAGCGAGGCGTTTCTTGGCGAAGTTCTAGGCGTGATACAGAGCATCGTGAGCGGACTCAAGGACGACGACGTGATCAAGCACGGTGCCTTCTGGCTGACCAACACCCACGAGCTATACTCGTTTGTTGCCTATGCGCAGTCCACTATCCTGGCGAACGACTCCATCAGCAAAGACATGAGTGACTCGGAGTACGACGAGTACCTGAAGCTGGTTGCAGTTGTGAGAGAAGATTTCGAATCGCTGTCGTACAACATCTACAACATGTGGATGAAGAAGTTGCAGAAGGACCTTGAGAAGAAGTGCATTTCTGCTGTGGTTTTGGCACAGGCCCTGCCCGGGTTCCTTGCTCCGGAGTCGTCGCCGTTTTTGAGCAAGATGTTCCAGAACAACCAGCAGTACAAGATGGACGACATCCTGACGTTCTTCAACAACGTGTACTGGGCGATGAAGGCCTATTTCATCGAGCCTCGCGTGATGAACGAGGTGCTGATCGAGCTGTTGAAGTTTGTGGACGCTGTGTGTTTCAACGACCTGATCATGAGACGGAACTTCCTGTCGTGGAAGCGTGGTCTCCAGCTGAACTACAACGTGACGCGTCTGGAGGAGTGGTGCAACGGCCACCAGATTCCGGACGGGTCGACGTATCTGTCGCATCTGCTGCAGGTTTCCAAGCTGCTACAATTGCGTAAGAACTCGCCCGAGGACATCGACATAATATTCGAGATCTGCCACTCGCTGAAGCCCGTGCAGGTGCAGAAGCTGATTGCGCAGTATGCGGTGGCCGACTACGAGGTTCCGATCGGTCCCGCTGTGACGACGTACCTGGCCGAGAAGGTGAAGAGCGACACGTCCGAGGGCGCGACCGATTTCTTCGAGCCGCTGAACCCTGATGGCCGTTTCAACGACCCATTCAGAGACGTGGAGCTGCGGCCGTTCCACCGCGTCGAGGCGTACGTTCCTGCGTGGCTGAACATTCCTGTGATCAAGCGTATCATCGAGCTGGTGACGCGGAACGCCACGGCGCAGGAGGCTGCCGCGGAGTAGATAGAAGTAACGTGTTAAGGCGTGTTAAATAGTCTAATTACTGAAGTGGACGGCGATAGGCACAACGATGACCACCAGGAGAATGACAATCACCAGAGCGAGACACAGCTTGAGCTTGAGGTTCTTTTTCCACATGTCTTTTCTGACCTGGTTGGCGGATCTGTTGAACAGTTTGGCGTTTGTGCTGAGGTCGTTTGCGCGGGTGTCGATGTCCTCCAGCACCTCTCCTCTCTGGTTGATGGCCTCGATGTTGTTTCTCATGATTCCGGCCGTTTCCTGGAGCGTGTTCTGCAGATTGTGCAAGTTCTGGTTCGACGGCTGCGCGTTCTGCTCCTTTTGCACGTCGTCATTGAAGGGGTTGTAAGGGTCGTAAGCCTGGGCGCCGGACATTTTTGAAGGCGAAGTAAAGACAAATAAATAAATATTTTAATTTCGAGCCTCTGGTTTGCGGTGTGGCTAATAAAAGTTTACCTCATGGGCAGCATCTTTCTTCCGCACCTGCGCACCGGCTGGCACGTCGACCAGGCCATCTTGTCGGAGGACGACCGGCTCGTGGTGATCCGTTTTGGCCGCGACGCCGACCGCGAGTGCATGCTGATGGACGAGATGCTGTACAGCATCTCTGCGAAGGTGAGCCAGTTCGCCGTGGTGTACCTGTGCGACATCGACGAGGTCCCGGACTTCAACGAGATGTACGAGCTGTACGACCCGATGACGGTGATGTTTTTCTACCGCAACAAGCACATGATGTGCGACTTTGGCACGGGCAACAACAACAAGCTCAACTTTATGGTTGGCGACAAGCAGGAGCTGATCGACATCATCGAGACGATCTACCGGGGCGCCGTCAAGGGCAAGGGACTCGTGGTGAGCCCGAAGGATTACAGCTACACGGGGCGCGGCAGGATGTAGTAGCAAATTCGGGGCTGTATTTTTATAGAGGAAGCCGAAATAAATATTTTTATTTATTATGGCCTCTCAGAACTATCCGTCGTCGGCAGACTTGCCGCTCGAAGAGTAAGTATTCGCCCGTTGGTCTAACGTCAGCATGACGCCCTTTGAGAAGATCATCTACCGCTCCAAGCAGCAGCCGCTTGTGCCGCTCGGGTGTTTGGGGACGTGTGTTGCTGTTGCCATGGCCGCAAAAGGCGTCCGCACAGGCAACGCGCGGAGCGCACAGAAGTGGTTCAGGTGGCGTGTGGGGCTGCAGGGCCTGACGATTGTGGCGTTGCTCGCAGGCTCGATCTACTTTGACAAGACGTTCAGGGAGGGCAAGACGGAGCAGGAGCTTGCTATCGAGAAGGCCCGGATGAGAGAGAAGCTCTGGATCGAGGAGCTGGAGCGCCGCGACGAGGAGATGAAGGAGCGCCAGAGACGCGCAGAGCTGGCCAGGAAGCGCAAGGAGGACGCCGGGGCCTCCAGGAACGACTAGCGTAGCACATAATTGTTTTTCGGACATGTATATATTTTTTTCTGATTTTCTCCATGTTCCGACGATTAGTGTCCACCGCGTCGTCGACGTCGGTGTCGAACCTTGCCATCGCGACTAAACAGCAGCTGTACATGATCGACGCGAGCTCGCCCGGGTCTGTGTTTTTCCTCCCGCACGGCACCAGAATATTCAACAGGCTCGTGCAGTTCATGAAGATCCAGCAGGAGAAGCACGGCTTCACCGAGGTTATCTCGCCGCTCATGTATAAAAAAGATCTCTGGGAGACTTCTGGCCACTGGGACAATTACGCCGAGGACATGTTCCGCGTCGAGAGCAATTCGGGCTCCAACAAACTCGAAGCCGTGTACGGACTCAAGCCCATGAACTGTCCGGGCCACTGTGTGATATTTGGCCGTTTTGCCCGCTCCCACCACGAGCTGCCCATCCGGCTGTCCGACTGGTCCAGCCTCCACAGGAACGAGCCCAGCGGAGCGCTCACAGGCCTCACCAGAGTAAGACGGTTCCACCAGGACGACGGCCACATTTTCTGCTCCAAGTCGCAGGTGGGCGCCGAGATCGGCAAGACGCTGCAGCTCATCCGGCTGTGCTACTCTGTGTTTGGGTTCCACAAGTACCGGATGATGCTTTCGACGAGACCGGAAACGCATATCGGCACGGTGGAGGAATGGGACGAGGCAGAGAGCGAGCTGCAAAAGGCGCTCGATGCGTACGCGGGACCGGAAAACTGGGCTGTCCGCGACAAGGACGGCGCGTTCTATGGGCCCAAGATCGACGTTCTCGTCACAGACCGCACAGGGAAGGAACACCAGGCTGCCACCGTGCAGCTGGACTTCCAGCTGCCGCAGCGGTTCCGGCTCGAGTACCAGGGCGAGCACGGGCCGGAAACGCCCATCATGGTGCACCGGGCCGTGTTCGGGTCTGTCGAACGGTTCATGGCGCTGCTCATGGACGAGTACCAGGGGAAATGGCCATTTTGGCTGTCTCCTCGCCAGGCCGTGATTATTCCTGTGAACGAGACACATCTGGAGTACTCGCGCACGATCCAGGAAAAGCTAGCCGGCCAACAGGGCCTCGACGTTGCCTGTTCCCTGCGGGACGCCAGCTACTACGTGGATGTGGACTCGCGGGCCGAGACCGTCGGGCTGCGGACCAAGGACGCCATCCAGAAGGGCTACAACTACATCCTTCTGGTGGGCGACCGCGAGGTGCAGAGCGGAAAAATCGCGGTGCGCTCGCGAGACAGCCGCAAGGTGCAGAGCATGGACATAGACGAGCTCCAGACGCTTTTCGCAGACCTGGAGAAATCTTATAAATAGCTAGCTGGATTATCTATTTTAGCATTTTCTTGGCGAGCTGCACCACCTCCTTCGATATGGCCGGGAGCGGCTCCTGGTCGAAATTGATGCTGATTTGCGGAGTGCCGCTGTTGATGACGCTCGAGTCGATCAGGTTCTGCGGGATGAAGTCGCCGTGCTGCTCTAGAAACTGCATCCTTTTCTCGTAGTCTTTCTTCACTATGCTGTCGATGTTGCTCTTGAAACTGTCTATGGCCGACGAAATGTGCTCGTTCAAGCGCGTGCGACGGTCCAGCTCTAGTATAAGCGAGTAGTACGACCGCACAAACTGCTGGAAGTCGCCATTGTACTGCACAAGCTCTTCCTGGTGCGTCTGTGCAATCTCCAGTCTCCGGCTAACCTCGGTGCTGATTTCAGAAAACTCCGTGAGCTGCACCCTCAGCTTCGACTCGCCGTACTCCTGCATGTCGCGGACGTAGGTTTCCACACGCTGGAAGTAGTCCTCGAAAATATCCAGTATTTTTATCACTTCCTTGCAATTTTTCTTGATTATTTCTGCGTTGCTGGTTAGCGACCTTTGCACCTCCGGAAGCTCCTCGACATCGTTCCGAAGAACAGAGACCAGCTCGTCCTTTTCGTCCTGAGGAACCTCCGGGTCCCCGAGAATTGCCTCTCCCTTTTCGCATTGGTCGTAATGGTTATTGAAACTGGTCAGAATCGCGACCATGTCGTGCTCCAGCTCGGTGTTGATCTCCAAAAGCTTCGAAGTGGGGTCAATTGAGCTCGACTGGGCGTCCCCCAGCCTCATATCTCGGAACTTGCTGTCCAGAGCATTCAGCTCGTTGTTGAGGTGGTCCAGGTCAGAGGTGAGTCTTATCAGCAGAGCGTCGGTTCTGTTGCCCTTGATGAGACTCTGAATGTCTCTCAAATTCTGCGACACGCCGTTGAACAGCTCCTCCACACCAGACTCGCTGATATACTCGTACAGTGTCGTTTGGCCATCAAACACCACAACGGTGTTTTTGAGGGTATCTATGGTCCGATGCAGTCTGTCGACGTCCTTCAGCAGCTGGCTCTGTAAAGCGGCCCTCCTGTCCATGACTCCGTTCAGGTTCATCACCAACGAGTCTCGGATAATCCCGAGCAGCCGCAGCTGTTGTTTCAGAGCATCCAGATAGTATATCAGCTTGGGTATTTTCATGTCCCGTCGCCGCAGTTTTTCGTCCGTGGACGTTATGTATGTGTTTGCGTCGTTGCAGACTTGCTCTGCATGTGCCAGATTCGCGCGAGCGTCTGCCACCCATTGCGCAATGGGGATAGCCATTTAAAAATGAGAGAAATTAAATTGTATTGACTTTATTATTCTCAAGACAAAAAACACCGGAAACCGGAAACGAAAGAAAACCAGTATCCTCTACTCGCTGTCGGTTCCCCACTCTCTGTACGTGGTTTCCTCCAAGCTTCCAAAAACGTCACCTAGATAGTTGTCTGGAGCGTAGACAGTGCCGTTCTTGTAGGTATCCCAGTCGGAAACGACGTCCTCGATGAAGGCCTTTCCTGCAACCAAAAGATTCTGGACTGCAACATAACTGCCACCCTGAGACACCTCGGTGAAGAAGTAGGTGGTCTCGTTGTCGTAGTAGTCAGCGTAGGTGAAGTCGGAGGCAGATCTCATGATGACGATTCTGCTGAAGTCCACCAGGCCGTACTGAGCAGCTCTCATGAGGGCCTCCAGGGTGGCATTGTCCTCCTGCTGCGTGGTGCAGTAGGTGGCAGTTCCGTTGGTGATGAGGTCGGTGTAGTTGCTGAAAGCTTCGTCAAAGTCTGATCCAAACCAGTAGGTATCAGCGGTCAGGGTATCACAAGCAATAGCTTTAGGGGTTCTGTTAGCTGGGGCGTAGTCGTAAAGAGCTCTAAACTCCGCGTTTCCGGCCGTTCCATTGAACAGATCGGTTTTCTGTGCCAGCTTCAAAGCACGGTCTCTCAGCGCCTCGTTGACCTCGAAAATCTCGGTTCCGTACCACTGGGCTGGGTATTGGGTGGAGTTGGTGGTACCGTACGAGAAGTAGCCGGTGGTCCAGTTGGAAGGCATCTGACGAGCATCGACTTCGTACTCCAGGATCTGGACCGCGAACCGAGCAAAGGTCACGTCTCCAATGGTTCCCTGGCGCGGAGAGATTCCTGCGATACCGGCAACCAGGAAGTAGGTGTCTGCCAGGTCAAAAAGCGGGTTCAGGGCCAGGGCGGTCATCGTGGAGGCAGCATTGATTTCACCCTCGCCGGTGATGACCTCGCAGATAGAATAATTGCGGTTGCAATGGACTTCCGGGTAGATTGGCGACATTCCAGGGATTGTCACGTTGTGCACAAGATCGAAACCCTCCAGGAAAGGCTCGGCCTCGTAGTCAAACATGTTGACAATCATAACTTTTGGCTTGTACGTCTCCAGCTCGTCGTAGACGGTCTCATTGAGACCGGCGGTCTTGACTGGATAGAAGGAGGAAGTGGAGGCCGTAGGGTGGGCACAGCTCACTCCAGCAAAAGCGAAGGACAGCAGAGCAGCGAACTTCATACGAGAGAATTGAAAAACTTGGGTTGTTCGACGTTGCTACTTGCAACGCTTATAAATAATTTCGGGAGCTGCAGTGTTTCTACCTAACTCAGTAATCTGAGCCAATCCGTGCACTCCGCTACCTGTCTCGTGCGAGAAATCTGTTGACCGATTGATTCGTCTGTTGACGCTAAATCAAACATAACAATAGATAAAATGCGGCACCATGCACACTACTTACCTCTATCTCTCTGAATTCAGAAAGTCGACCAAATAGGACGCCAATTTTTCCTTAATGAGGTATCCTTGGCAAAATCGCTTTTTCCGCGACAACCCTACACACGAAAAATTTTTACCTTTGTCTCGGCCTGGAGAATGAGTAAAATAAAAAACAAAGTCGACATTCTCCCAAACAAAAGGCCTATTATTTTAATCTCAAGCCACAACTTGTCCCAGAACTGACCAGGTTTCGACAATAGCAATTACCAGTTTTACGTCGTCGCGCACTCCGGCTTTCCGTATCTCTGTCAGTCGTTAAAGGTGCCCGTTTATATCTGCAATGTCCGCCACCGTTGAATCGTCGATTAAACCATCGATGGCCGAGAGACGTCCATCGATGGCCGAGCGCAGACCGTCGGTGCAAACAGGAAGACGGCCCTCTGTGATTCCGCATCTAGCCGGGATCGAGGATCCTGTGCTTCCAACAATCCCGGACCAGTGCGACGTGCTGATCTGTGGAACAGGACTCGTCGAGTCTATTCTCGCCGCAGCGCTCGCTTGGCAGGGGTCCAACGTCCTTCATGTCGACTCCAACCCTTATTATGGCGACACCTCGTCCACCCTCACGATCGAGCAAATCAAGGCTTGGTGTGCAAGCGTCAACCGCAACACTCCGGGCTTCCAGGGCTTCTCCAAGGCGCTCCTCTACATTCCGCGTCCCGACCAATTGAACAGCAGAGACTACAGCATTGACCTGACTCCACGGATCATGTTTGTCAAGTCCGATCTACTCTCTCTGCTCATCAAGTCCAGAGTCTACAGATATCTCGAGTTCCAGTCCATCAGCAACTTCCACACTTTCGAGAACGATTCTTTCGGAAAGATGTCGTCCTCAAAGGAGGAGATCTTCACAGACCAGTCGTTGTCGTTGGCAACCAAGAGACAACTGATGAAATTCATGAAATTTGTCTTGGAATCAGAGAGCGCTCAGATTGCCAAGGACCTGGAACACTATAAATCAACGCCATTCACCGAATTCATCAAGGAAAAATACAAGCTGACGCCTGCGCAGATCAACGAACTATGTTATACGCTAGGCCTGTCTCCTACGCCCAATATTCTCACTATAGAAGGTGTCTCCAGAATCAGGAGGTATCTGTCGTCATTCGACGTGTACGGCACGTTCCCCGTGCTGTATTCCAAATTCGGAGGACCCGGAGAACTTTCTCAGGGTTTCTGTCGATCTGCTGCTGTGGCAGGTGCAACTTACAAGCTGGACTCGCAATTGCAATCCTATGACAGCAACAACAAGATCGCCACGTTTACGGATGGCAGCAAAGTGAAAGTCACAGAACGACTGGTTTGCTCTCCATCGCAGGCCCCTGAAAATGCACAGAACGTCCCAGAAAAGAAGTATGAGGTGACAAGGCTGATCACCATTGTCAAGAAATCTTGCAAGGAGTGGTTCTTCGAGGGAGAGTCTGCAGCTGTGGTGGTTTTCCCTCCAGAAACGCTTCCTTCCAACAACGTGTACCCGGTGCAGGTGATAATCATGGGGTCGGGATCTGGATGTTGTCCTCAGGGTCAGTGCATATGGTACTTGTCGACTGTCGAGAAGGGCGAAAAAGCCAGACGCGACTTGGAAGAAGCGTTGAGCAAGCTAGAGGAAAGCATATTGCGAGAATCGGAAGACAGCGGATTCGATGTGGAGCTGACGGACGAAGATGTGGTTTCGAGACCAGATGGAAGCATCTCGGTCATTAACTCTGTCAAATTGGGTAAATCGTTTAAGGAGTTTGTTCCGCAAGAGAAACTGACATATTTGTTCAAGCTGATGTTCACTCAATACACTTCTGTGGAGCCATTTGGAGTCGTGAACGAGAACATTTTCAAGAAGACCTTGAAAGAAGGCACAGAGAACAGCGTTGACTATCAGGTTCTCTACTCGAACATGCCTTCTGCCGAAATCTCATACGACGGAATCGTCACGGAAGCCAAGTTGTTGTACAGCACCATTGTTGGCTCCGACGACGACTTTTTCGACGTCGACTTTGAGGACGACGAGGAAGACACGCTAGCGCGAAACGATTCTGCGATCGTGGACGACGACGACGAATTCAAAGACGAGATGGATTTTGAACTATAGGTCACCGGATGGCCACTCCTGTGTATTAGGAACTTTTAATGTAATGTGCAGTCGATATAACTAATTAGTACAACATCATATTTACTGCTGAGAGAAGTACTCCAAAAGGACGTTTCTCTCCTCAGAGTCAGCACCCCAGTTCTTGATGACAACACAAGAAGCACCAACAACCTTTCTGGCGTTACCGTCTCTGTCCAAAGCACAGAGACCGGCCCACTCACCGAGTTGCTTAGCGTCGGAAACCTTGATCAAAGGAATCTTCTCTTCTGGCTCATTGCACAAAGCCTCAACCAGAGAGATGATCTTGGCCTCTGTGACAGAGTCACACAAGACGCACAGTTGAGCCTCACCTCTAGCCAAAGCCTTGATGGCCTCTCTGAGACCTCTGGCAAGGCCATCGTGAACCAAAGCGGTTCTCAGGACCTTTTGCAGGCAGTCCTCGATGGACACGGAAGAGGACTCTTCAACAACAACTTCTTCTTCGATTTGGACTTGTTCTTCGACGTCAGACATTATAATAACTTCTTCCTCAGATGAGATCTGGTCAGTTTACAGAGAGAAAAGGTTTTTGAAAAAATTAGCAAAAAATCGGGGGTTGAAAAAAACACGCACGTGACAAGCAGACCGGGTTTGCTAGACCTCTAGATAAATAGTGGAATCTCGACTGCTCCACCAACCGTCTGTAGTCTGTCCGCTTTGTCCGACTTATTGTTCTTGCGGCCCTCGAGCTTTCGTTTCTTTGTCTGCTTTCCTTTGTTTTCCTTTGGAATTGGTTCTGGCGCGGGACTGTGTCCCAGCACCGACTGAGCCAGTTCTTTGGTGATTTGCAGATCCACTTGCTCTCCCGCGGAGCTTGGGGCTGCTGATAACGTGGTGACGGACTGGAAGTAGTCATCGATGGTCGTAAGCTGGCCGTTCCCAGCAATCTTGATAATCTTGACGTTTTCGTCCTCTCGTATCATCTGTTCGACAAATTGGTTATTGTAGCCGTGTTTTGCGCGCTCGTACTCGGCTTCTTCGTTTGCAAGCGACTCTAGCGTGATGAACTCAATGCTCGTTCCAAAAAAGAGGTTCTTCCCGTCGCTGGATGATAAGTTAGATCCATTCAAGCTGGAAGAGCCTAGCAAAAGAGACACGGATGTAAGACCGGCGAGATCTTTCCGGATCTTGATGGATTTTGACAACCTTATCGCTCTCAGGATCTTGGCAAAGTAGTTGAAGTTATAGAAGGAGGAGATCGTCGTGGAAGAGACGACCATATGACTCTGCTCCTCATTGACGAGCTCCGGCTTGTATAATTGCATATCTTTCAAAAACGGCTTTCTTGAAGGAAGTACCAGCTTGGAATACCCTATCGATGCATCTCCAGATTTGGAAATCAAGACAAGTTTCCTTTGATGTTCCGACTGCATGTTGGAGCAGTAAAGAATCAGTTCCTCGGTACCTAAATCCTTCATGTCTTTTAGAGCGTCGTAGACCAGAGACGATTGCAGGGTAAGTTCCATAACCTTTTGGGACGAGTCAAGCTGAAAATAAGTAGATCCCGTTTGAGAGTCTGTAATTTCAGACTCGAAATCGGCGGGATCAATAAATAGAGTCGTCAACTCGCAGCGCTCGACGATGAAGTCGTCCTCGAAGGTGAGTATGAACGGAGAACCATCGCCCTTGTAGCTCAAAATACATTTCGTGCGCAGTTCGGGATTATCTTTGTCGCCCGGGATATGAATATTGATTGTCTCGATCAGAGATTTGAGATCGAGATGGACAGAAACGCTCTGCCTCAAGTCTGGAGATTCAGCGTCGTCGTCGGTGGCGCTTTCTTCTTCGTCTGAGAGTAATATGCGCTCTTTTTTGACATGGATCGGATAAAACTGGAAACTGCTGAAAAGTCGCTTGTCTAAGGTGAGATACACTTTGCAGATATTATTGTCGACGACGCTGAAACAGAGCCCGCTTTGCGTGATGTTCAGTAAACAGCTTCCTCCAAAAGGCAATATCGACGAGATCAGCTGGTAGATGGGCACGATATTGCTTGTGGAAGCAGTAAACTGGATTCTTTCGAGGGGCATACAAAAAATGCAAAAAATACAAAAAACGCGTGGGTATAAATTTATCTCAAATTAAATAGTATCTAGACTATTAACTCTGGCCAGAGACGAAATAGAAAAAGGTTCAGCACTTAGGTAGCAACTCACAGAATTGTCCTGAATGGGCAAGCTCATTGGTTAGAGCAGCCTTGGGGCTCTTACTTAGCTGATGGAGCAAGTGAAGTGCCAGGCAGCATTGTTGTAGGCAAAAAACCCGTAGTCAGCGTCATCGTCCTGTTCTTGTCTCTGAGCAGTGTTCATGGAAGCTTGCATTTTGAAGTTGTTGATGGTGGTGGTCTTTGGGAGGCAGAGCACCCGTATTTATAGACCGGGCGGGACGACCACAGGACGGACCTAGGTCGAGTGTTTACCTTTGGCAGTTTGAGATGCAACGAACCTGTCGTCTCCAACTTGCTGAAGGTGGCTGCTGAAGCAACTAGCTGGCCATTGAGCTTCCGAAATGGGTAATTAAATGTAATTAGTATTTGGCAACCAAAACGTTATCTGGAAAATTGCCGTTACGTGACATAATCCGGGGGGATATTAAAAGGCCCAAAAGAGAAATTTTTGTTCCGTTCAAAACAAAGTTCCGAAATTTTGCTTCGGCTCCCGGCTCCTATTGGCCGCTACACTCATGCCGGCCGCTACAGCCACGATGCCACTTTACCCAATCCGGATATAGTTGCAATGTGCACTTTGGCTCTAATTCGCCTTTTATCGCATATGTGTGTATCGTATCGTAATAGTATATATAATATTAAGGTCGGAGTGCATTATAATAAGCAGTGGTCTCACAGTCCGCGCAAACAAGCAAACATGCCGTGTATACTAGAATGCAAAACTCTAGGATGCGAAAGCCTCCCAGGCTCCATTTATCATTATTGGTTTTCGTCATAATATTATATTAGGCAGGGACCAAGGTTCAGTTCTTGATGGAGGCGACTTGCAAGGCCTGCTCCAGGCCCTCGAGGTTAATTAATTTCTGGGCTAGCGCGGCACAGCTGTAAAACAGCGCACCGAGCCCGTAAGTAAAGATGAACGATAGGAACAAGATGGTGACAAAGGTGAATGCAGCCTCAGTTGAGGTCATGACATAAAAAGGGAGACTATAGTAAACCAAGCCATGGATTTTTTCGACATAGTGGGAGACTTTGAAGCTGAGAGATTGTTCCATGGTGATGAGACTAGAAGGCGAAGGAGGTTTTTTCACTGAGGAAAAAGTGCGAATATGTTAGCTATTTTTATTTGGTTGGAACCGGATAGCCCGGGGACAGAAGTTAGAAATATGGCTTCCAGAAAACTATGGAAAAAATTTTAACAATCAATTTACGTCATCTGTGCATCGATCAGGGCCCAGTTCTTTTTGACTTAAAAAGTATCTATTGTGCAACGTTTACTATAGTCTGTAGTGTTTGTAGTTGTTCGTTGGTTAGGTGCGCAGTCATTTTTGTGTATTTTTCCGCATCACCTTGTACCTGCGTGAAACTGTCTTTGAATGCCCGGAACACATTGACGTTGTCCAACACAGTGTTCGAAAACGGATCTTCCTCGTACTCATCGTCTTCCGCATGCAGCAGATCCGGGTCGCGGCCCATATTCTGCAGAACGTAGTCGGCGATGTCGTCGTCGTCCACATCCTCTGCTTCATCGTTGAACACCGGCTGCGCAAACTCGTTTTCGACGAGTTGCTCGTCGGCGTTGAAGTCGGCACGCTTCTTTTGCAAATCATTGATGGCTGCCGGAAGTTTGGCAAAGTGATCTGCCAGAGTGCTTCCGGCAGCGGAAATCAACTCTTCCAACTGCAGCTGTTTTAACGCCTCGTAGTCCACGCTCAACAGCGAAAGAAGCCCCAGCACGCTCAGCTTTAGATCGAACACGCGTTTCATCGAGGGACCCAGCTTGAACCAAGTCGTCATAAAAGACTCCAGGGCGTGGCATTCCATCAGAACTTGCAAACATGCCTTTGGATGTACCACGAGCACTGCAATCACCACTCCCAGGGCTATAATTTTCAGACTGTCGGAAGAATGAGCAGTATCCTCGTGCGATAACACCCCAAGAGTAGATCGCACCAGTTGCGGACTATAAGGCTCAATCGCGGCCTTGTCGAGTGTGAGTGCAAAAGTGGCCCCAAGGTCGGAAACCTCATAGATCTCGTTGGCATCTGGGTCCTCTGAGCCCAGAATTTGGAGAATGATTTGAGCCATGGCATCCTGATACTGCTTATTTTCTCTGAACACAGCACCGCCGTAAACCAAGTAATTCTTGAGTGCCGGACTAATGTCGTCCAAAAACATCGCCAGGTCGTTTTTTAGCACCGCAGTGACCATGCTTTCGAACAGAGACCACATTGTTGGAGAGACCGCGCGCGTCAGGAATAAAGTGTTCTCAATAAGTTCCGAGGCCTCGGCATAAAAATCGTCCAGCTCTTTTTCGAACGTGTACTGGATGATTGGGGCGTAACTCTGCTCCAATCCGGCAATCATATCTTGAGAGCTTTCAAAGTAAAGAAGAACAGTCACCATTGTATTGAAGACCCCCAAAGCTGCCATGTGCTTGTCTGTGAGGTCATCGTGGTCCAAATTGTCTGGCCCGCTGTTGGATAAATCGTTTATTTCAGTGAGAAGACGAAGGAGCTGCTCGCTCAACCTTGCCATCAGGTTGGCTCCGAACGGCTGCAATTGAGCAGAGTAGCACTCCACACATTCCTGAATGACAGCAGAAATGGCATCAATGTCCACTTTGTTGGATAGTTCCAGTAGCTTCTCCATGGTCTCCACGATGATGGACCCCAGAGCATCCTTAAACTGTTCAAATGAGATGAACGCTTGAATAGCCAAGGCTGCCTCCAACTGTACAGGCAAGTTATTGTCCTCTTTGAAACAGGAAAGGACGCCATTGAACAAGACAGTGAGGTTGTTTTCGTCCTGGAATTTGAGGCTATCGAACTTGGCAGACACATCGCATGTACGTGCTCTCAAAAACGCGAACTGCGACCGGAAATTTGGCAGCACGAAGCTGGCCACAAACGGTTCCACCTGGTCTGCTAGCGATTTTGTTGCCGTCAGCTTGCTCGAAATTTGGCCGACTATACGTAGTGCAGACTCTTTCTGCTTGGCAACATCCAAAGTCTCTGGCACATTGGCGAAGGAGGCTAGTTTCTCATAAGCAAACTGTAAAATAGGCTCCAGCGCAACCTTGGATCTTTTTTCAACCAGAGTGTAGATTAAAGATAGGACGGCCATCTGCGGAGAGCTAGTCTCTTCGTACATGTCCAAAATCATATGGATGTACTCGTTAGGATCGTTTTCAAACATGTCGAGAACTTCATCGGTTGGACAGAGCAGCGGGAAGGCCACCTCCGCGATGATCTCCCTGATGTGCGGCTCAATAAGCCGGAAGCATCCCTTCTGCACCACACACTGTTCCAAGAACGAAATGATTTGATAAAGCGACGCGTCGCTCAGCCATATTTTTTGACTTTTCCATTCCTGCAGCCGCTTGAAGTACACTTCTAAAAGGCCAGGAACAACATTGTTGGCGAATATCTCTCTAAATTCGTTGTACTCGTATCTGCTAGACAAGCTTTTAGATGCATAACGCTGAAACAGTCTGTACAGATTAGCATAGGCCCATTTTTGGCTCCTGACCCACGGACTCAGCGAACGATCATCTTCATCCAGCTCCATGACGGTTGGAGGCAGACTCATGTTGATGACGTCCACGTTGAAGGTGATCCATTCAAGTGAGACGTCTTGCTGCTGGAGAGGCTCAGGTAAGTCGTGATATGTCACAAATTTGTAGCACTTGAGGATCAGTTTCACAATCTCACCGGCTTCATAATGGCTTTCGAATGCTGCTGGGTTTGCAACAAACTGTTTTCCGATTTGCAACAAACTTGGGAAGTTGTCTCTTATTATAGGGTCCAGTTCTAAATGACGATGGGCATTTGTCCTCCATCTATAGTTTCTAGTCAGCTCGGAAAAACAGAGCACACCCGTGTACATGGCTTGGATGTCTGAGGTGTTGAGGAAGAGAGCCTTGCTGGTGCTTAGGAAAGAAGGCCAATTCTGGGGATAGTCGGACGAGATCATGACACTCAAGACCGGAATGAACTGGTTGCGTAGTGTCCTCTCCAGCTTGTGGATAGTGGGGATGATCCTGTCTCTGATACCTGGCTTTTCCCCCTCATCAATTTCTCCCTCGGAACTTGACCAGCTCCTGATCATTTTGTTTTTAAAGTAGATGGAACATGCTTGTTTGACAACCGGTTCAACGTCGTCTGAGCCCAGAATGTCTAGACACGCGCCTAAAAACCCAACGATGGACTCCGCCTGCTTAAGCTGTTCCTCAGCCTGTTGTCTAACACCCTGATCGGCCTGCAGGGTCCCCAGGAAGCAGTTGTGGAGGGCCTGGACGTTCATTTACAAGGAGGATTTTTTATGTAAAAAAAAATTCCGAAGAATCTTTAAATATTTTTACCATGGCCCCAGCTACTATTCTTTGTGTTGGCATGGCCGGTTCAGGCAAAACGACCTTTGTCCAGCGGCTTAATTCACATCTCCATGCCAAGAAACAGGCTCCCTACGTGATCAATCTCGATCCAGCTGTCCTCAAGGTTCCGTTCGGATGCAACATCGATATCCGAGACTCTGTGAAGTACAAGAAGGTGATGGAAAACTACAATCTGGGCCCCAACGGCGCTATTGTGACGTCCCTAAACCTATTCTCCACCAAGATCGACCAGGTGATCTCTCTGATTGAGAAGAAGTCCGACAGATTCAAGCACTGCATTGTCGACACTCCAGGGCAAATCGAGTGTTTCATCTGGTCTGCGTCGGGCGCCATCATCACAGAAGCTTTTGCGTCGACGTTTCCAACGATAATTGCATACATCATTGATACTCCAAGAAGCTCGTCGCCAACGACGTTTATTTCCAACATGCTGTACGCCTGTTCTATTCTATATAAGACCAAGCTTCCGATGATTGTGGTGTTCAACAAGACCGACGTGAGAGACTGCAAATTTGCTACGGATTGGATGACCGACTTTGAGGCCTTCCAAGATGCCCTCAGAAACAACAGCGAACTGAACGATGAGACGAGCAACGGTTCGGGGTACATGGCTTCTTTGGTGAATAGCATGAGCCTGATGCTGGAGGAATTCTACTCCACTTTGGACGTGGTCGGGTGCTCTGCTTATACGGGAGCTGGTTTTGACGAGTTTTTGGATGCCGTGGACGCCAAGGTCGATGAGTACAACAACTTCTATCAGAAAGAGAGAGAAAGAATTATCAAGGAGAAGGAAGAGAAAGAAAAACAGGAAAAACAGAAGCAACTCACGCACCTGATGAAAGATCTCGGCCTGGGCAAAAAGGAGCCAGTGGACACTATTTCGGATGCTGAAGACGACGGCGAAGAAGAATACGAGCACGGGCTGGTCGAACCGGATATAAATGAACCACAACGCGAGTACACTTTTGTCGAGGACAGAAACGGGGAGGTGACTGAGGAAAATAAGGACGTTCATGGGTTATACCAGAAAGCGTTCGAGGAAGGATCAAAGACCGCCAAAAGCGACGTTGCAGATAATATTGCCAAGTATATTAGACAGCAGCGTTGATCGATATGTACAATGATAATGCTTATTTATGCTAATCGGTGCCCTTAGTCAGCACAACCCATTTGTCGGGCAAACTGCTCACTTTTGTGAGACCGAGCGTCGCCAGCTGGTACAAATTCTCTTTAGTATTATTATCTGGGTGATCCAGCTGCGTCAGCTCCGGATACTGCGGTGTATTCAGCGCGCAACACACCACCGAAAACGACTCCTTCAACTTTCCGGTGAACAGCTGCAAGGGTTTTGTAGTTTCTTTGAATCCAACGCTTGTCAGCCCGACAAGGGCAACGTTGTCAAGCCCGGAGAGCTCAGACACTGTAGCCAGTTTCTGCTGCAGCAATGGAATCTTGCGTGTGAAAAAATACTCCGCGGCCAGCGTGAAATCATTCGGATCCGTGCATGATTGGTCCAGATGCGCATTTTGCATAATATTGATCGCCTCCATTGAATCGGCCAAGGCTTTGTACGTGAGAGACACCGCAGGAGTCTCATTTTTCAGCACCAATACTGCCGCAAACCGTTCCAGCTCACTCCATAGTTGCTCGTACTGGTTCAAAGATGGCAAAGGGGGCAACTTCCGTTCTCTGTCCAACACCCTCAGCCTGTCGACCACACGATCTTCTTTTTTATTGTAAACATATCTGGACGAATGCGTCCTCAGCTGCTGACTTTTCAGCAAGTCTGCCTGCAAACGTGGATCGTCAGGGATCTTCGGCGTCTCTGTGTTTCCGTGAACGTGAGCGTATCCCGATTTCCGCGCCTCCTCAATCTTGAGGTTAGCTGCCTTTTGATACTCGTGCTCAGACTGCTGGGACTCATGAATGGCTTTCAGCAGTCTATTTCCTCTGTCAGTGGCCTTTCTAATCGCATCCTTGTCGAACCTCTCAATCTCAGAAGAGATCTGAACAACCGGAATGACGTAGTGCCGGACCAGCTGTCTGATCATAAGAACAAAAATATTTTTTATTTAAATAAATTTTTTGTCGACTGTCGACCGAAATCCTATCTCCGACGCTCACCGGCTGATAACCACTTCTTTATCGCTATCTATAAATACCGAGAATCAGGGACGTGTATTTTTATGGCCCCTTCAATTGGTTATTTGCTTTCGATCCAGTCGGTGCGGGAGACCAACTCCTGCACCAGAAAGCTCTTGCTGAACAACCAGCTTGTGAACTTCGAGGTGGATTTATCCAAACTTCCTGATGCAGTGAATTTCGTGATCTCTACAATCAGGGACTCGTTCCCCACTGACGAGTCGCTGCTGACCATTCCAGGTCATGGGAGATACCAGCACTTTGAATGTGGAGGAAAAAAGCGACTCACAGAGTTCATCGACAAGCAGCTGAAGGACCAGAGCGACTACGAAATATGTAAAAAGCTGACTGATCTGTTCATAGTCAGTGTTCTTCTCGACGCGGGTGCGGGCAACCAATGGAAATACAACGAGAACGGCAATCTGATTGGCAGATCTGAGGGAATTGCTGTTGCCACTTTGCACATGTTCGTCGACGGTGTATTTAGCGACGGCGATAGTTACGTGGTGAATGGATCGAAACTAGCTCGTTTGACGGCAGAGGAGCTCTCAAAAGGCCTCCAGGTGTCGGAGTCCAATCCAATTGCAGGATTTGAAGGAAGGCTGACGCTCCTTAACCAGCTTGGAAAGACTCTGGTGCAAAATCGCACTCTATTCGGAGCTGATGCCAGACCAGGAAACTTAGTCGACTATCTGAAGCAGTCGTCGAAGGACGGGTTAATAGACCTCCCCGATTTGTGGAACTGTCTGATGGAAGGCCTCATGCCAATATGGCCGACGGAAGGACGTATCAAGCTAGACGGAAAATGCATTGGAGACGCATGGTATCTTCAAAATAAAATCAGGGAAGCAGAGAAAGAGTACGGTGCCAATGTCCCAGAGTCAGCAAAAATTGTCACTTTCCACAAACTCACTCAATGGTTGACATACTCGCTGTTCCTCCCATTGGAGAAGTATGGACATTTTTCAATTAAAAATGCTCATTACATGACAGGCCTCCCAGAATACCGTAATGGGGGCTTATTTGTTGACTTCGGAGTGCTGAAAATCAAGGAAGAGAAACTAAAGCAAGGCATCCAGTTCTCCATCGAGAAAAACTTGGGCTCACACATTCCTCTGTATACACCAGACGACGATTTGATTGTTGAATGGCGGTCATGCACCGTCTGTCTGCTAGACTACATTCTCCCGCTTGTGAATGAAAAATTAGGAGTTACAGGCTCCAAGTATGAGCTTTCGCTTCCGCAGCTTATTGAGGCCGGGTCGTGGAAATCCGGCAGACTCATTGCCTCAAAACTGCGAAGCAACGGAGGGCCACCGATAGAGTTGTTTGCTGACGGCACAGTGTTTTAGATAGCTACCAATCTTTTTAGATCTCAGAACCACGTGAGTATCATGTGACACAAAAATTCTTTCGCTACCCTCGGGCACCATAAAAATTAATTTTTTTTCACCATATTTTCAACTTTGAACGTCTCATACCATCATGTCTGAAGAAAAGAAGATCATTGAAGAACCAGAAATCCACAAGATCAGAATCACTCTGATCTCCACCAAGGTCAAGCAGCTTGAGAAGGTGTCCCAGAACATCATCCAAAACGCTGAGAGAGAGAACCTTTTCAAGAAGGGTCCTGTTAGAATGCCAACTAAGACCTTGAGAATCTCTACCAGAAAGACTCCAAACGGTGAGGGTTCCAAGACCTGGGAGACTTACGAGATGAGAATCCACAAGAGATACATTGACTTGCACGCTCCAGCTCAATCCGTTAAGAAGATTACCCAAATCACCATTGAGCCAGGTGTCGACGTCGAGGTCACCATTGCTGCTTAAGTACGTTGAGTGTTTGTGGCAATACTCTAGGCGTACCGTGTAGAAATACCAAGTTCAACTTGTTATATGATGCATGAGACGTTACGGTGTTAGCTATCAGTTCCTTGCACATACATTTATATGTAGCTTAAGGTAATGGATAATTGCAAAAATGAAGTAAACCCTTACACCGATAGACAAATAACAACAACGATTATTAACTCCTTTTCGGAAAAAGGTAAATATACATTTAAAACTAATTTGACTCCAGTTTCTTCTTCTCATGGATCACTTGTACTCGCGTAACTTCTGGTCCCCAGACGATTCTGCCTGCTCGTTTCTGCTAGGACACTTCAATGGGGGTTCCAAGACAGCAGAGGCTGTGCTTTCCTTCTACAAAGAACGAATGGCTATTGAGGAAGAGTACGCCAAACGTTTGTGCACTCTTTCAAGGAAGATTGATCTCGGAAAACACGAAATAACAGGAAGCCTCAAAAGCAGTCTTGATGTGCTTGCTCTGGAAACCGAACAGCTTGGAAACAGCCATTACTCTCAGGCCAATAAGATTGCAACCAACGTGTACAAACCTCTGAACGAATATGCAACAGACCGCAAAACTCAAGGGAAAATACTCGATTCTGGGCTTTCCAAGCTGATGAAACACAAACGACACCTTGAGTCCAAGGTCGAGCTCGCTCGCAAGAAGTATGAAGCCCACTGGGTCAAGGTCAATAATTATAAAACACAGCAGATTCTTATGGACGAGATAGAAGCTTATCGGACACAAATGAAGGTCAACAAACTCATGGAGCAGATGAGTGAGGCACGTGATGACTACCGTGGCCTCGTTAATGAGTACAATAATATGCTGGATGTGTGGAAAAACGAGTGGTTCTCTGCCTGCGAAAACCTGCAGTCTATGGAGGAAGAGAAAATCAAATTCCTCAGGGCCAACATATGGGAATACGCAAACATTGTGAGTTCGACATGTATTTCAGACGACCAAAGTTGCGAAAACGTCCGTTTGAGCCTTGAGAAATGCTCGTATCGGGCCGACATTGCGTCTTTCGTTGAGGAGTTTAAAACGGGCAATACCATGTCTTCCCCTGCTACCTTCATCGACTATGCCCGTGGGGACATTCCCCAGAGAAAAGGCGGCGTTCAGACGGTCGATCTCACCAGCATTCCAAAAATCTCCGAACAGCGAGAGCAATTGGGACACAAAAAGATTCCACCGCCAAAGCCAACCCAAGAGCAGCAGATGCAGTTCGATCTCATTGACAGACACGAGGAGACGTTTAAGCAGCTACAAGAACAGGCTCAGCTTGAAGCCTCGCAGCTGCGGAGTACAGGAGCAAAGACTGCTTCTGAGCCAAGCTCTAACCACGTTTTCTCCGAATATTCTGATGGAACAGAGGCCTCAAGCTCTCACGAAGAGGAGCTCAAGCAGTCGAAGCAGGAGTCCACATACTCCAACCCTCTGCTGCACTCTCTGATGTCAGACAAACCAACTGAGCCTAATCGGCTTAAAAAGTTCAGCATTTTTGGTAAGACTGAAAAGCCGGTGAATCCCTTGGAAGCCTATTTAAACGACCTCCAATTAGGTGGTAACGGCGACATGTCCAAGTTCCGTGACTCAATGCAGATCAGTGACGAATCAAAGCAGGAAACAAAAGACAACAGAGCACCGTCTTTCACCTTCAGTAGGAACAACTCCATCAGAAAATCGAAGTCGTCTACCACCTTGAAAGGAAAGTTTGTGAACCACGCAAACCTGCCGTCGCGCTCATCTGAGGGCTTCCCCGTGCTCAAGTACTGCCGAGCACAGTACTCATACAATGCCAGCATCGAGCAGGAACTGTCCTTCAAAAAACGTGATATTCTGATGATCCTGCACAAGCAACCTGACGGATGGTGGTTTGCGGAAAACATCAACACAGGAAAGTCAGGCCTTGCCCCTAGCAACTATCTCGTTGATATGTAATCTAGACTATGCCACTAACTTTCCTTGCGTAGAGATATGCTGTAACTGCAAAAACAAACATGCTTCCACAGATGCCATAGAACCATGTCAATCCAGGCGAGTTTTGGCCAGGGACAAGACAGTTCATGCCCCATAGGCCCGTCACGACGTTCAGAGGCAACACAATGGAACCAAGGATGGTGATTTTGCCCAAAATGTCGTTCATGTCATTGTTCACCTTCGTCATGTCTATGTTGATCTGGGCGAGGTAATTAGAGTGAGAGCGGGCCAGTAATTTTTCGTAATGATTCAAACTTTGCACCATTGTGACGATGTGGTCCTGAATGTCTCCCAAGTACATTCCAATTTCAGACCTCGGAGCCACCTCCCATTGTTCGTTGCATCTCTTGGAGAAGCCCTTTATAACATCGGCCTTGAAACCTAGAAGCCGCAGCAACGACATAACCCTTCGACGACAGTCTCCGATTCGGCGAAGCATGTCTCCCTTGCGTTTCCAGCTCAAAATCTTTGTATCCTGGGACGAGGACGTCGACCGCGAAGACTTCGAGCTCCATGAATTGATGGACGCCTTGTCGTTGACGGTTGACGTCCTTCTCTTTAGGCTGAGCCAGATCTTGTCGTCGTCGTCGTCGTCGGAGCCAGAAGACTCGTCTTCCGAGTCAATTCCACTTTGCATCACTAAAATAGCGTCCTCTATCGCGTTGACCTCATCCTCGATGCTTTCTATCAGAGGGGCATACGCATCGGTGATGTCGTCAATGAGAGCGTATCCTATCCAGTCTGAAGTGACAGAGAGATAGTCCTTGAGCAAGCGGACTCTACGCCGAACGTTTGCCGGGTGCGGAGTCGGTTTCTGGTGGAACGTGATGACGCCGTCTCTGAACACAATGATGTACATATTAAGTGGTTCGAGCTCGCCGTTCTTCTTCCGCTTGTCGCCGTCTCTTCTTTTAGAGACCATTGAAGATGCGCGTGGATGGTCAATGTCGCTGGATGAGGACTTGCTTTTCAACAGACGGCTCACGATATGGCGATACCACGCTTTCTTGCGGTGCTTGCTGTTGACGCTGTCGTCGTCGGAGAACGCAGCTGAGTTCATTGCTCTCTCCATGGCTTTTTTGCGGTTTTGGTGCTCAAGAACAACGTCAAAGGCTGTGAAACAGACCAGATAGTAGTCTCTGAACAGTTCCACCTTTTCTCTGGTTTCGCCCATAAAAATGTCCTCTGTAGTCAGCGGATGGATACTGAACGCCTTGGACAGAACCTTCATCTCTTCCTCCGTTGGGTTGAGAACGTCAAGCCAGAAGGGAGGCACGTCTGCTGTCGACGAACTGTCCGCTGCCACCGAGGGCGTGGGCGTGCTTGTTCCTGTGACTTTGGGCTTCAGACTGTTCTGCGACGACTGAACAGAAGTCATGTTGGGATGTGGCACATTAGGCTGTGGATTATACTCTTGCGTCGAAGGGGAAAACAACTCTGAAAGAGTGTATTTTTGCACCAGCCCCGAGATATTGGAGGCATGAATAGTGTTCTCGAGGTCTTCCCTGAAATACGTGAATCGAAGACTTTTGGGCTGCTGCAGCTCGGGCAAGTCGTTCAGAGGTTTACGGTTGTTCCAGGGAACCACTCGCTGCGGCCGCAGACGACCATTGAGAGCTTTCTGTTCGTTTTCGGCCTGCACCAGCAACGGCTCAGATTCGCTCGGCTCGATGTTCGAGACCAGCGGATACTCGAAGTTGATTCTCTCCTCGCCTTGCGCTGGGGACGACTGTCTGGAGAGCGAGGCGGACGCTTCGCTGATCTTTTTAAACTCCTGCAGCTCCTCGTCCACAAACTCCTGTAGCACAGAGATGTCCGGCCACATCTTCCGTTTCCCGGCTTCGTCAAAACTCTCCACGGGAACACACACGTCGTCCAGAGACGACGCGTTCGAGGAGCGGCGGGAAGACGGGTTTGACGAACCGTAGACGGAGTTTGAGCTCTGGTCGTCGTTATTCGAATTGTACGGCTCATGTTCAGCCAGATCCTGCAGCACGCCTTTCGCGGACTGGTCTCTCAACGAGGACTCAAACGGATTCTCTGTCTTGTACTGTATTCCCTCGGAAATGGATTTGTTCTGCTTGAGGGCGTTGTTGTAACTCTTGAACCTCCTGAACTTGGACTCGCCTATCTCGTCTATCGAGCCGGGAGAAACTGGGTGTCCTGCTGCCACCACCGTGCTGAGCCGGTTTTTCGGTCTATCTGCTGCCATGACGGGAGCACTCAGACTGAAACCTCTTTTGCGCGGGCGCTGCGACTTTGACAAGCCTGTGGCCAACGAATGGCGTCTGTGGTCGATCAGGGGGTCAAAGCCGGCCGACGAGTCGGACGATACGTCGTTGTGCCTCACTCCAAACGCGTCCGTCTCGTGCTCTGAAACTTTGCTGGAACGCCGAGGTGTGATTTCGCTCATAGCAATCTAGAACTACTCGGAAAAAGATAAGAATTTCTCAGAAACGGTTTTTGAAATATATCCACATAAAGCTCTATGCCGCCTTCTGGTCCTTGTCGGATTCGGAGTCGTCTTCCTGCTCTTCTCCAGACTCCTTTGCCGGCTCCTCGTCGCTGTTGACAACTTTCTCCTCGCTCTTGTACTTTTTCTGTTCTGGCTCCAGCTGCGAGATCGAGTCGTCGATCTCGCCCACCAGCCCGCGAAGCGCCTTCCACTGGTCCTCTGTGAGGGCGATTCCCTGTCGTTAGACCCTCCAAAAACACAATTGTCCACTTACCTTGGACCCAGGCAGCCATTTCCCGTCTTTTTGGTAGTACTCCCTGATATCAACTAGAGTAGCCCCCTTGAACTTGCGCACACTAACGCGTCTCTTCTCGCTTCCAAGCTTGATGTCAGCAACAGCACACCCGAATTGGCGCTAACTCACCTCAAATTGGAACTCCGGGCCGACAGCCTCAGGAGCAGCTCTTTTAAGACCCATATGCAATATACTATATTTTCCCAGCTGAAAAAATAAACTTGTCAATTTTCTTATGAGTCTCCCTAAAGTGTCTGGCCGTCTCCAAGATATCTCGCCGCTCATTCTGGGCGGTGCAACGTTCAATACCCAGTACAACGACGACCCGTATTCCATACGCATCCGCGACCTGTTGTACACAGCCCTCGAAAGTGGTATCAACGCTATCGATACGTCTCCCTATTACGGGCCTTCTGAGGAACTAATTGGTGACGCTTTGAAGAAATTGCTCGACTCGGGGAAAGTGTCTCGCGACAACTACTACATCTGCACCAAAGTGGGCCGTATCCAGCTGGATGAGTTTGACTACTCGCAAGATTGGGTCAGAACGTCGATCTATCGGTCCCTGACGCGGCTCAACACAGACTACTTGGACGTGGTGTATTTGCACGACGTGGAGTTTGTGGACGACGAGAGGATTTTCGAGGCGCTCCGAACGCTGGTGGAACTCAAACAGCAGGGAGTCGTTAGATACGTTGGTATTTCCGGCTACCCGGTCCCGTTCCTCCACCGTATTGCGTCTGAGTGTGTGTCGAAGCCAGATATCGGAAAACTGGACCTGGTGCTCAGTTACTCAAACATGTGTCTGCAAAACACGCTTTTGGCGCAGTGGTACGGCAAGTTCATGGAAACAGGCATTCAGCTGCTGAACAATGCCTCCATATTGTCCATGTCGCTGCTCCGATCTCAGGAAACCAGACCGTTCCACCCGGGCTCACAGAAATTGAAGCAGGCGTGCTCTGATCTGGCTACTGTTCTCAAAGAGCACCACAACACTGAACTGGCTGAGCTGGCTACGCGGTTCGCCATTCGCGAGTGGCTGCCGAAACAGGGAAAGACAGTGATCGGTGTGTCCAACATAGACGAGCTACACTCTGCTCTGGAGCAGTACAAGGCCGTCGTGGAAAGAACCAACGACGACTCCGACCACAGGCTGGTCAAATTGAGTCAATCCTTGTTGGGCCATCATCTGAATGAGACGTGGGACAGCGGCCGTTATAAAGCAACGTAATAAACTTTAATACATCACATCTTGGGCTTTGATTGTTTGAGACGTATTCCGGCGCGGTCAATCACCAAACAGTTTCTCTCGACGCTCCAAGTCTGGAAAATCACCGTCTGGCCGCTCCTCCAGCCCAGCACTTTGAGCTGCTCACCTGGATACACCACGTTGGTGAACCTCACTTTGATCTCGTCAAACAAGCCGTAATGATCCATTAGGAGTTTGGCACTGATTCCCATCGTTCCTAGTCCGTGGAGAATTGGTCTCGAAAAGTTCCCGCCGCGGGCAAAGACAGGATCGATGTGCAACGGGTTGAAGTCTCCGTTCAGACGGTACAATGCCGCCTGGTCTGTGAATGTTTTGTATGTGGACTCGAAATCTGGCCGGCCCCGTGCCTCGAAGCTATTCTGCAAGAACGGAATCGACCGCTTGTTGAATATTTCGTCTTTTCCACTGACGGTCTCGCTGTTCCGAATAAAGTACGACCCTTGATTGTAGAAAACGAGCTCTCCCTTTTCGTCATACGTTTCGTATCCCTCAATCACCAAGCTGTTCTTCTTACCATTTTTGTGTTTGTTGAACACAGCAACAGGGAAGGACTTTGTTTTGAGTTTTCCAGAGGTAGGAATCTGCTTTGCAATTTTTAGATAGTGCTCTCCATGGAGAAGCTTGGTCATGTCGAAATTCTTCACCAAATCGCTGAAGTCGAACGAGTCAGATCCCTCATTCAAGAACGGAATCACGCCAAATGTTGGAACAGCCTGGAAATCGTCGTCGTTCTCATACACGTACTTGAGCTCTTCTGCGTGACAGCCAACAGAGAGATTGTACATAATCACCTGCCGGTGGTCATAGCAATATCCATCGGCCTTGTCAGACGCGTCCTCTTCTTCTTCTTCGTTCTCCTCCTCATCCTCATCTTCGTCTTCATCTTTACCCCCAACGCTTTCCAAAATAGCCATTGTTGACTGTTGGACACTCTTCATATTCATGCCCTTACTGAAATCTGTAATCTCGGCCCAATGTTGCTCAACAAATTCCGGTGCAATATGCTCGTCGTGAGAAACTGCACCAACGGCCCGCTGCCACCGCGTATTGCCAATCCACCCGGCACCGACTTCATACAGCTCGCCGCTCACCTTCACTTCGTCGCTCGCCAGGAGAACAACAAGCGGCGAGACCTGATCAGGACTGAACTTATTGAGCTCGTCGCTCTTGAATATGGTCTTCGTCATTGACGTTTCTGCGTGCGGAGCGATAGCGTTGCACCGAATGTTGGCCTTGGCACCTTCCAAAGAAAGACTGCGCGTGAATGAGAGAACGGCAGCTTTGGCTGCGGCGTAGTTTGCCTGACCAAAATTGCCGTAGATTCCCGACGTCGAGGTCGTATTGATGATGATGCCGCCTTTTTGCTCGAGGAAAATGGGCCACACAAGCTTGCAAAGCCGGAACGTGGCCACCAGATGGATCTGGATCACGTGATCCCACTCCTGCTGCGACATTTTGGCGAAAGAGCGGTCTCTAAGGATGCCTGCGTTGTTGACAAGGACGTTGACAGTGCCAAATGCATCCAACGCAGTTTTAACAATTCTGTCCGCCTCGCTGAAGACGTTAAACCGAGCGCCAACCGCTGTCCCTCCAGCTTTCCGAATTTCGTCCACCACGCCTGAAGGGTCCTGGAAATCGTTCACAACGACCTTAGCACCGTACCTGGCAAACCACAGTGCATGGTGTCTTCCGAGGCCCGAGCCTGCCCCTGTGATGATGACCACTTTGTCTTTCAGTGAGGATATTCTGGTATTTCCCTGGTCGTTTGGAGGAAGCTTTTTTGCTTCTTCCAGCAAGGAGTTGTAGTCATTTAGCTGCGTAGGATGCTGAGCATTCTTGAAATCTGTGACCTCCGAGAACCTGTTGAGAATGGCCTCTGGTGTGAAGGAATTGTCTGGTTTGAGCAAGAGACCGCTGCTGCGCTCCCATCTGATTTGCGCAAAAAGACCAGCCGCCACCTCAAATATGCATCCGGAGCAGCTGCAACCACGGGACGACAAATACAGAACCAGGGGAGCAACCTTTTCGGGCAGCAGTTTTTTTAGCACGTCTGGTGGCAAGACTGTCTCTGTCATTCTGGACTTGGCGACCGGAGCAATGGCGTTTGCCTTGATGTCGTACTTGACTCCCTCCTTGGCCAGTGTCTCTGCAAGTCCCACTAGCCCCATTTTGGCAGCAGAGTAGTTTGTCTGTCCAAAGTTGCCGTACAGACCGGCGGGAGACGCGGTCATGATGATTCTGCCGAACTTTTGCTGCCGGAACAGCGGCCAGCACAGTTTGGTGAGCTTGAATGCTCCATTTAGATGGACGTCCAGAACATCAAGAAACTGTTTTTCAGTCATATTTTTGAATGCAGCGTCCTTCAATATTCCAGCGTTGTTGACGAGAACATGCACCGTGCCAAACGCCTCGACAGCTGTCCGGACAATTCCCTCAGGATTAGTCACCACATTGTCGTAGTTGGCGACGGCCGTGCCGCCAGCTGTGCGAATTTCGTTGACAACAACATCAGCTGCCTTTGTGGACGTGCCCGATCCGCCAAGCGTGCCCCCTAAGTCGTTCACAACGACCTTGGCACCGCGAGAGGCAAAGCCCAGCGCGTACTGTCTTCCGAGGCCTCCGCCGGCGCCTGTAATAATCACAACAAGATCTTTAAGCTCTACCTCACCCATGAAGAAGCATAGCGGAGCATGGCAGCTTATATACTTTTGCTCTTGCATGTGAATTTCCAAGTGTGGGGTCCGGGGAAATGCAGGCTGTGCAAAAAGATTTAAGCGAAGTGTCACTCACCAAGGTAGCATAGCATGCCTGCAGAAAATCTTACCTAATAATCATTACCTGGGACACAATTGTAACTGTGGAATTGGAGCCGATAAAATACCCATACCGTGTTTTGTGAGGTTTCTCTTCAATCGTAGCTCGATATATACCTCTGGAATCAAAAATAAAAAAATATAGCACCTTTTGCTTCTTGCATGCCTCGCAAATATAAGGCAACGTACGGAGCTCCAACTATGCTAACTTGCTAGCACGTCCACTGAGCAGTTCATAATGTTTCTGCGAACCTAAAGTGTTGTTGCCTTGTTATTACCTCATCTTCCCGTTTCGCAATCACTATATACATTCTATACGCTACTCGTCGTCGTCGTCGTCGTCGTCGTCGGACTCGTCGCTAAAGTCGCTCACCTCCTCGCCTAACGACTTGAGTTTCAGCTTCATCTGCTTGTTTTTTTCGTCTAGCTCGCTCATTAGCAACATCAGATCGTCAAGGTCTCCTTTAGGGACCATGTCTTTCTGTCTGCTTTCAGCATCCTTGAGCTTTTGCTCTAATTCGACTACCTGTTTCTGCAGCTGCTCCTGTTCGGCGGCCTTAGACTTCAGCGTCTCGTAATCTGCAGTTTTCTTCTTCAGTTCGTCATATTCGGCCCCCCTCTTTTGTAGCTCGTCGTAGTCTTGGGTTTTTTCTCGATATGCCTCGAGCTCTGACAGATCCGTCTTCAGCTTCCCGTTTTCCTTCAATTGCTTCTTCAGATCCACGAGCTCACGAAGCTGTTCCTTCATCTTCTCCTTGAGGGCATGAAGCTCGGCGCCCTTTGCCTCGACCTCACTCTCCTTCTGCTTCAAACCCTCCTCCATGAGTGTCAGCCTGTCCTGTAGCAGTTTGATTTCAGCCTCCTTGGATTTTTCTGAATTCAACAACTCCTCTTTTCCACTCGACAGTAGTTTCACCTCCTCCTTTAATTTTGAGAGCTCTGCATCCCGCTCTTTTTCGGTTTCTTTCAGCTTCTCATCCAAAGCACTAATCTTGAGAGAATACTCCTTGACGACGGAATCAGAGTTTCCAGCCAAAAGTGCCCTTTCCCTCTCAATCTCTTCAGCTTTGCCGCTTAACTCAGACTTGAGGTTCTGCAACTCTTTCTCGTGCGTTGCGACAAGCTCTTTCTTTTCGGCCTTCTCCTTCTCCAGGTCAGCTTTCAGAACTTCTATCTCTCTCAAATGCGAGTCAAGTTCCTTTTTGACAGATTCATAGTCAGCAAGCTTCTTTTCCAGCTCTGAGAAATCGGCTAGTTTCTTCTCCTTCTCCTTCCTCAATTCCTCTGCCTCCTTCATCAGCCGACGACACTCTTCGTCCTTGGCCTCCACATTCAATGAGATCATTGAGATTGTCGACTCGAGCGACTTCTTTTCCTCTGTAGCTGTGTTCTTCAGCTCCCTCGTCTCGCCAAGCTGCTTCTTCAGAGACGTAACGGCCGTCTCCAACTCCTCCTTTTCCTGTGTAGTCTGTTCGAGCCTCTCCTCGAGCACTGCAGAAGACTTGGACAAACCCTCCAGCCGCTTGAGCTTTTCCTCGTATTCCTTCAGCTGAATATCTTTCTCCTGCTCTAATCTCTGCTTCTCGTCGTCCCAGTTCTTCCGGAGCTCGTTCTTCTCATCTTCGAGTGCCTGCTTCTCCTCTTGCAGCCGCTTTCGCTCGTCCTCTGCCTCTTTGCGGAGTTTCTCTCGCTCTGCACTCACATTCTCCAATTGGCGGTTAATGTCCTCATTCAATGCCTCCAGCTCGGCCTTCTGCGCAGTCAGACTCATAAGCTGCTTCTTCAGAGAACTAGTAGACGTCTCTGTCTCCTTCCTTATCGACTCAAGGCTCCGAGTGGCCTCCAAATGTGTGCTACGCAATCTTTCAACCTCCTGCTCTGCCGCCTTTAATTTTCCAACCGTCTCCTCATAGGTCTTTCGCAGACCAATGTAGTTCTCGTCACCTTTTTTCAGCTCGACAGTCAGACCATGAATTCTAGATTCCAGTCCTGCAATCTTCTCCTGCTGCTGCGCTATTTGCTGCTGGAGCTTTTCGTGGGCCTTCGCCGTCTTCTGTGCCTCTTTTTCCAGAGTTTTTATCGTTTTGCTCTGCGACTCATTGTCCTTTGTCAGCTGCATCAATTCGCGGCTCATCTTGTTGATTCCATCCTCTGCTTTGCTCTTTTGCTGCTCAATAACGGTGAGCTTCTCGGAGAGCTGTTTATTGCTTGCTTCCAGCGAGGTCACCTTGGAGGTTGCTTCCCTATGCTGCGTGGACAGTTGCGACAAATTCTGCTCCAGCTCATTCTTGAGCTGCGTAAGCTTGTTTATATCCTCAGAGCTCTTGGTGTAGTTCGTGTCCAGTAGCTCTCTGTCTCTTTCAAGCTTCTCAAGTTCGCTCTTTGTAGTCTCGTATGTCTGCGCAAGCTCGTCGTACTCGGAAACGAGTCGCTCGATCTCAGCTTTCTGTTTCGCGATCGTCTCGTCCGCCTCCTTGCGAACAGTCTTCAAATCGTTGGCCAGCGCTAGGCAGTCGTTCTGAACGGTTTCAAAAGCGTCGAAACTGAGCTTCTCCAGAGGCTCAAACGATGGATCGTGACCTATGGCTCCCCGGAGCCGTCTGGAATTCTCCTTAACGAGCTGCACAAACAACGGGTCGAAGTACACCTGCGGCAGCCCCGTGTCGTCTCTCTCTGGATTCAGTAGAGTTTCCTCGTCGTAGTTAGAAAACGCGTCGCTCTTCTCGAACTGCTGGAACTTCAAACTGAACGCATTGTCTCCGACCCGGCTTCTCAGCAACGTGCTCAGCTGCTGGCGGCTCACAGGCGAATTTTTTCTTGTAAATTCGTACACTATAGCCAGCAAAACAACCACCATGCCCTGCGCTAGCAGGTTCTCATCGTTTGCCTCGACAAGGTACGCAAGCAGCTGGTCGAGAATGGACTGGTCCTGCAAAAACAGGTCCACGGCTCGGAAATTCTCCCAGAGCCAGATGCTCAGTAGCATCATATAGGCGATTGGGACACGCGGGTCTTTGAAGCGCAGACTCGAGCAAAGGGCCTGGCCGACGGCCTCAATTATGTTTAGCACGTCCTCGTTGGCGCTTGCGTTGCCAATCTGCACAGACATCGCCAGTTCGCGGCCCTCGTCATAGTTCTCAAACACGTAGATAAGAATCAGACACGTAAACCAGATTTTATAAGGGTTCAGTTGCAGGTCGTTGTCGACGTTGATGAGCGTGGCAAACAAGTTGGCTCCCGTGAAGGACGTCGAAGCCGATCTGCTCTCGCCATTTGCATCATTTTCGGCCTCACCGTTCGCGCCATCTTGCTCACCGTCCTCGCTGTCGGGAACGCCGTTGAGTTTGTTGAACTCGTATTTCTGATCTTTCAGAAAGGCGTATTTGGCGTCCTCATTGTCCTTGAAGTACGCGTGCAGCACCACCACAGAGGCCACCCGCAAATCAAACAAATGGACAGAGTTCGCATAAAGACACCAGTGGAGGAGCGCATCTATCACGGGAACGATCTCGTCCATCTTCTGTGCTGCAGCGGGTAGCGTGGGGTCCATGTACGGGACGTCGATCTGGGAGAACTGTAGCTGGATCTCGGCGTTCGAGCGGATGATATCTGCAGTTGTAAGAAGCGCATTGACCCGGACGACGTTCGGAACGCTGATGGAAAATACCAGACGCAAAATCAGCATCAAAATGTCAGAACTCACAAGAGCCCTCTGCGCCTGCTCAATGGCCTCAACTCCTTCGGCCACAAACAGCCTGCATGTGTCAAGCGTGGTGAGCAGGTTCTGGAGCCGTTGCTCGTTCCACACAAACGGCCCTAATTCGCTCTCAGCCAGGGGCTGGTCCAAAAACTCTGCGAGCTTGTACATGCAATTGGTCTCGATGAAAAACTTCTGGTTGCTGGCGTTGTATCTTAGCAAGTTGGCGATCAGCGACAAACAGTCCTGAACGACGATATTGCCCTCAATTCGGCCCTCGTCCTCTATAATGCGGTACAATTTTTCGAATGTATTCTCAAAAACGACCAGCTTCTGGATGTGGAAGTTGTCCTTGACGACTCCCATCAGCAGCAGAATAGCCTCGTTCCGGATCGGCTCGTAGGGGTCGTCGAGCGCCTGGCACAGCTTTGAAATCGCCAGCGGCGACTTAAGGATTAGCTCTTTGGTACGCAGCGGCCGCGTCGAACATAGTGCCTGGAGCAGTTGCAACGAGTACAGCTTGATATGAAGATCGTCTGCTTCAACGAGATCCACCAGGATATCAAAACTTTTCACCGATTGAGTCAGCTCGTCAAAAATCCACAGCGAAAACTGGTCCGTCACATTGTCGAGCACCAAACTCGGCGACGGATACTTGCCGTTCTTGAGTCTAGTCTGCTGGCTTATCCAGCTCCTTGTTAGGTCCTCATCGCCCTCGCCCCGAATAAACAGAATTAAAAGCGTTTCGAGCACCGCCCTGACAATGTCAAGATCGAGCACGTCCTTGTGCAGAGTCGCAACAAGGCTCTTGAGACCGTGGGCAATGACAATCTCCCGATACTGTCTGCTGAACGATTTAAGCCCCAAAACAGCAGCCCGACGGTCGGTCAGTAGCGTCGCATGCGACAGGCGGTCTACGAGCGTCGCAATTGAGTCGCTGACCTCCTTCTCGCTCGCGCTAGGCGTGCTCATAAAGTTCTGAAGAAGCTCCATATAGTGTTTATTTTACGTCAAACAGGGTATTTTTCTGAATATTTATTTGGCCTTAATTTAAAAAAAAAACTCCTCGCACCACCAGCCCAGATCAGAGCCCCAGCTTGCTGTTGATGGCACCCTTGATGGCGTCGTTCTTGGTTTCGCTGATAAACTTGTCGAAGTCGTCGTTCAGATCGCTCACGTAGCTCTCCACACGGTTATTTGCCACGTCCAGGCGGTTCTGGGCGTGCTGCTTCCATCTCGAAATGTTCCTCGTCACAGTGGACACGCTAATAGGCGAGACCGGCTTATCCGTCAAGCCCGGCTGCTGGTGTAACGCGTTCGGGTCGTAGTACTTTGGCTTCGCCGTACCCATCAAGCTGTAGTTTGCTGGATTGTACGGCGAAATGTCCCAAGCCAGTTCATACTCCGGATGGTTTGTTTTTTCCGGCCGTTCGCGTCCAACAAGCATACGATATAGTTTTGCGTACGACAGCGACGACGTGCCCTTGACAAAGTAGTTTGTGGACGGCCGGTATGGTATCAAAATGTTCCGCAGAAACAGCACGTCGTCGCCGTTGATCGTTTCCAAGGACATGACCGGCTGACGCAGGCCCATGATGTTAACCAAGGCCGCCTCTGTCTCGCTGATTCTCAGAAAAACATCGCCTAGCGGCAGCACAGAGCTCTGCGGGGTGTACTTGGCCTCCAGACGGTACGGAACGCGCATGCTGGACAGTTCAGAAAGGGACGGAATCGTGTAGACGGCCATTTTTTTCGTAGCCCCCATTAGGGCTACCAAGCAGAAAGCAACGTTTCCTTTCTGTGTTTTTGTGCCTGTGATGCCGATTTTGGACAGTTCGCCCTTTCCGAACGTCTTGTGTGCCATCTTTGACCCGTTCTTCACAATCCGTATGTCGCTCGACGACGCCGCAATAATAGAGAGCGGCGTTTTGTCTGCCGGTAACGGCGAGCTCAGATGGCGGATGGACGCCGTACTTGGACGTCCTGTCTCCGAATTGATGGGGATAATTTCCAAGATCTCGGCATCGTTGGAATCGACTTGCTCCGCCAGCCGTAGAGAAAACCGTACACCCGAGATGACCTCAAACACAAGAAGTCGTCCTATCCGGGTCCCCACGATCATCAGTAATCCAGGTTGGCCGTAGGCAAACTCAATTGCAGTCGGCACAATAGGCAGCGAGAGCCCGTCATCAATGAGTTGCGTGTTATAAATCACAGTGTTCGATCTGCGGTCGATCACCACGAGCTGTCCTGACTCGTAGCCAATGCCAACGAATCCAACATTGCTGTTGCACAAAGCCGTCACCTTGCCATATCCCATGCTTTTCACCAGCACTTTGGGCAGAAATCCTTTCTTCATGTCTCTTGGAGCACGGTCGCTGATATCAATAACTTGTCGCTCCGCCTTCGTAGACGAGAGCTCCAATGAGCTCATTCGCCGATTCAAGTCGCCCTGTGCAGGCTGGTATTTCTTGTTCTGTTGGTACGAAAAAAGCAGCACGTCGTTGTTGTACATGCTGCAGGAAAGCTCGAGCTGCTCGGCAGCAAAGGACACCTTTGAGATGGAGTGCTGGGGCGAGTCGTCCAAAAGAATTCTCGAGATGTCAATCTCAAAGGCTGTAGAGCTGTCGAGCTCCCCCTCAGAAGAGTTCCAGATGCGGATGTAGCCATTTTCGTGGCCCGAAACGATGACAGACCCCACGTCTGCCTTGTACTTTGGCCTGCCGGGGATTCCTCCTTTTAGAATGCTGTTTCGGGAGCCTTGAGTGTCGATCATGCCATTGAGGACCCTCTTGTCGATAAATGCAGAGGCCGAGAACGTAATTTTAGGATTCAGCCACGAGATCGTGGACGGGAAATAGCTGGCCTTGAAAGAGAGGTTCCCGGTCGGATAGTTCATGAACTTTAGCGACCCGTCGCTCAGAGTGAGCGCTATGAGTTTTGGGTCATGGTTCCCATCATAGTAGGGCGACGCCTCTCCGAGCGGAATAAAATCAACAATATTGGCAGCTGCGTGGATCGCAAAAATGTTCTGCTGCTTTGGCTGCGCGTAGTACTTCGCCATCTGTGTATAGCTTGTCATTGAGTACGACAACATGCGCCCAAAATCCATGCGCACGAGCTGGTGGTACCCCTCAGTCTCAAACGAGTCTCCTCCGCAGAACAGCAAGGAGGTGCGCTCGGGATCGTGTTCGCACAGCCACGCAGCTTTTTTTATTCTCGTCATTTTGGGACCGTGATGAGTGTCTCCCGACGGTGAGTCAATGTAGCTGTCAAAGAGCGAGCGCGCTAGTATCTGCTCCCCTGTGAGAGCGTCCCAGAAAACCAGCGAGTTGTCGTCGTGGATAGTGACAACATGGAGACCGTTAGGATGCCATAGCGACTGAACAACGTTCGGGATGTAGTAGCCGGAAGCGTCGTAGTCGTACGTCGCATTTTCTCCCCCCGGGGCTCCCTTTGGTAATTTGTACACGAACTCCTTGACTGCCTTGTTTTCCGCAAGATTGAACTCGATGGTCATCTTGGTATAGGAAATTAGAAGAGTGCCAAAGTCTCGCGGATTCAACTTGATCGAAGACACGTGCACGTCAGTCTCTAGTATGAATGTGTTGAATTGCTGTTCTCGCAACGACAGAATAGTTTCGAGGCCGCTTTCTATGTTGAAAGCCTTCACAAGCCCGTTGTTGAATCCAACGTATATAAACTCCAATGAGTAGTCTGTCTCGAACGCAGTGATCTGGCCGCTCGTGACAATCTTGTGCAGCACCTTTTTGGCAGCCAGGGATATCACAAAAATGGTCTTAAGAGAGTCCACAGCCACCAGATACACGCCCTTAACAAACCGCAGAGACCGAATGGCACTTGTGGTGTTCAATGTTAGAGCACAGCTCACCCGGCTCTGTCCGAAAATGTGTACATGGTTGTAGTCGGAAACAATTGCCATCAGGCTCTGCAATGGATCAAAGGCCACGGTCTTAACCTTGCCTGCCACTCCGTAGGTCTGGAGCTCCTCTATAGAAAACGGCACGGAATCTAAACCTGCGGAAACTCCTGAAGCGCCGCGCGACCGGGGAAGATTGATTGGCGACTTGAGCGAGGGCCGCAAAGAAGGCTCCGGCGATGGCGACGGTGACGGCGACTGTTGCTCTTTCTCTCCCTTCTTGTGCAAAAGCCCTATCTTCTTCTTAAACATATTCTACCATCATTTAATGTCTACATATTATGATATTTAGACGTGACACACACCCGTGCACCAGGAGACTAAAACGTTGAGTTGGCTAGCAAGCTGGCAGCGCTCTTGGCGTCCAGGCGAGCGAGCTGGTCAGCAAGCTCGTTTCCCGGTGACGACTCGGCCGTCAACGGGTCGCTCAGTTCAGTTTCGAACTTCTTTTTCGGCCGCGAGTTCCACGGGTCTGAAGAGTCTTTTGAGCCAGGTTCGCTTCGCACGTTGTGCGGCATGTTCTCGCGACCAAGTTTGCTGAGAGACTCTGTTGGGTGGATCAGCTTGTTCGTGTTGAGAAGATGAAGTTTCTTGCGCTGCTGTTGAATTTGCTGTTGCGCAAGACTCTTGAAAGTTTTCTTAGCCAGATCTGTCAAGTACGCCAAGAAGTCCTCGGCTTCGATCAGCATCTCGTAGGTGGTTCTTTTCACTTGGTACTTGAGTTCCTTCTCGTAATTGCTGGCCATTTCCAGGGCGCGGATGGCTTCGTCGACCTTGACTGGGTCGATGATGGACTTTGTCTTTAGTCTTGCGATTATAGAATGGCGTTTTTTCGTGGTTTCCTCTGCGTTCAGGAGCTCGCGCATCAGCAGATGACGGTTCGTCAGTGACTCCTTGATATTGTAGCAGTCGTCGGTCAGTAGTTGAAAGAATTCGGTCAGAGCGGCCGTCAAGCTGACACCTTCGACCAGGTCCATCTCGTTATACAGTTGCATCACTTTGTTCAGCTTGACCCACATTTTGGCCATTTCGGGACTTTCCTCAAGAGCCTGGAACCCTGCGAGCATGTTGTAGAAGTCAGAGTTCACGAGCCAGGACGATTTCTGCAGCCTCAACAGTTTGTCCAGTTTCTCAACCAGTTTCTGCGCGTTCACATAAATGCTTTTGATCATTGGCCTATAAGCGGCCAGTTCGTGTGATGCGTCGTATGGAGGCTGGAACTGCTTCAATGTGCGCCGTTTGAGTCCTGTGGCCATCACAGAGCTGTTGTTCGGTTTGGTTTTCGATGGCGTGTAACTGAAGTCGTTTTGGTCCAAAAACAGCACAAACTCCTGGTTGCGGATCAAGATTGGGTTGCTGCAAACCCTATCAAACCATTGCTGCACCGAAGACTGCAGTGCAGCGACAAATTCGGGCGATCCAGCGTTGTATAGGACGGGAATAGTCGGCAGAGCAGGTACAAACACCTCAATGTTGTTGTAGATCAAATACCGATAGATTGCCTCGAGCTCTCTGTAAGATCGCCTCACGTCTTTGTAGACAGGTTTCCTGAATCCGGGAATATTCTTCACCGAGGCATTCAGAACAAAGACCGGGTTCTTAGCCATTTCGGCACCGTTATTGCCGATTTCCGCCACCTTGATACTCAGCTCAAAGGAGTTTCTGTTCAGTCGCTCGGGTAAGTATCTTTTCAGATCGTCGTCGGTGGGTTGGGGATGGAAAGGAGAGTCTTGTTCTTTGGGCTGCGCTTGGGGGTCTGTGGCCGGCGGAGACGCAGTTGCCGGCTGGCTTGGCTCAACGGCTTGCTGTTCCTGAGATTGTTCAATCACGCTGCTCTCGGCAAAAGGATTATTATCGAAATCATCGGGCTCGTAGGGCACGGCAGACGTCATTTGCACGGTGATGCAAACAAATTAAATTTTATCTCATCTTCGACGCGACGATATCTTTTTCCGTTACAAATTCTCCATTCTCATGTTTGGCTTGGGCACCTTATTTTATTGTAAGTACCACCCTCTCAGTCGTCTAACACATCAGTCATTCTGTTTGCGGTAAACGGAATTGCAGTTCTGAGCGAAGACCGTTTTCTGAACAGGATTGGATGGAGCACCTCATCGTCTGCAGACAACGCATACCTCGCATCATCGCCAGTCGACGGATCGATCGACTCGATCAAGTCACGGCTCGTGAATCTAATCGGTGCCACGAGAACGCTGCTACGATTCCCTCTAATTATCATTAACGTCGTGGTTATTTTGTACGAATTGGTGTTGGGCTAATAATAAATAAGATTACTCTATTTATGCTGCTGGCGCTCACAATCTTTGTCGGCAAAGAAATGGTCAAGAATATCATACTTGTGGGCGCTCCAATTGTAGATAAACCGATCTTCGCCAAAGGCTGCGCCATACTGCAGTTTTTTGAACATCAATATGGTGTCGTAGATCAAAATGTACTGCCTCAGGTTTTGAACCATCGACACTCTTTGAGATCTGAAATTCGATATGACTTCGTACACCACATCGGTGTCCTCGTTGCCTTTTTCGGGATTGTTCACCATGACGTCGATAACCGAGTCGATCGTGCAGAAACAGCCCGTCCGACCACACCCTGCTGAGCAGTGGACCATGACTGGGGCTGCTTCCGTCTGTGTGCGAGAGAGAACGTATCTCTTGAAAGCCACAAGGGATATTAGATCACAGGAGCTTATCAACGCTCCGTAATCTGGCCACGAAAGTATTTGGATCTGGATCACCTCGTGTTCTGGCTTGTTGCCAATTTTCAGCCGTAGTCTTCTGGCGACCGTCTCGCACTGTGACTTATCTGTGAGCTTGAAGTCAGTGATTTCCTCCAGTTGATCAACCTTGATGAATATACCGTTTGAAGAGTATGTGCCTGAAAGCCAATAAGGGGCACACTTCTCAACTTCATTCTCTTTTTGGGCAGTTAGGGACAGGATAAGTGGCACTTTATGGTCAAAGATGACCTTCCAAAAGTCTCCTATAGTTTCTTCCAAAGGTCCCTGAGCTGCAATGTAGCGCAGCTGCGAGCCAGGATAGCTCAAATATGAGGCGTTGATATAGGACTCGTCTTGGTCCAACTCCTCGTCATCAGCGTCATATTTTTGAATCTTAACTCTGGCGTGCTCGTAAGGAAATATATCCTTGTAACGATTTTTTCTGCCCAGCTCCACTCCAGCTGAAAAGCACGGGGTCTCGGGGCTTGGCGTCGTCACGCTAGAGTGCCTTGAAAGAGCCTGATTGAGACGCTCGACTTCCTGAGATTGCAATTCGCTAAATTTATGTGACAAGACCGATGCCCCTGAGTCTGAGCCGATGACGTTACTGAGCCAAGTTGGAAGAATCTTCAAGTCGGGAGACGTGATGTTAGTCGAAAGATGCATGGACATGTCGGGTCTGGCGGTCAGAAATTCCTCATGTTGTCTTGATTTGAAAAATGGCTTGCTAGCGGTGTCTGGGAGCATAAAGTGAGTGAGGCCGTGAGAAATAGGAGACTTGTCGTTGAAGAAGCGTTGTTTCTTTGCGGACGCTGTGTTGGGGGAGTTGGAGGACGACGGGGATGGAAGCGTAACAGTGACTTTGGGTGGTGGAGAAACTTTTTCTGGGCTGGGTATCATCATGACTTTAGGCTTGGAAGCAGACGTGCCAGACTCAACATGGGAAGGATACTGTTCCTGAAACTTGGAAAATCCCCCTTTCAGCACATATATGGGTGCGCTCCATGTGGCAGACGAGGCGAACTTGGCTGCCAGATTGCTCACAGAGAGCGAGGCGGACTGGGTCGAATCCGTGGAATTATCGTAGAAAATTAAGACAGGTAAATTATCTCTGTCTCTTTTCAAGTAGTTGAGGAACAGTGTTTTTTCGTCCGACGTGAGGGTCGCTATGCACCTGTCCAAAGTGAATGTAGCTCTTTTTAGTAGTGTGGAGGGCAGGCACAAGTTGACTGCGCCGACGATGTGCGATTTGCAATAGTCTTGGAAAGGTCTGACGTCAACAACCAATATATTAGGTAATCCATCTTCGCTCACGACGCCTTGAAAATTCTCAATGTGTCTAAAGGACTCCTCAGGAGAAATTAAGGAGCAACCTTTTGGTAGCGGGTATTTGACATCCTTGAACCTGCTTGGTCTTGGGGAGCCCGGCTCTGTGTTGGAAAGAAATTTTTTTAGCGTGAATGCTGGCGGCAGTGTACTTGTAGAACCGTTAGCACTTGTTGACGTGCGTCCGTCCACTATATCTGTTGTGCTTGCTGAGGCTTCTTTTAAGTTGAACTTTTGCTGGCTAGGAGAAAACCTGGACATCTGAAAAGCCTCGCTTTTTGTTGAACGGTGGCATTTGGCCTTCACCGGCGTGGGCTGCTGTGACTGTGACTGTGACTGTGACTGTGACTGTGACTTGTGCTTCTCCTCCTCGTCTTCTTCCTCCTCCTCGTTTATTTTCAGCGACATCAGCTGGGAGGGTTCGAACAAGGTTTCGGTGCTGGCGATGGAGAGATTTCGCCCATCAGAAGGGTGTGCCACATCGCTGGCGGAGTCGACGAGCGTAGAGTCTGAGGTAAGCGAGGATATCGAATTGGCACATTTTTGGTGGTCATTGACGGAGTGTTTGTGGTTTCCACTCACGGGTGCCAAGGGCATGGAGGGTGGGTTCTGCTTTGACTGAGTTGACAACTCCAAGAATTCCGAAAAATAATCTATATCGTTTGTTTGTTTACCCTTCGTGGAAACGTGGTTTGGCGTATTGCTCAGAGAAGACATATGAAGCAGTAGCTCATACGATCTTCGATATATAGGACGGGATCTAGTATAATCTGATGCGTCACTTTGCTAAATATAATTTCAAAGGCGAAAAAAAAAGAAAGAGCCCTACAAAAGTTTAAAATAAGCCTAGCCTTTCGTCTAACGGATATATTAAACTTTTACTCCTTTGCCAGGCCACTGAAAATAAAATTCTCGCGTGATGTCATTGCGCGTTCACACGGCGACCAAATATTCCCTTGCGCTATTTTTACTAATCGCGGGCTAGGCCTGCCAAAGAAATTTAGCAGCAGCCCAAAATAGAAACACCGGCCCACGGGGCCTGCCATCTCTACACCACGTCTTGATTTTATTTTTTTGATTTCTTGCCTTTTAAGCTCTAAATATTCCCCAGATGACAGGTGCGCCCTTGTCCACATCGTTCTCGGTGCCAAATAGCTCTGGCCCGGTGAAGTCGTTGTTGTCAGAGCGGCTGCTGGTGCTGCGCAATAAGTCGCCGCCGGAGTCTCAGGACTCGGACCTGGCACACATTCCTCTGCCTTCCTCTCCTTCGGATTCCTCTCACAAGGGCCTCCACAGGCTGGGGTTTTCGCGGAAAAAGAGTGACAGCAGCGATTCCTTTAGCGACCACAGTGACGACAAAAAAGGTTTGATGGGCATACTTACGCGAGTTCGAAGGATATCGCGCTCTAGTTCTGATGAAACAGATACCGACACGAAACCTGATCCAACGACAGAGCACAGATCGCACCCGAAATTAGAGTACCACGAGGAGGAGACTTTCACAACCCCGTTGGACAAGAAGTCAATTCCGCGAGAACTCATCGACCAGGGAATTGAGATGCTAAGAGTGACCCATAAAAAGAAAGTCAAACGGTGTTTCCGCTTGAACTTGGACAACAATCATCTGATCTGGAATAACAAGGCCTCGTCATTTCTGGAGATCGACAAGATCAAGGCGATCAGAACCGGCTTTGAGGCCAAGAATTACAGGGAGGAGTTTAAAGTGTCATCCGATTACGAAGATTTATGGATAACGATTATCTACTACAAGGATTCCAAGTCAAATAATATCAAAGTCTTGCACATGATTGCTCCCGGCAAACATGAATACGATACTTTTGTTACCACTTTGCGCAACCTCGTATATTTCAAACGGCAGATGGATAGTATCAGTGAATTGTTCACTGACTTGCACTGGAACAACAAAAACTCCGAAAGCGAGCATCTCTCGTTCGATGGTGTCCTCAAATTAGTGTCCAAGCTTCATGTCCACGCAAGTCCAGAGTATCTCGAGAATCTTTTCCGCAAGGCTGACTCGGAAGCAAAAGGTCACCTAAATTTCCAAGATTTCAAGAAATTTGTCAGTTTACTCCGAGACCGCAAGGAGTTGAGAGCCATATTTGATCAACAAGTTCGGATCACGCCCGGGAGATTGTCCTTCGAGGAATTTTGCAGTTTCCTCGTCGAAGTACAAAAAGAAAATATCTCCTACTCGCAGGCGAAGCAGATATTTCATCGCTTCTCCAAAACAAAACACTACCTAGAATACGACGAATTTGTTAGTTTTCTCACCAGCTCATATTCAAAACCTTACGCCAATATCCAAGAGGATTACTCATACCCGCTCAATGAGTATTTTATCTCCTCATCGCACAATACATATTTATTAGGAAGGCAAGTTAATGGAACTGCATCCATTGAAGGCTACATTAGAGCATTACAACGAGGCTGCCGTTGCATCGAGATAGACCTCTGGGATGGCGAAAGAGGACCAGTGGTTACTCACGGCCGCACATTCTCCAGCTCCATTGAATTTCAGCTCGTGGTGGAGACAATTGGCAAGTACTCTTTCATCACGTCCCCATATCCTGTTATTTTATCGCTGGAGGTTCGTTGCAATGCTGAAAATCAGCTTCAAGCTGCCAAGATCCTCAAAGATATTCTACAAGACCGCCTGCTAGAATATCCGGTCAAATCGCCCTTCGAAACACTGCCATCGCCCGAGCAATTGAAACATAAGATACTAGTGAAAGTGAAGAAGTCTACCGGTGAGACTGGAAGCTTTGACAGTATGTCTTCGTCGTTGTCTTCGTTTAGCGAAGACAATAGTACAATCACAAAGATTGTTCCCAAGAAAAGAAAAACCGTCAAGATCTCTCAGGAGCTGGGCAACCTCGGGATTTATGTTATTGGAACCAAATTTCGCAATTTCTCGCTTCCCGAGTCCAAAACATTCAACCACTGTTTTTCCTTCAGTGACAAGGCGCTAGTCAAAATGGCAAGGGAGGAGGCTAAGTTTTCTGCTATTGTCAAACACAACAGGAGGTTTCTCATGAGAATTTATCCATCAATCTATCGCTTCAGTTCGAATAATTTCAATCCGTTCTTTTTTTGGGAACTGGGATGCCAATTAGTTGCAACGAACTGGCAGGTTTATGATGTGGGACAGCAGATCAACGAGACGCTTTTTAATATAGGCTCCAGCTCCGGATACGTCCTCAAACCCTCTTGTCTGCGGATCAGAAACCCAAAGTTGCAGAATATCGACCCATTGGGCTGCTTGAAATTTGAGCAGAGTAGGCGCATTAACATTGAGCTCATTTCCGGACAACAACTTCCCAAGCCAAAGGATATCAAATCGGATTTTTTTGATCCCTTCTTAGAGCTGGAAATTTATTGTGCAGAGGTTTTGGACGCGAATGTCAGCTCCACGACTGGAAAGCTGGGAACGGTATTGAAAACGGAGTCCTCAACTCACCAAAAATCTCTCGTTGAGCAATTGATCAAACTCGCAGAACCCTCTGTTGTGTTCAGGACAGCTCCAGTACCTCAAAACGGATTTAATCCTGTCTGGAATCAGAGCTGCTCGGCAACATATCTCACAAACGACATTGATTACGTTTTCCTGCGGTTCCTGGTGAAGTGCGCTAGCGAGGGCTCCGAAAAACTTATTGGAACACACACGTGCAAGCTCGATTACTTGAAACAAGGTTACAGACATCTTCCACTGTACGATCAGCAAGGCGAGGAATTCATCTATTCGACACTATTTATTAGGGTTGATTATGAGGATAAAAAAATGACTAGAAAAATGACATGATGTCGTCCTCCTTGTCCTTCTTGACGGTGGCCGTGGATCTCTCCTTTCCTGCACGTAATTCGCGTCTGATTTCCGGTCCAATCTCTCGGTGACCCCGTTGTCTGACAACTTCCATGAGGAAATCGCGCTGATCCTCAGTGATGTCGTTTTTGTACCGTTGTGCGAATGCCAAAAACGCCTTATGCCAGACAAGCGGCATTGGAGACGCGTCTCTGAGCCTTCTTTGCTCAGCAATTTCAGTGTCGTCATCAAGTATGATGTCATTTCTTGTTTCTTCTGTGATCACACGGAAGCGCATGAAATAAAACACTAGGTCGTCGATGGTCTGGTATGGTAAGGCGTACTTTTTCTCGATTAGAATTCGGATGAACACGGTGGTTGCTGGGTTGAAGTCTTTTTGCAATAACCACGAAAGCGCCACAGCAGAGTGTTGGACAGGAATCGAACACTTGGTTAGGATTGACCCCACGATCATTGCCTCTCTTGTTGTGCATCCGTCTTCAATCAATGGGAACAGGAATCCACGGAAAAATGCGGCAGGCTTATATAACGATTTTTTTAACGAACGATAAAGATGATAATTCAGCTTGTGATCGTCGCTTTCCTCGATATCTTGTCTGACTTTCGGATAAAGAACCAGATTAACAAACCTCTCTGCTTTATTAGCGGTCAGGTTAGACACAAACAGTCTGGTGGCCTCGTACGTCACCTGCGGAGTCCATGCTTCAGGATTCGTCACAAAAATCAGATCCTCCCAATTCTTGATGCTGGGAAGCACTTTAAAGAGTTTAGGCAGCTTCCCATGTCTCCATACATGTAGACTCTGTCCAACCTTTTCATAGGCCTCTATGACTCTTGGTGGAAGGAAGACTTTGTCTTGGGGTCTCTCTGTCTGTTCCGTCTTCTGCTGTTGGGTTTCCTGTAGCTTGGCCATGACTTTGTCAGCAAGATTGAAGCTGCCAAATGCATTATTGTCCGATTTGAAGTAAGACTCAAACAATTTCACGTCTTCCTCGTCTACTTCCTCGATGTCCTCGTCGTAGTATTCGTTTTCACCATCGTCGGACATCTCTTCGTAGACTACGTCATCGTCCGAATCGTCAGATTCGTGCGCAATCATTTGAAACCTCGGCTTCTCAGACACTTGTAAACGGTTTTCCTCGAGGGCAATCTCCTCCTGCTGCTCTCTCGCGAGCTTCAGCACCTTTCTAGAGGCAGCAGCATCTAGGACAAAATCATCTTCTGCATCGTCCTCGCCTGTCTTTTCGTGCTTCGAGCGTTTTCCAACTTTCAAATGGCCTGTCTCTGTGATATCTTTATACAGCGGCTTGTGCCGCATCTTGTCTTTAGCATCCTTGGTACTGATCTTTCCCATGATGAGGAAGTGAGAATTATTTAAAAAAATTCGAAAAAAAATTTAATCAGGAAATAGGAAAACGAATTTGCCATGGCAGAAGAACTATCATTTGATCTCGGTTTTTTTTCCTAGTTTCTCGTTTTATATTCATTATGGTGGCCCTCAAAAGATCAAGCGAGACACACGTTAATGGAACCAAACGTGCTTCGTCGGAAGGTCCAATCGATGCCAAAAGGGCGAAGACGTCACACTCTTTCCAAGCCTTGAGAGCGTCGAAATTGAAGACAATCAACACGATTCCAGCCCCTAAAACTGATTTGCTCGATGTCTTTGTGTGGGGTTCTGGATCTATGTGCGAGCTCGGTCTTGGGCCAGCCGCCAGCACCAAAGAGGTCAAGAGGCCGAGACTGAACCCTTTTCTGAAGAAAGAAGAGGTGGGGATTGTTGATTTTGCTGTGGGAGGGATGCACACTCTTGCCCTGGATCACACGAATCAAGTCTGGTCGTGGGGAGGAAACGATTCGGGCGTTCTGGGAAGAGACACCACCAAGCCTGGTGCCGAGCAGCTAAAAGATGCCGATGCCGACAGTGAGGACGAAGACGGCGAGTTGAATCCTTTGGAATCGACTCCTGCTGTCGTCGAGGGTTTGCCAAAGGACAAAAAAATTGTACAGCTAGCCGCTACCGACAACCTGTCTGCTGCTTTGTACGAGACAGGCGAAGTTTACGCTTGGGGAACATTTCGATGCAACGAGGGCATTCTTGGATTCAACCGAGACGTCAAGATCCAACGAAGTCCGGTGAAAATCCCAGATTTCGAGAACATCGTCCAATTGGCTGCCGGAAAAGACCATTTGTTGGGTCTGGACACGAAGGGAGTCGTGTATGCATGGGGTAACGGACAGCAGTACCAACTGGGAAGAAAGATTTTGGAGAGAACTAGAATGACGTCTCTGGAGCCACGCTCGTTTGGACTGAAAAATGTCAAAGCCATTGGCTCAGGAGAATTCCATTCCTTCGCAATAACCGCTGATGGTAGGGTTCTGAGCTGGGGACTCAACCAATACGGTCAGTGTGGTATCCACGTTGATATTGAGGACGGGGCTGTTGTTTCGAAGCCAACCGAGATCGAAGAGCTGACGGGTAAGGACATTGTGTATGTGACAGGAGGAGAACACCACTCGTTGGCTCTGTCATCTTCTGGCGACGTTTACACTTTTGGTCGATTCGACATGAAAGAAATCGGTATTGAGAAGGATAAGCTCCCAAAAGATGGTGTCATCACCGACGAACACGGCAACGTGAGATCTCTGCCTGTTGCCACGAAACTAACCACTCTTCCTAAATGCAAGGCTGTTGCTGCCGGCTCTCATCACTCTATTGCTGTCACTGAGGATGGTATCGCTTTCTCGTGGGGATTTGCGGACACCTATGCGCTTGGACTCGGAAACTTGGACGAGGACGTTTCCAGACCTACCAGAATCAACAACACCGCCACCAGAGACCACAACATCGTGCTAGTGGGCTGTGGCGGACAGTTTAGCGTCAGCGCCGGTACAAAGCTCTCGGAAGAGGAGGCCGAAAAAAGAGCAGAGAAAATAGAGGAGTTTGAGAAGTCTTTAGAATAGATGTATCATATTATGTAATTTACAAGCATCATTGGCTGTTCCTGATCATTCCATCTGCTCGTCTAAGCGCACACACAGACCGTGTTCTCTCATGTACTCCTTGACCTGTCTGACAGTGTACTCGCCGCGGTGGAACATGCCTGCTCCCAAAGCAGCGTCCACGGACGTATTTTTGAAAACTTGCTCGAAGTGCTCCGGTCTTCCTGCTCCACTGGAAGCTATCACGGGAATCGACACTGCGCTCTTGATCTGGTTTATCAGCTCGAAGTCATAACCGGAATTCGTTCCGTCCTTATCTATGCAGTTGAGCAGCACCTCTCCAGCTCCCAGTTTTTCGCAGGCCTGGCAAAGCTCGTATGCGCCCAGCTGATGGACTTTACGGCCTCCCTGCGAAGTCACCTGGTAATAGCAGTATTTTTCTCCGAGCGGCCCTGGGAATTTCGTCTCAATGCAGTTGTAGCTGCACTTTTCAGGATCGGCAACGTACTTTCGCTTTGGGTCGACAGAAATCACGACAGCCTGAATTCCATACGCTTTGGAAATCGTCTCTATTGGGGTTGTACCGGTGCACTTACTGCCGTTGGCATAGAAGTTCTCGGCAGCGCTGACTGCGTCTGAGCCTATCGAAACCTTGTCTGCTCCAGCACGAAAATACAGACTGGCCACGTCCAGAGCTGGTATGCGAGTCCCGTCGGGGTCAACCACATCCTTGATTCCTCCTCCAACTGTGAGAGGAACAAAACAGGTCTTGGCTGCCAGTCTGAGCACTTCGAGCATAGGAGCGTCTTTCACGGGGGAGTTTCTGAACGACGTGATATTGAGGAACGTCACCTCGTCTGCGCCTTGGCGATAATATTTCTCGGCCATCTCCACCGGTTTTCCCAAGTTCCGCACGTCTCCTCCGTTGCTTTTTTCTCGAACATCGTACTGGTCTCCCTTGGTGACAACGAGATCGCCGTTATCGTTAGTTCTGACATCCAAACAAGCAATCACACGGCGCGTGAGGCCCGTGGGGGTCTTCTCAACCTCGTCAATCGCCTTGTTGACAATAGTTGTGTTCTTTTCCTGCTTCAGAAACGACTCGATAAGTCGGAGACCAGCAATTCCTGACTTTTCTGGGTGGAACTGCGTAGCAAAAATATTGTTCTTCACCACGGCTGCAATAAAGGTCTCCGACCCGTACGTAGCCACAGCCAAGGTCCATCCCTCGTTTTGCAACCGGTCGATATCCTCGCTGCTAACGATTCCTGCGTAAGAATGGACAAAATAGAACCTAGAGCCCGGATCCATGGCGTACAGCGTCTTGCCGTCCTCTGACCCCAGAACACGGACACAGTTCCACCCAATCTCAGGTACAGACTTGTCTGAGTCGTCGAACCGGGTCAAATCAAGGTCCACAAGCCCCAGACCCTGTACTTCTGGACTCTCTTCTGACCGTCTGAAGAGAGTCTGTAGCCCAACGCAGATACCCATAAGCGGGCGGCCACTGTCTATGTACTCCATCAGAGGCTCCACAAAGCCGCGCACACGCAGCTCACGAACGAAATGGCCAAAATTGCCAACTCCAGGGAGAATCAGCTTCTGGACATGCATCAAAGAGCCGTTTTCTAGACGTCTAATAAACTCCACCTCATAGCCCAGGTGCTCGATGGCGTTCTGGAGCGAGCGCAGGTTCCCGCTTTCAAGATCGATCACATGGACAACCTCTTTCGCCATTGCTCGATATTAATGCGCGCAAAATGACTAACTAATTCTATGAAAAAGTGGAAAATTTATAGTCGTGTACAAAGTCTATTTAAGGGCCCGGCGACTCTTGACGGCCTCGGCCAGCTCCGTGAGCATCTGCACGGTGGTTTCCCATGACACGCAGCCGTCCGTGACAGACACGCCGTATTTAAGCTCGGCCTTGTTCTTAGGAATCGACTGTTTGCCCTCGTTGATGTGGGACTCGATCATGACTCCGATGATCTTATCCTCACCTTTGGCGATCTGTCTCGCCACCTCCTTCGACACCTTTGGCTGGTTTCTGTAGTCTTTGTTGGAGTTTCCGTGAGAGCAATCCACCATCAGAACTCCTCCTGGAGGAAGCTTCGACTTGGCTTCGGCAACAGATGCCTCGTCGTAGTTGGTGCCCCTCTTGCCACCTCTCAGAATAATAAAGCAGTTGTCGTTTCCCTTGGTGGTCGTGATAGCAGCGAGGCCGTGCTTTGTGACACCCATGAAGTGGTGGGGAGAGCCAGCGGCCTGAATAGCGTCGATCGCCACGTCCAGAGAGCCGTCGGTACCGTTCTTGAAACCAATAGGGAAGGACAAGCCAGAAGCCAGCTCTCTGTGGAGCTGCGACTCCGTGGTGCGGGCGCCAATAGCGCCAAAGGACAGGAGGTCGGCGAGGAACTGCGGGGAGATAGTGTCGAGCATCTCGGAGCCAATAGGCATTCCCTCGTTGGTCAGTTCCACAAACAACTTTCTCGAGATCTTGAGACCCTTGTTGATGTTGAAAGTGGTATCGAGGTCTGGATCGTTGATCAGCCCTTTCCACCCCACAGTGGTGCGGGGCTTTTCAAGGTAGGCACGCATGATCACCACCAGTTCCCCAGAAAGCTCATCAGACAGTTTCTTCAACCGTCTGCAGTAGTCCATAGCAGCCACTGGGTCGTGGAGGGAACAAGGTCCAACAACAACCAGCAGACGGTCGTCCTGCTGTTTCACCACTGCGCTGGCCTCTTTTCTTCCCTTGATGACCGCAGCAAGGGACGCTTTTGTTGGAGGCACCTCCTGCTGAAGAAGAGCGGGAGTAACCAGAGGCTCGTAGCCAGCGATGCGGAGGTCGTCGTACTCTTCAGGAGCCGGAGTGGCCGAACGGGTTCTCTCGAAATCCAGGAGCTCGTTGTCTTTATGTGATCCAGCTACAGCACTCATTGGAAATAAATGAAAATATTTTAATTGGAAAATTATCTAAATGTGTCATGCATATAATCGTCGAGAAAAACACATGGCATGGCACATGTTGTCAAGGAAGCGAAAATGCGTCCTAAAATGGCTCAGTAGATGGTATGTGATAGGACCGTATGCTCTCGAATGATATTGGGCTTGGGCGTCCTTTTTCGGTGCTCTCTACTTGGCACCCTCATTATCATCGCTTGCTACCCTAAATTATAACGGCTGTGCAGTTTTTCATCCTGTCTGTAAAAAGATCCTCCGGTATTCTGCACTCTGTTTTATAACTCCTTCTCTTTTTCGCATGGTTTCTTCAGACTCGGAGTTCGTCATACCCGACGACATAGAGCTGCACAGAATAGTCAAATCCCGCTCCAACAGTTTGCAGGAATCCGCGGAGCGAGAGAGCCAGTTCTCGGAGCTCAGCAACGGGGGTCCCCTAAGCTCTCCGAAATCCAAGGTTAAAGCCTTCCTAGAGGGCCTGTGGCACGGTCCGGCACACCCGGTGGATGGTCCGCCTGAGATCAAGAGCCCCTATGCCCGGCAGTTCGAGAACTTCCCGTACCGAATATCCAGCTCCTTTCCCACCAAAATCAAGCTCCCCTTCATCATTCTGTACTACGCCTTTTGGCTTGTGATACTACAGCAGGCCCTTTCGTCCTATTTGACTGAGCAGCCAACTTATCAAGATGAGGCTTCGGGCAAATCAATGGATATCATCAGTATCTCCTGTCGCGGAGAATCTTCGATATGGAAGGGCAAGAATCAGAGATGCGGGCTTGCAGGAGCTAAATGCGCACCTTTCGATAACAGAGAAGTTGTTCTGCGGTGTCCGGCGCTGTGCGATTCGGAATCTATCACGTACTCTTCAATTCCGGTTGGAGATCAGAATATCAAGTACCGAAGTTTCACCATCGGTGGAGGCAGGGCTGAAACTCCCGAAAACGATGTCCTCTCTTATCCCTACCGTGCGGACTCCTACCCGTGTGGGGCAGCCGTCCATGCCGGCTTAGTCTCGCCCTTTTTTGGCGGCTGCGCTAAAATCAGATTCGTCGGACCGCAGCCGGAGTTTCCTGCTAAAGACGGATCCATAGGTTTTGACAGCTTTTTCCCGGCATCCTACCAGTTTGTCAAGACTCCAAAATGCCACAACTGCTACGATCCACGAGTGCTTGTCGCCTTTATCAACATCCTGCTGGGTTTGCCGGTTATTTATATGTCGACCAACGGAAGCCTGGCCTTTTGGACCGTCTGCATCAGCGGATTCTGGACAATCATTCTCACATTCGATCCACCACTCGTGGTGAAGGCTCAGGACCCGGAGTCTCTGGCCACGCTCATATCGCTCGGTTTCGAGAGACTGCTGCCACTGTGCTTCATCCTCTATGTCGTCTGGAAAGCCGCCTGCCAAACAACCCTGAGTCGCCCATCGTCACCTATCTGCAAAGCACTGATTTGGTATCCACTGTTCTGGGTCGGCATGCTCAACAACGTCACATTCGACAGGCTCCCAGTAGACCGTCTCACCATAACAGACATCCTTACACAGCCAGGGTCGATCTTTGCAACCCTGGGCATCGTCGCGATCATCGCTGTCGGCGTGGTTGTCCAGGCATACCACTTGTGGAAGGCGGGCAAGTTCCGCATGTACTTCAAGCTGTACCTTGGATTCATCGGAGCTCTGGTGGTGCTGGGAAACCTTTCTGGTCTGAACCTCAGAATCCACCACTACATCCTGGCTCTGCTCCTTATTCCAGGAACCAACACCAAGGGGATGACCGCGATGTTGTTCCAGGGCGTCTTGCTCGGTCTGTTGGTGAACGGAGTCTCGCGGTGGGGACTTGCGTCGATCGAGGAGACCGACAGATCATTGAGACGGTCGGATCCGTCAGGAGAAATCAAGCCTCCGGAATTTCTGGGGTACGAGCGCTCGAACTCCAGTGTTTCCTGGCAGATTCGCGAACGGGACAATCCGATAATGATTAACGGAGAGTTCATCTCGCCACACGACAAGCTGAACCGGTACTCACTCATCGTCAACGACGTGGAGTGGTACAATGGTCCGAATAGCTCTGTAAGCCTGGAGGCCCTTGCTGCCGAAAATGACCGGTTTGGGGAGCTGCTGGGGTACGCTTCCGACCATTCACAGGAGCAGAAACTATACTTGAGAGTTGGCAGGGCTGGAGGAACCAGGAGAAGTGACTACACGAACGCTGCTGTTTTGAAATATCCGTCTGGAGAGTTTGTGCCTCCCAAACCGGGTCTCACTAAATAGAGTATTATAGACGTCTACTGGTTTTATTATAGGCCGAAATGAAGGAGAGTTTTTTGGCGACGTCAAGATCCGGGCCGGTCAATTTCAGAGATCCGTAGTTGGACAACTTCTCCCTGATGGTGGCTGGCTTTAGATCCCCGAGATCAAAGCTCTTCAGCCGAAAGTTCACATCCCACTTGAGATGACTCAGATGAGAGTAGAGATACGAGACTGTTGACCGTGGTATAGGAGTGGTCACCAATGAGGGAGGCAGCACTTTTATGCTTATAGCCTTATACTCAAAAGTGTTCCTGTATGCGGAGTACACGGTGGCCAGGTCAATCGGGGGAAACGCAAGAACGCTCCTGTTGTTGGTTGTTGTGCCTTCCGCTAGGACAAAGACAACACTGTTCTTCAATTTGAATAGGTCCACCGGGGCTGCAGATTGGTAGGTGAGTTGGGGCTGGGCCAGGGCAAAGCTGAAGGTTTCCAACAACCCGTTTAGTTTCCTAAGATTGCCCCTGCTATCTGCGGTGAGGAAACTGCAGTTGTTTGATTTGCTGACTAGGTACAGGACGAGACAGTCCAACGGAGAAGAGAAGTTGACAAACACCAATTGGCCTTTGTCGGGCCGCCTTGAGTCAATCTGCTTGGTGTTGGACTTCTTGACTCCGTCAGCCAGAAACTCGATCTCGCTAACATTAAACAAAACCAGCAACAACAGTCTCAGAACCGGCCTGAAGAGAAATCCAACTGGCCAGCAGAGAGACGACAACAAGAACAGAAATACCGAGGGAACTATCTTCAAAAGCGCCCAGATTGGACCCAACACATATTTCACCAGCACAGAGCTGTTGGCGGGTGGTATGGGCATAAAGGGAGAGATCCCCGTACCCTTATCTCTCCAATCGCTGAATTTTTCCATTATAAAAAGATTTATTTTATACATAGTCCGGAAATGGAGTCTTCAGCGTATGGCTGATCTCTGGATAATAATTAGTGAGCTTGACGTAGTAGTCGTGGTAGTTCTGCTCAAAGACCTCTGGATTAATGCATAGCGCGATCAGGAACGTGATGAAGCCCGAATTAAACGAGTTGAGCGTCACCTTGGCGATGAATAAGCCCAAGAGCAGCTGCACGATGAATGCCAAAATCACAAACTCCTTAGGTAGACGATCAAACAACGCTGTCGTTTTGTAAAGTAGGTAGAACACGCCACCGCTCGTCAAGGAGACCAGGATCGAGTACAACGTCAAGGTCGACTCCACCAAGCAGTCTGTCACTAAAACTAGCAGGCCTCTGAATCTCAGCAGCTCGTAAGTGTCTTTGGACGACGACAGATAGTCCTTTCCGTAGAGTGCAAGATATGAAAAGGCGAATTTGTTGAACCACTTCACCCAGAACTCTACCTGATCTGCAAGCCATTCGAGGATGGAAAATAGACAAATCAGAGCACAGAAGAGTAGTCCATTTTGCTCTTCCTCATCGCGGCCGTATTGTCTGTTGATCACCTTTTCCTTTCCAAAGGTGATGATCTGTCTGATCGTGCGCGTGATCGGCACAATTATGGATCCGAAACAGATGCTTCCAAAAGAATATGTGATGGCTCTTTTGAACGATCCCCAAGCAGGGTTGCGCGGCTTCACTACAGACCGGTGGAAGAAATACCACGAGCCGTAGATCCCACTGATGGTCACATGAGTGAGATTTTCGAGAACCTCAAATATGTAACAGCCAGTGAAGAGCGTGAATAACTCGACTGCAAGGGTGGTGTTGGACACACAAACGTCATTGCCGTCTTCGTGTGGGCAGTTGGCATCGTCTTGTTTGAGGCGGTCGTAAGCGATGAGTCCGGCGAGCACAAAGAAAACCAGAGAGCATATGCCTGAAATAATAGAGCTCAAGCATGAAACCACCAGCGTCGAGGGATAATCGGCCATGGTCTCTATGATGATGCGGAACACCAAGCTAGTGAAGCTTAAGTTTCTCCTGATCGACGCCAGGTACCAAATCTGGAAGAACCCCAAAATGAGAAACATTCCTGCCGCTCCCGGTTTTCCTGTTGCGAACATACTGGTGGCGAGCCCAAACATCACTAGCGGGAGGAGGAAGTAACCGGCAAGGACAAAAAAGAGCGGATACGCCCACACGAGTACCAGCAGTACCACGGAGCAAACGATCGGAATCACAAAGGCCGAGGTCACGAGTGGCCACAAAGACGGATTTGCCGCGGCCTGGATTTGAAGTATGTATTCGTGGTTCTTGATGTTCTTTATGCTGTGGCCGGCCAACAGGCCAAATAGCACCAGTGTAGCAAAGAAAATTAGGGTAAACACCTTGTCCTGGTATTTTGGCGACGCGATCTTGAACGATTCCTCGAAGCTATCAGACTCCACGGGCTCCTTCGGTTTCTCAAATGTGTACTCATATTCAGGAGGCTCTTCCTCCGACTGGAAATATGGAGGAGGCAGAAGGCGTGAACTCTCTGACATCGTATTAACCGTCAGGCTTGAGGTTTAGCGTAGCTAGCAAATTGATTCCAGAGCCCACTTTCAAACGGTTGCCTAAAGAAATGATAATTAGAATTTTAATTTCTGGAAATTATTCAGGATCGAGCTCTAAATACTAGAGCGTCATATTTGAGATAAATGGACACAACAGCTTCGCCCGTCGATTGCCGGTTCCGATCCGACCAGCTGGATCTTCTTGCAGCATACGCAAATCCGGAATATGGCTCCATGGCACCGTCGATGCTGGTCGAAGGCCCTTCTTCCTCGGGCAAGACATACACTCTGCGCAAGTACTTTGGACATTTGCAGCGAAATAGGCAAATATTGTTTTCAGAAATCCAATGTGAATACTGTCTCACGCGCAAAACAATCTTGCACACGATTTTGCGCAATTTGATCAACTTGCTCGATATTAATGTCCAACAGTCAGCCGAAATGATCAGTAAGTGCGATGGACTTGGAACTTTTGTGGAGGTGCTGAAACAGATCGAACACATATACACTACCATGTCTGACGGCACACGACACCCCCCTGTCGTGTTTGTGCTTGATCGAGTGGAGAGATTGCTTCCAAATGAAAACTCCTCAGAGCTCTGCATAGCACTGTCGAAAGCTCATGAGCAGAGTCCAGCTCTTGACTTATTCACGTTTGTCTACGTGGTAAATCGCAGTGACTCCCTCAATCTTCAAACCCTCGCACTGCCTACCATCGCCTTTACCTGCTATTCCATTGACCAGATCAAAGACATCTTGCTTGACTGGATAACTGATTCAGATTCACCGTTTCTTCCTCCCCATCAGTTCAGATCATTTGCTCGACAGTTTCTTGACATCATACTAGACACTTACACATCATATTTTGGCTCAGATATTGGGCTCATGGTCCCTGTACTGGCAAAGCTGTGGCCAGTCTTCATCAACCCGGTCAATGAGCTCGGACGCATACAGAACGGCACCAACGACGTGCTCACTACATTTCAGCGGAATAAGTCATTGTTGCAAAGCGAACAAGGCCTCTTGGACGACCTTGCCAGTGCAGACATTCCGTCAAGCGACCTGCCTAAGAAAACCAAGTACATTTTGATTGCATCGTACCTTGCATCTTACGATGACCCCAAATACGATCTAATTCTGTTCTCCAAACAGAGAGAAGCGCGCTCGAACAGGAAAGTTCGCCATTCCAAAAAGAAAAGCACCAAACCAAGCGACCAGCTGTCGTCCCGGATGCTTTCCCCACAGGCGTTCACGCTTGAAAGATTGCTAGCAATCTTGCACGCAATATACGACGAGAACTGCGACGAGCCTCTATTGAACGACGTAGAGCTTTTATCGGAACTTGCCACGCTTTCGACACTCAAATCTGTCATGAAACTAAAACTAGGCGACACCATCGGAGGCGGCACCAAATGGAAATGCAACGTCAACTGGAGCGTTATCAAGAAGTTCTCGGACGACGTGGGGTTTGAAATAGAAAATTTCCTGATAGACTAGTTTCACCATTCATCTTTCTGCTCTGTTTGTATTGTTCCTCCCACCTTCATTGCGATCTCCTCGATGTCATTGTAGTTTTCCCCAAAAATGGGGCAAACAGATCTCATTTTGGCACGAGCTCGCTTGAGAACGTTCTCGTATTTTTCAACGTCGGAATCATTATTCGTAACCTGTGCTCGACCATTCTCAAAGAGAGTGTCAATAAGCATTTGCAGCTCGGTTAGACTCTGTAATAGTTTGGAGAACTGTCTTGGTTTACCCTTGTCATCCGTTGTGGCACCGGCGTCGATTTTCTGCTGTGTTTGATCGATCCATATTGCGACTAGTGCTTTATACTGGCCAAGAACTAGAAGACGCTGGAAACCGGTCTGAATGCCGATCTGCTTTCCTTCCAAAAACTGTTGCTTCGACCCTTCCAGTTGCCCTTCAAGAAACCCTTCCTGGTAGTACTGGTTTTCTAGGTTCAGCAGCGAATCGAAATCTATGTCTTTTTGTTCGCACGGCATCGCGATGAATATTTTTTTGATTTATGTCCGATTTAAAAAGACGACGCAGACTGAGACAGGTCAAAACAGATGTTTACGGGTCCGACTCAGACAGCGAAAATGACGGGGGAAAGACGATGGACATGGATACCTTTGGCCAAGAACTGGAGCTCGACTCTAATGAGAGTGTAGCGGAGGAAGACGATCAGGAGGTCAAAATCGAAGCATTCAACCTTAAGCAAGAGACGGAGGAAGGGGTGTTTGATCAAGATGGCAACTACGTGCGGACGAAGGAAGAAAGCGAAGACGAGGACTGGCTAAATGATGTGAAAAAGGAAGACATCCAGAAGGCTCGTGCGGCTGAAATGCGACAGGACGAGGAGAGACGGAAACTGAAAGACCAAAAGGCTCGGCGATTGCGGTCTGCTAATGTGAATGAGGTTATAGGACAACTTTCTGAGCTGATGGAGCCGGCAGAAAGTGTGGTAGAACTACTACAACGGCTAAACGGTGAGGCAAGAAGGCTAAAAAAAAAAGGTCAGAAGGAGGACGAAAAACGCGTACGAGAGCAAATTTCGCAGGTGATGAGCGCAATTGAGGTTTTAGAAGATGGCTTTGCAGAGATTTACGAAGTGACGAGAGAGGAACTAATGCGGAAATTGCCCACTGCCCCGGCTTCCGAGCGCAAACGAAAAAGAGAGGACCCAAGTGCCGAGCTGTGGTATTATCGATGGCCCGGACAGAACGAAATTTATGGTCCCTATGACTCAGCCACAATGGAAGCGTGGCGTGAAGCGTATTTTGTCGATAACCCGGTGGAATACCGGAGAGGGAATGAACCATTTAGATTGCTCGATGATTCCACAATGTTCCTGTAATGGACCCCCGTATTTCCGATACAATTACCTAATAAAGAATGCCGTCCGGGGTGCAGGTATTGACACCATTTTTTTAAAATTCGGCTGCACGGGGCGCACGCCCCGTATCCCCGTGGTCAATTTGGCGTGAGCAAGTATGATATAAAAGCGTGGCATATCCTTGCCTGATAAGCAAGATGACTCCAAAGTGTATTCTCAACCTCAATACCGCTTCCAGATGTTTTGTTAAGCTCCAGGGAACGACAATCCCAACAAAGTCGTTCACCTCTTTCAGCAGAACGCCGTACTCCTACGCTGACAAGTACAACCAGAAGGACCTCAACAAGACCCCGGAGTTGAAGCAGACTGTCAGCAATAACGGCGGGGCAGGTCTAGTCGAGCACTCTTCTATGACGATTATCAAGAACGCCAGTGATGCCCATCCTTCTTACGACGACCACATATCTGCTCACAATGGTTTCACGCCGCTTGTGTCGGGCAGCGGCGCGGTCAGCGGGCATGGATTTATTTCGACGGGCGATATTCAGGAGTAAACGCATGCTAATCAACGAGACTTTATATAACGATGAATACGTAAGTACCGCTTAACTTTTACCTTACAAGTATCTTCTGTCTGGGTAGTCTACCACTTTGTCGAATTTTTCGTCGCCCACGTATCCTCCCGCCATTGCGTTGAGAACATGCCTCTTAAACTGGGCAGGGTACTTAGACAAGTCGTTGGCAGCATCCTTGTTTAGGGGATCGTTGGCGTTTGGCTGTAAGAACAGGTGTAGAATTCCGGCAAACACCAACTGCAGAGTCAGCGTTGGTTTCCAGTCGTTCCGCAGTATGTTGAGACAGACATGGCCCTCCAGATCGATGTTAGGATGGTATATTTTTTGCAAGCATTTGAATTCTGGAGCTCGATTAGGATAGTCTTCTGGCACTTCGCAGACAAACTTGAATTTTCCACCTTGGTAGAGTCCCTCGTTGGGACAGACCTCCAGGTCGATTCTCATTGGATTTGCTTCGTCATATTTGATGCTTATTCCAGGTATCTCCTCGTACTCCTGTAAATCCTTCTTAGCACGGATATATGCCACTGGGATAGACTGAGAGACGGGCTTGCTGGCCTGCTCTTTCTGTAACTTCTTCAGTTTGAGCTGTTGTTAGTGCTTTGAATCCAAGTACTCACCATTGCAAATATCGACTTCCTATTTTTCGGTGTAAGGTTTATTCATTGAATCCATTATTTTGCTATAAACAAACATCAGATCAGACGACGAGACTATGTCGTCCAAGAAAAACTTGTCTAAAGGCAAGCCGTCTGCCAGTGAGCTGAAGAACCAATTCAAAGATCTCCAGCAACGGCTGGGGAAAAATTCCGACTCTGGTACGGTCGAGCCGGATCCAGCTACGAGAGGAAGGAAAGTAAGTATCACGCTCTCCACAAGCTAACCATATAGCGTGACAGTTTAGGTCTCGGGGCGCAATCGCTTTCTGAACGGCGTCCACTATCGGGTGTTGATTTTTTGAGTGACCTGAGCGACGGTCTCTTAGTGGAATCGCGTCGTCTCAACCATGAAAACACACAATTGAAGGCACAGTTATCTGAACTGCAAGATAAATACATCCAGGCGTCCCAGCAGCTACGTAATTTGCAGGTGTTGAACAAGAATCTGAGCGAAAAGGAGGAGAATTCCGGTGATCGAATTTGGGAACTCGAAACGCAGCTTAGCGACCTGCGAGACCAGTCAGTCAAGTTGCAGCTGATGTACGACAAAACGAACAAGGATAAGGCCTCTACAGATGCAGAGCTGGAAAACTTACGGACGCAGCTTGAATTTTATCAGGAAAAGCAGTCAGCTCTAGAAAAGGAGACCACAGCCAAACTATCGCAGTTGAATGCCACAATAAAGGAGCTGAAACAACGTAATTCTGATCTGAACGATGAAAACGACGAACTGCACCAAAAAGTGCACCAGTTATCGGCCGCTGAGAATAAACGATTAAGCCTGCTTCCTGCTAATGACGAGAACGCTGAGCTCGAGAAGTACGACCAATCGTCGCTGATCGACCCTTCATTGTCTCCAATTCGTGAAATATCACCAAATATGATGCTTCTCTCTGACCCAGACAGCCTACAAAAAGCGCAAAGAAAAATTGCCATGCTGGAACAGGAGCTGGCCAAAATGAAGGCGGAGAAGGAAGAACTGAAGAGAAAGCAGGCTAACAAGTCACCGAATAAATCCATCCGACGTCAATCCGTCGCCGAAAGTGGTGGATGGGACGACTTTGATAAAAGCATTGGCCTGAATACCACACACAAGGACTCGGGATATTCTAATTTGCAAATACTTGAAAACGAGCTCGGGAACCTTTCGGACGACTACGATGAGATGGAGGCCTCGCAGATTAAGTACTTGGAAAATTATGCTTCCAAGCATGGATTGAAGCTTGTGCCCGATTCAAGCGAGAAGACTGCAGACAAATCGATCATTGAGGCCTCTACAGGATACGACATCGTTGCTTTGCCTAATGACGCCAACGCCCACTCTCCAATCGAGCAGCTGAAACAGAAGTGTCATGAGCTGGATATGGTACCGCTGAAAACAAGTGAATATGAAGAGCTGGTGAAGAGATCCAACTACGAGATGGTCGACAAGGACAAACTGGAGAACGCCGGTCTTACAGTTCTTCCTTTGCTGGAGTTCAAAGCACTTGAAGGGAAGGCTAGCAAGGTCGAGATTGTACAGTCTGAGACCGAGAAACTCCAAAATCAGTTGGAAAATCCCGGTGCAGAGTTTATCAACAGAAAGGCCTATGAGTTGGGGCTTTCAACTATTCCTGTTGAAGAACACGAAAAGCTGAAGGCTGCATTGAACACCAGAACGATGGAACTAAATGCCGTGCAGGAAAAATTGAGGCAGGTTGAAAAGAAACTGGAGACTCAAGCGTTATCATTAGAACAGCTGCAAAGTGGAGCAATGAGTCACAATATGGCTCTTTTGCCGGCTTCGGAACACAGAGAACTCCTTGCTAAGGTCAAGGAACAGCAACAGGATATTGAGGCATTCAAAGGAGCCCTCAAGGCCGCAGAAGACAAGCTTGCTTCTCCAGATATTTCTTATATCAAGGAGATGGCAGGAAAGAAGAACCTGGTCGTCTTGGCATCTGATCAAACCGAGGCTACCAAGGCTGTCAGCACACCTGTGAACAGTCCTATGAAACAGAGCGTCGATTCTGGAAGCCCAACCAAACGCTCTGCTGCTCTGGCCGCCGATGGAACTGTTGAAATTGCTGCTTCAGCTTTGCGTTCTCTTCAACAAACCGTGGAAAATCCAACATTGCCATACCTTAGCAGCAAGCTTGCCAAATTGGGCTATAAGGCTCTGTCTGTTAACGAGTACGAGCTGCTTGTGGCAAAGTCGTCTTCCGCTGGTGTTAATGTTTCTCCGCGCAAGCAAAGGGCACTTGAATCGGCGGAGACGGTCGAATCCCTGAAAAGACGGTGTGCAGAACGAGGACTGGTTGTTTTGTCCAAGTCGTCTTATGAAAGCATTCTTGTATCCTCGAAACGGTCGCTTACCCCGGTTGAGCTGCTTGAAAGAGTCGATAAGTCGGGCATGGTTGCCCTTAAGAAGGAAGACTATCAGGAGCTTTTGGGAATTGTTAGCTCTCTTGGCCCTCAGTTTGAGGAGCCAGTTGAGCAAATGAAACGAGCTGGTCCTCAGCACATTGGAGCTTCTCTTAATGAGCTCAAATCGCTTGCTGACCAACAAGCAAAAATTTCCGCATCCTATGACTCGCCGCCTATTTCGTACTTAGCCCAAAAAGCCCACGAAGCTGGCTACAAAGTGGTGAGTGAAAAAGAGTATAAAGAGCGGAAAGTTGAGCCATCTATTGAGGAATGCCGGGAGATTGCTCAAAAGCACAATTGTGTGTTGCTTGATTCAGAGGAGCATACGGAACTTTTGTCGCTGAAAAATAATGTCACACATCCCTCAGAAGATTTTGTGTCCAGGCTTGCTGCTGCTGCTGGGCTCGACGTATTAGGGGCAGCGGAGGCAGAAAGGCTCTCTAATCCTTCAAGATTGCAAGTTGCACAACTGGCCAAACAACATTCTCTGGTGGTGCTGGACAGTGAGGAGCATGAAAATTTGCAACAGGAGCTGAAGGAGTTGAAGGATTCTATCAGCGAGCGTAGTCAAGAGGCAGCAAAGCTGGATTCTCAGACTAAGAAAGACCAGATTGTCAGGCCGACAGTCGAATCTCTGCGTAGTGCTGCCGCCAGCATAAATTTCGTGTTAATGGCTAAGGAAGAAAACGACAAGAAGGAAAACCAGCTGAAAGTCCTCTCCAAGCTCGAACAAGAAGTGTCAAATCTGAGATCACAGGTGGTAACATTGTCGGCGCAGCTCAGGGAGGCAGAAACCAGTGATTTCATTAGGTCGCAAGCTACGAAATACGGTCTTGTGGTGATGCCTGATTCTGAAATAAGGCAAAAGGAAGATGAACTTGTACTTAGTCAAAAGCAGTTGAACGAGAAGTCGGGTGTTCTGCAGACAATTGAGAAGCAAGTGCAAGAGCTAACAAAACAACTGGCCGACACCAGAGAAGAGCTGGAACTGCAGAAAACGGCCTCTCCTTCTCTCGAGGTCGCCAAGTCTGTTGTGACCAAAAGCGGGCTACTCTGTCTGTCGAAAGCGGAGGTGGAGCAGCTTTCGGGAGCCCAATCGCGTGAAACTGTCTATGTCGATGCTCCAAGTGAGCCGTTTGAGGCCAAGGATCGCTTATTGAAAGAAGAAGAGTTGAAGGAGTATGCCTCCAAACTGGGATTCACGCTTGTTCCTGTTGGACAAAAGGGACAGCCTCAAAGAGTGGACGTGCGTAAACTGAAAGAGCTCGCCAAACCACATGGCTTGGAGATAATAGAGGTTTCCAAGCTGCGGAAGCTTCAGGAAAATAGCAAAATTGATCTTGCAACGCTTCATGAGGCCGCCAGATCTTTGGGCATGACCGTGGTTGATCCTAAAGCAGTTCCAAAGAGGGCTGAGCTGAGTCAAGCTGCAGGCAAACTGGGCCTAAAGCTTATGAGCTCCTCAGAGATTGAAGCACTCAGGAAACGGCCTATCACTTCAAAAGATCTCGCTGCCGAAGCTGCCGAACTTAAGCTTAGGCTTGTGCCGGAGGACGAACACGGCACTTTGAAGAAGCCCGTTCTCGATAGCGATCTCAAACAGATCTGTAGATCGAAGGGATACATGCTCATTCCAGAGTCCAAATTTGTGGCCACTACAGTCTCGAGGACTGTGGATGAATCCAACGTCGTCGTCGTTCCTTCCACCTACTACAATAAATTAATCAGAAGCCACTCCTGGTACAAAAACCACAAGAAAGACGTTGAAGAGATGGAGAAACCAGCTACGACCATTTTGGAAGAGGACGAGCCAAGTGTCTTGTCTGCAGAAGCTGTTAAACAAAGACAAACTCTGTCGCCCGGCATTTCGACAACCAATCTCTCCAGACATGCCACAACGTCTACTGTTCAGACGACCGGTAAGTTCAAGTTCACTAACCAAGAAATGATTGCCGCTATTACTCAGACGATCATTGGAGAGTATCTTTACAAATACTACAGAAAGCTCGGTCCGCTGTCTTCACTCTCTGAGGCCAGACACGAGAGGTACTTCTGGATTCATCCTTACAGCCTTACGCTCTACTGGTCTGCTGCCAATCCTATTCTTGGTGACCCATCCGAAAATAAAATTCGGGCACTGGCGATTAGCAGCGTCGAATCCGTTGAGGATAACAATCCATTGCCTCCTGGATTGTACCACAAAAGCATTCTTGTTCACTCTGCAGACAGGACAATCAAAATCACTTGTCCTACCCAAAAGCGACACAGCATTTGGTTCAATTCGCTGAGATATCTGATCGACAGGAGTGTCGATGATAACATATACGACGACCCTGAAAACCAATACGACATCTCTTATGCATTGGATGACCGCGTGGAAAACGAAAGAAATGGACGGGGGCAGCGGCCATCAAGAACTTTTTCGACGAAAGGACTGTTTAGTAACATCATGCCTGCCAAAAAGGACTAACATGGTTGGATACTTGCTAGCTATAAAAAGATTGGGCTCGTTAAGCGAAAGTACTGTAGAAAGAATATATTACTCCCTCTTCACGTTAGAAAAAGGGTTCAATGTTCTCACGGTCAAGCAAGGCAGGGCCATTCCCACTTCAGACCGCAGCAGAATAGGCACTTGCTTGAGTTCTCTGATTTCCTGGATGTAGCTATCGTTCTCGACTCTGGTGATACAGTCGCTAAGATATGGTGCGAGAGCAGGGTCCTGGTCGACTGGATTCTTTGTCGATAAGGATGCAGTCGCGGTGGAAAGACTTCTCTGCGGGTCAGAGGCATTTCTCTCCAGAGTTCCGATTGGCGAAGTTTCCGGAGCACTCTTCACACTGCCAGCTCCTGCTGCTCTCTCAACAGCAGTTTTCTGAGTAGGAACTGTGACCTTCGGAGGCCTGATATTCAGTGCCTCTAGTTTCTTGGCTAGCTCGGCAGATATAAGGCCTCCATTCTCCAAGGCCGACTTACTCTGAGTCTTGGCAGCAGTACTGGATGGCGAGCGATACTTGTTCTTAATCGACGATCTGTACGAGAGCGGCTCCTTTTCGTCGTCCGGAATATACGTTGCCGAGTCAACACCTGGCTCCCAGTGCAACTCTAGCACGCGAGTGGTTTTGTCAAATTCTGCCTTCTGCAACGGAAGCTGATCTCCGTGAACACGTTTCTCGATGCCGAATTCCGGAAGCAGAACATCAAATGACGACTCGTAAACTTGGATGACAGTTCCCATAGTCAAGATTTGGCCAGACTCAGAGCTCATTTCGTTAATTGTCTGGCAAAGAAGCAAATGGATGGCTTGTTCCTGGGCGGCTTTGGCACAGTCTTTCTTGAAGTTACAATAATCGCTGTTCATCTTGAGTGAGTCTAAGGTTTCCTTGTAGTCATCAGTATCGTCATTCAGAACGGCCTTCAACTGTCTGTGGACAATGATGTCTGAATATCTTCTCAGTGGTGCAGTGAAATGCGTGTAAACTGGTAGATTGAACAAATAGTGATTAAGACTGTCTGCGTCTGTTTTGCCAGCAATCACATATTTTCCTCTTGGCATGGATTTGATTAAAATAGTTTCAATAGCAGACCGTTTGACTGGATCCTCGATTCTCAGCAAGGAATTTTGGAATGAGGCAGCGTTCGTGGTGTCGAGACTAACCCCAAGATGAGCTGCCTTTCTGTTATAGTTCTCGAATTTCGTAAGTGTTGGAATCGAGTACTTTCTGAGAAAGGCTCTGTCGCCTAAGATCGCATGGATTCTTTGCGCGACGGCCGCATTGACATTGTGGAATATCTCGTCGATTACGGTTGCCGATGGGTAGCTATCGAAAATATTCAAAGACAACCTAACGTTTTCGTCGTCAAGTTGGTCAAGCAATGGCAAAACTGGCTCGATCTTTAATTCTGGGTTGTTCAGCCGTCTTCTTCTCAAGCCTTGAGCAATGAGTGCCAGCGTAGAAATGTATCCGGAAGTTGCATTGATACCTTCACTGGTTTGGGACAAGGTCTTGTTGATGATCTCGTCCATGGTTGAGTAATCCACTTTCTGCTTAGGAGTCACCACTGACTCTCCCATCCAAACATCGTCAATATCAAAAGTGGTAGAATCAATTTCAAACACAACCGAGATAGCCAAGTTGCTCTTGTTTTCTTTGAAAGAAATCTGATCGTTGACTTTTCCAGGGAACAGATGAACAGTTTTTTGGGGTAAAAACACGGAATGAGACCGTTTCTTTGATCTTTTATCCAAACCAGATCCTTGTTTGATAAAATGTGCAACGTCCACAATGTGAATGCCTAATTCAATCTTGGTTTCTGAAATGACCTTCACATGAAGAGCATGATCACAGAAAGAACCTGCCTGTGTGAAAGCAATCACATACTCGTCCTTGAAATTTCTTCTATGTTCATCATTCAGAGCTGCAGTCACATCAGGCAGCTCAGCAACGTATTTGTCTTCATCTTCTGGATACTCGTCGCAGAGAAAATTGTTGTCTCTAAGAATCGAGTCGATCTCGACCTCTGGGTCATTCATAGGGCCCAGCTGGGCGACGAGTGTGCCGAAAGGATGCAACGAGGTGATCGGCCATCTTTTGATGGATGCAATAAACACCTGATCTGCGTATTTTTCGTGGTTCTGAACAAAGTCTTTTGGTACTTGTTCGGTCGGAATAGCAATGAGAGGAACTTTTTTGTCTGTAGGCTTGAACCAGACAATCTTTGGCCTAGCATTGTTCGAGTGTTTTTGATCGTCTTTATCTTTATTGTCTCTTTCCTTGGCGGCCTGAGATGGTCTCAAGAGCCCCAAGGTACCGGAGAAGAGCTGGCCAGGGATCCTGTCCACGACAGCAACCACATGACCAGCATATAGAGGTTTGCAGTCATCGCTGATTTCCTCTTCCTCCACCAGCAACAAGGACTGTCCCTCGACTTCGACATCGTCGTTCTTCTTCTGGGTAGGCCGTTGCTTCAGCGATCCTCTTCTGTTCAAAGAGCCGGACCCACGGCTCAGACCTGAAGAGGACTGTGTTGACGGTGGAGTCTCCGTTGAAGCAGAGTCCGCTGGAGCACCTGAAGATGCCGAAGACGAGTAGCTGGTGCTTGCGTCGTTATGGAAATCGTCTGTAATGTCTGTGGATGCAACAATATTATCCTTTCTTCTCTTCTTTTCCTCTTTTTCCCGTTTAGAAGACCACACCTCGTCTACAACGAGAAGCTCGACAGCAACCAAGTCACCTTCCAAAGCTCTATTTCTGTCTTTGGACCCACAAATGAAGATGTCTGCATCTAGCAGTCCATCTGTAGAAACATAGGCATCCGACCTATTCTTCTTGTTCACCCTAAGAACTCCAGTGACCAGTCTTCCTTCACTGATAAGCTCCGGAAGAGAGCTTTGAGGAAGATAAGGGGCAAAAAGAGATTTTCTTTGCTGGCCGTTCTGGGATTGGTTGAACTGCGCCAGGGAAGACACAGACCCGCCGTATGAAGACCTCGCTCTGTGCCCTGGCGTAAATGGAGATTCAAACCCAGACACTGATGGCTGGGAAGGAACTGGTTGTTGCTGCTTTCTCCAATTGCCGTTGATGTCAGATGGAGCCGTTCTAAAACTGTAGTTACCTGACTGGCGTCTTTCATGGCCAAAGTTGACCGGAGGAGGCATCAAGGTTTGCGAACTGTCCCTTGGAGGGAATTGGAAGGATCTCTGAGGAGACATGTTCGATTTGGACCTGTAATGGCCACCTTGCACTTGGTAGTTGTCGTCATCATTATCTGGAGGGAATTTGAAAGAAGGAGGGGAAGATTCGGTTTTCAGCGGCTGTCCAGACCGTTGGGCCTGTGCCTCTGCAGCAGCCCGCTTGGCTTCGGAGACCCCGAGCGAATGCCTTCTAGTGTGGCCAAGTGCCTGCTGTCGGGTATCTTGTTTGTTGTAATTTTGTTGGGTGCCGGGGGCAACAGAGGATTGAGCTCTTCTGTGGCCTCTGACAGTTTGGAAGTGCTCCTGCTCGCCGTGGTTAACGTTTCCAGAGGTCCTCCTGTTGTGTCTTGGGGTATTTGCAGGTGGAGGCATGGCGGACACGCCCGGAAAACTATAGCCAGGCTGAGCATAGCTCGTCTGCTGGGTGAATTGCTGTTGCTGCTGAAGTATCTGCTGTTGCTGGGCCTGAACAATTTCAAGCTGGCGCTGCAAATTAAATTGTTCCACTGAAGGGCGAGTTAGTAATTAAAAGCCACTGTATACTTACGCATCAATGTAGTAAGCTCGCTGGGAGAGCGTCTGTGAGCCACATGGATGGTTCTCGGTTTATTTCCGGACGTCTGGATGGTTGTGGACGGGTGTTCGGGATGGTTTATATCCGGCAAGTTATGATTGGAACCCATTTCCTAGTGAAACAAGGAAGTCGTAGTTAGCGATATTATTAGTTCTAATTGCCAAAATTTGCGAACTGGAATATACGGTAGGTCAATGGCACTGGGAGAAGAGTTATTCAGCTATAACAAACCAGTATTTGCACAAGATTCGCAAACAATATTGGTAAGTTGAAAGACTGACTCAAAAATGCACTAGAAAAAAATAGTGATTATGACAAACCCTTGAATTAAAGTGGCTGCCGGACTAGATCTACAAGCTTCAATTGCGTACCGAATTATAATTATATGGGGTAACTGGAGTATTGAAGAGGTCGATATTCCACAGGTTGCATGTCGCGAGGACTAATAGCCGACTTAAACGAGAGGCCAGACATGCTGCATTGTCGAATGCTATTTTTGGAGTATTGCTGTCACAGGAGAACTTGTGATTTGAAAAAAAAAAAAAAGAGAATGTGGGCTAAGAGGTTCGAACTCTTGCATCTTTCGATATCACGGCCTAAACGTGACGCCTTAACCACTCGGCCAAACCCACTGGACAACAAAGAATTAGGTGCATTGTCAAAGATACTATTCCTTGAATTCTAGAGGATTGGCAGCTAATTGAATATGCACCCTGCGATTGGCAACATCAGTCCTGCATCCTCCTTTGGTTTGGTTCTCGTTCTTGGCACTGTCCGGTCATCTCTCGGTATTTCAATAGCATTTCGAAAGTTGGCTACCTGCACAGCCGAGAAAATCCAATAAATATTTTTTTTGCACTTTCTTCAGTTACTATGGGTCGTTGTAATCTTGTTGCTTGGACTGCTGTCACAGCAATAGCGACCACCGCCGTTGTCGAGGCCCTTCATTTTTATTTTTCCAAGTCCAAAAGACCGGCTTTGGAGCCTACAACCAAAGAAGTCGCTTCCACGATCTCAGATTTCTCGGAAGAACTTATTAGAGAGCAGCTGGCAAGAAACTATGCTTTTCTTGGCGAAGATGGTATGCGCAAAGTTCGTGAGCAGTTTGTCGTCGTTGTTGGTGCTGGTGGAGTGGGATCCAACTGTGTGACCGCCCTTGTTAGATCTGGAGTATCTAAAATCAGCATCATTGACTTCGATCAAGTCAGCTTGTCTTCCCTTAATAGACACGCAGTCGCCACTGGAAGAGACGTAGGTACGCCAAAAGTGGACTGTCTGCGAAAGCATCTGCTCCAGATTGCGCCTTGGTGCGAAATCGAGGCCATCAACACCCTTTTCACCATAGAGAGAGCTGGGTCCTTACTTTTGAAAGGTAACCCGTCCTACGTTGTTGATTGCATTGACAACATCGATACCAAGGTTGACTTGCTGTCCTTCTGCTACGAGAACAACGTGCCTGTGATTTCTTCCATGGGAGCCGCTTGCAAAAGCGACTCCACAAGAGTGAACATCGCCGATATTTCGGCTTCTGACGAAGACCCTCTGGCACGTTCTGTTAGACGGAGACTGAAGAAAAAGGGAATAATCAAGGGCATCCCGTGTGTCTTTTCGAGTGAGAAGCCAGACCCCCGTAAAGCGAGCCTGCTTCCTCTTCCCGATGAGGAGTTTGAGAAAGGCCATGTGGACGAGTTAAGTGCGTTGCAAAATTTCAGGGTGCGGATCCTACCGGTTTTGGGCACGATGCCGGCCATGTTTGGTCTGACTATAGCAACATACCTTGTAACCACCGTGTCTGGTTATCCTGTGGAGCCAATCGAGGGCAAAAACCGAATCAAAGTCTATGACGGCATCTTGCAGAGCTTGGCAGGACAGCAGGCCAGACTTGGGCAGAAAGATCAGCGCGTGCAAATCGCATTGAGTGATGTTAATTACATTCTTGAAGAAGTTTTCCGCGGAAAGTCGCCTATCAGTGGATACTCGACAAGATTGGCGCTTTCGAGATGGAAAAGAGACGAGCCACTCTCGTTGCAGAACGTGGTGATCATGACGAAAGAGGAACAAAAAATACACGAGGATAGAGTTCTGCTGGGTGGCGAGAAGCTGGAGGACGTCTACCCCAAAGAAGTGCTCGACTTAGTGGCGAAGAGATTCGAGGAAGAAAAATACTACTCCAAGTTCCGTTGAAGCCATTAATATATGTACACTTAAAAGAACCATCTTTGGCCCTTCGAGGGTGGCTTACCGAATTTTGGATTCAATGCTGCAGGATCGTGGTTGATGTTTTTGCCGAGATTCTTCAAGCCGTCCGATGTGAGAGTCTTTCTAATACCTTGTTCTCCAACGCTCTGTCTAGCGGCGCTGGTGATTTTGCCTACGTTGAATCCCATCTTTCTAAGCTTCGACACAACTGCTGGGGTAATTGCGGCGGTGATCGGTAGACGGATGAATATCAAAGATTTGTGTATAGCGTATGCAACGGCAAACTCTGTCCACAAGGTGGAATATCCTGACTCGCCTGTTTTCTCCGACTCTCCGCCGGAATTCTCTGGATCACCCTTTCGCCAGCCGATCCATCTGAGGAATCGGTCCTGGTACTCTTTGATTGCCTCCTCTCCCGCGGAATGGACCATCAGAAAGGTGAGCGGCAGGTCAATACAGCTCAAAGCAAAGTACACCCCGAGCGCAGAGTATCCGTACTCCTGCATCAACAACTTAATTCCCTTAGGCTTTTTCTCGCCAGGTATCTGTGTGGAGTTGAGGCGCGCAGAGCGGAAACCCGTCCGACAGGCTCTGCTAAATCCGGTTCTAATTCCAATTCTAAATGCGAACATCGTCAATTGCGAAATATTAAAAAGCCTGGGAAGATTCAAGCAAGTTTAATATTCATAAATATTTTTGTCTGAAGCGATTGTGTCTTAGATTAATGTATTATTTATGCCCATGTATAAAGAATGCGAAACCTCTTAGAATTTGGCCTTCTTCTCTCTTCCAACAGTGCACTTGATCAAGCCGTTTGGATGTGGAGATGGGTAGAACAACTCGTTGTCGTTCTCCAGACCCTTCCAGCTGAGGTCAATCAGGAAGTAGTGCTTGTTAGGAAGACTGTACGAGACGGTGCTGACCTGGGGAACAAGCCTCAGAATTTCCTCACACATGTTGTACATGGTGGCCTGCACAGAGGCAGAATTCTCGAGCGCAAACAGCTTCAAGGTCGTTTCTCTAGCGCTCTTGTATGCGGCATCGAAGAGACCTGCTCTTGCCTGCGAGATGACGTTTTGTAGCGAGCCGATCTTCTTCGAGTCCCACTCCCAGACGGAGTCGACATCCGTAGACAAGATCCGGTCGGTGGTAGGCTGAAGAGTGGTGTAGTCACACTGGTTGAATCCGTAGAACATGGATCCGGTCGACTTCAGAACAGTCAGGTCCTTGATTCCAGACTTGAGAACAAACTCTCCAGAGCGTTTGTACTTCAGCGAGGCGGTTCTGAGCTCCTCGCCGTCCTTCACAAACGAGTGATCGTGGATTTTGCCGTTGACAGGGTACTTGGTCCATCTGTGCTGGAAGATCTCGATATCGACGCCGCTGACGTGAGAGTACTTGCTAATGAAGTGCTGGCCAAGATGAGCAGCAAAACCCTCGATCGGAAACACGTCAAACTTTTTGGCCTCGACAAGAATCGTGTTCTTGATCGTGTCGGTTGGAACAATGGGAGCGTTGTCGGCCTTGGTGTATGCAACGTCAAAGTCTCCAACAAGAAGAACTTTGACAGTTGCCTCCATCACCTCGTGGACCTTAGGGTTCGAGGGGTCTTTCTTGACCTTGAGAAACTTGACGTTGTCTTTTCCGTATGTAGAGGATTGCAGGATAGCCATCTTGGGTTCTGTCTGATAAAGTGTGCGGTATTTATAGTTAAAGCAAGAGAAAGCGCAACAATAAATCTCCTACCTAATCGTTCTACCGGTTGTCGGAGAATTCCGTGATTATGTCATCATTTTACCTCCCGCGCTGTTTGCGTCGTCTGATTCGCGTGGGACAGGGAATCAACTGAAATACGCACTAGCAGGAGCAAGAGCGTGGCAGACTCAGGGCCTATTGTTGAAGACCGCCTGGTGCAGCTGTTTGTCGATACAGGCCAGATAAGCCCGGCACCCCGAGTAGAGTTGGCAAATACGCAACTAAAAGGGTATCTTGAATCACGCCATCTTATCGTGTTGCATTAGCAGCAAGGCTGTTCCGCAGGCCAGATTGGGCACTCCAAGAATCTTGCTCTTCTCTGGCGTGACACTCCTGGAGAAATACAACCTTGCACCAAAAGGAATCCGAGCCCCGCGAAGCAGGAATTTGGCAAATTTGATAAGATATCCTTCGAGAAAGTTAATTACCACACAATGTTTGGCAAAATAGCAGAGAGACTCGCCGGCAAGAACATCTTGATCACTGGTGCATCGACAGGAATTGGATACAGCACTGCAAAGCACTTTGCCGAGGCAGGCGCAGGCAACATCAAACTGGTTTTGACTGCTCGTAGAGAAGATAAGCTGAAGGCGTTGAAAGAGGAGCTTTTGAAATCTTATCCATCGATCAAAGTTTTCATCGGCTCCTTGGACATTTCAAAAACTGACCAGATCTCCCCATTTTTGAAAAACTTGCCCGAGGAGTTCTCTCAGATTGATGTCGTGGTGAACAATGCTGGTAAGGCTTTGGGCCTGGATCCTGTTGGCTCTGTTGATCCTGCTGATGTGAAGGAGATGTTTGAGACCAATGTTCTGGGCATGATCGAGCTGACTCAATTGGTTGTCCGGCAGATGAAGGAGCGCAACAAGGGTGATATCATCCAGTTGGGCTCTGTTGCAGGTAGAGAGGCTTACCCTGGCGGAAGCATCTATTGTGCTACCAAGTCTGCTTTGAACTTTTTCACCAGTGCCTTGAGAAAAGAACTGATCAACACGAAGATCCGCGTCATTGAGGTCCAGCCCGGTAACGTTGCCACTGACGAGTTTTCTCTGGTCCGGTTCAAGGGTGATAAAGAAAGAGCTGCTGCTGTCTACAAGGGCACGGAGCCATTGTATGCCGATGACATTGCAGAGTTGATTGTCTTTGCTGCCACTAGAAAGGAGAACACTGTTCTTGCTGAAACTCTGATCTTCGGAAACAACCAGGCCTCGCCTTTCCACATTTACCGGGGCTCTGAAAATTAAGTAGATCACCTAAAAAAATAATTGTCACAATACTCATGTATAAAGATTCAGCAATCGACAACGCTGTGCGGGCTGGAAATTTGCGCAGTGCTTTGGTTCTGGTTTCCAAGAAAATCAAGGAGCACCCCAATAGCTCGTACTTCTATGCTCTGGAGGCCGAGATCCTGGCCTTGTCGGGGAGAAGACAGGAGGCCGAGTCCAAGGCTAACCTGCTAATGGACAAACTGCCAAGCGATCCGGACGCGTTGAAACTTCTCGCAAACGTTTTTGATTTGTGTGAAGCGCGACAGGATGTCTTTGACAAGGTGTGCAAAAAGTACCCTTCTGTGGATCTGGTGTACGAATATTTTACCTTCAGCGTCGCTAGAGGCGATATTTTGGGCATGCAAAAAGCATCCATGCTTCTAACAAGGGCCGTGGCGACTGCAAAGCAGTCTGTGGATACTCAGTTATTCAAATTTTGGGCCGCAACATGTCTGATGCTTGCGTGTCGCTGCTGTGCCTTGCCTCCTTCGATGCAAAAGCTGTATCCGCAATTGGGTGTCCGATTGATGGAGCAGGTAGGACTTGCGACAGCACAACATGTTTACGTCTATGTTTGTCTGCTTCAGCTTGCTGGTAGAGATGACGACAGTTTAAAGTTTATGGAAAACTTTCTGGCCAAAGAGAACGACTTGGAGCTCAAGATCATTTATCTGAAGACATTGGATCAAATGAACAGGCCAGAAAAACTCTTTGAAGTTTGCGAGAACTACTTAATTCGCCTACAGGAGGACGACTGGGATACATGGAAACTGCTTATCAAAGCTGCCAGAGCAACCAACAAGATCGACGACTGCAGAACACTAATTAGTTCTTACTCCTCCCGTAACACCAAGCTCGCTGCTATTGAACTTGATCAGCCTGGAGCAATTCAGGAATATTTTCACTGTTACGAGACGAAGCTTTGTTGCTTTAGCGATCTGAAGCCCTATGTCCACAAAGGCGTCTCCGATGAAGCGCTTTTGAAGGACAGATTTGATGCGTTTATGAAGCTCAAAAATCCAACACTTGAGAACGTGATAACTGCGGTCAACCTTATGAAGTTCAGGGCGTTGGATGCTAGAGACAAGCAGTTTGTTGCTGACTGCTGTATGTTGTACAACAAAACAAAGTTCCACCTCGACTCCCTTGAAGAGTTCGATTATTTCCCTGGATACGAGTTCATAATCCTCGCTATTGAGGCATCAATAGAGCACTTGGATTTTGATTTGGAACTGGTCTACTCGCTGGTTGTGATTTTGGAGGAGGCCTTGTTCAAAAACAAGTACGAGTTCCATTTGAAGCTCTGGCTGATGAGACTGTGCACAATCGCTAATCTCCAGCCTGCTGCTGACGAGCTTTATAATTCCCTCAAAATCAAGTTTGTTCAGCATGACACACTCTCCTATCTCATTGGCACAAGACGGTCGATAGGAGCGGGTCCTTTGGTGGAGGTGTCCAGGTTTTATACCCATAAAGTTCAGAGAGAGGTACCTCATATGATAATCAGCGGATTTCAGAGCATAGCGATGAACAAACTCCAAGGTTTTGTGGAATTTTACAACAGGCTCAACACTTCGTTTGCAAAACTATCTACTGCTGTGGAGCTTATCAGAGCATACAGGCTCAAAGATGACCAAAAGAGCGTGGAAGAACAGGTTTCTGTGCTGCGTAGTCTTGGAGATCAAGAAATTAGCGACAATAGAGACTTCAAAACGTTCTGGGACTGCGGCGTTCATGAGCCTCTTGAAGAGGTGGACCACAAATTGCCGCAGTACTATAGCAATGCTCACCTGCGGCTTTTGGTGCTCAGGGAGCTTCTCATCTACGACCCTGAATCGCGCAAAACGAAGGAACGGAAAAAGGAACTTTTGGAGCTTTATGCCAAACTGCAGCTGTCCGACATCGAAAAATGGAGCTTCTCGGTCCTGCTTCAGCATTTCGACGGCACAGAGCCGCTGCCGTTGCCTCCTAAGCCCGATACAATGCTTTCTTCAAAGTTCAACTACTACCATGCTGTGGTTGTGGACACATACAAGCAAATTGCATTTCTGAAAGGAAACACTAAGCATACAAAATCAATCTTGACTACCCTTCGCAATGAAAATAGAGAGTACAAATCGATGGCCAGAAAACAGCTTGAAGATATGAGGAAAAAGGTCAGGGTGTTTTTGAAAAACAATTTCAAAGAGCTCGACATCAGTGATAACTCAATCAGTGCTTCTTTCGCCAAAATGAGGCAGAATCTAGATAGCTCGATCGCATATTTGCAGGGACTATAGACTGTGTACATATTACTACTTCATCTTCTGTCTCTCCTTTGCTGGAACGCGTCTTTCCTTGGTTCCGAAGACCAGCTTATGAGGCTTCATGAACGACTGTAGCACCTCGTCGTCCACCTTTGCGCGCCTTTCCTGGAATTCCTTCACGTATTTCTGCAACGTTTCTATGCAAAGCTTCTTCATCTCGCCAGACAAAAGCTCACCAGAGCGGTATTGCTCAGCAACCGTGTCAAGCAGGTCTTCATCTTCGTTGAAGTAGGAAAGATATTGGTATGCGACATCGACGTCTGGGTTTCCACCGTACTTTCTGTGCTCCTCGACGCTCACTTTGCCACCGCTGAAAGCGTATTTATTCACCTTCTTTTGGATCTGTTTGGGAGTATCTGTCATGAAGATGGCACTGTTTTCGTCAGAGGCGCTCATCTTAGTTGTAGGGCCCTGCAGAGCAGGGAAGAACCGCGAGTGGACCAACGATGGCTTGCTAAATTTGAGCTTGTCGGCAACGTCTCTGCAAACTCTAAAGTATGGATCCTGGTCAATAGCGCACGGAATCAAACATGGTGTTTTTGGAGGCAGTCCGAGCACATCAGGGAAAGACGAAGGGAAGGCAGTGGCGATCTGGACAGAGGCAAAATGGAGCTTACCGATACAGTCAGAGTCCTGGAAACCAAAAACAGCCTTGGCCGTCGAGGTGGTGATCTGTCTCGAAACGCGAACCACAGTTTCGTAGAGAGCAGAGTTCATATACTCAAGGTCGGAGAAAATGAATGTGTTTTCTGGCTTGAAGCCCACCGAGATAATATCCTTGGCGTTCTCTTTGGCGAACTTCTTGACATCCTCAATGGTCAGCTTCTGCTTGAACAAGAACTTCTCGTCGTCGGTTAGCTCAATGACCAGCGGCACATCGAAAACGTCCTGCAACCATTTGGTGAACGTGAACGGAATCATGTGACCCAGATGCATCGAATCTGACGAAGGACCACGACCGGTGTACAGAAAAAAGGGCTCGCCATGCTCATACAAGTCTAATATTTTGCTGAAATCTCTCTCAGAAAAAAACAGGCCTTTTTTCAGGTAGTGATGAGGCTCATAGCCGGTCACTTGCTGAAACCTCTCCAAAGTCTCCTTGGTGATAGGCTTGGTTCCGAATTGCTTGATCAGTTTCTCGTAATCGATCCCCACGGCCTGGCCGTCAACAACGGCTCCTTCAACCTCCCACGGAGTGATCTTCTGCTCAGCAGACTCGATCTTCAAATTTTCGGTGCTCTCAACAAGCCCACTCATGACGAATTTTTATTTCACGCAAAACCAGAAAACACTTATTTTTTTAAGCCCGAAGTTTGTTTGATTACATAATCATGGATACAGAAGCGTGCTGTATCAGCTTGTACTCATCACAGACTCGGTATCGGTGTCGATGAGCTCGTCAGCGGTATCCTCTTCACTGATTTCGTTCCAAGATGCGTACGTAAGCAGTCCGAACCCGCCCACGACGAGCAGGTAGCCCAGCATCTGCGGAAGACTGATGCTGATTCCCCAGAGAAGCCATTCCACTATTCCGACGAGCAGGATGGTGACCAGAGAGGCAACCGACGAGAAAACCGGCGAAGTCAGTGCCATAAGTGCAAGGAATGAGACACTGAAAATGAGATTCGAGATCGTCGACAGGAAGATGTACAACCACTGGGCTCCTGAGGTAGGGAACGCAAACCTGTGCCAGCCCAGAAGCTGCACTATGGCAACTGGAATAATAACCAGAATGATGGTACTGATGCCTATGAGACACATCGTGAAGTTGGAGAAGGTGGCCTGTCTTCTGGCGCTGACTTCGTTGGACGGAGGACAGCATTTCTTCTTATAGAGAACCTCGTACAGGCCGTAGAGAATGGCGCCAATAAGAATGATGATGTCTCCCTGGAGTCTATGCGGGTAGTTTCCGGCATCCCTGTCCTTCCCCGAGTATGCAACAACCATGACTCCAGCAATGGCTAGCACCACCGAGCCCAGCTTTATGAGAGAGAACATTTCTCCCAAGATAGGTATGGCGAACATGTACGCGGTAAAAGCGCTGCAGTTGTAAATGGCAGTCACGTCTGAGCCGGTGGACATCCCCATAGCTATATACCAAGTGATTCCTGCCGTGTTTAGGATGACAGAGAGACCCAGGGTCGATCTGAAAATGTACCTTATAGCCTGGCTTTTGAAAAACTGCGAGAATCGCTTGAAACTGTGAGGTCCAAACTCCTTTTCGTACCCCTTTTGGTTGGCCCTGACTGTCAGTTCTGCGCTGTGAAAAATGTTTTTGTGTTGAGTCTTCACCGAGCTGGCAAAAGCGCGTCTGATACCTTTCCAATGCTTACCGTTGGCGTCTTGGTAGCCGTGTTTATGACGCAAATACCGTCTGAATGTCTTGTATGTGGCAATGCCTGTGAATTGCAGAGGCCACAGAATCCACCAGGACCCATGTGTTATGAGCAACAGCAAGATCGGTTCTCCGAATTTGAGCTCGTTGTATAAGTAAGCGGTGGTTTCTGTTTGCGTCACAAACGCGATTAACGAGGTGACAAAAAGCGTGACCACAAACACAATTTTCATGTAAGAAAACGAGTACTGGTGCATGCTACGCATGCTGCGGATGTCTTGCGATGCACCAAAGCTGCCACGGAGCTGTCTGTGGTTTTTTTGAGGTTCCACGAGCAGAGGCTCGAGGGAGTTGAGGGACTGGGTCGGCCCCCGTAAAGATTCTGACATGGACGGTGTATACGGGCCTGAGTGAAAGAGCGTTGTGTAGAAGCTCTCTAGCAGTGGCGGTCCATATATCAGGGAAAAAGAGATTCAGGAACTTGTTTGCAAAATAAACGGAACGAGCTTTATTAAGCCTGGGAGAGCATCTCTGCACCGCAAAAATATGAAGTAAAACTTTAGCTATTTTTGTTCAGCATGTCCCAAAGGAAAGAGGACGACAGCGAGAAAAAACCCCAACATCGACGTACTGTGGACTACTTTACTCCGTTGGGGAGATACATGGTTCAAAAAAATGTCTACAATCGCCGAGGCCGTCAACCTTTGGGGAAAGTACGTCCAGAGATGTCTTACCTGACCCAACTGTTGCCTCCGCATCCAGAACAGCCAGAGGTGGTGGATGTGGCCACCAAATTCGTGCACGTTTCGACGAACAAATCCAAACACGCTATACATGCGCTCAAATGGACGCCGGACGCGCGCAGAGTGCTGGTCTCCTCCCACTCTGGAGAGTTCACCATCTGGAATGGCTTGACCTTCAATTTCGAGTCTATCATGCAGGCCCATGACTCCCCCATTTTTGCGCTGCAGTATAGCCACAATGGTGACTGGCTGCTTAGCGCGGACCAGATTGGATGTATAAAGTTTTGGCAGCCAAACTTCAATAATGTCAACATCCTCGCCAAGGCCCACGATAACGCAATCCAGGATATAGTTTTCTCACCAAACGACTCAAAATTTGTGAGCTGCTCCGACGATCTTACCCTAAAGATATGGAACTTCAGCACGGCCACAGAAGAACGCACTTTGAAAGGACACCATTGGGATGTGAAAGCCTGTGACTGGCACCCTAATTTGGGATTAGTCGTTAGTGGCTCCAAAGATAACTTGGTGAAATTTTGGGATCCAAGAGATGGAAAATGTATATCCACCATCCATGATTTCAAGCACACGGTGACAAAGGTGCGATTTCAGCCCAAAGGAAACCAGCGATTGTTGGCTGCGTGTTCCAGAGACCATTCCACAAGAATATTTGACATTAGACTAATGAAAACTATCAACGTTATCAAATCCACGGACGACGTCGACTTGACCTCTATCACCTGGCACCCAGTCCACTCGTCCACCCTTACCATTGGTGGCTACGACGGGTCGTTGTCCACCTACGACCTAGCAAAGGAAGTAAATCAAGACTTGATCTTCAACAGAGAAAAACAACCGGCTTCCACCACCTCCCCGCTCCACAGAATCCCATACGCACACGACAAGGCCATCCATGACCTTCAATATCATCCTCTTGGACATCTACTGTGCACTGCAGGAGCAGATAAATCAATGCGCTTCTGGTGTCGGTCTAGGCCAAATGATCCACTTGGATTCAAAGACAACGCCTACACGGGAGAGTCTTGGGCAGAAAAGCAGCCTTTTGCGATGGACCAGAATGGAAGAGAGCCAGAGCTGAAACAGTTCTACCAGCCTCCTCCTTCTGGTCTTCCAGGATTGTCTGGGCTACCAGGCTTGCCGGGATTGCCAGGCTTGCAAGGAGTTAGCTCTTTACCAAATATTCCTGGAATGACTAATAAATAAAATTCGACATATCACACGTTATGTACAGTGTATTCATTCGTAGCAAGAGCTTGTTTGATGGGCTTGTACCCATCCGCGTAAAACTTCTCGACTTCCGACAGATATTGTTGTCCGAAAGTAGATCTGTAATGTAGCAAAAAATCATAAATATGCTGCAAAAGCACACTCTCGAAGCGCCCCACGTTGTTCTTTTCGTTTGATCTTTGTCCGCATTTATAGCTGAACGACTCTCCCACATTAGACATGATGAAATAGTTGACATCCAGTTGGTCGATCTCGTCCAACGTTACCTCCTCGTAAATCTTTTCGTACTTCTCAACCCGTTTGAGAAAATCGGTAATGGCCTCCTCGCGTGGCACGCCATAGTAATCTTTATTCGTGGTTTTGCGCTCAATGTTGTATCTCCTTAAGGAAATATTTGCACAGCAGACCTCTAGAATGGCGACGTTGATCACCACGTTCGCTTCCGCAGCCGTTTGCCTGATGGTCTGCACTACTTTCTTTCTTCTTTCTTTCGTTGTATTAGTGGCGTCAAACACTCCGACGTCAATCTCATCACGTATGAGACTGCTTGTGAGCTCGTTTAGTGCCTCAAACGCATATAGTTCGCGTAGACGTTGTGTAGCGCTTTTTGTGAAATCGAAATCAAACTTGTGCGTTAACTGCTTTTCATACCTTCTCCGGACATTACCAGCGTTAAAAGACTTGAAACGTAAGTCTGCGCGCTTCACTCTATTCACGTATGTTTCTAGTTGTTCGGCCACTGTTGATTTCCCACTGGCGGGAAGCCCTACTAAACAGATAGCCCATTTTTCGCGCTCCGGCTCGGCAGTGTCCGCCACCAGTTCTGTGGTGGCGGACTCAGTGTCGTCATCCACAACTTCCCTTTGGTCAAGCGAAAAGAGGTTAGCGTGTAGCAAATTTCCCACTTCACTCTCCACCAAGCTCGGGAAGAACTCCGGAGTGGTGGCGGCCGTTTGTATGGTGGCTATTGATGTTGTTGACTGGGTCCTTGTGGAACTAACGCCAGTGTTTGATTCACTAAGCATATTGGAATTTCTCAAACGTATTCTGGTGACTTTGCCTTTTTAATATTGACAACCCCTCCCGATGCAAACCAGAACTCAACTGTGATTGTTCTCATTTCTTTTTTGGAAAAGAGGAGTAAAATACGCTAAAATTTGAGCGGAGTTACCCAAAAAAAATCCCAGTATCTGGCGCGGCTCGTGACCGACCGTTTTTCTCGCGATAAAAGTCCGAAGCACACCTAACACCTCTCTAGTCCATTTCCCTTTTCTTGAAAAAAAACATCCCCATTTGAAGCTCTCTCACCACTTTTTTCATTTCGGGATCGGGAGATCCATGATCGAACTCGAGAAGCGTCCGTAAAAAGGACTTCATATTGTTGAAGTCCCTGCAGGTAATATCTAAATGCCCGAGACTATTGGCGTTGTCAAAAAGAAACGTTCCACCATACTCTAATCTCGAACACGGAGAAACGTACCAGCTCGGATTCATGTGACCTAGTTCATCCAGCTTTGATATGGTTTTTCTGGCAAATTGATCCTTGACTGTGATTGGCAGTTTCGGGAACTCGATGATCTTGATTGCAGGAGTATATTTGTACTCCTTCAATATCATTAATCCGTAGACATCGCTGTCGACTAACGCCACAACCTTTGCCTCTGGGTAATGCTGTGTTAAATGGTACAGGAACCTTTTTGTCAGTCTGTCGGGGAAACCTTTGGCAGTGATAAGTATCTTATTTTTCTGACCGTGCTCCTTGCATAATTTAGAAAAAACCGACTCCTTTTCCACAATGATGATCTCTTCTGGACAAGAAGAAATAAAGCGAAAGTCTTCATGACGGGACTCGAGAGAGATGAGCGGCAAGAGCGTTGCGCCCTCGTTTTTCTCAAGATTGACCAGTTTGTCTCTATAGTAATATTGCAGATCTGCATAGATCAGCCCCTTCTGTGCTGCCACTACTCCCAAAGTCTCTGTAGATACTCCGAAGGAGCTGGCAATATCATCAATACACTGATTAATCACAGCCTGCTTTTTGAACAGAGTCACATCGCGATAGTAGATCTGTCGCTTGGAGACAACAGAATTTGGCGTAGAAGATACCTGGTCGAACAATAACCTTAGAACTTTCAGATAGCAAGCGAATTTCAAGTTGATCTCTGAATCCAAAGACGGGAAGAGTATTTCAGTGGTGCTCGTAGTCATCACGGGAACTCTTTGAGTTGACTCGCCTTTCCGTTTCAGAGATTCCTTTTGTTTCTTGAGAACAAGACAAATAGACTCTCCCTTTTTAAATCCATTTTCTACGAGCGTGAGAATGTTCCATAAACGCTCCTTTATTTGCGGACTTGTGGTTAGAGACGATATGCAGGGGAATCTTACATTGAGCTCAATTCGGGCGAGATTGTGATTACTCTGGTATCCATTATGTCAAAATTCGGGGCAAGATATTTTCTAGGGTTCATATTGTTTTTAGGCTATTGTTTATTTATCTGGTGTACGGATGCACAAAAAGGTGTGGTCAATTGTCTGTTCTGATACGGTATTTAAGCTACGCTGACGGAGCAAATGAAGTATGTCTCGCACAAATTCTGACACTCAGCACTTGTCTAACTCCAGGGTAGTTATTGTGGTCATCCTGTGTTGTTTCACCTTGTTCTTGATCTTCACACTTGCTGTGTTCTGGGGGGTGCAGATATATTCAAGGCTCGTGCTACCATTATTTCCAAGATCCTGGAGTCAGGAATCGGGAACGAATGGTTGCAATGAGCTTCCCCCTTCCTACGAGGAGACCCGACTATCAGACAACCCCTATGTTTACCCGGGAATAAAGCCATCGTATTCCGTTCAGGAGCTGAAGCAGCTGCGGTGCTATCTTGATCACAGAGGCAGGCTGTGCCATGTTACTGTGGCGCAGCGAGTCGATCCCCAGACAATGAAGGAATACGACGAGATCCAGCTCTCCAAGGACAGTCTGCCAGACTACAGTAGCGACGTTTTGTCCCTCGAGACTCCAAGTCCTTGCCACAACCCAGAGTCAAGGTAATAAAGGAATTGTCGATTCCAGATATTATGCCAAAAAAATGGCAAGCGTCGCGACGACTCGTGGCAGAAGCAAAATTATATATAGTTTGCAGATAAATAAATCAAGACTTTCATCGTTCCACTATTTCTCAGAACATGTTACAATCGGACTCTTTAGACCTAGCGAGGAGATACTGGTCATACAGCAATGATGGGTCCAAATATGCTTTTTTTGCCTTTTTGGCTGCTATAATTATCATCTTTCTTATCTTCACTTATATGCTTAATGTCCGCAGAATTAGACGGGGAAGAACTCCTATAATCTCACAATACCTGGCACCTCCAAGCTACTACCAATCACAGCATCAGAGCCCAGATGCTAACACTGTGCCGTTGCCGGCATATACAGAACAGCCAAATCCCAACCAGGACATTGGATACTACGACAATAACGGAAACTTCATTCCTTACTCGAAAGCCAATGGAGCCGGCGGGCCCAGCGTGCCTCCTGGGCCCAATGGGCCGGGCGAAGTGAATGGAGACAACCAGACGGCTCCAAATCCCTTTGATCAGCAAGGAACAGGCCACACCAGCCCGCCATATGCTCAGGCTCCCGCCACCGAGCCAATAAGCTCGCCGCAGCAGGCGTACTCTCGCCCAGACGATACCGAGACATATCCTACGTATACTTCGCATTCTTCCAGCGCGAATGCTCCGGCAAACTATACTCCTCCTCCAGGGCCACCTCCGACTCATAAAAAGAACTACTAGAAGTCCGTGGTGCAAGGATGGAATCGAATCTTATGTAAAATATATTTCATTTATGAGCAACCAAGGTAAAGTGCAGAAGCCGAACAAGCCTGCCGCCAACTCACTGAAACAAGTCGAGACGAAAAAACGGCAAGTATTCAAGGCAGTTCTGGCTAGTCCGTATTCCCGCCGTAACCTGTGGCCGGCCGTGAGCGCCGATTTGCAGAACGATCTGGTCGATCTTCTTTGTTCGATCCTCGAGCAGGTCGGGACCTTCAACAAGCTCTCGCAGGCAGAGAAAAAATCCTCTGGACTGGAAAAGCCGCCTATTAGCGAATACGTCATATATGGGTTCAACAGTTGCATGAAAGCTCTTGAAAAGCAGTCCAAACAGATCCAGTCTATGAAACTAGACTTGAACAGCGACCACACTCTTCGATATCTCTTTGTGTGCAAGCTTGATATGACGACGCCGCTGCTTTTCCAGCACTTTCCTGTTTTGAGCGCGCATGCGAATGTGAAGCTTATTCAACTACCGAAAAATACACATCAGAGATTACAGAAAGTCTTAGGTCTGAAAAAACCAACAGAGGTGTTGGTTTTGGCCAGAGGGGCTGCAAAAATGTACCCGCTGCTTGCTGAGCTTGCTGAGGGCGTGGATGACGTGGACATCGAGTTTCTTCGAAGTGGGCCTTTTGAGGCGAAAATAAAACACATATTGACGCAACAGACGGTTAAAAAATAGCAGTGTATTAAAGTGCCGCATGCGCGAGTTTAGATGCCAATTGATGCACTTTGGTGAGTGGACGGCGTCCCAAGTCGGTGAGCAGCCGCGATACGGATTCGGATGTCCAATTCGGAGCACGTGTGGAAAACAGAGGCTTGGGCGCGTGGTCTAGACCATCCACAAACTGGTTGCTGAGCTTGTTGAAATATAATAACGATGAGGCCCTTGTCATTCCCACATAGAGAACCCTGCGCTGAGTATCGTTGAAACGGTAGTTGTTGCCTGAAAGAATGAAAACGATGGGGAACTCAAGGCCCTTGGCGGTGTGGATGGTCGAAAAATTGACTTCATTGTCGTTGGAGGTCTTGATACTGCTGCTGGTCACCAGCGTATCGTTGTTGTAATTTTCCATGAAGTATGAGAGAACAGTGTGTTCTGGTGGTTTTTGTGCCTTTGCGCGTTGTAAAGTACTGTAGATGGTGTCGAAATGGAGTCTGTACTCCAGCAGCTGGTCTTTGGTGAATGCCTCCGCGCCGAGGACCTTGTCAAACCCCAGCTCCTTTCCCATCCTCAGCAGCGTGACCAGGATTTGGTCAGGGTCGTTCTGGTTCAACTCGCTCCTGCATTTAGCAATGTACTTCACATAATGCGGCAGCATGCCTAGTTTTTTCGGTTTTTCGTAGCCAGAATCATGCAAATATTCGTAGACAGGCACGTCGTGTTCGGTTGCCAGCGAGATCGCTTTGCGGAGAGTCGCCTCTCCGATGCTGGGGACGGTCGATAGCGAGCAAAGAAGCGGGAAGTTGACCCGCGGATCAACCAGCACCCGGACATACTGCATAAAGAAAGACAACGGGCTCTGGAGCCAGCGAGGGTTGCTGTTGAGCTTGCATAGTCCAAACCGGCCCCTTTCGCTGAAATAATTCAGGACAGAGTCGACCTCGCGGTTGGTGTAGCTCAAGATTGCAATATCAGAGGGCTTGATGGCGCCCTCAGAGATGTCCACAAGCCGCGTGACTTCGTCGTAGATGAACTCGCGTTCCTCGGCCGGGGATGTGAAAGAGAGACGCAGAGGAGGTAGGCCACACGGGGGCTTCACGCTGTGATGAACGGGAGTGCTGTGTCCTAAAACTGCGTTCGCAAACTGCAGCACCTCTGGCGTGGACCTAAAAGACTGGTTCAGATGCACTATGTTGGGCTTGGGGTGCCGCTCCATCAGTCTCTCCCAGTTGTGCCTGAAAGACGCTCCTAAGAAGCCGTAGATCGACTGGTCAGAGTCGCCGGCAAGCGTCAGATGTCGGCCCTTGCTAATCTGAAGCACCAAGTTCATGACCGCCGGATACACGTCCTGGAACTCGTCGACAAAAACGACCTTGTAGTTGTCGACGAATTTGGGCGGCGAGTGCAGCAGACTGGAACACTCCTCCAGCACGTCGTCATGGGTGAACACGCGCGTCGACCCAAACATCTCCACGATGCGTGCCACCACGGCGACGTCGCTGGTCGATCGACGCGCGTCGCGCAAGTGCGATCGCAACTCCGCCATCGAGCTTGCGCTGCGACCCATGTCAACCAGCCTGGCCAGTCGGCGGAGGTCGTCGTCGTCCAAAATGTTCCAGTCAGTGTACTTGGACCCGACCACCTTGCCTGCAAACGAGTGGAACGTCATGACGGGGATCTGGCAAGCCATGGGCCCCAGGACGGCACGGAGTCGCGCTCGAAGATCGTTGACCGAGCGGTTGGTGAGACTGAGCACTAGCAGGTCATCTGGCCGCATCCCGCTCTGCGACTGCGTGCTGAGCAGGTACGCGATTCTGCTGGCGATCGTTCTGGTCTTGCCAGATCCAGGCCCAGCCTTGATCCCAAGCAGGGTGTCGGGGCTGAAATCGCTCGTAATCGCGGTATATTGCTGTTCTGTGCACTTTATCTCTAGATCCATATGGACTATAAATGTATAAACGCAAGCATGACACCCACCTCAAAGATTGCGCGACAGAGAAATTCTGATCTATCGCAAAATATTTTTCCCACCGTTATGTACTCTTTTCGAATCCCTGTCTGGCGACCTTCTCTGCTTCGATGCGCGCCCTTTCCGGGTCCAGAAACTCGAAGTGGTCTGTTTCCGGGGACATGGCCGAGTTGAACTTGATCACCATAGGGATCCCGTTCGGGATGTTCACCGAGCTGATCGCGTCGTCATCGATAGCATACAGATGCTTGACCAGAGCCCGCACAACGGACCCGTGCGTCACCATGAGAACCGTCTCACCCGCCTCCAGATGCGGCACCACGTGCTTGTTGTAGAAGGGAAGCAGCCGCTTGGACACCATCTGCAACGACTCGGCACGGGGCAGGTCGTCCTTGGCCACCTTTGCGTATCGCCTGTCGTCGATGCAGTAGTACTTGTCGCCTGGATCCACAGCTGGAGGACACCCCTTGAAGGCACGGCGCCAGAATTGGTACTTTTCCTTGCCGTACAGCTCCAATATGTGACTTTTGGGCTCGCCCTGGAGCTTGCCGTAATGGCGCTCGTTCAGCCTCCAGGACTTCACCTCGTCGATGTACTGGCAGTTCATCTCCTCCAGTATAATATTAGCGCTCTCTATGGCCCTCGACAGTCTCGACGTGAAGCAGATGTCGGGTTGCACGTACCCGGACTCTAAGATCAGCTTAGCCGAATGGCGTGCTTGCTCTCTTCCCGTCTCGCTAAGTTTGATGTCCACCCATCCACAGAATCGATCGTCCTTGTTCCACAGCGATTGGCCATGTCTGATCAATATCAGTGTGCCTGGCATGTTGTTTCTAAATCAGCTAACGCAATTATTTTCTAGCTTAACTTTTTTATGGCAGTGCTATCCTGCCTGGTATTTACAATCGTTCAACTCTTGATTTGCCACTTAGCTAAGATCTGTATCATGAACTTGAGTCGCAGAATATTTTCTGCCCAAAGACGGTTTGCCTCCTCTCTCACGGCCATCAATGAGCTCCAGCAGGCAAAGATGCTGGCGCGCGTGCAGAAGTTTGACGACAAAACCAAAATATTCGATAAGCTCGACAATCTACATATGCTTGTTCTCCGGAAGGGCTACTACAATGTCAACATCAACAAACTGGGTTTCCAGTCGAACTCGCCAGAAATCCGAGACAGATACTCCAACTTGTACCATATTTTTGACATTGAGGAAGCATTGTCGCAGCACTTTACGAAAATGCCTCTGCTGTCTGCTCCTCAGCCAACAACCACTTTCACTGGCAGCGGTTCGAGCCTGATGGTGGTGCTGAACTCTATGAGACAGCGCAAGGACTCCCCCGTGGAGAATCACATCAAGCTGTTGCACCGCCTCGCAAGAAACGATGTGGAACTGAAGCGCGGCATTCAGGACGTTCTCAAGACTTTTGAGAAAGAGGACGACTTTTTCTACCAGTACGTCCTCGATTTGTGGGAGAAGAAAAAAGAGTTCAGTCGCATGGTGGCCAAACAAAGACAGGCCAAAGAAGCGGCGCAGGTAAAAAGTTAATTCATATACAACAGCAGCTACCCAAGTATCCTCCAATTTTGATCTCCCTACCCCACCAAACCATGCACAGCTCCCTCAAAAATTGACGGTCTGTTGTACTATAAGGATCTAGACCCATCTCGAAAAGATCGTGAGGCTCAATCCATAGGCTGTGGTCACGGGAAGCGTGATCAACAAGCGTGTCAGCCTCGCTCGTTCCCTCGTTCAAATGGTCAGATTCGCTGTTATTTATTATGTCGACCAGGATTGTGAACAGCTTTGTGGTCAGTTTCTGGAAATATCCAATCAAGGACACCAGCCGTTCAACTTTAGTCTGGTTGACATCATCGAGCAAATCTTGTTCTTCTTCAAACTCGTCCCTAGGGCTCTCGCTGCTTCCTGCAGTAGCCCACCACGAAAACCCTTTCCAGATAACTTCACGGAGCGAGAGCGGCTCCGTGGTAGCCCTTGCATGTGGAGGAAGCTTGACCTCCAAATCCTCTATGCGAAGATCCCGGCGAACAACGTTATCGGAGAAGGCAGCATACACGAGCTTGAAGCGATTGAAGTCTCTCGGCGTCGCAAGAATGGGTTTCGACGATCCGGATGCTAACAGAAGCGGCTCTCCTTGATCAGTGTCAGGTAGCAGCAAAGAATAATGGTAGAGCTCTGTTTTCTCCAAGATAATCTGGTCAGAAGTCGAGGCTATAAATCCATTTTCTTGCGACCTCAGAAACCCGATATCGTTAACACACACGTTGTATAGCGGTGTGAGATGTTCCAAGGTTTCCTGCTGGATCACCTTAGATTTAATCAACATGAGCTTCAAATCTTTTGGAATTGACGATATCATAGAGACGCAGTAGATGATCTTGGACAGCTCGCTGATCGAACGATGAGAGTTTTGCGGTGCATAAATAATGATTTTTTTACGAGTCAACGCCAGCTTCCACAATCGGTATACCAAAGGGCCGAGAGTCTCCATCAGCGGAAGAAGATAATTGACCATGTGCTCGTCATCAATAGTGTATTGAGCCAGGTCGCTATCATTTTTTGGCAGGGTCCCGTCTGTGGACGTATCTGCTAAGGTAAGTGAGGTCATGCCACTCTCAGAGCTAGTCCCTCTATCTGCATTCTGTGGCTCGTCATTGGTAAGAGTTTGAATAGACTTTCTTCTATTTATATTGACGTTTTTTATGATATCTTTGAATTTAGTGCTCAAGTCGTTAGGTCCCTTAAATCTGTGAACTATCCAGAATTGTTCGAGATTGTTGTACTTATCTTGCTCCTCTCCAGAATCCAGAAATCCTGTGACAAGCCTGTTCAGCTCATTTCTGTAGTTCCAGCAAGACGAATACACTCTGGGCATCCATGTCTCGTTCAGATGCTCTGGATCCACCAGAACCCCAAGTGAGTACATCTTCACAGAGTTTCTGTCAACATTTCCATCAACCGTCTTCTGCGATGCCAAGTTTTGCTTGAAAACCAGTAGTCCATACAATAGAGACCTGGTGTTGGCCCGGTTCGGCTCTCCTTTTTCATGAACAAAACAGATAATGTCAGTATCAACAGAGTGGAGACCCGACGGCAATGCCTTGAATTCCAAGCCTTTGCTAGGATACAAAGATTCATTTAATGATCGGAACCACTTTAGTTCGTATCCCGTATGCACATCAAACTTTGCCAGAAACATGCCACATAGGGCCGCCTGGGAGACCTTAGACGGATTGGCCACCGTAGGAATGGCTATCTCCATGCTGCAAATATTGGCCAAAGAAACAAATTACCACTTGACCGTATATATTATTTAGCCTACGATGGGGCAGAAAGTGTTGCTGACGTAATCGAATATACGACAAGGGAGTTGTTGTGGCGTAGCTGAAGCGAACACAGAGGGCATGTAAAGAGGATGTTCTCAGCAGCAGTGCAGGATAGCTTATTGGGAGAGCTGTAAAGCTTTTCTGAGAGCACAATGTGGTAATAATCAGAAATATAATCGATTGTTATATCCTCCTTCCCAAGCTTATTGCATTAATCTGATTTTATATTTCAGATAATTATAAAAAAATATGATCCACTAATTCTACGTTTGCGACGAGGTCGTTGTTGTGTCAAAACGATGAGACAGCACAACAAGTGCAAGAACATAGCAGCAGTGCTAAAGCACGATAGTTACGCTAATTCGATCTGAAATCTCATTCCTAATATACAATTATACCCAATACACCGTACCTAAGCAGAGGTGGCAGAAGTGTACTTAGTGACAGCTCTGGTACCCTCAGAAACAGCGTGCTTGGCCAATTCACCAGGCAAGATCAGTCTCACGGCAGTCTGGATCTCTCTAGCGGAAATAGTGGACTTCTTGTTGTAAGCAGCAAGCTTAGAAGCCTCAGAAGCGATTCTCTCGAAGATGTCGTTCACGAACGAGTTCATGATGGACATGGCCTTCTGGGAAATACCGGTGTCCGGGTGAGTTTGCTTCAAAACCTTGTAAATGTAGGAGGAGTAGGTCTCCTTTCTGGCCTTGGTTCTCTTCTTAGCATCGGAGGAGGCGGCAGTCTTCTTTCCGGCTGGCTTCTTCTCAGCTGGGGCCTTGGAGGCTGGTTTCTTTTCTGCTTTTGGAGCCATTTTTTGAAAAATAAGGTAATATCTAGGAAGGCAACTTAGGTGACTGGGATGTTATTATATAGTTGTAGGTGATTGTTTTTCCTAGAAGCCGACCGCGTTGGTACAAAATTTACGGCACTGCCCGAGTAAAAAACAGGCCTAACAAATTTACCATCCCTCATTTTACGCACGACGCATGAGTAAATCATGGAACCAAGTTGCCAGACCGCGCATCCCTACATAAATACAAGACAATACCCCCATCCTGTCTCATCTTTTCAAATTAACTAAAATGTCCGGTGGTAAAGGTGGTAAAGCAGGTTCCGCAGATAAGGCTTCGGTCTCCAGATCTTCTAAGGCTGGTTTGACCTTCCCAGTTGGTAGAATCCACAGATTGCTCAGAAAGGGTAACTACGCTCAGAGAGTTGGTTCCGGTGCTCCTGTCTACTTGACTGCCGTCCTGGAGTACTTGGCTGCCGAAATTTTGGAGTTGGCTGGTAACGCTGCCAGAGATAACAAGAAGACCAGAATTGTCCCAAGACACTTGTTGCTGGCCATCAGAAACGATGAGGAGTTGAACAAGCTTTTGGGCTCTGTCACCATTGCCCAGGGTGGTGTCTTGCCAAACATCAACTCCGAGCTGCTTCCAAAGAAGCTGCCAAAGGCCAAGGGTTCCCAGGAGTTGTAAGATTAGGTAGGGTCCAAGTGTATATTAGTGTTCGGTAAGAAATTCACAGATCAGACGTAGTATACACCTCCATTATCTTTGTCCCACTATATCGACGATGATGTTGATGATCGACACAATCACCTCTGCACCGATCAGCATAATCACGATAAATTCGAGATACTCGTCGTTTGAGTGTCCCAGCTGCTCTTTGAGCATCTGCAACAGATCGCTGATCACTTCCAGACGTTGATTCAGGAGAGCCACCCGCTGGTTGATTTCCATATAGCCACGAGTAGCTTGATAAATCGGTTCCAGCTGAGGCTCCGACCACATGAGCTCGGGCGAGTCCAGCACAGAACCATGCAGATTGATGTTGATACGGAGAATGAATAGCTCACCAATAGACTTCATGATTTCTTCTCTGCTCATCTCCACCTTACCCGTCTGCGCAATTTGCTGCGGTATATCCTGAGTGTCCTCGATGGTGTTATCCACAAGCTCCTCGAACAGAGAGATCTTGACCGATTGTGAAATTGCGTACGAGATGCTTAGCTTTAGCATGTAATTCGAGTCATCTCTTAATGTGATGAAGTCGTTGTAAATTCTCGGCTGATAACTGTGGGTAATGTAGTAATTAAACTCTTCGGCCTGAACGTCTTCGTCCGAGAGCTTTTCGTTCTCGAACTTGGCCAAATCGACCAGAAATGCTTCTTCCTCGCGTTTGCTGAATCCCCAAAGCACCACCACTCCGTATTCGAAAATAAACACATCGGTGGACCGCTTGCCCACATCGATCTCTCCGCCCTCGTCATCCAGTCTAATTGTCTCCGTAGTCAAGGAAGCTTTATCGCTAAAGTCAGGTCTTTTGCCAGAGCCATTACTGTTGCTCCTCCAGTCTTTATATGCAAATGGGGTGTATATGCATTCGTCAAAAAGCTTTGGCATCGTTCCATGGATCCGCTTGCGGTCTTTCAGCCATCTGATAAGGTCGCGCATCTTGTACGAGCCGGCTGTGCAGTAGGCGGTAACACGGGGTAAAAGAGAACGGTGCTTTTTGCCCAACCGCTCTGCATCTTTTCTAGCCGGTCTATCAGTGATTTTCTGTAAAGAGTAGGACTTGTCCACGCTGGAATCAATAGAAGTATAGTCCAGCTGGTCAGGAAGCAGCTTGAGCTTCTGACTTGTTCTACTTGCTCTCTGAGGCACGATGTTGGGACCCAATTCCTTGGCCACATTTTTTGGTTTTGCAGCCTCGGGGCCACTGGAAGCGGGTCGATGTGCTGTTTCTAGTGGCGCCGATCCGTAAGGGTTATCTGACAACAGCGCTGTTCGTTCGGTAGCGGACATACTAGGAATGCGTAGATAGGTGGAAGAGAAGGGAAAAAACCGATAATCTAAAATATTTTATAAATTTTAGAACTCCGTCCTCGTCGATAAGTCGATCGACTAAAAAAAATTTTAGAAATATTTCACTGTAAAAAAGGTAATCCTATTTTATCCATGGTGAAGAAGAAGGGCACAGACTCGGGGCGCAGATTCGCCTTCGCTTCCTTCAAGGACCGAGTTGATGCTATACAGATAGATCCTATTTTACAGCTAAACAGAAAAGCATTTCACGAGGCGGAAATATCTCATTTCCTGTCTACTTTGGAGCACTGGAGGGAGGTGAATTTATCCAAATCTTTCACCGAGCTGGTGGAAGTGCTAGAGCCTCTGTGTTTGAGCCTACCTCAGCTGCTTTATCACCAAAAGACCATTTTTGAGAGTCTCATAAACACTCTGCTGCTCAATGATAGACTATCGTTGCAACCAACACTAGAGCTGCTGACCCAGTTTTGCCACGATCTCGGAACAGATTTCATGCCATACTATTCCGATACACTGGAGACTCTTGTTAAGATTGTTCCACAGCAAAGCGAGACCGATCCGCTGGAATGGATTTTCAATGCCCTTGCATATCTATTCAAATACCTGTCCAAAGAGTTATCCAAGGACCTTGTGCCCACTTTTAGACTGCTACAGCCACTATTGAACGCAGAGAAAAAAGAGTACATTGCTCGATTCGCTTCACAGGCCATGTCGTTCCTGGTTCGGAAGGCCACGTCCAAAGCCCTGATATCTTTTGTCGAGACGGTGATGAACGAGGATTTGGATGTGAACGTCTACCACAAGTCTCTGGTGGTTATTTTCTCGGAGTCGATGAAAAATTCGCAGGGAACTCTTCATTCTAAAGGGCCGTCGATTCTCAGCGTGCTAACAGAGATCTGCGAGCCGGACGATGCGAAGACGGCAATTCTTTCGGACGTCTTATTGGATCTGCTTTCACACGTTTCGGAGGCCTCTGCGATTTATGAGACGATTCTGGACAAAATGACATATCAAACCTCAGGCAGCGTGTGGATTCTCTCGACTCTTGCATTTGCAGAGAGCGGCAAAAAAGTGCCCAATTGGGGTGCTCTTTTCGACGGTGTTTTGAAGCTTGTTCAGGATGTAGGACTCATACAATTGTACGCCACATTGATCAGAAACGCCGACCAGCTGGAGCTGTCAAAACGCTACGTTTTTCTGTTCACCACCATGGCAGCAAAAGACTCGTTTTTCCTGCCCTTCGTTGAGACATCTCTGGAGCTTTCTCAGGACAGAACGTTAAGTTTTGGGAGGAATTATGTCACGAGCTTTATTTCTCAGAACTGGAGGCAAAGACATAAGGAGATTGCCTACTTTCTGGACAGAATGAACAGGAAAGGAGTCGCTCTCGAGGTGGTGATTCCGCACGAGTTCAACGAGTTTATCAACTCCAATATTGACGATGGGTTATACTGGAGATTGTTAATGCTACAATACAGCAAGGCCACAATCGACAACCAGACGTTACTTAAAAAGCTTCCCGAGGCATCTGCAGACGAGCAGGGACTGATCCTCAAGGTGCTCGCGAAATCTGACTTTCCAGACATCTCGTCTGCGGTCATCGAGTCCATACCAGCTTCAGCTACCAATATTGTTTTTCTGGAAGGGGTGCAAGAGGTCATTAAAAAAAATCCAGCACCTTTCAGACAACAGCAGCACAAGCTCATAGAGCTGCTAAAGGACAATCTAGTGCTACCGTCGCATTCCGTTCGCGAGACAACGCTTTCCATTATTTCGCTTCTTTTCGAAAATGCTCCGGAAATAATTAGCACCTGTCGATTAATTGAACAGATTCCGCTAGACCTGCAGACAGGGAGGGAGATCCAGCTTCGTTACAGATCATTCGTCCAGACATTTACGGACTCACCAAAAGACCGGCTGCTGGACAGGGTGGTTGTGAATTTCCTTTTTGGACAGCTCTCCAACAAGTTCTCGCCATCGTGGAGCGGCGTGTTTGAGTTCATGGAGCAGGTCATCGATCGGATTGAGCAGCCGGTGTGGTCCGAGATTGAGACGTTCCTGAAAAAGGAGTACCCACCAAGAGAAGCTGAGACGGAGGAATTGCAGGCTGTTTCTCAGTGGACCGGTCTGAACCCAAAACTGGTTGGCTACGTGGAGAAGTGCGAGGCCATTGCGGTCCGCTATTCTGCCATTGACAAGAGTCTTGTTCCGCCAGCACACGAAAGCACCGAGTTCACTGCTTTTTACCGAGAACAGTGTATCAAGGTGCTACACAGACTGCCGAAGCTGGCCGAGCAGCATTTCGACGTGCTGCTGCCATACGTGCTTGAGGACGAGGAGGACAACGTGAAATGGCCGGTCAAGGACAGAAACTCCGTGGTGGAGGTGATGGCCAAGTTTCAGAACCTGCGAAAAGTGCCCGGTGCCGACCAGGTGCACAAGTTTCTGCTGCGGCTGCTGGCAAACAGATCCGTCCAGACGCAGAAGCTGGCATTCAATGCTCTCGCAAACTGGAAAAACCCGGTCTACAACAGGTACAGAGAAAACCTGAACAGCCTGCTGGACGACATGCTTTTTAGAGACGAGGTTATCAATCTGCTCCAGAACGAGGAAAAAACAGTGATTCGGGAGCAGGACACAGATACCATTATGCCGCTAATCTTACGAATTTTGTTTGGTCGCGCACAGACGCTGAGGACGAGCGGCACGAAACAAGGCCGCCGGACGGCTGCCATCAAGGCATTGTCGAATCTGAGCGACCAGCACATGAAGGAGTTTTTGGCTCTGTCGTTCGAGAAGCTGAACGAGATGCGGTCGCAGGAGCTCAGTTTCCGGCTGATCCGGACAGCCAGCGGATTTCTGAACATGGTGTCTGACCTGCTGTCGTCGATCGGACGCACACGCAGCGAGTGTCTGTCGATTCTGCTTGACCCGCTTGTTTTCTCGCTCAGCGTGTCGGAAAAAGCCATTGGTTCTGCCGACGAAATCACCGACAAGGCCGCCAGAAACAACCGACAGCTCGGTTTCAAAGTGCTGTACGACGTGACAGACTATCTGGGCGACTCATTTGACTGGAAGCCGTACGGCGACGACATCTACTACAACCTGGTGCACCAGAAAATGGCCAACTTCGCAGACGAGAACTTGCAGCAGCCGTCGTCGCTGATGCGGCTCATGACGGCACTGTGGCCGCAGCCAAACCTGCAATTTTTCCTCCGCTACGAGGAGATGGCGCCGGTGAGGGCGTTGATGGGCGTCCTGAAGCACGAAAAAGCCAAGGAGGCCGTGCAGAGGGCCGTGCTGCAGTTTGTGCTGAAACTGCTCGACAGCAACGACAGCAGCGAGGAGCACGTCGAGGTGCTGATTCTGATCATCTCCGAGTACCTCAACTCGCTGGTGGCGCTATTTGCCAACTCCGAGAGCAAAGAAGTCAACGGGCTGTGTGTCAGGATCTTGCACAACCTGGTGCAACGCGATCTGATCACAGCCAGCGAGAGCAGCAAGTTTTTGGTGGACTCGCTCGTGATGGTGCTGGACAAACCGGCCGCGCAGATCGACACGCCCACCAGAACAGAGATCGTGAGCGTCTTGGCCCTGGTGGCCCGGAATCTGTCGTGCTCAGTGACGGAAATAATGCCGCTGTACAAAAGCATGGCTCCGCTGCTGAAAATACACGAGGAGCGCGAAATGCGCACAGCAATTTGCCAGGTGTACCTGACGCTTGGCGCCAAGTACAGCGAACTCGAGCGCGTGTCGCACGTCGTGGCCGCGCTGAACGCGTACTCGGAAAAGCGGATCCGCGAGCCGGACTACGAGCAGCGGCTCGAATGCTACAGACAGATCGACAGAGAGCTGTACGACTCGTTTTCCGGCTCCGAGTGGCTGCCGGTGATCAACACGGCGCTGTTCCAGATCAACGACGAGACGGACTCGGCAATGCGCTCGTCTGCGTCCAACACCCTGTGCCGGTTTATCGACGTTTCGGAGCCGTTTGCAGAGATTTTGCACGAGATCGTGCTGCCGGTGGTGCGCCCCGGTTTGCGCCGCAAAAACGAGCTGGTGCGCCAGGAATACATCAACGTCGTGGCGCACGTCGTCGAGAAAACAGACGTGTTCCCAGACATGAAGGTTCTGCTGCACGGCGGCGACGAAGAGGCCAACTTCTTCAAAAATATACTGCATCCACAGGTGCACCGCCGACAGAGGGCCGTGAGACGGCTCGGCGAGGCCGCACAAGAGCTCGGCGGCTCCTCCATCGCACACTACCTGCTGCCGATGATCGAGCGGTTCGCCTTCTGGGACGACGAAAAGTACAGGAACCTCGCCAACGACACGGTGGCCACCGTCGCCAAGCTCGCCGCTTACGTCAGCTGGAACCAGTACAGGGCCCTCCTGAGCAGGTACGTGGCGACGATGACGGGCGCGCTGCAGGCGGAGAAGCACGAGGAGCTGCGCGACAGCGTCCAGGTGGTGACTGCGGTGGCCAGTTCGATGCAGGGGCTGCAGCGGCGCGGGGCCAGGGACTTTCCTGCTCCGGAGAAGCTGGACGACATTGTGGTGGAGATGCTGATTCCGCCGGTGAAGAAGGTGTTGACGAAGAGGGACGAGGAGACGGTGGTGCAGCGTGTTGCTCTTTCGGAGGCGCTGGTGTCGCTGGTGATGTGCTGTTCGGCGGAGAGGATCGAGACAGAGCTGCCGGGCATTTTGACGAGTATCTGCCAGATTCTGCGTGCGCGGTCTGAGGAGCTGAGGGACGCGGTGAGAAAGCATCTGGGCCGCATCGCGACCGGTCTTGGGTCGCCATACCTGAAGTTTATCCTGCAGGAGCTGAAGACAGCGCTGACCAGAGGTCCGCAGATCCACATTCTCAGTTTCACGATCCACTATCTCCTGGTGGTGATGGACGGTGTTCTGTCTCAGGGCGACCTGGACGAGTGTGCTGGGTACGTGATCGACACGGTGATGAACGACATTTTCGGTGCGGCGAGCGAGGAGAAGGAGGCCGAGGGGTACAACAAGAAGATGAAGGAGATCAAGCATAACAAGAGCTACGACACGGGCGAGCTGCTGGCTAGCAAGATGCTTCTGCAGAACTTCCAGCAGATCCTGGGCCCGATAAAGCTGCTTTTGCGCGAGAAGCTGGCGTTCCGCACGCAGAAACGGCTGGACGAGCTGCTGCGTCGTGTCTCCATCGGGTTGCAGAAAAACGAGGAAGCAGGCTCGACGAGCGCCATCCTGCTGTGCCACGAGATCTACGAGCAGTCTCTGGAGAAAGACGAGACGCGGGCGAAGCGCGTCAGCGAGGCAGAGGACCATTTTCTGGTCAAGCTGGATGCCAAGCCGCAGCGGACGCAGATGGAGTACTCGCTGTACTCGAAGGTGTTGCAGAAATTTGCGTTTGACCTGCTGCACGCGGTGGTTACGAAACACCCGCAGCTGTTCACGGCGGGCAACCTGGCGGATTTCGTGCCGCTGCTGGAGACGAGCCTGTCGTCGGGCGACGAGGGCGTGGTTCTGGCGGCGCTCAAGATGCTGACGCAGCTGTCGCGGCTGGACTTCGACGAGGCCGTGAACGCGCAGTTCACGGCGTGCGCGCGGGCGACGCTGCGGATCGTCAAGGACCTGCCGAGCACCAACAGCGACCTGTGCCAGAGCGCGCTCAAGTTTCTGAGCGCGGTGATCAGAAATAAGGACGGCCTGCAGCTCAAAGACACCGCGCTCAGCTACCTGCTGAAGAAGATCGAGCCGGACCTGGACGAGCCGATGCGGCAGGGCGTGGCGTTCGGCTTCGTCAAGGCGCTCATCGCGAAGCACGTGATGCTGCCCGAGATCTACGACGTGCTCGAGACGGTGGCGCGCATCATGATCACGAGCACCTCCGGCGAGATCCGGCAGACCGCCAGAAGCGTCTACTACACGTTTCTGATGGAGTACGACCAGAGCCGCGGCCGGCTCGAGAAGCAGTTCAAGATGCTGCTGGGCAACTTGGAGTATCCCGCGCAGAGCGGCCGCCAGAGCGTCATGGAGCTGCTGCATCTGATCGTGCGCAAGGCGGGCAAGGACGTGCTGGCAGCGGTGTCTGCGTCGTTTTTCATTGCGCTCGCCAACGTGGCGGTCACCGACGACGCGCCGTCGTGCCGCGAGATGGCGTCGGAGGTGCTGCTGGCGATGCTGGGCCGCATGGACGACCTGGCGTTTGTGGAGAAATGCGTGACTGCGTGGGTGGACAACAGGAAGAACGAGCTGCTTGTGCGGTGCGGGCTGCACGTGTACCAGCTGTACGTGGACGCCGTGGGGGTGGAGAACGCCGTTCTGAACGAGACGGCGCTGGCGAGAATCAATCACGTGCTCGCAGCCAGCGCAAAGAGCAGCGACGCCGGCACATCGTGGGAGCTCGTGTACTCGTCGCTGGTGGTGTTCGAGAAGCTGTCGCAGAAGACCGACGTGTACGGCGAGAAGTACGCGCCGACGTGGGCCGCTGTCGTCGACTGTCTGCTGTATCCGCACTCGTGGGTCCGGCTGGCCTCTGCGCGGCTCGCCGGACAGTACGTCCAGAAGTGCGCCGCGGTGAGCGACCAGACGCTGCAGACGATCGCGTACCGGTCGTTCAGACAGCTCAGCGCGCCGGGGGTGGCGCAGAGCCTGGCTACGGAGGTGGCAAAGAACCTGGTGTATGTGTCGAAGATCTGGGCGCAGCAAAACACACGCTACCTGCCGGCGGACGGCGAGCAGGCGGAGCAGAGCGCGCTGGAGTGGGCGCTCGCCAGGGCGTGCGCCGTGCTGAGAAACGAGTCTGCGCCGCCGAAGGACCTGCTTGTCACGAAAAAGGCCATGGTGCAGTACTGCGTGTTCCTCGTGAGCTTTCTGGACCCCGAGACGGTGGCTCACGTGATCCGGCAGCCGCTGGACCCGCTCGTGGTGATCTCGGAGCAGGAGCCGGCCGTCGAGGACACGGACGAGAACACGCTGCCGGCAATGGCGCTCAAGTGTCTGGAGCTGGTTGCACAGAAGATCGGCGTGAGCGAGTACAATCTGCTGTACTCGGCAACGAAAAGAGCCATCGGCGAGCGGCGCCAGGAGAGAAAGACCGCGCGCGCGCAGCTGTCGCTCAACAACCCGGCGGCGGCAGCCAAGCGGAAGCTCAAGAAGCACGCGCGCACGAGAGAAAAGCGAAAGCACCTCAAGGACGAAAACGGGCTGTACCGTCCGAAAAGGAAAAAGCTTTAACGATAGGTAGAGTAATAGTAAGTGCATGTTGATCTTATCTACATCCGCTCCTCTTTGAAACTGACCTCGTCGTCCTCGTTCAGCGCCATGGAGTCCAGCTCGTCGTCGTCGTCGTCGACCTCGTCGTCGTCGTCGTCGTCGTTCACGTCCATCTCGGTCACCTCGTCGTCGTGCTCGGGCTCGTCGAGGTCTTTCTTGAGATCGTCCGCCTTGCCGTTCTTCTGCTTCGAATTGTACTCTTTGATCTCGCGCTGGTACCGCAGCCGGTCCTGCTCGTACAGCTCGTAGTACGGCTTTCTGGACACGTCGTCCAGGTTGCGCCACGCCTCGGTCATCGCCTTGGACAGGTCCGACGGCACGCTGGGGTCTTTGGACTCGATCTGCTTCTTCACCCGCTCTTTCTCCATCTCGCAGAAGATCAGGTACGCGTTGGTCGGCCGCTTCGGGATCGTCGGGTCCTTGAGCCGCTGCTTCTTGAGCGTGTTGGCTCCTCGTTTTTTCTTCGCCACCAGGCTACCCACAGAGGCGTTGAACCCGTTCTTGGCAAGCGAGTACGGCGTCCTGGTCAGCAGGTGCGTGATGTCTGCGAGCCGCAGACTGTCGATCTCGTCGCCATCCAGGTCGTCTGCCGTCAGCTGCCCGACGTTCGGAATGCTCGCCTCGTCCGCCTTGCGGCCCAGAGCCTCCAGCAGCAGCGCGTACTCGTATCGGAGCCGCTCGACGGCCTGCTTGGCCCGCGACACCGCCACCGCCGTGGCCTCGTTCTCAGACTCCAGCTCGTCGATCTTGCCCTTCAGGTCGACGCACTTCTGTCGCAGTACGTCTAATTGTTAGGAGCACACGCACACACACTTACCCTCGCTCATCCTGTACAAAGTATTTTGTCGTTTTATTTTTCGCTACTTATTTCCTCCACCCGTGCACCGCCTCACCACAGCAGCTCCTCCTCGAAGTAGTCCACGTTCTGGTCGCCGCGCAGACTCTCCACCGTCGAGTGGCGCACGTCCGCGTTCATCGACGCCGGCCCGCACGCAATCACCGCGGTTGGGCCGCGCAGCCGCGCTATGTAGCTGCTCAGCTCGCGGCACAGGTCTGGCTTCTGGTTCAAGTTCAGGCTCACGTAGCACACCTCGTCGCGCACGAGACGCTGCAGGAAATCGACCTTTTCGGCCAGCGCCAGCTTGCAGTCGCCGAACTTCTCGCTCGCCAGCCGCTCGCCCTCCGCCAGGGCCTCCTGGTCGGCCACCCACTTCAGCTCCGGCTCCACCAGGTCTCTCGTGATGAACACCTGCAGCTCGACGAGGCCCTCGAACCGCCGGATGCTCTCGATTTCGTGCCTGAAGCTCATGAGCGACTCGAAGTTCGGCGCCACCCACACAATGCCGATGGACTTGTCCGTCCGGCCTTTCTGGCCGCGCAGAATTTGGGCCCGGTACGTCTGCGCCAGGTACAGCGCCAGGGTGTAGACAACGGTCATGCCAACGCCGCCGGCGACGAACACGGAGTGCTCGTACGCCTTGAACGGGATCGTCGAGCCGTACGGCCCCTCGACCAGCAGCGGCACGTACGCCTCGTGGTTCGGCTGGGTGGCTATGAATTCCGCCAAGTTCTTGGTGAGGCCCTGCTTGACGCGGATAATCAGCACGAGCTGGTTGAAGTTTTCCTCGGCCGCAGACGACACGATCGTGAACGGGTGCGCCTGCCAGAACATGTCGGCGCGCAGAAAGTAGACCCAGCAGTACGCGCCGGGGAACGGTCTCCACCAGCCGGAGTGGTTGATTTCGACGCGGATCGCGTGCGGCACCTCCTTGTACCCGTCCGCGTCCAGAACGGTCTCAAAGAGCACTCTGCAGCGGCCCCTGAGCACGCCGCCGCTGACGAGCATCTTGCCGAGCCGCAGCGCGTACTCGGCGGCCCAGATACCGAACGACACCGCCACATACTCGATCCAGCCCAGCGTGAGGCAGTGGTACCACACGCCGACGACAAACACGACGGCAAGCAGCTTGTGGGACATCTTGAACCACTCGTACAGCGGCGCGCGGCCAAACGCGGCGGCCGTGGTGAGCGTGACGGCCGAGAAGGCAGCGTTGGCACACCGCCACTTCGTGAGCCCCCACCGCGCGACGTAGTCGCCGCGGGTGTCCACGTAGAGCAGGTAGAACGCCGTGTGCAGCACGATCAGCACAAACACCACGCGCGAGACCCAGCGGTGGTACATCTGGAACTCCCTGTAGGACGCGCCGGTAAGGATGAGCAGCGGGTTGTTGCGCGCAGCAAACAAGAAGCAGAGCGGCAGCTGGGTGATGGCGACGATGCCGGTCCGGTCGGCGATGTTGACCCAGCGCTGGCCCTTGGGGCATCTAAACACGCTGTTGGGCAGGACGGTGCGGTAGTTGACGCAGCAGAGCACGGCTACCAGCAGGATGTAGGCGGAGATGGTGAGGACGTGGATTCTGACGGGCAGGCGCAGCAGCAGCGCGTGGGCGGTGTTCTGGAGCCTCGCAAGCCACGGCGCGCGCGCCGCCTTGGCCGGGCAGGGCGACACCACGAGCGACGAGACAAAGTGGCGGCGCGTCCACTTGGCAAGCCTGTGGTTGCAGAGGCTCGAAAAAAAGTACGGGAAGCACCACCGGCAGATGTTGAAGAACAGCGCCCACGCAAAGACGCACCCCCAGTACCCGAGCAGCGCGTGGCCGTACGCGGTCGCGAGCTGGCGGTGGTGCAGCAGCGCGGCGACGCCCTGGTACGAGGCGTTGTACATCTCGTCGCTGAACATTATGGGGTGGTGCAGCACGGTCAGGTTCGCGGCGGCAGAGGGCTCAAGATAGTGCGCGGTCGCGTTCTGGTTCTGCTTGACGAGGTCGGTGAAGTTGTACTTGACCAGAGCCTGGTTCTCGCAGACGTCCAGCATATAGCTGTAGGCCCTGGTGAGCGTCAGGGAGTCGCTGCTGAACTTCTCGATGCACAGCAGCACAGAGCCCAGAAATGCCGGACACCGGCACCGGCACTTGTACGCGAGGTCGTCGTTTCCGCAGTCGAAGCGGAAGTTGGTGGAGTTGTTGGCTATGTAGAGACAGGTGGCTCCCTCGGGGCTGGAGATGCCGCGCGCCAGAACGCTGGAGGCCAGCAGCAGCGGCAGCAGCAGCGAAAACATGAGTGACGGATTTTGCTTGGTGAGATGACAGAAGTTTGAGAGTCTATTGGGGAGACATCACCATCAGAATAATTAGCGGCGGCACAAAGTACATCCAATATTTCTGGACGAACGATTTTTCGGCCACCGGCGCGGCTACGTGGGGTTGCGGAGCGTCCTCGCGTGGGGGCAGAATTGTGTGTGCGGCCACGAGCCGGACGGCCGGGGTCTCGGCGGCCGTCTCGAGCAGCGAGAGGGCGGCGACAGAGCCGTTGGCGAGCTCGATGGCGAGCGTGTCGCGGAGCGGGAAGCTGAGTTTCTTCGTGTTGAAGCACGGCGCCAGCGGCCGGCCGTCGCAAGCCAGCGACACGCAGTACTCGTCATCGTCGAGGGCCTGCTTGGCGACCATCCGCCACCTGCCGGCGTGGAACAGCTCTGCGACTTCGGTGGGGGGAGTGCGGTCGTTCTGCGCGACAAGTTGGTACGTCGCGCTCTCGTCGAGCGTCAGCGCCGCCGCCGAGGCGAGCAAGACCAAAAACCCAACAAGCATAGGATAAATTATACTTTATTTTTTTCAACTACCCCCCGCACCTATTTACAGACTAGTCTGTGCGGCAGGCTCGAGCAGACGGGCCGGAACGTCGAGGCCGGCCTTCTTGTACCTCTCGAGCATCTCCGGCAGCCGGGAACCGAGGTCCGGCAGCTCAGCCTCGGCCAGCTCGTCGATCACATACTGCGCCAGGGCATGGTCGTCCTGGACGTCTGCCACACGCAGCATGTAGTAGAAAGTGTAAAAGTTTGGTTTCTGGGTCGCGTTCTGCTGCACAAACTCAAAGAAGCGACGCAGCCCGCCCACGTCCGGGCTGATGCTGAAGGCCCGGAAGATCGAGTTGTAGAACTGCGTGGTCAGCGGCACGCCTGCCTCCAGAGCTGCGTAGAAATATTCCAGAGCCTTGGAAACGTTGCCCTGCTTGCTCTCTGCAGTGACCATGGTGCTGTAGATAACGTCGGAAATCCGGCGCTTGTCCTTCTGCAGCTGCGTCACCAGCTGCTCCGCAATCGCGATCGTCTCCGGCTTCGCAGCAAGCATCTTGACCAGAGCGCCCGTGGTGTGCACGCTCGGCTTGATCTTGCTGGCCATCATCGTCTCCATCAGCTTCTGGATCTCGAGCTCCACCGGCACGCCCGTCCGGCTCGCCTTCGTGCCCAGAACGTCGATGATCGTCGTGTACGTTGCCACGTCCGGTGTAAGGGTGTCGGACGCAAAGATCTCCTCCATGGTGGCCAGCGCCCTGTCGACGTCGTCTTTGGCGAACAGATGCCGCAGCAGCGAGTTGTAGAACCGGATGTCCGGCTCGAACGCCACCTGCTGCGCCCTCGCCTCTGCGCGGAACACGTTGTAGAACTTCTCTGCCTCGGCAATGTAGTCGTTCTGCACCAGGCCGCGCAGCAGCGTGTTTCTGATATCCCACAGCTCCTGCGCCGACGCGGTGTCTTTCTGCGCCCGGTAGAAGTCCAGCGCCTTCTTCAGCTCCCGGCAGCCCAGATACCCGTAAATCATAATCCCCGCGGTCTGCGCGTCCGGCTGGACGCTCTCTGTGAGCAGCTTGTACACGCTCTCGATTCGGAGCAGTTTCTGCGGCGCGTCCGACTTGGCGTGCACGCTGAGCAGCTGGTTCCACGTCTGGACGGTCGGGTTGACGCCTGCCTTGGTCAGCTCCGTCCACAGCTGCTGCGCCTGCTGGTACTTGCCGGTTGCGGCGCACAGCTCCATCAGCTTGGCGTAGGTCTGCTCCGAGAACGGCTCGTGGCTCTTTTCCCTCGCGGTGTACAGCTTGCGGACTATCGCCTCCACGCGGTCGTATCTGCCGTCTGAGGCAGCCACAGAGGCTGCCTTCAGCAGTGCTGGACTGTTAGGGTCGGGCTTGAAAAAGTGGCTGTGGATCGCGCTCTTGGCGCTCTCCGCGGTCGAGTCGTCCAGTTTCAGCGACCACAGCACGGAGTCCACCATCCGCGGCGTCAGCTTGACGCCGCCGGCCAGCGAGTCGAGCGTGGCGGCGTCCGGAACCGCATTGTCGCCGAGAGTCTTGAGCACGTACGCAACGACGCCTGTCGTGCGGAAAACGGCCTCGGGCGCATATCTGGCCCCTCTGGTGTCCTTGAAGCCATCTGGCAGCTCCTTCAGCTTCTCCAGCAGACGCTGCCACAGATCCAGCGCCTTGTCGTACCTGGACTCGGCCAGCAGTCGTTGCACAGCACGGTCAGCGTGCGAGACGTGCAGAAGCTTGTTCTCGCCCAAAATGTCGACAAACCGATTGAACAGCACGGAGTCCTTCACCACGGCGTTGTCCTTGTTCAGCGTCTGCAGCTTGTTCATCAACATGTGGCCCAGCGGCAGCGTTCTGTCAACGCTGGCGTCGGATAGCTTGGAGACGGAGCGCTCGAGTTGCTCGAAAAACTGCGACAGCGTGACGGTGTCGTCGTGAACGAGGCTCATCAGAGGGTTTCCCGGGCGAGGACGAGCCGACTCGGCGGCGCGCGTGCTCTGCCAGCGACGCAGCAGCGGCGACAGCTGCACTTTGGTCACGTTGCGAAACATAGTGAGCAAAATTTTTCCACCTTTGCACCATAAACTGAAAGAAATCATTCAATTACATATTACACCGCTCCACCATATTAGTCTATATGCTACTCGAGCCTGGCATTGAGCCGCTGGGCGTACCTGACGATGAACTGGTCGTACCGCATCGGCACGGTCTCATCCTCGATGCTGAGCGCATTGTCGTAGATGTGATTAAGGAGCTCGAGGTGGCGGGCCGTGTAGTCCTTGGTGTGGGCGTACTCCTCGAGCACGTCCTCGTCGCGGCACAGCAGGCCCTCGTTGTCGTCGCCGGGACATTGCGCGTCGTCCACCCAGAGACGCAGGTTTCGCTTGTACGTGCGGAACGGCTGGTTTTCCGGCTCTGTGGTGCGCTCCAACGCTCTCGGATACTTTCTGTCGAGAATCTGCTTGAACTTGTGCGGGACGTGCGTCCGGACGCCCTCAAAGTACGTAGGCACCATCGGCGTGAGCTCGTCGAGCCGGTACACGTTGTCGTTGCGGCAGTGGTAGATCTCGTGGTCTCTCTGCATGTCTCTGGCCTTGTTGTCGATCTGCTCGCGGTAGCGATCCTTGTCGCTGTCCTCGAGCCTGTCGATCTTGTTTCGGTACTCCGGGTCCACAAGCGTGCGGAGGACGTCGTCGATGCCGTGCTGCGAGAAGTAGTCCGGCGTCCACGCGATCGCGGTGATGTCCACGTAAACCCCAGACATGGTATCGATCATTCTGCCGTCGATGGCGTTGGCGCCGACGCCGCGCACACGCGAGTAGAACGACGGGCCGATGTCCAGCAGGTACGAGCCGATGCCGGCGGCGTACTTGTCCTCGGACGAAACGTCGACGATCAGCGTCTGGTTGTGGTTTCTGGCGATTTTGTACAGCGAGTCCACCGACACGACCACGTCGATGTCCTCGTCCCACGGCAGCGTGAGCCCGTTTCGGATCCAGCCCAGCATCGAGCCGTACGCCACGAACGTGCGGAAGCCCGACTGGTAGCAGAAGCGCAGCCACGCGCGGCCGATCCGGTGGATGATCGCTTTGCGGTACTCCTGCGGGTGGTCGATGCCGTTGAAGAAGCGCCAGTCGAAATGCGCGCCCAGGTTCGTGTTGTTCACGTACGCCTCGCGCAGGTACGGCATGTGCTGGCCGTTGGCCTCGAACAGGTCCATTTCCCGCTCGATGTTCTTCAGCAGCTGGTGGTCGAACAGCGCGTCGAGGTTGGTGTCGGGCGCCGCCTCGAGCTGCTTCTCGATCCGCTGCTTCATGCTGTTCATGATGTCCTCGTGCTCGTACACGAAATCCTGCTTGGTCATCTCGACGCTGGTCATGACGTTGACCTGGGCGTCCAGCTTGAGCAGGTAGGACTTGTCGAGAACGAGCTCGTCCTCGCTGTAGATGGTCTGCACCGACGCGTCGTAGTTGAACAGGGCGGACAGCTCGCCGACCATCTTGTCGATGCGCACGCCGTCGCGGCGCACTCTGTCTACCGAAACGCCGCGCAGACGGGCCTCGTTGTCGACGAGCTCTGCGCCGATCGAGTAGATGTCTCTGGACCGGTTGCTGACGATCGGCACGTGCGAGACCGGGTCGCGCTCCGTCAGCAGCACGACGGACGACTTGTTGAGCCCGGCGCCGATGAAGTGCACGCGAGCGGGCGGCGGCGCCGTCATGAGCATGTACGACGCGCCATACAGGATCCGGCCGGCCTCGGCAAGGTTGGAGCCCGTGCGGTCGGTGATTCTGAACGAAAACGGGTACCACGGGTACCGCGCGCGCTCCTCCGGGCTGATGTCGGTGCACGTCTCGAGGATCCCGTCGCTGTCGGCGTAGAGCAGCCTGAAGTCGGCACAGGTGAGGTCGGAGAACTTGCGATTCTGCATTTCTGGGTGGTAACTCTTCCACAGATGCAGATGGCGCTTGTCCAGAACAAGCTTGGACTCGAGGTCGACCCACTCGGCCCACGAGAAGGGCAGCTGGAAGTCGGGGTCCAGCACGCCGTGGTTGTCCTTCAGGTGCTGCTTCAGGTGGCTCAGCCACGCGGCAGCGGCCACACGCTGGTCAAAAAGCGTCTGGCTGGGCGTGTGCGGCTCCGTGTGCCTGTCGGCAGGCAATACCACATAGGCCAGCATGTCGGTGTGCGATTTCTGGAGTTTGCGGAAAGAGGTCTCCGAGTCGACCTCGTACTTGCTCTTGGACGGGAGAACGATGCTCTCGTCCATGTAGAAGATGGTGGGCACGATGAAGACCAGCATGAGCCCGACGTAGACGGTGAACACGGACATCTTGCGGTTGCTCGAGGACGGCAGTAGGCGAATAAACTTGTTTAAGACGAACGTGAAGGGCGATACAAGCGCGAGCCAGGCCCTCAACACGACGCTGGAGCGGTGCTCTTTTTCCGCGGCTGCGGGAGGGTCCCGGAAAAACAGTTCCTCTTCTCCTTGTGCCATGGTTGCCTACAAAAAAGAGGACGTAGGATGATATTTAAGCTGGAATAAGTTAGTCGTGTGCTTAGATTCCGAAAATTAGCTGCCAAGGCCCCTGGATGCCACCAAATTGGGACGCAAGTTTTTCTCTGCGGGTGGCAGACAATAGGGCAACAATTCCGCAGCCAGAGTACCTGCGCAATGTAGCGCTCACGACCAATACGCATACTGTGATTTGTCGCGCTTGGGGCGCAAACCCAAAGGCTGCGATCTCGATTCGGGCCGAACCTCGATCTCTGCAGATGCAATACGAACGCCAGAGCGCGTGCGGAGCCCGAATCCGGCAGCAACAAGAGGGCTGGTCTGTTTTCGGCACTGCTGCTGCGCTATCGCCCAGGCTCCAAAAATGGCACACGCCAACCCTGCCGATGCGGCCACTTGTGCATAGACGACCACACTACGAGCACCTCACGCGAGCAAACATCCAAGCGAGCACGCGATAAAAACTTTTCATCTGCAACACCCGTACACGCGCTATGCATTAAATACACACCCGTACACCTCAGTACCGCTCCTTGAGTCGCGAGGCCACCGTGCGCAGGTTGCCGTACACCTTGCCCGGCGGACTGCCCAGAATCAGGCTCATCACAGCCTCCCGCGCCATCCTGATGTGCGTGAACCCGCCCAGAATGTGGATCTTCGAGTCCGCCAGCACAATCCGCGTCCGAGTCGCGTTCTCGATCGCAAACTTGGTTTTGCCGTCCTTTCCGGCAATGCGGCCAATCGCACGCGAAAGATGGTCGCCCTGGAGCGTCTTGACGTCCTTGATTTCGAACGACTCGATGTACAGGTCGTCCAGTCGCAGGAGAGCGATGGCGTCGTCTATGTCGAATCCCAGGGTGAACGCCTTGATGAAATCGGCTCCTTTCTGAAGGGCCCCCGGGTCTGTGGTCTTGGAGCACGTGCGCAGTTCCACGTTCTTGGTTTTCAGGTTCATCCGCACCTGCAGCTTGAGATGGTCCACTAGAGGAGGATATATCTTGGGCCATGCGTTCTTGAGCGGCGACATTCTATGTGGGGGCACCGCCACCTTCCGCGACTCTAGCTTGACCTTCATGTTGGACGCGGCCTGCGACTGGAACTTGGGTTTTCCAGACTCGTCCAGGACGAGGCCCGCTTCGGGCGTCTTGGACGGCTTGTCTTCTGTTTCTGGCGCATCGGCGTCAATTAGTACTGCATCTGTGTCTTGCTCTATATTTTCCACCCGTGTAGGAGCCTCGACTGGCTCGGAGACTTCTTTTTTCACAGCGGTAGGAGCAGCCATATCGATAAATAAAAAAATCAAATTTTCTTAAATTTTTTTGTAATTTTTTTTGGCATCTCTGCACCACAAAGATTAAAGGTGGGGAAAACATGGCTTTTTGTTAACCATGTTTAGATCCCCCTTTCTTCTGATCCGGCGCCAGTCCACGCAGCGCCAGCTTGCGCACCAGCTGAATACGCTGGAAAAACTTGTCTACAAAGATATCACAAGTTTCGCCGGTTCCAATGGCTCCAAAGTGCCGCCTACCACAGCTTTTGAGATCCTCAGATTGTGCAAGCTGTTCCAAGATTCGGTCCATGAAACGAAGAAAACAAATGTGCTAGAGGACGAGCTGATTGTGAAATCCAACGCCCTGATGCAGAAAGTGTTTTTGGCCGAGAAAGTCGACTATAGCCAGGCATTACTCGCAGACTTCCTAAAACTAAAGCCCCATGTCGCCAGTATCAAGTTTGCTTTGACGTGCTACTACATGAAGAACACGCACAAAGTGCTAAAGGTGGAGACGGCAATGATACCCCTGCGCAACTTGCTTTACGACGCAAAATTCCGGGAGGCATTGGACGTGATAGAGCTCACTACAGGGTTCCCCAGATACTACGAGTTCAAGAGCGTCAAGTGGCGGCGGATGCTTCTAAAGTTCTTTGCGGGCATTGGCGGCACGATCGGGGCGATGGACCTGTCGTTCAGGTTTCTTCTGCCCGGGTTTTTCCAGTCAAATGTGGTGTACGGGCTATACGGTGCTGTTGGCACATTTCTGGCGAACGCAGGGTTCATGGCGATGATGGCGTTCTCGTCGAAGGGCCAGGAGAACGGGGCGTTGCGGTTCGAAAAGGGCACGCTGCCAGCAACGTGGTACAAGAAGGTGGACCAGATGAGGATGTGCGCGATGGTGCTGGAGTGCGACGCGGAAATCAACGGCAGAGAGGGTTTTGCGAGCCGGCCTGTGGTGGACCGTATCCACAAGATGGGGTTTGTTGTGAACGAGCCTGAACAGGAGATCATGCTGCGCCAGTACTGGGTGAGTTCGGGAGAAGGGTTTGTGTGGTGCGAGCCAGACCTGGACCCGGCAGACATCGAATGGTGGCAGCATTTGGAGAAAATCGGGGTGAAAAAAATCTGGGACAAGGATTACGAGCAGCTGGACCAGCAGCAGGAACTAAGCCAAAATACACCCATCAAACGTTAACCATTACCACACATACCTATAAAGCAAAAAGATAGAAGAATATCACGTGAACAACGTATCAAGCTCTGCCAGCGAAATGTCCTCTGGAGCGCCGATTTCCTGCGTCAGGAACCCAGAGCGCACCGTCTCCAGCCACTTCATGCTGATCGACGGCTCCACAGAGGTGTCTGCCAGGATCGAGCTTGTGATGGTGTTGACAGACTCTGTCTGCGGGCTGAAGCTCATGACTGCTGCTCGGAGAGCAGCCACGGCGGCGGCAGCGGTGGGGCTGTTGACCAGGGAGGCGTTTTTGGGGATCCGAGGAGTGGCAGCCGCGGCCGTGAGGTGCACGGTTCTCGGCTTTTTCGAGTTGATGAAACTCATGGATTTCGACCGTTTGCCGACCGACGACGGGACCTTCTCTCTGACAATGACGGAGCTGCGTCTGTGGTAGCCAGCAGACAGCAGACCGTCGTCGTCGTCATCGTCGTCGTCGTCCGCAGACCGCAGCGTATCGTAGTCGTCAACGTCGTCGTCGGAGTCCGGCGAGGACCTCGAAAACGCCGACACGGACTTGGCCCTAGGATGCTGCGTCTTCGGATTGGAGTCGCCACTCGCAGTGACCAGCGACGCCGTGACGGGAGCCACGGCGTACGGCACCGCCAGATTTGCAAGCCTGAGGTCCAGCGACGCGTCCAGGAACGGCGACCGTTTGTCGCCAAAGTCCTCCGAACGCAGACCGTGCTGCGTCTGGACCTGGGCGGCCATAAGAGCAGCGGCGTTCTGGGCCGCCTTCTTGTACTTCTTGAGGTCTTTTGCGTCGAGGTCGGCAACCACACCTGACACCACAGACGTGTGCTCCATCGCTTTCTGGCTCTCGAGGTACTGCTGGACGTAGAGATGGTAGTCTTTGGCGAGCAGTCCGCGGTAGACATACACCATTCTCTTCGGCGACGCGTCGGCCCAGTCTCTGGAGAGGGAGTATATGATGGTTTTCTCGCCCTTTTCGACGCGCTTGACGTAGGCGTTGAGCTTGGCAGAGACCAGGTTCGACGTTTTCGAGGAGAGTTTGGCCATCTCGGGGTGTTTTTCGACCAGAATGTCACAGATCTGCTTGACAGTCATGCCCTCGGCCTTGGGATCGTGGTCGTACAGAATCTCGAAGATGGCAAAGAGCACGTCGTCGTCCAGCGTGGAGTGCGGAGATGGCCGCGGCCGCTCGCCGGACACAGGGACCGTGGTGGAGATGCCGCTCGCGGCGGCCACCGTGCGGTTGGCGGTCTTGTGGTACTTCTTGTGCCGCTCGTCCTTCTTCGACTTGGATGGAGAAGGGGCCGACACCGGCTTAGTCAGGTCGCCGGTGTCGGCGACACTTGTGGCAGCAGATGAAGTGACAGAAGAGGGAGTCGAGCTTCTGTCGCTCGGGCTCAGGGGAGAGTCCGGGGTCTGGGAATCATGGTCGGGAACATGCTCCATGACCGTCGTACTCATGATAACCGGGGAATAATCACACACAGGAGCGCTAAAAGCTGGGGATGATCAGCTAGTAACGTGAATAATACGATAACACAACTCGCCAGGCTTAGAATAGAGAGATATCCGTCAAAATCCAGCGCATGCGCACAGGACTCGGGTTCCAGTTTAACTCTGTTAGATTCGCAAGCTCGTGGCGTACACTTTGGGGATATTTAAGCTAATAAATATCTCGCTCTGATAAGATATCAAATAAGAAAAGCGTGGAAAACACTATGAGATTAGTATCACGGACGCCGGCGCGCTGCTCAACACATACACTTGTTCTTATTTGAATAGGCTCGCTTTTGCGTCACAAAGAAGGGTCGACCTGTCTCTGATGTACCAATATCTATATTAATTGGGTGAAAAATTTTTCAGGTAGGCCGACCTGATTTTGATAAGGCGCAGGAGCCGATAATTTGGAGCGAGGAAGAAGGCGTGCCAGGGCGCCGAAAAAACTGAGCGTCCAGGAAGGCGTAGGCGCCATCTCCAAAGTGGCCAGGAGACCCGCTGCATGCCAATGGGCCCGTTTGGGCAGCACACTAGCTCCTACAATATCAGGGCTGTGCACACAAAAACAGAGTCGGTAGTGGAGTTTTTGCAAAAAGGGCTTTCGCTCGACTCTCTTTAAGGTCACGTGACTGGGCATATGCGCGAAGCGAGCTGAATTTTTTTGTTCTCCGGGGTTTTCCTGCGCGATCTCGCGTGACCCCGGAATCCCCACGCGTCACGCTAAATGCTGCATGAATGTAAGTGTTCCCCTCGCTTATCAAAGTCGCATATCGCGACCACAATATTTCCGAAAAGGGTAACCGCGTTCTTATCGGCTATGGCTGTGCAGGATGTGAAGGCACTTGCTCGTTTCGTCGAAATCCTCGGTCCAGTAGCTGTCGGTGTACAGGGGCGGGGAGCGACTTGCCGGTGGTGCAAACCAATAGTTCACAGCAATGTGAACTGGCTCATCGTCTCTGCCAAAAGATGACACCTCGTGGAACCACCCCGCCGGCAGATATAACATTTGGCCGGGCTCTATTGTTACCTGAAGCGGCTTACACTGTTTCAGCCGCGGAAACTCCGAGTCTATGAGGCGTTCCATTTTTGCCCGCTGTACGGCGTCCTGCACATCGTCCAGATGCAGCAAGGCGGGAGGTATTTTGGAGAAAGAAGGAGGGTCACTCTTGGTCTTTCCGTGGCGGGCTTTTTCTTCGTGCACGCCAGATTCCCTTTCTGCAACAGCCTCGAGCCGTTTTTTCTCCTCTTCGTCGAGCGACTCTCGCTCTAGTCGCCACAGCGCAACCTGCCCCACCAGCGCACCGTCCTCGCGCACGTGTTTCCAGAACGGCGCGTTCTCGTTGCGCACGTAGTCAATGACTCCTGACGGGTAAATCTTTTCAATGTCGCCGACAGTGTAGAGGTTGGGAGCATCCGTGGGCGGAAACAAGGTGAATCTTTTCTTCCCCGATATCAGTATGTACAAGTTGTCGGCATGGTCGTGGTGCAGGCCCGACGACGAGGCACCTGGAGAGGGAAGCGATCTCCCCAGACCTAGGAGCGGCTGGGACTCGTCAAAGAGCAGTCGGGAATCAGGATCTGCACGACCCATCCAGAGATTTATTTGCTGCGGCACCAAGCCAGCGAGTAAGCTCGGCCGCAGCAATTCCATTGGCCACCTGCGGTATAAGTTGGTTAGCGGCTTTTGCAGAAGCTCTTGCACACGGGTGCGAGCAGTGTCAAGAGACGGCTGCCCTTCGCTAGCGGAATACTCGCCGTCGTCGGAATTGTCGCTGTCATAATCAAAGTCGTCATGAAAGTTGTCGAAATCGACCGAGCCCCGTTCTGAGTCCGTATCAGTCGGCACATGTGCAGTTTCCGTTTGAGGAAACTCGCCGTCAGAATCGGCGTCCGACAGGCAATCGTCCTCTTCATACTGGGTCGTTAAATATAGCGAGTGATCACCCTTATTCAGCCTGTCCACCAGATCTGCAAGTTTCAGGCGAATCCTATTTTCTCCAGTGCCGTAACCACCGCTGGACTTGCGCTCCACCTGCAAAAAATCGTCACATTGTAAAAAATCTGCCAAATTATCAAGACGGAACGACTCTAGATCAAACCCGGCCACCAAGCCTTGAATTAGACACGGCTGCCGTTTCAAAATGTAACGGGACTCGAACGCGGCTGGAATGGCCCCTGTAGCGTCTATGATGTCGATTTCATGTACAGCGGTACTTTTTCTCAAGGTTCTCTGTGAGTGTTCGGCACCTCGGAGCCTCTTCATTGTCAAAGTCTGGAATGGGAGTTGGGAAAATTTTCAAACCGATCTAGAAAAAAAGAAGTCACCGCCTTACTTTTTTGGGGACCACACAGATCAAATTTTGTGAATGGCACAATTGTTGCTATAAGAATGCTGCGTATTTCAGGGAAACGAAGGCACGCTCGCGATTGTAGCTTGCGGTCGTGCGAAACCGTTCAGCAGCTTGAAGTTGTTTGCCTGATATTTGAACAGTCTTTCGTCCTATTGTAGTCGAATTGGCCAACGTCCGGCCGATAAGCTCGCGGAGGCTGAGATTGAAAATGTCTACAATTCCAACAGTCTGGTACGGCTAATTGTTTTCAGTAAAATAGATGCGATAAGTGCATTGCATTTTTTTCCGCTCCCTTTGAGTCTGAAAAAAAGAGAATTGTCAGATTTTGCCTGCATAGCCATAGAGATTTGGCAGGCGAAGGGGCGTATTGGGGTCCCAGCTAAAGTAGCGGGAGCACATTAGAGCAAGGAATCGTCTAGGCAATTAAGTCCTGCCGTGTACGTACAGACGGCGACGTGCCAGAGATTACTGACACAACATACATTGCGATGGCCAAGCGCGTGCCATTGATGCAGTTTCCACCCGCAAAACTAGGAGAATGCCATTATAGGTAATCTGATGAAAACCCAATTTTAAAGTTATTTTTTAGACGGCTTACTCCGCATAACCTATGTCGTAGTACAGAGGATCGACAGATCGGGATCGGGTGAGCCAAAATGTATGGAAATTTGTGACGAGCGGCTTCTAAAATTAATTTCCGCTCTCTAGTAGTGGACTTTGCCCTAATGTGGAAGTCGTGCTGTTTGCCAGCCAACCAAAAAAAATTAAGGTTCACGAAATAGCCGAAACCGACCCTTGGGGATTGTAGTTATTAGATGCATTTCCGGTCCAAAAACCATGGACAATGAATAGGCCACATTTATTCAAACCGTGCTACCTTACGGCCATCCCAAAAAGAAATTACCTGTGGGCCAACTATATATATAAGCACTCTCTTCCCTGGATCATCGAACATCCCTGGACGTTGCTTCTGACACACACCTTATGGACACTCAATTCTGAATCATACAACTGCATCACTACACGTCAATTGCATTCTATTCATTAGCATCTTAACGCATCCGCTCTTTTGAAGCATCGTTCATGACATCCCATCTGGCCGTTGGCCATCGATTGGAAATCAGGTCCGACGATTACCTTGTTCAGGAATACAGAAATGACATCCACAGCCATTTCATCCATCTAGACCACCTCTTCAGGCAAAGGCCGAGCCCGCTGCCCCTACAGCCCCAGTTGCAGCCCAACAGGTTCGCCCTGCTCAACTCCATCTTCGACGTGGTGGAAAAACTCTCCTGGTCCTACGCCACCTTCACTCTCGCCGTCACAGTGCTCGACAGATACCTGTCCAAGGCGCTGGTGCTGGAAAAGAACTACAAGCTTGTGGGCTACTGCTGTCTGTGGATTGCGTCCAAGTTCAACGAGAACAAGCCCAAGGGCAAGCTCGTCAATGCGCTGATCAAACGGGCAGGCTACGACCTTGACCGGAAGGGGGACTTCCTCAGACTCGAGATGGACATTCTCTCGGCGCTCAAATGGGACTTGTCCATGCCGTCGGCAGACTACTTTGTCAACTTCTACACAAACAACTCGCGGCCCAACCTGGAAGAGAGAACGGAAGGAGCGATCTTCCTGTGCGAGCTGGCACACTTCGACAGAAACCTATTCTATTCGTATTCTCCTAGTTCCATCGCGGCAGCATCGATCATGCTGACCAACGCTGCTCTCACGGGGGCCACCGACAAGCTTGGCGAGCTGCAGCACGGTCTGCTGCACCAGGTGCTGGCGGTGCCGTCCTCGGTGAGAGCCAAGTACCTCCACTCTGGCAACCGGATCATCCCCCACCTAACGAACCTGGCCACCCAGGTCCTCCACAAGGCCAGAGGTTTGGACCCGCAGCACGCGAACTACTCCCCACACCACGCGTCGCCGGTCCAGGAGCTCGTGCTGTATCCAAGCCTCCCTATCTCGCCGATAGCATCCCCGATCCACCAGCACCACCGCCATTCTCATGCAAGGTCGCAGTCGCTCACTGCGCTGCGGTCGCTGCACATTGACACGGCCTGTCTCCCCACTCCCGGCACGACGCCGGTTTCGTCTGCCGCGGGCGCCAGCCAAGTTACTCCTGTTGAAGTGCCGCTGGACCTGGACGAGCGTAGTGCTAAGAGAAGGCGCTACCTATAACCCATGTCCACGTGACTTTTTTAGACTTCTTTAATCTACATTCCTGATTGCGTTAATCACCACGTACATGATGGCTATCGTGCGTTTGAGAGCTAGTAGCTGGTTTTTTTTTTTCCGGCAACAGTAAAGCTTCACCCACATGAAAAAGACAGCCGATTTTTGGCCATGTAGCGCTGCAGCGTCTGCACTGCTCGCCTCGCAAATACACGTACAAAGCCCAATTTCACTTTCCTCGCGCACAAGAGGGCTTGACGCCGTGTGTCAGCTGTAGATCTCCAATTACCAGGCCCCTGTGCAGCGAGTGGTTTCCGCTCCCAGAGGCCTTGGCGGGGACACCTCGCACCCGCCACTAAGTGGTGCCTGCGCGATGTGAAAAATTCACCGCCGCCTATCTCGCCATGGCGTCCAAAGCTCTCACCAGACCCCTATTTGGCCGTCCCGGCAACAACCTCACCAGTGGCATCGTCGGGCTTGCGAACGTCGGCAAGTCCACGTTCTTCCAGGCCATCACAAGGAGCAAGCTGGGCAACCCTGCAAATTACCCTTTCGCGACCATAAAAGCCGAGGAAGCTATCGTAACCGTGCATTCTCCCAAACTGGACAGGCTTGCAGAACTCTACCTTTCCCAGAAGAGTATTCCCTCGGTGCTGAAGATCTTCGACATCGCGGGCCTCATTAAAGGTGCCTCTGACAATAAGGGACTCGGAAATGCTTTTCTGTCCGATATCCGAGCGGTGGACGGCATTTTCCAGGTAGTTCGCGGGTTCCGGGACGACGAGATCACCCACATAGAGGGCGACGTCGATCCTGCGCGCGACCTCACCATCGTCCAGGACGAGCTGCTCCTGAAAGATATGGAATTTATAGAGAACTCGCTCGACCGCATCGCAAAGCAGCTGAAAAACAAGCGAAACCGGCCAGCAGACGAGGTGGCCCGCTGGGAGGCTCACCAGGAGACGCTGGCCATTGCGTACGACCACTTGATGGACGGCCGGCGCATTCTGGACAAGCCGGACTGGACAGACGACCAGATCGAGGCGCTCAATAGCTACACGCTTCTCACGGCCAAACCGACGGTCTTTTTGCTCAACAGCAGCAAGCAAGATTATTTGGACGGCAAGAACGAGTTTCTTACACAAGTGCAGGAGTGGGTGCGCAACAACGCTGCCGAGTCGCCTGTGATTCTGTTTTCCGCGGAGCACGAAGCAGAGGCCGTGGAATCTGGGGAGCGCTCTGCTATCCCAGAAATTGTGGAGCAGATGCGCCGGGCGTTGCACCTCATCAGCATCTACACGTGCGGGCCCATAGAGGCGCGCCAGTGGACCGTCCGCGAAGGAACGCTCTGTCCGCAGGCGGCAGGAGTGATCCACTCCGATTTCGAGCGCACTTTCATCAACGCAGAGGTGATCAAGTACCGCGACGTGGAGCAGCTGCCGGCGCCGCTGAACGAAAAACTGCTGCGCTCGTCGGGCAAGATCGCGCGCGTGGGCAAGAACTACGTCGTGGAGGACGGCGACATCATGCGCATCAACGCTGCTGCCGCAAAACGCTAATTACTGTATATACACTAGACCATGTCTCTTAGCGAATTGTAGTGCTCTCCGAGCCCGAAAACGTGCTGGTAGTACACGAGCCTGAGCTCCGGCTGCTGGCCGTTCTCGTTCACGCGCAGCGGCGCCCGTCCGCTCATCATCACGCTGATGGGACAGTCGAACTCTCTTGCGAGAGCCAGGATTTCGAGATCACCCCCCCACATAACGGTGGTTTCCAGCTTGTCGGTATACTCCTCCACGTTGCGCACCTCCATCTTGTCTTCGTCAAACAGAAACGGCGCAAACGTGTCCGGATCGTTCCGTATCTGCCTGGCCGCCCGCGCGCGCAGTTCTTGGACCGTCATGGTGATGTTGTGTCGCTGCTGCAGCTGGTCCGCGATCGACGCAAATAGACAGTTTCCGTCAGGGGTGATGTTGTGCTGCACCAGCCTGGCCGCAGTGCACAAGTCTGCAATGTTTTTGAGCTCTAACTCTTTCAGATTCGGCTGCGCACTGGCTTCATCTTCCGCCTCCTGCTGTAACTTTTTGAATTCGGTCTCTCTCTTGGCTAGCCGCTCTTTTTGTCTATTGCGCTTTTTCTTTGGCCCTGTCTTCGCTACAGGCTCTTTTTCTGCAGGCTCAGCTGGTTTTTCTGAACCCAAGTTCATCTGCGCCAGCAGCTGCTCGGGCGTGATCTCTTCAGCCTCCTGGGCCTCTCCAGTCAGCTCCCGCAACTCTCGCTCGTGTCTGTCCTTCAGGTCCTGTTCCATCTGTGCAATCCGTCGCAGGACCTCCTTGCGCGTTGACTTGGTCGCCTGCTTGCGCATTCCCGTCGTGGCGGCCACCAGATCGCGCGCCTCTTTTTTGTGTCTGGCTAGCAGCTCATCCATTAGAAAAATAGAAAAAAATATATAAAAATTATTAACTATCAATCACATTTCAATGGGCTGGTTTTGGGCAGACGCAACGCAGAAACCGGTTTCGCGGCCTGCTACGGAAGCAGCAAAATGTCCCGTGGACCACACGAAACTCGCCGCATGTCCTGTGGTGCACAACGACGGAGCAGAAATCCTGGACATCAACCCGCTTAACAACATGCCGTACGTGCTCCCTACCGACAAGGTTCCCGGCCAGAAGATCGACCTGCCGACCGAGAGAACGTTGTCGTCGATTCCGCGGGGAGACGTGCCGGACCAGGGCGTGTGGGAGTACCCTTCCCCCCAGCAGATGTTCAACGCCATGATCCGCAAGGGCAAGGGAGACGTGCCGGAGGACGCTGTGGAGAGCATGGTGAACATCCACAATTTCTTGAACGAGGGTGCGTGGAGCGAGATTCTTAAGTGGGAGAAGCCCCACACAGAGCAGACGAAACAGGAGCCCCGGCTGCTGAAGTTCACGGGCCGGCCGCACGACTTGAGCCCTCGTGCGCGCTTCTACCAGATCATGGGCAGGCTGTTCCCGGACCAGTACGCAACGGAGCCGCCGTTTGACAGACACGACTGGACGGTGCTGCGTGGGGACGGCCACGGCGGCTGGCAACAAGTGCGGTATGTGATCGACTACTATGGGGGTCCCGAGGACGAGGACGGCATGCCCACGTTTTTCCTTGACGTGAGACCGGCGCTTGACTCTTTTTCGAGCGCCCGCGACAGATTCGAGTTCTGGCTGCAGCAGACCAAGCCTACGTGGGACAAGGCCATGGGCAGAGACTAAATTACGGTAATATATTGAATTCATGTAGTGCAGTATGTACACTCCACCCCCCGCCTAGGTCATCTGGTATTTGGGCCCGTCGCCGCCTTCTGGCACAGTCCAGTCGATGTCCTGCGTGGGGACCTTGATGTCGCAGGTCTTGCAATGGATGCAGTTTTGCGAGTTGATCTGGAAAATCACACCTTCGGGCGACTTTTCGTCGGGCAAGTACTCGTAAACGCCCGCGGGGCAGAACCTCTGCTCGATGCCCCGGTATTTTGGATACGCCTTGGCAGTGTGCCGGGCCATGTCCTGCTCGGGCACACGCAGATGGCACTGCTCGTTCTCCTGGTGGTACGTGCCCGTGCGCGAGACCGACGTGAGGATGTCGAACGAAATCTCGCCGTCGGGCTTTGGGTACTCGATCTTGGCATACTTGCCCGCGTCCTCCACGAGCTCGGCGTCGGTGTGCTTGTGCGTCAGCGTGAACGGCTCCCGGCCGCGCGTGATCATCGCGATCAGCCCCGACATGCACAGCCCCCCCCACATACCGAGCCTCGAGCTGAAGGAAGGCCGGATGTTGCGCACCTCGTGCAGCTCCTCGCGCACCCACGACCGGTCGTACGCGGCCTGGTACTGCTCCAGATCCAGCGCGTCCCACTCGGGCAGCACCTCGCCTTCCTCCACGTCGCCCTGCTGCCGTTTCAGCGCCACCACCGCGTCGTACATGCTTTCTGCCGCCAGCATGCCCGACTTCATGGCCGTGTGCGAGCCTTTGATCTTCGGCACGTTCATGAACCCGGCGCTCGCGCCCACTAAAACCCCGCCGGGGAAGTGCAGCTTTGGCACAGACTGGTAGCCGCCCTCGTTCAGCGCACGCGCGCCGTACGAGATGCACTTGCCGCCCTCCAGCACCTTTCTATAGAACGGGTGGTGCTTCATCTTCTGGAACTCCTGGTACGGCGAGATCCACGGGTTTTTATAGTCCAGCCCCACAACCAGCCCCACGGTCACCAGGCCGTCGCCAAAATGGTACTGGAACCCGCCGCCGTAGGTGTCCTTGTCCAGCGGGTACCCCAGCGTGTGTGCGACGTAGCCCTTCCGGAAATTCTCCGGCCGCACCTCCCAGACCTCCTTGATACCCAGCCCGTACGTCTGCGGGCTGCAGCCGGCGCGCAATCCGAACTTCTTGATGGCCTGCTTCGACAGCGAGCCGTGGCACCCTTCGGCCAGCACGGTCATCCGCGCGTGGAACTCCATGCCGCGCTCAAACGAGTCCGACGGCGTGCCGTTTTTCGAGACGCCCATGTCCTTGGTGGCCACGCCTTTCACGTGACCCTTGCTATCGTACACCAGCTCGCTCACGGCTGTGTTGGGGTATATCTCCACGCCGGCGGCCTCGGCCTGCTCCGCAAGGTACTTGACCACCTCCGACAGCGACGCGATGTAGTTTCTGTTCTTGTTGACCATCTGCGGCGGCTCGGGCAGCGGCAAGGCGGGCCCGCTCTTGAACAGCAGCTTCATGTGGTCCTCTGTCACGAGACTCACCAGATCCGGCGGCAGAGGGATCCCTGCGCCGTCTGCGTCGTAGAACTCGCTCTCCGGGAACAGCTCGCGCAACGCCCGCGGCTCGAGGATCGCCCCGGACAGAATGTGCGACCCGACGTCGGGAGCCTTTTCGAGCACCACCACGCGCAAGTCGCCGTCCTGGTCGAGCTGCTTGAGTCTGATGGCCGTGGCGAGTCCTGCCGGGCCGCAGCCGACGATGCACACGTCCACGGTGTCGACAGCGCGCTCTTCGGTGAGCATCTGCTGGAGTTCGGGGTCCATCTCGTCGAACCTGATTTCGGAGGAGCTGCGGAGCGGCGCGGAGACGTGAAGCTCGCGCAGCGGAACCTTAGCTCTGTGACGGGCAAACGCGCTGCCAAGGGTCCGAACAGCGTGTCTTCGGCACAGCGGCCTGACACGCGCAAGCCTGAGGAGCATGAGCGAAATTAGTTTTTTCGTAATATTTATTTCGTTTCTGTATTTTTTTAATTATTTTTCAGTGACTAATCTCGGCCAATCAGAGTCACCGCGGATATAATCTACACCACTCTGGAATAGCCGACAGTGTATTTGCTACACGCCCGCCCGCTGCACGGCGATGTTGAGGATCCGCTCGTCCTCGTCCTCGACCTCGTCCAGCATCTCCTTGGCCATCTGCCAGTCGGCCTGGCTCTGGAACCGCACAAACTCGCCGTCCTCGTCTCTGTAGCGGAACTTGGAGTTGTGGGCGGCAAACGTGCGGTCGCCGTCCGCAGACGACCCGAACGAGTAGTTCAGCTTGTGCACGAGCGTGTCGACGAGCTCGGAAAACGCCACGTTCGCGTCCACCGACAGATGCACCGCGGACGTGTTGTAGATCAGCTTGATGTGCACCTTCTGCGGCTGCGACAGCGACAGCGCGGCCAACGCCGGATTCAGCGGCGCCGTGCGGTCGCTGCTTGTCACGGGCGACGACACCGACCGCAGCTTCTTGTCTGCGCCCGGGTGCGGCGCCGTCGTGGCCGTCGAGGAGCTCACGGTGCGCGGTTTCGGGTAGAAGTAGGACGAGTGGTCCGAGGACGTGGACGACGAGCGCGTCTGCGCGGACACGCGGTTCGAGAGCTCGTCCGAGCGCGCCGGCGAGGTCGAGCGCCGCGCAAAGTAGTCTTCCTCGCTCGACAGCCGTCGAATGGCGGCCTCCCATTGCGCGAGCTGCTCCTCGAGCCGGAACCGGATCACGCAGCCGCCCGCGTCGCGGCTGCCGCGCCACCTGAGCGTGAGAAAATGGCCCGTGCCGCCAAAGTGTTTCGAGCTGTCGGACGGCGTGCATCTGTAGATCTTGCTGATGTAGACGATGCCGCTGAGCGAGAGCGGCGGGTTCTGCGCCGCGGGCACCGAGCTGGCCTTGAGTTTCTGCGCGAGCCTGTTCTTGTGGCTGGCCTCCTTGAAGAAAAACACCATCTTCTCGAAAAGGTAGCAGTGCACCTCTTTCTCGGACGAGTGCCCGTCCGAGAGCAGGTCCTTGACGGTGACGTGGTTCGCGTGCAGCAGCTCGCCCGCGTTCGCGAGCGAGTAGCCCTTCCAGTCGACGACGCGGTCCTGCAGCTCTTTGGTGAGCTGGATGTTCTCGGACTTTCGCTGCGACTCGTTGATCTTGTTGGCGACCTCCTTGGAGCTCAGGAGCGCGAGATGCAGCTCGGAGTAGTTCGGCCACGAGGGGTCCGTCAGACGCAGCAGCTCCTGCAGCAGCAAGGGGTACTTGCACAGCCGCTGGACGGGCTTGATCAGAAAGCTCTGCAGCTCGTAGGGGCTGTTGATGAGCGCGGAGGAGCGCTGCAGGTTCGCCGCCTCGCGGTTCACAAAGTCCACCGCGGTGGTCTGGTACAGCGACCACGGCTCGTAGATGCGGAAGCCCTGCGCGCCCGGGTGCAGAAACACCGACCCGATGCGCTGGTACTTGCCCGGCACCGCCGCGTTGCACTCGAGCCCGACCAGAAACCGCCGCTGGAAGTCCACGATCTCGGGCAAGTTGGGGAACAGCAGGTTGATGTTCTCGCTCGAAATGAGCTCTGCCCTGATCAGCTCGGCGCGGAACTGGTGCAGGATCTCCAGGTCCTGCACGTACTTGCGCTCGCTCTCGACGATCTCGCGCACCACGCGCGACCGCGCGTCGTCCGCGCGCACCTGGTCGGGCACGTCTGCGGCGTCGAACCGGGGCTCGAAGTCCAGCACCAGGTTCACCGCCGCGATCACCTGCAGCAGCTGGCTGGTGTCGTCCGAAAACACGCTCGTGATCGAGAACAGCTCGTCGTCGCGGATGTTCAGGTGCTGCTTGCACGCACTCAGAAACTTGTACACGCTCATCTTGCACACCTTGATGTCGTCGGACAGCACCAGCTCGATCTTGTTTTCCGGGCTCAGACAGTTGAAGATCAGACACAGCGGCGCGCCCTGCTGGAACAGCTTGAGCAGCGGCGTGACCGGGTCGTGGCTGGTTTGCGCGGGGAGGATGCCGGCGCTGAACGTGAACAGCGTGCTGTCCCAGTAGCTGAGCAGCGAGTCCGACGAGCGGGCGTCAGATCCGGAGCGGCGCTGGCTGCTGCGGCTGCTGAGCGCGTACGCCTGCTGCTCGGCGCAGTCCTCGGCGGCAGAGTACGCCAGCTCGAGGTAGGGGGCCATGCCGGGCACCTTGGCCAGCCTGTCGAGAAGACGCAGCGCCACGTAGTAGAGCGAGTTCTTGTGGGCGGCGCGCTTGTTCATGATGAGCGACTGCGACGCCACGGGGCCCGACGGCGTGCGCGACGCCGAGGGCACCGACGTTGTGGAGCTTGTGCGGGTGGGAAGAGACATGGTGAAATTCGACGCGACGAATTTATTGAAAATATTTTACAGAGATCTCAGATTAGGTAAAAAGGGTTTTTTTCTACGTATCTTTCTTGTCCTTGAGCAGGCGGTTTGCCGCCCAGATCGTCCGGTCCAGCAGCGTGAACACCGTCAGCACGCCCGAGATCGCCGCACAGGCCCCCAGCGCAAACGCGCTCCAGGTCTTGTTGTACTGCTCGCGGTTGATGATCTTGAGCGGGCTGATCTCAAAGTGGAAAAACACCCCCGGCAGCCCGCCCTGCGCGTGGATCGTGTTCGGGTGGTCTGCGTCGCGGCCGCCGCGGAACGGCCGGTCGTGCTGCGTCGCGGAGAACTGGTTGGTCTCCACCTTGCGTCCGTCCAGAAACTCGTACCGCGTGTTCACCACCTTGAGGAAGTACGAGTACACGTGGTACTTCTGGCCGTCTCTGTGGGCCGTCGCGTCGAGCGGGTGCGTCGTCCTGTAGTCGGCGACGCTGTGGTCGTCGAGGCCGAACGAGAAGTGGTTGATGGTGTGGTCGAAGTTGAACTTGCTGGAGTGCTTGTCGTACAGCGACAGGTCGTGCACGTGCTTCTCGTTGAAGTTCATCGAGCTGCCCGGCGCAAAGTGCAGGTTGCCCCCGATCCGCGCGATCTCGGCCGTCCCGCGCACGCGGCACCCCTCGTCCAGCCGCGCGTTGATTCTGTCCACGTAGCCCTCTCTCTCGCACTGCTCGATGTCCTTGCCGTCGTAGAACTTCCACGCGTTGCGCGCGTACGCCTGCTTGACCGACTCGCACGAGTTGCAGCACACCTTCTGGTCCTGCGGCAGCTCGTCGTTGCGCGACTGGTCCGCCGCGCCGTAGCACGAGCCGCAGTACGACGGGTCCGACGACGTGAGCGCAAACTCCTGGTTCACGCGCATGTCCTCCTGCCCGATCTCGTTGCCCTGTCTGTCCAGACGGATCTTGCTGAACCCGGACGAGAGCAGGTCCAGTTGCATGTCTCCCGACTGGTCCATGATGTCCAGCGTGAGCAGGTCGCACGGCATGTTCTGGAAGCTGATGTCCAGATTGATCTCGAGCTTCTTGTTGCGGTCGCGGTCCACCACGAGCTCGGGCCGGGTCACGACGCGCGAGTAGTCTGCGTACTCGTTGACCAGCAGCAGCAGCGTCGTCAGAATGCACACCAGCGTCAGGATCCCGCCCGACGTCGTCTTGATGCGCGCGTCGTCGACGGTCTTGGAGAAGGCGTCAAAGCGCAAAATGCTTGGTCCGCGGCCCATGAGAGAAAAATGATGAAAAATTAATTAAAAAATTAAATTACCTACGTGTGCCTATCTTCTCATCATGTTGGCCAGGTTCTGGAACATGGCGCCCATGTCGGCCTGCTGGCCGCCCTGCTGCTGCATCTGCTGCATCGCGGTCATCATCTGCGCGAGCATGGCGTTCTGGTCCACGCCCGGCTGCCCCACGCCGGGCATGCCTCCCATGTTGGGCATGCCCATGCTGATTGGGATGTTGCCCGGGTTAGGCACCATAGGGTATCCCATCGGAGGCGAGTTCTGGAAGCCAGCCGGCGGACTGGCCCCGACAATCGGCATGCCGTCCGACTTCGGCCCGTTCTGCGTAGAGTTTGTAGGCATTTTCTTGGAGATCGACTTCGACGACACGCCTGACCCGACCTCGATGTCCGGCTCCTCGATAAACAGCCCCGACTGCAGCGGCAGGCCGCCCGTTCCTCCCCACTCGGCGGTGACTATCCACTTCTTGTCTGCGTCGGTCAGCCTGCTGATCGGAATCGTGCTCACTCCCGCCTGGTAGTCGCAGCAGTCTCTAGGGCCAAAGCCCACGCCCCATCTGGCACGCAGTCCCGACGGATGGTGGCTCACAGAGAACGCCTGGATGACCGACTCGGCCTCCTGTCTCGAGTACACCTTGACAAAGGCGTGCTTTCTCTCGCTGTTCAGAATCACGCTCTGCACCTCTGCGTACGGCCTCAGCTGCTGCGTCAGCGTCCTCTCGTCCATGGAGTGCGGCACACCGCCAATGAAAATGGTGCGCGAGTAAACCTTGATGTAGCCCTGTGGGATGGACGGGTCGATGAACGGCTTGCGCTCGCGGTAGTGGGGGGTTCCCGGAATATTGCGCTCGTGGTCGCCGGCCGGCTTGGCGTCTCTCTTTGGCGACCGGGACCGCTGCCTTCTCCCGAGCGGGTTCGAGTCTCTCTCTCTATAGTTCTGTCTGTTCTGATTGGCCGAGACCGGCGGCTGCGGAGGAAGGTCGTACTGCTGTTGTTGCTGGTAGTTAGGCTGTGCTCCGGAGATCTTGTTCATGCTCTGCAGCAGCTGGAAAATGGCATTCGGGTCGGAGCTGGAAGGCGCCGTGCTGGCGGCAGCAGCAGCGGTCCCGTTGGAGACAGGCTGCGCGGCAGGAGGGGGTGGGGGCGAGACCATTTTGGCCGAGCCGGAGCCGGAGGCAGGAGACGGAGTCTTCTTTGCGAGGTTGGCCAGAGCCTGCAGCACAGAGGTCGGGTCTTTGGACGACGACGACGAGGCCGAAGGAGCAGGAGGCTCGACAGTTGGTTCGACCGCAAACTTGACCCTTTTCTTAGGAGGAGTGCCCGGAGGAGTCGTGGTACGGAAATACTTATCTTTGATGGATGAAATTATTTTCTTGTCAAAAGTGTCTCCCTTGTCCCAGATTTCTACAAGTTTACCGATCTTCTCCTTGACGTCGTCGTTGGAAACGGGCACAGCGTCGTCCACCAGGTTCTCGATCAGCGACTGGATCTTGTACACGGCAGAGTTGGCTGTTCCTTCTGGAGAAGCCTCAGTAATTTCTGTAGTATCTGACTTGGAGATCTGGTCGATCAGTCCTCTCACAATCGCATCGACAACGTACAGGGCCCCCAGCTTGTGTGTGGCAGGCGTGGCTTTACAACACGAGTACAGCTTAGACACAAGTTTCGACTCTTCCGACACGTTGTTGAGGAATATTTCTTTTAGTTTCTTGATTCTCGACCCAGACACTCCTGGAGCTTTTAGTCCCGGTAACTCTTTTAGTATCGTTTCAAATTCTTCGACAGACATAGGTACAAATACAAATTACTCCTAGGAAGAACAACAGTACAATCCCAAGGAGAAAAATTTGCCCCTCCGGAACACGTTTTATCCTGCGCAAACTTGGGCGGCGCACGACCCGTCTCCTAAAAACTCATGCCATTACTGGGGCTGATAAAATAGATATTTAGTCTATGTCTTCTTTGCACTACGGGCCGAAGCTGCGGCAGCTGCTGCTGAAGCTCGAGTCCGACCGCGACCGCGGACCGTCCGCCGGCAGCGAGCGGCTGTCAAAACTCGCTTTTCTCGGGCTTCTGGTGGTCAAAAACGCCAAACAACGACGCAGGAGCTCTACAAGCTCGCTTTCCAGCAGTCCCACGCTCTACTCGCCCAATCAGCGGAGCCGCACCAGCAGCGACACGCCGCCGGGACCGCTGTTCGCCTTTCGAACTCAGCCAAAACGCTCGTGGCAGGACAAGTACAACAGCTTCGAAACAGGGTTGCTGGCCAACCTTGAGTCGATGGTGTCGCTTTTCGACAACTTCACGATGTTCCAGAGCATTTTGAGCAAATCGCGGTTTGCGTCCAAGTTTCGCGGAGTGGAGGCGCTGCTCCGAAACCTGTCGAAGGTGTATTTCATTATCATTTTGATAAACCTAAAGAACCTCATAGTCAGGCTCGTCAAGCTCAACAGACTGATCCGAACGGTGGAGCTGGAGACGCAGGTGCTTTTGCACAACGGCAAGAACGCGCTGCTGCCAGAGGCTGCGACGCAGGAACGTGAAAAGCTCGTGTTTCTGTACACAGAGAAGTTCCGGACGTATCTGGAGCTGGTCGGCTACGCCAACGAGCTGGTTCTGAACCTGACGCTGGTCTACTCAAAATTCCGGCTGCCGAGGCTGGTGGAGCGGCTCGTGGGCCTGGTCAGCTGGATCATCGGCGTGTACCGGCTAAGCAAGGACGAGGCAGAAGAGGCCAGGACAGGGGAACAGCTCGCGGCGATGGAGCAACAGTATTTATAACCACTTGTTTCACTATCGTATAAAGTGTCTGTATAATGCTAATAGGATTGCCATTAATTATCTGCGGCTCGCTCACCCCGGTGGGACTTGATCATCCAACTGAAAAAACGGCTGGCCCCGGTGGTTCCGCTTCTTTTCGAATCGTAGCTGGAAAAGGTGATAAAGCTCGTGCTGCGGCTCTTGGAGTGCTTCTTGAGCGGCCCGTTTTTCGAGAGCCGGCCGAGCGCCGGCACGGGCTTGGGCTCCACCACCTCGATCATGGGACCCGGCTCGCCAATGACCTCTTCTGTCAGGGTCTGGTCGTCAAAAAGCAGAGTCGAGTCGTTGGCGTGCGCGTATTCGTGGAGCCCAAACACCTCGTCGGTAGTCTTCTCGATGATGGAGGCCTTGTGCGGCGAGGACCTCGTGGACAGCAGCGACGATTTGCGCCGGTGGTGGAACTTGGACGACAGGGTGCTGAACAGCGAGTTCGACCGCTTGTGGGCCTCCATCTTGGGCTCTGCCACAGGCTCGTCCAGCTTGGCGACGCTCGGGTTCGACATGGAGGCCGTATAGCCGTGGTCTCTGTGGAACGACTTGGGGATCTCGTAGAGGACGGGCTCGAACTGGAACGGGTTCTTCTGGGGCGGGGTCTGGTATCTGAGGTTGCGGATCGGCGAGCGCGACTTGGACGCGCCGCGGAAGGCCGAGGAAGGAGACGACGACGACGACGGCGCCATCAGACAAGGCCGGCGGCCAAACCTGTCGGAGTCTGCCGTTGCGGTGCTGGACGGCGTGGACGCGGCCTGGGTATTGATTTTCTGCTGCGAGTTGTAGTAGGACTGGTATCTGACCTTGCCACGCAGGCTGGAGACGCTTGGAGTGTTGACGATGGCCAAGTTTTTCTGCAGCGAGCTACTGGAACTCTGCGAGTTGAGCGAATTGGACGAGGAGTTGTCGCCGAGCAGCACGCCCGCCTGCAGCGGCGTGCCCTTGCCGGAGTTGGTCGACGAGAGCTCGGAGTTCTGGGTGGACGTCTTGGTGAGCAGCCGTTCGGAGCCCTCGAAGTCCTCGAAGTCCTCCTCCGTGATCTCCTCTGCGATAGCGACGTCGCTCTTCTTGGGCGAGCACAGCAGCGAGTGTTTGGGTATGTGGAAGCTCTCCAGTTCGGGAGCGGACATCGTTCTGCTGGTCTTCCTGGCGGGCGCGCGCGAGCCCATGAACACCTCATCGAGGTCGATCACCGCGCGCGGCACGCTCGAGCCGGACTCGAACTTGGTGTCCTCGGTGATGAAGTACCGCGTGCGCGGGTCCTCGTGCGCGGACGCCGGCGTCGACGTGAGCAAAATTTTCTGCCTACCGGACAGCGTGGAGTCCTCGGCTGCGAGCTGGCCAAGCGGGCTTTTCAGGGGAGAGCCGCAGGAAGAGCCGGAGAGCGAGCATGAGGCGGACCCGGGCACAGACTTGGACATCATGGGGGGCAGCAGTCCAAACTCCTGAACGTCAAAGTCGCCCGAGATAGCTGCGGAACGCCGGTGCCGGTGGCCCCGTCTGGGCGGCGGCTGGAGGCCGTTCTGCGGGCCGGTGGGGGATGGGGGTGAGCTCATGGATGGGCCATAAGCGTGGGTAGAGGAAACGAGCGACTGAGAAAAAGACGGAAAAGCAATTTAACGAACAAAGTTTTCTCCCTCTGGCTATAACCGGGAAAACCAGGAGGAAAAAAAAAGAAAATTACGGGTCGCAGCTGGCTACAGATTTCCTGTACGGAAGATACGATCAAATAACGTCACAAAAAAGCACAATAGCGTGCAGCAGATTATGGCACAGATCTACAGGCAAGCAGGAGGTTCTATCTAAACTAGGCAGTGGGGCGTCCGTGTTGGTGCAACGCGCGTTTCAAACAGGGAGCCAGCTCGCTTGCGGCAGTGCTTGGTGTGGCACGCGTTTCCAGATCCGCGGGGCTTCTGAAACACCGGCCGCAAAATAAATAAACGCAGGCCCGCATTTTGCGGTGCCAATTTTTGAGGGGCAAGATAAAGGTGCTGCACCAGCAGGGCCTCTGGGCCCGGCACCGATATACCAAAGCGGTAACCCGGGTGAAACGGGCCTTGACGGCTGCAAGCGTCCACAGCCCAGCGGGTCGGGACAGGTCGTCGCAGAGCGCACGCCGGAAACGGCAGGCTTGCTACGCGTCGAGCGGGGCGTCGACAACATCTGTGATTACGTAATACAAACGACATAGTAGAGTCACGACTCGATGCTCTTCGAGAGCTCGGCCAGCACGTCGAGGCCCTTGCGCTTCTTGTTTTTCGTCGTCCATGCCGGCGTCCCCTGGTAGACGCCGCCGGGGCCCACCTGTGCCTCTATCTCCTTGAACTTGGCGGCCAGGGCGGCCTGCAGTTGCTGGCCGTTGAAGTTGTTGACGGGGACGTATGCGGCGGCCTGTGTCTTGGGCGCCGGTTTGGCCGTCCGTGCTGGCGGCTTCGCAGCGATCGCGGCGGCCCACGGCTGTCTGGGCTGCGTTTTCGTCTGGACAGAAGACATGCTAGTGGATTGGAGGGTTTTGCAGATGGAAAATTACAAACATTTTCGATTAGGTGGTGTAAAGATGTGACGACGATGTCATTGAATCTATTTAGGCAGAAAAAGACAAGGACAATCCGAGCTTGTGAGCAGACTCACCAAGCTTGAGGGTATCGAAGGCACCTCCGAGGCCGAGCTTGACGCCTGGTCTGAGGACCTGCGAGTAGGCCAAGGACAGCAGACCGGAGTCTGCGATCTTGGCCTTGACGAACGAGGTCTCGTCGAGGCTGTACTTGGTGGCCACCTCAATGGCAACCGGGTTGGAGCCGGCAGCCGACTTGGAGTCGAAGGTGCCCTTTGCTCCGACCTCAAGGACTGGCGAGACCTTGTGGTAGTAGCCGGCAGCAAAGAGAGACAGGTTGTTGGCGGCAGTCAGGGAGACGGCGTAGGATGGAGCCTTGTAGCCGACGGCGGCAGAGTAGCCGGTCAAGGTGGCAGACTTGACGTCGTAGGACAGCGAGGCACCGGTGGTGAAGCCATCTTGGCCGACAGTCAGGTCACCGTTGAAGACTGGGCCCTTGAGCAGGTCGACAAACGCACGGGCGTTGATGGATTGCTGTGCAAAGTACAGGTTCAGCTTGACCGATCTGTTTCCGCCCGGCACGGCGCTGGTGACCAGCTCGGACTTAAGGCCTGGAGAAAGAGCGTCAGCAAGCTCAATCTTGGTGTCCAAGGCATTGGCAGTGTTCCAGCCCTGGGTCAATGTCAGACCAGTGCTCTTGTCGGCGTATGTACCCTCGAGGGCAGCCGAGGTACTACCACCCGAAACGTTACCCTTGGTGCTGAAGGTCACACCGTTAGGAGCCACGGTCTTCAGGTCCAGGGCAACAGGAGTGTAGTGGTAGAAGTCCTTGCCGAGGACGTCATTGGTTGGTTTAGCAATGTCGGAGAATGCTGGAGGAGCCATTTTAATAAAAGTTGGGAAATTGGCGAAAACAAATAATTATTGGGTTTGCCTTAATTAGTGGCTCCACGGTCTCCCCGCCACGGTTCAATTTGGTTGGACGGCCGGGGCACGATCCACGCACATGCAAGGCGGTCACGTGTATCCAACAATTTTTTTTCCGTGGCCGGTGCAGGGGTGTTTTAGCACCGTCTATGTGACCCCCCGAGACACATGACCCGCATCACGTTATGCGCAGAACATCAACGCCTCGCACCAGCTATTGTTACACTTGCGTAATCTCGTTTCTTTTACACCTAACTTTATGCGGCACGACTCACAGAAAACAGCACTTTAAGGTCCCGGACCCTCCCATGGGAGCAACGGCCTGGTGGCTGCGCTGTTGCAGTGCTGTTGCAGCCCTGTGCTTGCGTCCGCGTGCACCAGAGCTCTTCTTCACTTGCCCCTGTTCACGGGCACTGGCATCCACTCTGGTTCGATGAGTCTCTCTCGTGCGGCTATTGTTGTCAGAGCGGTCAAAAATTTTTAAAGTTTCCAAAATTCTCTTATTTCTCGATGCTTCAACTACTTCCTCGAGCGGTTTGGGAAGATGCCAGCCTCTACGACGGCGCCACCGTGATCACCCTCATTACGGGCACGTGCCTAGTGCTCGTGATGTGCTTCGGTCTGGCCTATCTCTACTCTGGCCTTGCCAGGAGAAAGTCGGCTTTGCACATGATATTCATCACCTTCGCAGCCATTTGCATTGCCCAATTCCAGTGGTACTTCTGGGGATACTCGCTGGCGTTCTCTTCGTCCGCCAGCAACAAATTCATTGGCAACTTGCACAACTTTGGGTACCAGAACCTCGGCGTTTTGACCACTCTCGGAGACGACGAGAAAGGCTACCCAGAGATGGCCTTTGCCAACTTCCAGGGCATGTTTTCCACCATCACCATTTGCATTCTGCTCGGGTCTGTGTGCGAGCGCGGCCGCGTGCTTCCGGCGATGATCTTCTCGTTTTTCTGGCTCACTCTCGTTTACTGTCCCGTTGCGTACTGGGTCTGGGGTCCTGACGGCTGGGCGCTGGACTGGGGAGTGCTCGACTACGCCGGCGGCGGTCCGGTCGAGATTTTGTCCGGTTTCGGCGGCTTTGTCGTCTCCTACTTCCTCGGCGAGAGGAGACAGCATCTAATGGTCAATTACAGACCGCACAACGTGTCGCTGATCACCATCGGCACGGCGATGCTGTGGTTCGGATGGCTGGGCTTCAACGGGCTCACGTGCATCAAGCCTTCGTACAAATCGATCTACGCCATCATGAACTCGAACATGTGCGCTGCGTTTGGAGGAATCACCTGGTGTCTGCTGGATTTCCGGATCAACCACCACTTCTCGACGGTGGGGCTGTGTTCTGGCATCATCTCCGGTCTTGTGGCGGCGACGCCGTCGTCGGGCTGCATCCCACTGTGGGCGTCGGTGGTACTCGGGGTGGTAACCGGAGTGGTGTGCAACTACTCGACCAAGCTCAAGGTGTGGCTTAAAGTGGATGACAGTCTGGATGTGATGGCCGAGCACGGTATTGCGGGCGTGCTGGGGCTGATTGTCGGCAATGCCTTTTTCGCGTCGTCGGACGTGATTGGATACGACGGATACACGGACCATCCGGGCGGCTGGTACGACCAGAACTGGAAGCAGATGTACAAGCAGCTGGCTTACGTGGGGGCCGTGGCCGGCTACTGCGTGACAGTGACGGCGATTATCTGTTTTGTGCTGAACCGCATTCCCGGGCTCAAGATGCGCGCGAGCGAGGAGGGCGAGCAGAACGGCATGGACGAGGACCAGATCGGCGAGTTTGCGTACGACTACGTCGAGGTGAGACGCAACTTCTTCGACCTCAACCTCAGCAAGCTGACCCCGATCAACGGCGAGCTTGTGCGCGAGGTGGCCCAGGAGTCGCTCTCCGACCAGCCCGCAGAGAAGCAGAACGAGGATAGCAACAATTCGTAGACTTAGCAATGCATAGCTTTTCTAGTCGCACCGCACAAACTCCGGCATGCGCTCCGGGTCGATCTTGATGATGGGCTTGAACGTCTCGATGAACTCGAGGTCGCCCTCGCCCTTTTCGCGCGCAAACTTGGCGTACTCGTCAAAAGCGCCGCTCAGACTCCACCCTTGCAAAAATTTCCGGATCAGCCCCACAAGGACCCCCACTCTGTGTTTGCCCTTGTTCGAGTGGATCAGGATCGGGTAATTCTCCCTGTTGGCCACAAGGTTCAGCACCGTGTTCAGAGCCACCTCGTCGTTGAACATGTGCGACGTGCCAAACGTGGACGGCGGCTTCATCTTGAAAAACCGGAAACTGATCGTCCTGTCCCCCGCGTGGCCAGCTATCCACTTGTAGTAGTCGTAATTGTCCGTCTTGTCCCCAATGTAAATAATCGTCTTCAAATTCAATGTGTCCAGGAACTCAAAGTTGATAGGCTGCGGGTGGCCCGACCGGTACAAATCCGACTCGACCGTCGCAAAGTTGATCGGCGGCACATACCGCGGCCGGTCGTCCTTGATCTTGAGCGCCGTGTAGGCGTGGCGTCGAGTCATCTGCTGGCGGTCGTCGATTTTGGCCCGCGCCATGTTTCCAGCGAGCTCATCGTCTGCGAACTCGCCAATGAGCTCCGACTGCGTGCGCTGCAGGTTCTTGCGCACGTCGTACTGCCGCAGCTGGTCCAGTATCTGGTCTCCTTGCGAGAGCATGAGCAAGTTGGTGCAAAGATGTGATTTCTCGGTTTTATTTTCTCTATTTTTTTCCTCATCACTGGGTGCAAAGATGGAATTTCCAAGTTTTATTTGTATTTTTAAGCCCTTTTTCCCATACGCACACCAAATTGCAAATTGCAGGCCAATCAAGCAGATTGAGAGCCTGTATATACGTTTCTAAGCTTAATAGTTCAAGCCAGCCTGATATTGAGCAGTCGTGCCTCGCTGTGGTGTCTTTCGCTTGAATCTAGTACTCCTTTTTAATGGCTACAAGCACAACCTGGCTTGCGATCACAGCGCTACTGCTCTGGCCCGCGCTGTGCTCGGCCCTGAGGATTGAGAAGCCGTCCTGGAAACTCCCCTGGGGCAGAAACTACTACAAGGACGGAGACAAGGTAGACCTTCTGGTCAACACAGTCGAGTCTGAAAACACACAGCTGCCTTACGCCTACTACAGGCTCCCGTTTGTGTGTCCGCCCACACAGAACGCGCGGCCGGTGCACTTGTCCTTGGGCGAGGTGCTGAATGGAGATCGGATCTGGCAATCGGACTACCACCTCACCTTCGGCCAGGACGAGCCGTGTGCGCGATTGTGCGACAGGGTGATCACGCAGAACGCGATCAAGCGCGCAGACGAGCTGATCAAAAACGAGTACATGGTGGAGTGGCGGATCGACGGTCTGCCAGGCGCCACCACCTTCCTGAAGCCCAAGACAGGCAAACAGAACGCTGAAAAATACTACGTGGCCGGGTTCCCGCTAGGGTTTGTGCAGAACGGCGTCAGCTACCTCCACAACCATGTGATGATCGTGGTGAGATGGCACAAAGAGAATGGCAACCCCGACAAGAAGACCATCGTTGGGTTCGAGGTGTACCCTAAATCGGTCTCTGATTACCATTGCCCTGGAGCGTCCAGGGACTACGCCAACTTCGCCATCGTCCCGGGAGCCAAGGACAAGCTCGTCGTGCCGTTCACGTACTCTGTCTACTGGAGAGAAGAGGTGGATGTCACATACGAAAACAGATGGAAAATGTACAGAACCCCGGGCGGAGCGGCCAACGACAGCAAGATGCACTGGTTTGCACTGGTCAACTCGCTGCTCGTGGTATCTCTGCTTTCACTGGCGGTGTCGGTTGTGTTTTTCAGAACACTAAACAGCGACTTCAGGATCAAAAAGGACACATTCACCGAGAAACTTGACTCGCTAGTTGGATCGTTGCCGGAAACCGGCGACGGACGCAAGTCGGGCTGGAGAGCTCTGGCTAGCGAGGTGTTTGTGCAACCAAGCATGCCCCTGATCCTCAGCATTCTCGGAGGTTCTGGCGTGCAGCTGTCTCTGACCATGTTTGGAGTTTCCATCTTGTGCACTGCCGGAATGTCTGGCCCTAACAACACCATCTTGACAAGTGCCATTGCCACGTTTGTGATTGCGGGCTTTTTCTCTGGGTTTTCAGGAGTCCAATTCTACAAATCCTTCACGCACAAGCAGGTCGCCTCCTGGAGAACGGTCTCTTTCCTCTCGGGCAGTTTGCTCACAGCATTAATCCTCATCATTCTCTTCATCTTGAATTTCATCATCTGGGCTAAGGACTCCTCGTTGGCTCTGCCCTTTGGCACTATTATGGCATTAATACTCATCTACGTTCTGTTGCAAATACCGATTTCTCTGTTTGGAGGCTTCGTCTCCAACAGACTCGACCTGCTTGGCCTGCTGATCAAGAGGAAGCCAAGGATTGCTGAGAGATACAGAGAGGGCAAAAGAGCCATCCCGAAACAACCGTTCTACAACAAACTCAAGTTCTCTCTCCCACTGTTTGGCTTGTTCCCCTTTGGAATCATTTTCGTTGAGCTGGTGTTCCTGTTCAAGTCGCTGTGGGTGGAAAAACTGTCCTTCTACTACATGTACGGTTTCCTGTCGTTCACGGCGTTCCTGCTGTACGTGGTGGTGGTAGAGATCAGCATACTTTCCACCTACCTACGCCTGAACTCCGGCGACTACTACAACTGGCAATGGAAGGCCTTTGTGACGAGCGCCGGGTCGATCTTCATCTACCTCATGGGCTACTCCGTCTACTACCTTATCTTCCGAATGAAGGTCGTTGACATTGTGTCGCCAATCATCTACCTGGTGTACGCTACGATCATGGATCTAATTCTCGGCGTTTCTTGTGGCGCGATCGGGCTGCTGGCCTCGACCTTCTTCGTGTACAAGATTTATTCGTGAATGTTTTATATAGACACTGATTTAGACTCTTGCTTAGCTAAGCACAAAAAGCTTTTTTTCCAACATCCATTTTCGTGTAACGCGTCTGCTATGCCCATCCTTGAGAACTCGTCTTCGCCGCCGGCCTCGTCGCCGCTGCCGTCGTCCCAGGTGAACGTCGATGCATCCCCACTCGGTGACGAAGTCTCGCTCAAGAACTACAAGCCCTCGTCTGCAGACATGGCGTACTACTACGAGCACTTCCTGCCCTTCAAGTCCATCTATTTGTGGCTGAACCACTCTCAGGCCCCGCAGTCCGACTTCACGATGCGCGAGTTCGCATTTGAGTACAAATCTGGCGCGTACCAGCGGTACAACTCGTTCCATTCGGCCACCGAGTTCAAGCAGTCTGTGGTGAAGGCCCAGCCGACGCGGTTCGAGGTCGGAGCCGTGTACCCTGTGGAGCCGCGGATGCGCAAAAGCGTGTCAAAGGCCTTGATGAAGCCGGTCGCAAAAGAGGTGGTGCTAGATATCGATCTGACCGACTACGACGATGTGCGGACGTGCTGCTCGGGCACAGACATCTGTCCCAAGTGCTGGCGGTTTATCACTCTGGCAGTGAAGATTGTGCACCGTGCACTGCAGGAGGATTTCGGGTTCGAGCACCTGATCTGGGTTTTTTCTGGAAGAAGAGGTGTCCACTGCTGGGTGAGCGACTACCGGGCGCGGATTCTGGACGAGAGCAGACGGCGGGCCATAGTGGAGTATCTGGACGTTCTGAGCGTCAAGTCGAAGAAGACGCTGAATCTGAAGAAGCCGTACCATCCGCATGTGGAGCGGGCGTTCGAAGTTCTGCGCGACGAGTTCGTGGAGGTGATTTTAAAGGAGCAGGACCCGTGGAGCCTGCCGGATAGAGCAGAGGCTCTGGCGCGGACAGTGCCGGACTACAAGCTGTCGAGCGCGCTGATCAGACACTGGAAGGAAGTGCCCGGCCGGACGAGCGCGGAGAAGTGGCTCGACGTGGACGCGTACTACCAGCAGCTCAAGGTGCGGTCGTTCGACTTACAGGACTGGAAAAAGGAGACGATTTTCGCCACGATGTATCCGCGGCTGGACGTAGAGGTGTCGCGGCAGATGAACCACCTGCTGAAGTCGCCATTCTGCGTCCATCCCGGCACGGGGAACGTGTGTGTGCCGTTCGACCCGTCCGAGAAGGATTTCGACCCGTTTGCAGACACGCCGAACCTGGGCGTGCTGGTGGGCAGCGGCACGACCGAGTGGCAGAAGACGGGGCTGCGCCACAGCGTGGAGCTGTTCAACAGGTTTGTGAACCGTCTGGTAAGCGAGGAGGTGCGGCACAAGCGGGGCCGGGCGGAGGAAAAGGAAGATCTGGAGTTTTAAAAACAAAAAAATATCTTTCGCTATGTCCTGCCGTTAAAAAAAATAATCTCACTCTGGCGGTGTTTCTCCAAACGGCAGGTGATAGTAGCAGGCTCGGCATATAAAGAGCGGGATCCGCACGTCGGTGCGCACCGCACAAACGCAGAATGAGTGATCTGGAGTACGAGTTTGTGAGCGCGCACAAAGTGACGATTATCAGGGCGCCTTTTAGCGGCGGCCAAGGAAAGGGCGGTGTCGAGGACGGCCCGGACAAGTTGGAGGAGTTCGGGCTGCTCGGCGACATAGCCAAGCTCGGCTGGACCGCCACCGTGGACGACCCGCTGGCACAGCTCGACCTTGCCACGCTCAAGAGCGACCCCAGCGACGTGTACGGCAACTGCAAGAGACCCAAGATGGTGAGCGAGTGTTGCCGGCTAATTTTCGACGCGGCTACCAGGGCGCACGCAAACAGGACGCTGCCGGTGACCGTCGGCGGCGACCACTCGATCGGCATGGCGACGATCTTGGCGTTTGCGAACGCGCACCCGGACGGCGGCATTCTGTGGATCGACGCCCACGCAGACATCAACACGCCGTCCACAACCCCGTCGGGCAACTTGCACGGGTGTCCTGTGGCGTTCGCGATGGGGCTGGAGGAAGACGCGTGGCCGCCGCACTTCGACTGGATCAAGCAGGTCAGGCACAAGGTCAGGCCGGACCAGATCGCGTACATCGGGCTGCGCGACGTGGACCCGGGCGAGAAAAAGCTGCTCAAAGAGCTCGGGATCGCCGCCTACTCCATGTACCACGTCGACAAGTACGGTATCAACAGGGTGGTGGAGATGGCGCTGCAGAGAGTCAACCCGTCGGGCAATAAGCCTGTGCACGTGAGCTACGACGTCGACGCGATCGACCCGCTGTACGTCGCTGCCACAGGCACGCCCGTGCGCGGCGGGCTGTCGCTCAGAGAGGGCCTGTTCCTCGTCGAGGAGATCGCCGCCACGGGCAACCTTGCCGGCCTCGACATCGTCGAGGTCAACCCTGCGCTTGCCTCTACCGAAACACACATAGTCGACACCGTCAACGCAGGGCTGTCGATTGCCCGGTGCGCGCTCGGCGAGACCATCCTGTAGAGTCGCTACGCAAGAAAATATAGTTTGTATCTAGGGCTGTGCAACGCTCGAAAATCTCATTTATTTTTCACCATGTCCACCGACGCGAGCCACCCGCCGCGCTACGCCGGGTTCATCGCGGGCGTGTTCTCGGGCGTCATGAAGAACGCCGTCGGCCACCCGTTCGACTCGGTCAAAGTGCGCCTCCAGACCTCCGAGGGCCGCTTCAAAGGCCCCATCGACTGCACGCTGAAAACTCTACGCTACGAAGGAGTCCGCGGACTGTACAAGGGCTTCACGCCGCCGCTGGTGGGCTGGGTGCTCATGGACTCCGTCATGCTCGGCTCGCTCACCCTGTACCGCCGGCTGGTCAAGGAAAACCTGTACCCCACCGAGCAAAAGCTGCCCCTTGCAGGCTGCTGTCTCGCCGGCCTCGGCTCTGGCCTCACCGTGTCCTTTGTGGCCGCCCCGATAGAACAGCTGAAGGCGCGACTGCAGGTCCAGTACGACGCGAAGACCAAGCAGTACACCGGGCCGATCGACTGCCTGATAAAGCTGGTCAAGCACGACGGCCTGCGCACGCTGTACAAGGGCCTCGTGCCGACCATGATCTTCCGCACCAACTTCATCGTCTGGTGGGGGTCGTACGAGCTGATCACCACGTGGCTCCGCGAAAACACGAGCATGAGCACCGCGGCGGTCAACTTCTGGGCCGGCGGCCTGAGCGCGTCGTGCTTCTGGGTCACGGCGTACCCGGCAGACGTGGTGAAAAATGTCATCATGATAGACGACGTGAAAAACCCGCGGTTCAGGCGCTACGTCGACGCGGTGAGGTACGTGTACGCGGAGCGCGGGCTGCGCGGGTTCACGCGCGGGTTCGTGCCCAGCATCCTGCGCAGCTTCCCGGCCAACGCGGCGGCCCTGGCCGCGTTCGAGTTCGTCATGCGGCTCTTCTAGATTCTGCGTTACGTAAGCGGAGTGTAGCGCGGCACCTGGCGCTCTGGCGGCGCGTATCTCTCTCCCGTTTCCTCTCCTCCTCCTTACCATGAAGCCCGCCGCTGTCCTTTCCGTGCTCGGCGCGCTGGCCGGCTGCTGCGCCGGCCGGCTCGCCCGCGCTGCCGACGACTCCAACGACACAGACCACGCCGAGATCCAGCCCAAGTGCTTCAAGCAGAACTACTACATCAACGCGGCCGGCGACATGAGAGACCTCCACGACTGCCAGATCATCTCCGGCAACATCGTCATCAAGGGCTACGACTCCGACAGCCTGGACCTCGGCTCGATCTCGCACATCAAGGGCTCGCTGAGCGTGGCCAACGCGAGCAGTCTGCTGAGAATCGAGGGCGTCGAGCTCGCCACCATCGACGGCACGTTCGCGCTCGACACGCTGACGTCGCTGACGTCGATCTCGCTGCCCAAGCTGGAAAGCATCGACACGATCCAGTGGAAGGTGCTTCCGATTCTCAGCGCCGTCAACCTCGACAAGGGCATCAAGCGGATCAACTCCGTGGTGATGAGCGACACGTCGCTGACGGGCTTTTCCGGCTTCAACGTCGAGTCGCTCAAGACGCTCAACATCAACAACAACCGGTTTCTGGAGCGCATCGACTCCTCGGTCAAGGAAATCACAGACACTCTGCTGATTGCTGCCAACGCCAGAAATCTGCAGGTGTCGCTGTCCGACCTCACCTGGGCCAACACCATCACCATCAAGGACACCAGCAGCCTGAACCTGGACAGTCTGCAGGTGGTGGAGAACTCTGCGCAGTTCATCAACAACCGGTTCAGCGAGCTGAAGCTGCCGAAACTGAAATCGACGGGCATGACGCTCAGCGTGATCAACAACAAGCAGGTGCGCGCCGTCGAGTTCCCGTCGCTGGCCGAGGTGGGCGGCGGCCTGATGATCATCGACAACGACCAGATCTCCCGGATCGACTTCTTCCCCGTTCTGCGGGCGATCGGCGGCGCGATCGAGTTCCAGGGCAACATCGACGCGAGCGGCTTCAAGCAGCTCAAGGTGGTCAAGGGCAGCGCGATCATCAAGTCGACGTCGACGCAGTTCGACTGCAACAGGTGGATGAAAGAGGAGGTCAGCGGCGTGGTGCGTGGCGGGAAGATCGAGTGCGGCTCCGGCGCGTCGCGGTCCACGGAGGTGCTGCTTGTGGACGAGTCCGGCGACATCACGACGGGCACGCCTGGCGTCAACAGCGGCGTTGCCGACGGCGACCACGCAAGGAAGACGCTCGTCCGGAACGGGTCCTCCGGCTCCACGCCACCGGGCGTCGGCTTTGCGGCCGTGCTGCTCGGCTTTGGCGTCTCGTGGCTTGCTATGCAGCTCTAAATATTTTCATTTGACAGAAGCAGAATTTCCCCGGACGGCGTGGCTGCGCGAAAAATCGCACTCGCCGGTCTTCGTAATCTTTTTTTTTCCTGTTTATGACTGATAAGAGCCTGAAAACCGAGGACGGCGCCGCCGAGGCCGCGGTCGACTCCACGCCGCGCTCCGACGCGAGCGGCGACAGCCCGGGCCTGTTCCGGCGGCCCAAAGCCCAGAGTTTCGGCTCGTTTGCGATCTCTGCCAAGACCACCGCCAACGACTCGCTTCTGAGCGAGATCGATGCCGAGATCGCGCGACCGAGCAAGAAAAAACGCCGCATTTTCAGCTGCGAGAGCTGCCGCAAGCTCAAGACGAAGTGCGACTACGACGCCGGCCAGGGCAGCTGCAAACGGTGCTTGCGACTGCGGCTCGAGTGCTCGCTCGTCGAGAACGGCGCCCGTCCCAATCGGCACGATCCGGAGCCCGCGCCCCCAGAACCGGTTGATTCGCGCTTGCGTCGCGTCGAGCAGGCCGTCGAGTCGTTCGACGGCAAGCTCACGTCGCTGCTGGAGCTGGTGAAGCAGTCTCTGGGCTCCGGCAACCAGCTCGACTTTTCTGTGGCCCACGAGAACGAGCTGCTCGCCCACCATGATGCGCTCGCGCCGCTGAACGTCATCAAGCAGATCGACTCGAAGCTGTTCAACCGGGCCAGCCGCCATGACCCGTTCAAGCGCATCTGCGACGAGTTTCTGCGGTTCTACTTCGACAACGAGCGGCTGTGTCTCGAGCTCTCGCGCAGTTTTCTGGAGATCTCGCATTTCTGGATCATCCCAGGCGGCATCACGTCCATCGACCGCAAGTACGTGCTCGAGCACCCGTTCATCACGTGTGTGTTTGTCCTTTTGGCCATGTGTTTCGACGAAAACTACAAATACGTCCAGGAGCAGCAGCAGCTGTACATGCTGGCCACCAAGCTGCTGGGCGTCGCTCTCATCACTGAGCCGCTCAGCGATCACGATATAGAGGCCATACTGTACATCTCGCTGTACAACATCGCGCGCAAGCCGAAGCAGTCCGAGTTCGACAGCTGGCTGCTGTCCAGCATCGGTCTGAAGCATCTCATAATTTCCATCGACCTCAAAAACATCAGTCGCCGAGTCGGCATGAACATCTTCAACGAGGTCGACCTGTTCCATCTGCGCATCTTCAACTCCATGTGCTCGTGCCATTTCCAAAACTCGATCGGCTACGCCAGACCCATCATGCTCACGTCCACTTACTACGACCTGTTCGAGCTCACGCTCAAGTTCCCGAAGGCCACGCTCGGCGACGCCATCAAGGTCGCCGAGATCGAGCTGTACTTGGGACTGTCGCGCGGGCTCACCAGCCTGCCGCTCAGCTACTATGTGGACGGCGAACTGCTGTGCTTTCCTGAGCAGCACGAGTGGCGGCAGAAGTGGTCCAAGGTCATCCAGAAAGACGTCTCGCAGATGCTCACTTTTGCGTACAATTTCGCGCACACCATGCTGGCGAGAAAGCTGGCCGAGAAACCGGACTCCAGCAGGCCCGAGCTGCGCGTCTGCTACAGCACCGCGTGCCACTACTCGTTCGAGACGCTCAACCGGTTCCTTTTGCTGTCCAACAACCTCGTCAAGGGCTCGCCGTCGTTCCAGCTCAACCTCGCTGTGTACGCGTGCATCACTCTGTGCGACTACCTCGACACAATGGGCGCCGACGAGCGCAAGATGTCGCTGAATCTAATTTCCAAGATTTACTGGCATCTCAACCAGGTCGGCGAGAAAATGAACGACGCCACAGACACCATCGCCAAGATCGTGCGCAAGCTCGTCGACATCGCCAACGAGACGCAGTCGCAGGCCCCGAAAGCGCGAAAGCCGTCCCAGAATAGCCAGACACTCTCCGTGGCCGACCTGCCCCAACAGGTGGCCGAGCAGCTGCGCATCCCAGCCCAGCCGTACTCTTTGCCTGGCCACGCAGAGCTGCGGCTGCCCGACGTCGCCGCATTCGACAACTTTGAGGACTTTTTCAAGGACCTCTTCGACAGATAGCTTTGCTGCGCCGCCCCTGGGGAATATAATCTTGGCTGTGCGCCGCTTAAAATATTTCGTCCCTGCTCAAGTAAATCTAATCCTAGATACACGAGATCTCAGGCTTTCCGCACCAGAGACCGCTGCCGCACACAAGCGCATTGGACTGTCTTTTTTCTGTACTGAGCGCTCTTCTTTTGCATCTGATCGGCGATGGACTCTCCGTCTCCACGTAGTCTGCCGCAGAAACAGGAGCAAAACGAGCATGATCTGTTGCGCTCGCACTATCCCGAGCACTACGCGGCCATGTACTCCTCTCATGCGCTGCCCGAGTCGCCGTGCCTGTCGGAAACGCCACCGGCATACATTTCGTCTCCAGCGCCGCCCCAGCAGCCGGCCTCTGATCCGCAGCAGATGAGCCAGTTCTCCTTTGTGCCGTACGGGCGAGGAGCCGCGCTCGACTCGTCCGCCAGCCCGTCGCCAGCGAAATGGAAGCTGCCGCGGGCGACACTGGAGCAGAAAATACGGGTCCTCGACTGGCACCACCGGAGCAGCAAAAAGAGCCAGCAGCACACAGTGAACTATTTTAAGAACTTGGGCGAATTTGCAATCACCAAAAGCACGCTCAACCGCTGGGTTTTGAGCGAGCCGCAGCTGCGCGAGGTGTACCAAAACCTCACTTTGAACAACAGCAAGGTGTTCAAAACACGCCCAAAGCTGAAAGACCCGGAGATCAACCGGTGCTTGGAAATACTGTATGCTCAGTCCTGTCTAGAAGGTCGGCCCCTGAGTGAGAAGAATTTGATTTCGAAATGGTCAGACTTCTATAACCTGTGGCACGGGCTTAGGGACTCGGACGGCGACAAGATGCCGTCCAGGTCGAACGGCTGGCTGCATCACTTCAAAAAAAAGAACTCTGTGAAACGGGAGCTGGCCAGAGACTTCTACGCGGACCCAGAGTTATTTAGGTGGAGAAGTCTGGACGAGGAACAGGACCGGCTGCGAGCGCTGCTGGAGCCCTACAACCCGAGCCAGGTGTTCGAGATCGACGAGGTGAGTTTCAACAGCAGGCTGTCGTTCTTGTCTGGCGACGCATCGCAGAAAAACGAGCCCAGCTCGCGAGTCGTCGTGTCGCTTATTGCCAACTCGGACGGCACCAAGATCTTCGAGCCTCTTGTTGTCTCCAACACCCCCGCCTGCAAGGGCTTGCCCAGCCCCAACGTGTTCTACCACAAAAACGGGCTTCTGACCACAGAAATATTCTACAAGTATATGCTGCACATCGACGCGCTGCTCGACACCGAGGCAGTAGTTCTGCTGGACACTCTTCATTCGCATATCATTCCCAAGGCCGCGTTCCGGAACATCAGACTGGTCTATTTCTCGCCCAACATTGCGGACCCAAAATACACGTACCGTCCGCTGGACTTTGGGCTCAAAAGAATATTTAAAATGCTGGTCAAGTCGAGTATATTGTCGAAATTCGCTCAGACAGTCCCTAAGCTGGACATCATCGACGCCATCGGCGCCGCCGTCAACACCATCAGACAGCATTCGTACACAATCTCGAGCTTCCATTGCAGCCACCTCATCCCGCAACTGGTAGCACACCCGCACGCTGTTTGCAACGACAGTGGGGTGGAAAACGAGCTTTTCCATCTGCTCGACCTGTACCGTGCCCGTGGTCTTGTTTCCAGGTCCTTCTCGATGAGATGTCTCCAAAACACGGGAAGAGACGTCGATTTGGAGGAGCTGCTTTTCCCGCAGGACGAGGAGGTGGAAAACGAGCATTTCACTGACGAAGACATCGTTGCGCTCGTGAAAAAAGAGCTCAGCCACGAACCTGACGAAACGCCAGCCGGCGCCCAGCACAGCCCTGGCCCGGAATGGTTCGCCCCTGCGAACTCAGACGCTCGCGAATCCTCGGAAGCTGCGAAGGTGTTTCTGGGTCAGCACGACCCAGACTTTGCTGAAAAGTACCACACGTCTGCGAGCAAGAACGGGTCGAGAAAGCGCCGGATCGTCTCCTCGGAGACGCACGGCCGAATAGTGGCTGCCAACGTAGAAAAACAGTATAGATGAAGTACCAGCTGGCAACCTTAGATTGGGTTATCATTTCTAGCTACCATAATAAGATTTGCACACGACCTTTCTTCAAGATAAAGAAGGAGACTTTTGTTTCCAAGTGTCTTGTCCAAACAATATTTTCTCCTCATACCGACAGCGGGATCATATTGAGGTCTAATTGTTTCCAAGGCGCAATACTTCTGATTGCTCCAGCAACTTTTCTTTTGCAGAACCCAACACCCAGTGGCGCTTGTACTGCTCCCTTCATTCACACGACTGTCGTTCTGCGCTTTCTTTGGAGCGCTCTTCGCACTACAACCGTCTAGATACAGGTCCCGGTTTGTACGTACAGTCCAGTTGGAGGCTTTTGGCTCATTCATTTCTATCCCGCCTTACTTTTCGATTGCATTTTCCCCCTCGTGCGCTCCAGTCTTGTTGCCTCAAAAACTAGATAGCCAGATCCCGCACATAATTGACATGGAATTACCATACATTCAGCATCAAATCTCACCCACAAGGCCCCATTCACATGTCGACGCCCAGCAGGACCTGGGTTTAGCAAAGAATCCACCCTTGGGCTTACCGGCCGAATACGCTAAGCTTAGCCCTGCGGGCCAGCACCCGATCTATTCCTTCAATGGACCAATGCATGTTTCGCATCCGTTCTTAGTCACACTTCCTGGCATATCTCAGCGCTACTCGATGGCGCCGCATTGGGGGAACGTTGGATTTTCTGCAGTTCCAACCCTGCAGCTCCCAAAATTTTCCGAAGACCCTCAGCGCGGAGAAGCCACCAGATACAATACTCCTGCTTATTCAGCCAACAGTTCCAAGTGTGTGTCGTCTTCTTCTAGTGCAATTTTCAGCACTCCATGCTTGGGCTCGTGCGGCTCGCACTCGTCTGCTGATGCCATCCAATTAAAAGCAAAGCCGGCTAAATCAGATCACAATTTTTTCGGCGAGATCTGCGACACAAATCTGATCGAAATAGCTAAGAAAAATGTCCGGACGCCCTTTGATGAATTGGCCCATTCAGTGAAATTGGCGGAGACAAACCTCGCACGCATCGTTGGGTCGAGCTCGAAACATTCCAGGGATAATCGTCATGCCGAAGCACACAAAAAAAGACAGCATCAGATCCTGGCTATGGTTTTTCTGATAAGACACGTACAAATCAAGGAGTCCGCCGTATGCCCAAGAAATAGGATTTTCAACCAATATGTGCAACTGTGCCAGCAGTATGGAGTGCAGCCTGTTGTGAATGCTTCTTTTGGGAAACTGGTCAAAGCGCTTTTTCCAGGCATCAAGACCAGAAGGCTTGGGATTAGAGGTTCCAGCAAGTACCATTACTGCGGCATAAAATTGGTCGGAGACTCTGATGAAGTGGAGTCATTAGCGTCCACCACGTCAACTACCCCCACCATTGGGTCTCCAGCGGCTGTCCAAGCAAACGAAACGTCTACTGACATTCATTTCGATCTTAGTCTGGAGGACAACTTTCTGAACAGAACGAGCATTGGGGAAGCAGATCTTGACATCAGTGCCGTCAGCAGTATCTTCCGGTTTTTTGACTCTGATGAGCAGAAGGAACTGAAGGAGATTGAGGATCATTATGGAGCACACTGTCGCAAGGTTTTGTATTGCATTCGGTTCATGAAAATCAAAACTCTGTTCGAGAGCATGTCTTCAGACTTTTCAGGCTTATCAGTCCACGCAAAAGGTCTTTTATCTTCTCCACATGTGATTTCGTGGATCTTGAGATGCGATAACGCGCTATATATCGCGTGTATCAGATTGCTGTCCAAGATGATACTCCAAAATGTGCCGGAGCATGTTTGCGTTCAGATGGCGAATGTGAATACCTACTTTGTGAAATATGTTAGGGAGATGATGCTTCCTGATGATGTTATCCAGGCCAAGCTTCCTGTGGCTGAAACTTTTGTGAAAATGACCTCTCGGCTGACTAGGGTAATGTTGGCAGGCCACAACTGTGTCAGAAATCTTTGCCAGCCATCAGTCGTGCTAGAGTTGCTACAAGATTGGGAAGCGCTTGATATTATGGAGATTGTCAAACGAGAGATCAGATGTCAAAAGCAAGAAGAGATTACAGATGTTTTGCGACACGATATCACTAGCCTCTTGCGCGAGGTCTCTGCACTCACTCTTCATATCCAGGAGACGGAAGACATCATCATCAAGACGTTGAGTACACGCATATCTAGAATTCCTGAAAAGTTTGTCGATGTGAGCCCGCAGACGTTTCTGTTGATTAGCAATCAGTTGGTCGACTCGATAATGAGACAGCTGACTCTTGACAACCGCAGTAATATTGGTGCCTGGTGGGGATTGAGTTGTTGGCTCAACGAGTTTTTTATTTTTCTTGCCGAGCTTGGCGGCTACACCAGGCTTGTTGCTGATTATGAGAGTCAGAGAGAGTGAGCTTTGGCAGCGAGTCTGCATTTTACTCACAAGTCAACGAGATTTTTAGAGTTCCGGCAAGAGCCCGGAAGGTGTGGAACATTTCTTCTGGAGTTGTTATATCCTTGCATTATTGTTCCAGGCCAATTTGCATCAAACGTGCTTGAGTGAGAGCACTAGTTTGTAATTCATATAGAAATCATTTTTTTAATAATAAAAAAAGGGCAAAAAAAATAGGATCTCCTGGCGTGATTGTAATCCTCACAAATGGACGATTTGAAATTATTCAAACAATCACTGGAGTACAACAGAATCAAAAGTGCCGTCAAGATAGTTTCAGAGCATAGTCATAACCCCATTTCTCAGCACTATGGTTTTTTGCCTGAACACTTGACTATTAATAATCCCTGCGAGAGAGGAAATGCTGAGCGTGGTATACTAATCAAGCAGCAGTGTGATGCTGGGGACGTCATATACGACTTCTTTCCACAATTCGAGGTGGCTGAGACCAATCAGAGCTCAGAGAGCGCTGACTGTAAAGACAATTTGTGTGCTCACTGTCTGAAGAGTCTGAAGGTTTCGAAAATGGGGGTTGAGTGTGGCGGGTGCGATGGCTTCGTTAAGTATTGTTGTGAACAGTGTATGGATGCAGATTTGGCAGTTCATAAGATAGAATGCTTGTTTTTGAGCTGCTATGATTTTGAAGAGAGGAACAGAATAACCTGTGTTGAGCGCCTTATTTTGAGACTTATCATCACACTGGGCAGTGATGACACATTGGTCCGACAATGCCAGGACTTGACGTCGCATTACGAAGTTTACTTGGAGGCCAAAAAAGGCCAGGGCTTCAACAACTTAAGCCCAATTCAGCAGTCTCTATTCGAGGTAACAGAGGCCTACTTAGCGGGATTTCTCAGATTTTTCGGCTGCCACCTTCAAGGCCTGATCAAGCTGTGTTTTGTCGTTTTCGTGAACTCTACTGTTTTGCAGAATTTCTACGATGAGCCCATCGGCATCATGTTTGACCCGTTCTTTTCGCTGATCAACCATTCGTGCGAGCCAAACACCATTTTGGTCTGGAACGGGCGCAGAGCAGCGTTGAAGGCGCTGAAGAAGCTGAAACCAGGGGAGGAGCTCCTGGTCAGTTATTGCCCGGTGTTTCTGCCTAAGAATGAAAGAAAACAGCAGCTGCAAAACAGCTTTTTTTTTGACTGTGGTTGCAGCATATGCACTCTAGACTATGATTTGTGGTTTCCTAGCAAGACCCTAACCGGAGGAATGGAATGGGAGACTGACACGCTAGATGGACAGATGGTCAACGGCACAGAAATGGAGAGGACTGCCTATTTGGATTTGATGAGGGCACTTCGAGATGTCTACTGTCCCGAGGAGAAAAAAGGACTTCCGATTATGCACAAGATCGCAACCTCGTCCTCGCAGCTGGAAGCAACAGAACGATCAAATCTTTCCACTCTAGTCTACAACATCGTCGAACTGGTTCCCCGTCACAGCTGGCCAGTGTACAAAATTGTGTCGCTCATGAAAGCAAATACAACCAAAGATCCTGTGGCCAACTTGCGGTTCACTGTGTTGACCATCGACATAGAAAGTGCGCTGGAGCAGCATCTGGACTACAAAGCGTCACTAGGCATGGCTCTTTACGAGTTGTCTGTCTGTCTGCTGAAATTGATTAAGGCAAAAAGACGGCAGGAAATCAACTGGAGTCTTGACATGCTGGTGGAGTCTGCCTTGGCGCTAGCACTACAAGCCCATAAGCAGCTAAAAACCAAGCTCGGCTCTTCTTTGCTGCCGCCTTTGGCGGACCTGAAAAATGCTGTGTCGGATCTAATGAGTCTGAAGAGTACAGGTATAGTTAACGAGGCCGCGGCGGGGCAGCAGCTGGAGGCGTTGTCGCAGCTCCTGCAGTGCGGAGTTAATTTGCTGTCTTTTTGCGAGCCGTTGACCGCGCGCGACGTGGCAGAATTCGGTTTAATTTTGGAATCAGCGTCGGTGTCTGCCAAGCCTATAAATTCTAATTTTAGGTGGTTGCTGCAGATCTGACGCTATCGAGAGTTGAAGAAAAAAAAATATCAAATCTGGTTGTGCCACCCCCAAGTCACACCTCCCACCGGTTTAAATCTTCACAATCACAGGGGGGAATTCACCTTTTAGTCTCTTCAGGGTGCATTTCAGCTGTTGATGGTGAGGTTTGTAGACCGGAATCGTCGTTTGTACTCTACAGCTGCTAGTCAGCTGTACACAAACTCCACCACAAGCGCCCTCGCCTCCAAGACAGTATATTCTAGCCCTGAGCTCAGTCAAGAGTCAAGCCGCTCCATAGGACCCCCTGCCACATACTCGCTACGACATACAACAGCCAGCTACTCTCCTTACTCAAAAATAACAGCCTCCAGGATGCCGAACTCGGTACCTGTGTCCGCCACCTCCTCTGATGATACCATGTACACGAGTGTTTCGAAAAGTTCGAGAAGCTTGGCCACAAGCACGTTCCAACTCGAGGTGACCACCTACGACTACACGCAGTTATTTGTGGTTACTGATTCTGACACCACGTTCACGTCTAACGTCCACCTCACCACGCAAGCCACGTTCACCCCTACGTCTTCCTTTTCGATATCGAGCGCAATTATAACAACAGACTCCAACTCTTTTAACAAGCTTCTGGGCCTTCATCGTGCCTCCACCCACCACTCTGGCATTTCGACAGGAGCAAAGGCGGGTATTGGGGTAGGTGTAGCAATTGGATTCCTTTTGGCCATGTGCTTTGTGATACTCTCTCTGTACCACAGGAAGAGGAAAAAACAAGCGTTTGGCGGGGAGGACGTCTGGGAGCCCGTGCCAACTGATCCTGTCAGCGATGGTCACGAAATACAGACGCCTCCTCTCCCGCCTCCGCCTCGAAAGAGAGTCGCTGCTGCCTCGGAAGCCACGCCGCGCGAGCGTCTAATAGACGTGCTTCACGAGAACTCTCAAGAAAGCCTTGAGCAGCAGCAAGAACAGCGGACAAGCACCAACATCACCCCGAAACGCTACGACTCGCACATTCAGAACCTGACCAGATTCAGAGAGACCGGCGTTCAGGACGTCGGCGACACTCTGGGCTCTTTTGCCCTGCGCGATGGCCAGCTGAGACCCCAGACGTGGTGGTCGGACATTGACAGCAGTGAAGACAGCACTTTAAGCGGAAGCGCAGCGAGCAGAAGCGTCCAGTCTGATTAGTTTTACCTCTATACCATAGCTACAGTTCAGTTTAGCAACATGCTTAAATTCTTGCTACCGTAAAAACCATACCTTACTTTGCCCAACCTTGTCCAGCCATCCAGCCTGCCATCCAGCATCGTAACTCATAATCACACTTCAACCTCCTCCAGCAAGGCCCTCTCCACCACGAAGCGGCCTTCTTTATATTTCTCCTTCTCCTCCTCGCTGTAGAGGTATTTCCATCCAATGGAGCAATCGCATTGCTTGCAGTCAATCACCTTGACCTCGTAGCGCCCGGTCTTCATTCTCTTGAACTCCCTGGCTTTAGCAAGCTTGACGTTGAGCACCTTGGATACGAAGTACGCAGGTCCTAGGCTCCCATTGAAGTTGTCCGAAATTATCAAAGAGCTAAGACATATGTGGTTGTGGCACTGTCTGCAGCGCAAAATCCGGGTAGGAGGGTAAATCTGAGACGCTTGGGGTGGCGCACTGCTTGAGCCTGAGGAGACTGAGGATTTGGGAGAATAAAGGGACGAAAATGTGGAGCGGGACGACTTGGATGAGACGGAAGAATTGCGCGATGCCGGCGCAGAGCCTTCTGTAGGATTCGATGTCCTAAAATGTTGTGCGTAGACTAGACCCATGAGGAGGAAACAGTTAACCTTTAATTAAGATAAGCAAGTAAGTCGATCGTCCTGGAGAGTATATCGACCGCCGCGGGTTATGATTAATCATACACTTTCTGTCACTTTCAAACAACAGGGCTAGATGAACACGGTGTTGCCTGTATCCAGCGTAAAAAGAGATTTGCGAACTAATACTGTGTTCCAACTTCAGATAATCCTCATATGTAATGTTGCTCCCCTTCTTATATCCCCGGTGTGTGGTGTGAGTTAAAATATTTTCGAATATTGGTTTTTGTTTCAATCGTTCGAGATGTTCCGTTTGGCCAGCCCGCGCATCTTGAATCCGCTCCGGCTTGGGGCCGGTCTGAGATTCAACTCCAGCGGATCACTGTTTAATGAGGTCAGTTCTGCGCCAGCCACTTCGCAACCTGTCGAAAGCGAGTCTGCTGAAGAAATCACTTCACCAGAACAAGACGCCAAACTCCAGGCTTATTTGCATCCTTCTCCCTTTCTCGCTGTCGAGTCTCTCATCTCTCCACTCAAGCGCGAACTCTACAACATGAACGTCAAGAAAAACGGCTTTTTCATCAACAACCAGACCATGAAGCTCGACGGGGCGGAGTACAAGCTGAGTCTCAGCAGGCAGGAGATTGAGGCTCTCGAGCCTTCTGTCTACTTGAGGTCGTACAGAATCAAGTCTTCGGTCAAAAAGACCAACATCGTGCTGCGTGCTCTGAAAAATATGCCTCTGAAAAAGGCCATCACCCAGCTCCATTTTTTGCAAAAGAAAGTGGCCAGACCACTTGCCGAGATGCTTGAGCGCGGAGTCGACGATGCCAAAAAAATGGGATACAACCCTAACGATCTGTATGTGGCGGAATCGTGGGTCCATACCGATGGACAGTGGGAGAAACGGCCGGAATTTAAGGGCCGTGGACGGTCTGGTGTGATTTTGCACCGCTACGTTAGCGTGCGCTTCTTGCTCAAATCGAAGCAGACTCTGAACAGACTAAAGTACGAGGAGGAGCAGAAACTGCTCAAGCGTCCAGTGTGGAACAATATCACGAAGACCAAGCTGATTGGCAACAGTGGACAGTACAAGTGGTAATATGTAAATAGATTCAATAAATAAATAAGAAAAATGACGGCTGTTCAGTCGTCGTAGCCGGTTACCTTCTTGCGTGGGCCCTTTGGGATTGGGTAGCCATCCAAGGGGAGCGGAGCAAGGTCGTCGTACAGAAACCTTTGCCGTAAGGGCGTGATGGTCACAAGCATAGCAGGCCCCATTACTGCTATGCACCCTGCGAAAAACAAATGAGGCCTGGTGTGAGCGTAGTACCTCAGCCACTGGTTGTTAGTGTACTGGTGCAGTCATGCTTACCCTAATTGGCTCTTTATAATAGACAGGAGGGGACATGGTTCAAGATCTGTTTCTCCGCACGTAAGTTAAATATTTTTGCGTCGATCGGCCTACTTTTTCTTCATGGGTAATTCTCCGGTCAAGCCCATTCCAGTGGTGATGGAGCCTTCTGGCTACCTTACGAAGATGCTCAAAGCAAGCCAAGGGACAGTTTATGTGCCGCCAAACGACGCTGCAGCTCCAACGTCCGACTCTGATACCCGGTTCTACCTATACAAATTCGACGCATCGTCGCCGAATGGACAGAAAATACCACTAATAAACTCGAAATCATACTACACTATAGGCAAGGACCCATACACAAACGACATCGTTGTTTCAGATGAGCTTGTTTCAGCCAACCACGCCGTTCTCCAGTTCAGATCCAGAAACTCTGAAATTACTGCTTATATAATCGACCTCGATTCTACCAACGGAACCTTTATAAAAGACCAGGAGCTGCCTCCAAACCGGTACGTCGAGGTCCTCCATAAAGACGTCTTGCGGTTTGGAGATCCTGACTCGCGAACGGAATTTGTTTTCATTCGTGACTGAGAGCGAAGTTGTCCTCGCTGCTTTTTCCCCAGTGGCCAATGGCCTCACGCGCTGATTTCTTACGTGCGCTCACACTTGCACGTCTTTTGAGCTCTTTATAGTCTTTGAATTGGTGCGGTGCGAGCTTTGTTGCTAGTTCTGCAAGTTTTTCCCTCGAAACGTCGCTCTGGTGCTGGTATTCGATTCCCTTTTTCGCTGGACACCCGTTTCTGACACCCTTATTTAGCACCTGTATATACGACCGAGGCGGACAATAGAGTATCGCTAGATTTGACGGTGTGCTACCAGTGAACTGGCATGGCAAGTCTGTAGCTAGAACTTTGAGCGGGTGATAATATGAAGAGACTTCTGGTGTCATCTTTATTCGATCGCGGAAACAACGTTCTAATGCAGTTGTATTGATTTTCTCTTTCGGGAGCACCAAAAAACTCAAGTAAGGCGGGTCATCCACCAAGTCGTAGACGAGACTGCTGAGCATTGAGGTGAACTGTTTGAGACACAGTTTGTCGGAGCAGGATTTAGAGTACGAGATCGGAGAATCTTTTCTTCCAGGTTTAGTCCGCACGCGTCCAAGCATATTCAGGCCACTCCGGCCCCTGAATATTCCCTCTGTCTCCTCTAAGTTGTTCCAGTCTGTCTGATCTAAAAATGAGTCTCGCAAATTCTCGGTGGAGGCATCTCCACAGGGTATTTCACTAATGTACAAAGCAAACTGCAAATTGTGCTTGAACTTGAATTGTTCAGTAACATGGTCTTGAATGAGCAGATCAGAACCATTGTTTTCTCTTATGGCGTTCATTTCTTGCAACACCAACCAGTTGAACAACCTCAAGCATAAGATCTCTGCATGCGAGTCGTGAACTATTCTCCCTTGGCCACGCTCTATTCTCGAGGCGGGCGTGACCTTCATTCCTGTACATACAGCTAGTACATCTAGCTGGGGCTTTTCGTCAACTTTCTGTCGCTTGGTTTGATGAATCGGGCGACTATTAGGCTCTATTTTGACCAAGCCCGCTAGAACAGTCGTTTCTGTCTCTTTTGGCCTGGCATTTCGAAATTGTTGCAGAGCCTTATTTTCGAGGTTTGACGGCCGTCGGTACTCGTCGACAACCGCTTGAGCAATTGCATTGCCCAAATCATCATGCAGATCAACCAGCATGTTGATCAAAGAAAAAAAAGTTGGCCAAAAAAATATGCGTAAACCCGGAATCGAACCGGGGGCTCGTCGATGGCAACGACGAATTTTACCACTAAACCATTTACGCTTTGCGGTTGACTAGTTTCTTGTCCGCTTGCATATATCCAGAAGAGATCTAGAGATTGATCTCATCTTCATCCCCTCCTTGGGAAGCGCTGCCAGCGTAGTCCTTATGGTATATTGCACACTCTGGTATCTTCAAGATTCTTTCTATTGAAAGTGGAGTCAAAGAGACCTTTCCAACATTGAGTTATACGTACTGCTATTTAAAATAAAGGTTTTTTATTTATGGAACATACACATAATTGTCTCCCTCCCTTGCAACGTAGTCTTCGTTGATAAGCTTCTCGACGACACCTTTTACAAGAGCAACAACATCTTTCTCGTAAATTTTCTGCTGCTTCATGTGATCCAGCACTTGCAGCAGCAGCTTGTCATGAGCCATCCTTTGCTCCGCCTTCAATGTGCGCACAACAAAGGCCTCTATCTTCGAAGAGATCCAGCCTCTTGAAGGCACTTCTGACGAGTGCAGCTCGATAGGCGTCGAGCTTTCTCCCATCTGGATCGGAAGCCTGAGAGTTTTCTTGGACCATCTGAATTTTTCATTAATCCGATAGTTGGTTTCTCGCACCAGGATAGGGAACTTAGAGCTTGTCATTATGTTCAGATTTTGCGTCACAAACTTACTGGTCATTCCTGTAATGGACTTTATCTGATCGAACGACAGAGATGCATGGTCTTCAAAAGCCAGAATAATTGCAGCTTGGTATAGAGAACACTCGATGGTCTGTTTTCTGGCTTTCTTTTCGTCAAACTGCACATCTAGAGTGACTCTATGGAAATGATACTTCCACTGGAGTTTTCGCGATTTGTGCTGCGAACGGTAGAATGTTTCGTATTCATGCAACAAAGGTTGCAACTGGGAAGGAGTTATCAAAGGCTGATTCTCAGGGACACGAGGCCAACAATTAGAGTCGACGCAGCAGATATCCATATCAACAGAGCCAAGTGTAGAGTGCTTGTGCACATCAAGAAAGTCAGGCATGTCCAGCTCGGACAGCTCAACAGATTCCACCATGGAATCCAACTGATCAGTGTACTCGCGGCCGCACATATTTTTAAGCTTTTTCAAAAGCTCCCTTTCGAGCTCCAGCCACTCCATTTTGAGCTCCCTGTTGAGGAAAAAGGACTGTCCTCTCAGCAATCTCCGCGAAACTTGGATTTGATATTTCTCAAAGAAATAGCGTCTGCTGGATGGAATTAAGATCAGAATTGTCGTAATGGAGTCCTGTGGATCCAAGTCGGAAAGCTGGTAAATGCGACCAGAACCAGATTTTCTGTCCAAATCCTGCAGCGACGGCTTCCCCAAAGTCGTTTCGATATATTTCAAGAGATGGTCGCAAACGTGAACGGGACCATTCGGGATTTGCTGGATGGCATTCACAAAAATATTCTTCGGAATGGCACTCTCTCTGCCAAATGTCTGTATTGTATTGGAAGAGAGAGTTTGATACAAGTGTACTATATCCGAAATCAGTGCTTTATCCCTTAGATGCTGACTTATGTGGCTGCGATATAGCTTGATGTTATATTCTTCGATGGAAGACAAAAGCCAGGACTTCTCTTCATCCGCATAGAGCTGAATCAATTTGGTTGAAACTTGGATATTCCAGTCAAACCCAAAACATGCATGCACCACTTGAGGATTGGCTGCAAGCACAGACGTACCTAGCAGGGTTTCCAGCAGGTCGTTGGAGCAGAAATCAACAGGCAAAAATGGCTTGAATATATCCACGTATAAGGGGATGATTTTCTGGTACTCTATCGCTCTGGGGAGGTACGACTCTGGGGACTCTAACAGCTGATCTCTGATGCTGGTAAAATTCTGATGCGTGGCTTGTTTCATAACCTCAAAAAGATGGAGTTTGCTTTCGCCATGTAATTCGAGCTGGATATTGTGGATCTCGGCCACCATCTCCTTCAGTTGCTCAGACTCAAACGTAGGACTCACTAGACTGTACATCATGTCTTTGATAGCCAGAAGCACAAGAGACCGCAGCCTGTTTTCGGATGGATCCGCTAGCCTCGCCATGTAATCTTTGGGCTTGTTGGAATTTAGCACTCTAGACGCAAAGAGATCAAGTCCAAATGGTATGAACTTGATCTTTTTCCCGTTCGGTAGCCGTAACGTTGTAGACTCATCTGGCATAATCAGAAGCATGCGAAGTTCTCGAAGACGTTGACGCCACGTTGTATACATTTTGCAACACCCTGCAAGAGGATGATTAGACTCTATGGCTTCCTTAACCAAGGGTAGCATGTGTGTGTCAAACACGTCGGTGATGCGATCATAGATGCTGCAAACCCAAGTCTTGTCCATGTAAACAAACATGCAAATCGACTGAAGCAGAGAAAAAGAGCCCGGAAGATCGTATGGCGAACGCCCCATCAAAATCACATCAATTGCCTTGTCAAGCTTGGTGATTATATCTTTCTTATGGCCATCCGTGACATTCACCTGCTCCACTGGCGAGTCCGCCTCATAGCTGCGTTTGCGGCTTTCAGTGAAACCAAATTGCAGGATTTTGGGGAACTCCGATGCGGAGATCACGCCCTCTCCCCACTCGTTCATAGGCATCAAAGAGTAAAAATACTATTACAACATTTAGACATTATCCTGGTACCTAATCTGGTTGGTACACGAAAAATTGGTTCAATCTTCCTTAGGATTGAAAATCTCGGGAGCAGCATTTATAAGCTCTTCAACGACCCGCTGTTGCACAGCCAGCTCGTCACGAGTGGTGTATTCGTTCACTAGCAGGTTGTTGAACCAGACTATACTCAAATTTTTCACGCTCATGCGCACTCTTGGAATTTGGCTGAGGTGGATGAAATGGAAGAGCAAGTCGCGAAGGGTGAAGTAATTAGCGTCCGGAAGCTCGAAAACAATCCGATGGAGCTGGATGTGCATCGTCGCAGCGTCCTCAATCTGGCCGGCCTTGAAAAAGTTGCCGCTTTGCTCCTTCGTCAACAACGGATCGGGAAGTTCTGCAAAAAACACTTTGAGAAGCGACGCTATCATGTAGACGTAATCGTCAGACACGTTGGAAGGATCTGGGGGGTCCAAGATACTCAAATCTGAAGGATCCTGGTCGATGGCATATTTGATTTCCTCCAGCTTCAGCTTGTTCGGACTGGATCTATAGATACCTTCAGAGTTAGAGCCGTAGGTCTCAATTAGGTTAATACACTTCTTGACAAACAACGGAACCATCTCCTCGTCGTGAGGCAGGCTTTCGATAGGCTGTCCAAATAGCAGTCCCGAATAGGCAGGAGTGGTTGGATTTGTAATGGACGAGGAGTTATTTCGCATTTCTGTGCTGATAGGACGCGGGCCTGCCAGGCCTGCAGGACTTGGCGAGACAGACAATGCTGGAGAGCGCGTCGGATCCAGCGTCGAGTAGTTCACTGGGGAAGAAATTGGCGGTTCAGGAACGGGCATGAAGGACGGAGACCCAACAGGCTGACTGACAGAATTATTTGTAGTTGCCAAGGGTGGATCTAGTTTAGAAACATTATTAGACACAGACGGCGTTGCTGGGACACGGAATTGAGCAGGAGGCTCCGACTTGAATAGGGGATGTTTTTTGTACTCGACAGGCACGAAATAGTGTTTTTTCTCGACTCTTGAACCTTTCAGATAGTTGTAAAGATTTTGCTCCGGGTTGACCGAAGCAGCGACCGTTGCCATCGAAGAGTGATTGGCTCCCAATGGAGCCACCTGGTTTCCCAGCCCGACAACAAAAGATTCGTTATAAGCAGCATATTTCTGCAACTGCAATTGCAGAGCCGTGTCCAGCTCCAGAATGAGGTCCTGGAGCTTTTTGGAAATTCTAGGTCTATGTGTGTTCACCAGCTCGTTCTTCAATTTCTGGGACGCGTTGGCCTTGGCATTATAGTCCTGGTCGGCAGCGTTGATTTTTCGCACCAGCTCCTCCTCCTGCTGGGAGCCTGTTTTTCGGCCTTGGAGCGTGATTTTTTTCTGGGATTGGTCCGACTGTCTCAGCCTTTCCAAGTCGTTACAGAGCGAATAGTACCTATTTTTGGACTTTTCCGCCTGGTTTATGGCATCCTGGACCTCCTTTTCGCGCTTGTGACCCTCTTCCTTTAGTTGTTTCCGCAGCCGCACGAACGTCGCAGACACAGAAGTCAGTTCATCCTGCATTTTCTCCAAAGCCTTGGAGTAGGGGGACCGCACGTCCACAAGTATTCTGTCGTCAAATGATATGATTTTGTCCAGAGACTCAACAAATGAGCCTTTGGAGATGGATGTGTTGGATTTTATGGACGACTTGCAGCTTGTGACTGCCCGCTTAACGTCCCGAGCATAATTTTCTTCGTAATTCTGTTTCCGTTTCAGATAGTTGGCAAACTCGTCGCAGGCCTTGACAGAATGTTTGAGTCTTGCCAAAAGTAGGTCCAAAGCAGAGTCAGAGGCAAGAATCTCGGCAATTGCCGGCTCTTGCAAAGGAGACGGAACGTCGGTGTTTGTTGTCATGAGCAGTAGATGGATCAGAAAATAACAGCAAAAAAAATGGCAGTGGAGGTGCCGATGTGGCTTGTCAGGGACTAAAATAGTGGCTGTGAATAATATTACCAGGACGACAATGATTGACTCTCACGATTGCAGGAAGCTTCGCCAACTCAGACATGGTGATACGTTGCAAGGGGTCGATTTCCAGCATCGGGAGCACAATATGCTGGAATTCGGCAAGATTGTCTGACACATCGTCGATACTCTGACTTTTGCTATATAGTTCAAAAGCCTTATCGTACCAAACAGCCTCTTTCCACTTCGTTCGGCGTCCAAGGAGCTCCAGAAAAACCACACCCAGGGACCAAACATCAGACTTGAACGAGTCGTAGCGAAGATCGCGCAAAACCTCGGGTGCCACCATTCCCTTGCTTCCGGCCACCCCGACGCCCTCGTTTCCGTGTATGGACGAGCCGAAGTCGATGAGCTTCAAAATTCCCTCACTTGTAAGTCTGCAATTAGCCAGCTTCAAATCTCGATGGCTGACGTTTTGCTCTTGGAGATACAACACTGCCAATGCTAACTGTTTGAAAAGACACAATTGAGAATCGACATTTAATGCTTTCCGAGAAACGCAAAGCTCACCAGGCAGATACTCCATCACATAGTACGGCTTGCCTCTTGTGACAAAGAAATCGATGAAGTCAACGAGATTATGGTGTTTGGGAAGAGATCGGTGCAGATGGACTTCTTTTTTTACTCGGTCTAGATATTCTTTTTTGGACTCTCTTTCGCGTCTTGCGATCTTCTTAATCGCAAACAGGTCCTCCTCGTGGACATATAGATACACCCTGGCGGTGGTTCCCGCGCCTAATTGTCGCTCCGAATGGCCGTATTGCCTTGGAAACAACAACGGCATCAGTCAAAAAGTGTTCTGTGCAAGGATGTTTCTGAGTAGGGCAGCGATCAGCATACATGCGGCTCCTGGCGAGAAGAGCGCATACAAGCATTCCAAGCCTGCTCAGTGTGGCTACGTAAAATAAAGACAGAGCGTTCAAAGCCTTGTACGTACTATTCACATGTAAAACTGGGTGTATTTATAGGCATAGTATGCCGACGAGGCGGCTCCTAAGACGGTAAGCGAAGCAGGAACCGGCTTAAATCCGGCCTTCAGCGATCTGCTTATACCGGCTGCGCACAAGACTGCCGAAGTGGCCAGAGCGGTATGAATTCCGTACTCCATGTTGTTCTTTAGCAGATAACCAGCAGTGAAGTACAAAGCTGACATCGACACACCAGCGATGAGACTTGGCATTGATCTCTTCCTGGCAAAGCCCATGGCTCCACCAATTAGACACAGACCTCCTAGAGTAAAACTTGGGTGTTCCTGGACGTTAGTGTGCGCTGGTCGCAAAATTGGGTGAACATACCATTTTATAGTTAAATTAGAAGAAATTAAAAATTATTGGTGTAAAATAGGGGTCTTCAAAAAAAATATATTGTTCAGAGAGCTAGATAGATCGAGTACTATTGAGGGCCGCAATTGAAAAGACACAAAGCTTTCTGCAAGAAGGGGAGTACCAGAGACAGTGACTGATGAGTTCGCGGACTCTTTTTGCCGACTATGCCGGCCAAAAATGCTATACCTTGATTGAATCAGATATGGAGACAGATGCGATTCTGGAGTCACGTGAAGATGCTGCGTTGCGTTTCTTGAACGGAGAGACTGTTGATGAGACAGGTGCGCTGGAATCGTTGCAATTTGTAGTTACGTTTGTGTGCAATGACGGACAAGAAACATATCGGGGCAATTTTGATAGCAGCAGTAGCGAGCCGTCAGGGATTCTTCAGGGTCTGAAAAAAACGGTTTGGCTGCAATGGCTTAACGAGGTGTTTTTACAAGGCGAGTTTGATCCTGACTACGAGTTCAAGGTGCTGGACACAGAGAACAGCAAGAAGTTTACGGTTACTAAGGACTTTCGAGGGGTGCCTAGTCGAATTCTGTTTGAGATAGAATGCTTTCTGACGAAAGGGGATTTTTTCAATCTTGGAGACGACATAGCCGTCAAATACGAGCAGGAACTAGTGCTTAGGCGACGGATAAGACAGCTGATGCTGAAAAACGAGCAGCTGCAACGCGATTTCGACGAGTGTCAAAAAATCAACGAACAACACGCTGCAGCTAACCAACGTGTCCAGGATCGGATCGAAAAGGTTGTGATTCCTATGTTCAATGAGCAAAAACGGCTCTTGCGAGAGCAAAACGGGGTGCCTGAATTTGAGCCGTTTGAAAGCATCAAAAAGGAAAGTCTTATTAACTGGCAGCGACCCGACGCTCCAGTGAAGTTTGACTACAATGAAGAGCATAAAGACAAATACCGGCAAGAGATAGAGCAGGTGTCACCGCGCAAACGTAAGCGAAAGACAGCTGCTCGTGAACCGACCCCGGATGATACCAGCGAAACTCAGGACGATGACTCTACTATTTCGACAGACTCAACCAAATCGGATATGTGATCAAAACGCTATGCACTTACTTATTCGAGACCAGGAAGTTGCTTGAACACCTTGTCGGCAGCAGTAACGTCAACTGGGGTGTTTTCGGGCTCCACAAATTCTGCAACCACTTTGTTATCATCGACAGCCAAACAAAACCGTTTGGAACGAACGTTGCCGAAAATCTCGGTGGCGTCAAAATCCAAGCCCAATGCCTTAACAAACTCTGCCTTCGAATCCGCAAAGAACGAAACGTTCGGCGATTCAGGCTTCAGACCTAAGCTGCTGCGCCAAGCACTCACAACAAACGGGTCGTTGACACTAATCACCACGAGATTTCTATAACCCTTGGAGATGAAGTCCGGGAGCTTGTTGAGATAGCCAGGGATGTGGACTTCCGAGCAAGGGCCCGAGAAGGCACCGGGAACTCCGACAATGAGGGCCTGTTTGCCCTTCAATTCCTTCAAAATGTCGACCTTGTCGTCGGGGCCTTTTTCGTACAAGGTTGCTGGAGGCAATTGGTCACCAACTTTGATGGTAGACATTCTTCTTAATCCGTTTCCAAACAAATTGGCCTGTGCGGGGCGGAAGAGATTTCTGAACATTATATATTGCGATGGGAAATGATCCTCAGCAATCTAGCAATGCTAAAATGGAGGCAGAATTGGCACAGAATTTAAATGCATGCTAGCAAAACCGCGGGGCAAGCTAGTGCATATTCGTTACGTAATCGATCATATCGGCTCCGTCGATTCTGACGAAGTCAGGCAAGCTGGTGCGAGAGGACACCACACTGCAGACTATATTATGAGGCAGCAATTTGTAGACTGCGTGCTGGTCTGCGATGGAGATTTGTTGCAGCGAGGCTGATGGTGGGGAGACGTCAAGGAACTCGTATTGCTGTAGATCGCCGTGCAGGCCCACCCCTTTGTATTTTGAGTAGCTTTCTTTTAGAGCCCAATAAAGCGAAAGGTGCTGTTGCTGGGACGCTTGGGGAAGATCGCTTATCGCTGTGTCGATCTGTTGAAGCTCCAGGTCCGAGAAGACCGGTCGGAAATGGGTCAAAAACTCGCGCGGGTCGCCGACATCCTGAGGGTTTGCGAGATCAAGCCCGATTTCCGACACTCCCAGAAAGTCGACCGCCACAGCCACGATACCTTTTTCGTCGGACTGATTAAATTTAATATTTGAGTTTTCGACGTACGGCTTGCCGTAGGCTTCTTTCTGAAACGCGAGTGTGTGCCATATCAGGGAAGACAAGTTTTCCCGCACGAATACGTAACGCAGCAGCAAAGCCCCCATCAATGACGTTATCTTGTCTAACGGGCTTCTTTTTCGAAGGATGTATGCCTGATCCGTCAATGGAAGAGTTCGCATTAGTAACTCAAAGCGGTAATCATCCCGAAGAATATGTCCGCAATCGCACAGATCCACCCAAAACACAACAAACGGGGCGGAGCCAAATTGATTCTCCGTGCCTTGAAGCATACACATACTAAAGGTGGTTGAAAATTTTTCTTGAGAGATGGGTGCCACGGGCCTGGTTATATGGCGGCCTCACGCAAACTTAGGCGCTCTTCAGCTAAGCGGCTTTCGCTGATTGGTGATGCCCGATTACTTTGTCGCTGTATTTACAGCCACCCTAACTGTATTGTTAGCCCGCAGACCCTGCGCATGTCTATTTTTGGATGATAATACCACGTATAAAAATTTTAATCAGTCTCACGCTTCTTTTTACTGACTATATATTCTGCAACTCTGTTTCAGTGGCAGACATATCTTCTACTACTACTATTTCCAACACACTGGACTATAGCCAGCTCACCTCCACCTACGCGGCTCTTGAAACGGTTTTAGTCTCCGCTCAGGCAGCGTACAGTTCCAGCTCGTCGGATGTTGATGCGATCCGCACTCTTCGAAGAGTCAGCGCAGAACGGGTCTACTTCTCTAACTTGGCAATCATGGCCACCGCCACCGAAGACTCCGTGCTCTCTTCTGCCAGCTCACAGGCCCTGTCTGCTACCTCAGCCATAAAGTCTATCATCAAGGCTTCGGAGTACTTGCAAGGTAGAAAACCATCTGTTCCTGGAAACCTTGTGTTCTTCCTGCTCATGTGTTTCTTTTTCGCCTTCCACATATTCTACGGATTTTACACCAAACAGCGGTGGTTTGGCATTTCGTGGTCTTGTGGTCTGATTCTCGAGTTGCTTGGGTACCTTGCCAGACTTTTGCTCCACTACAACATGACTTCTTACAGCCTCTATATGTTGCAGATGACCGGACTCACCATCGCTCCTTGTTTCATCATGGCAGGAATTTACTATTTGCTGGCTCAAATGACCATCATCGTGAGCCCCGCTTTGTCTGTGTTCAGGCCTAGCCAGTACACTTACGTTTTTATCGGGGCGGATATTATTTCTATTCTTGTGCAAGCTGCTGGCGGTGGAATTACAACTGACCCTAATAATTGGGAAACGGGTAAAGCTATGCTCATCGCGGGATTAGTGTTCCAAGTGGTCTCGATGACCTTCTTCCAATTCTGCTGGTACCTTTTCTGGTACCGGTGGAGGCGCGAGCTACGCGACCATGGGGAAAGCGGGCTTGAGCCTAAGTATAGATCGGTTCGGGCCCGGAGAATCTTCAAGCTTTATCCTTATGCGGTGAGCTTGGCAGTGATATTCATTTACGTTCGGTCCATCTACAGAATCGCTGAACTGTGTGATGGCTTCCAGAGCGATCTTGCTACCCATGAGGCATATTTCTTCCCGCTCGAGGCATCGATGATGACGCTTTCGTTCATCCTGCTGACTTTCCTGCATCCAGGCACAGCCTACGGTAGAGGTGTGCTTGTCAAGGTCGACCACGGCAGCATGAAGTCTGTCTTCGGTAGACGCAAAAAGAGCGATCAAAAGATGTACGAAATGGAGTGATAGGCGTGTATAGCGATGGACTACCTTATTATGGACATAACCGGTATTTGCGTCAACAATCAATCCTGCCAAGCCTCCCAAATTCTCGGGCATCTAAGGATATTTTTTTTCAATAGCGCGGCGAATGTAAACTGCGCGCTATTGTTTCATTTATTCAGGAAACCCTTCAGCCTTTTTCAGGGTTTCCCCCTATTTATATATACAAAGAGCCCATGATGGGCGCTCATTCTCTTCTCAATGTCCTCTGGATATGGATACCTGATTGAGCATGCTAATCTCGGCTCAGATTGCTTCTTCACAGCTTATTTTGGGCTCCTTCTGGCAGCACATCTGTTTTTGCTCTCTTACACTCGATGGACCCACTTCGGATACGTCTGGTGCTTTGCGATGGCCGGCGAAATTGTCGGCTACGTGGGCCGTATCATGATATCTAAGTCAAGCCAGAAAAACACGGCAATTGTCATGGACTCTGTTGGGCTTAATGCGGGAGCTTCTCTGATGATAACAGGGCTTTATATTGTTGCGGCAGGCGTGCTGAAACAACGTGCTACCAATATTGTCAGAGCATCTCCGAGCCTTCTGAATGTAGTGCTCGCTGTCAACATTGCCTGCATTGCCTTATACTCGGCAGGAGTATCGATCGAGCCCAACGCGGGCTCCGACTACCAGACTGGAAGAGATCTGGCTAATGCAGGAACTGCTACTCAGCTTGCCCTTCTCATCGCTTTTTTAGCCTACTGGCTTTTCTCATGGAGAACGAACTGTGGAGACTTCTGTTCAGCGCGACAAACCCTATATCACAACGGTTTTCCGGCGGCTGTCACGTTGTGCATGATCATCATGGTGGTGCGTTGCTGCTATCGTCTAGCTCTTGAGGCAGAGGGACGCAATGGCAAGCTGTTCACACACCCAATATACGTGGGACTTCTGGACTCTCTCATGGCTGCTATCACAGCGCTCCTTATGACTGTGTTCCATCCGGGGCTTGTTGAAAGGTTGGGTGTTCAAGGGATGAGGCCCGAGGCGTCCTATTATTAAGATTCTGCATTCACACGATACATATGGAATAATTATACTCCAAGCTTATTCTGACGCTTTCGGACTGTCCATCTCCTCATGCACGGTCTCAAAGTTCTTCATGACCTCACCAAGCTTGCCTCCACCAAGCTGAGAGATATCAAAGCCGTTCTCCTGGAGGTATCTCAGGAAGTTGACATCTTCTCTTTGCATGGCTTCTTGGTCAACAGGGGGAAGCAGGAAAAGAGCTAACAGTCCAGCGAGTATAGCCAGCGCAGATGCCAGATAGAAAGGAGCCTTTAGTCCCATGTCTCCCTTGTAGTGAGCCTGAAAACTTGGGAATGCCCAGGTTCCGCAAAAAGCACCAATCTTTCCAAATGCAGCAGCGATAGAATAATAAACCCCACGCACAGGAGTAGCGCACGTTTTGGAGGCAAGCAGACCGATCTGATCACCTGGACCAAACTCTCCGAACGTCATGAATATACCGTACACCACCACGAAGCCAGCAATGTGATGTTTTAGGGTACTCAGGGAGCCCGCCATGGCGAAACCAAAGACAGCTTGGCAGAAAACACCAATGACCAGTGTAATTCTTGGGCCGAGGTAATCTGCCACAATGGCACCCAGGAAGGCGCCTGGCATGTAGAACAAGTTGAACACCACGTTCCAGCCGAAGGTCTTGTAAAGATCACCGTCTGGAATAATGATATCCAAAATCGTTGACGAATAAATTCCGAAAGCATAGGCCGAGAAATCGTATATCCACCAGATCACCATGACAATCAAAAGTCTGAACCAGTAATACTTGAGAACGAGGAGCCAAGGAACTCGAACATGTTTGAAGTTGGTTTTTTGGAATTGCTTGTTTTCCTTGAATTTCAATCTAAGGAAAAACAGAGACAAAGGAGGAAGAGCACCGAGGCCAAGCGTGATTCTCCAAACAGGCTGCAGGTTGTCCGGGCTAAAGATCCACAGACAAACCATTGGCACAAAAGCAGAAATAACAAAGCCAAGGTCAATCATGAAGTTCGTGAACCAGGCAAACCATCTGTTTCTATGTCCCGCTGGCAAGAGCGCCGAAGCCTCAGCACAAGCTGCGGATCCTGTTGGATACTCCGCACCAATGAAGATACCAAGGAAAAATCTATAACAAGTCAGGGCCGCGAAGAGACCTCCTGGGTGTCCGCCATACTTGGCTTCCGTTCCAACACCCCACGATCCGGCGGACAGGATCGCAAACAAAATAAGTCCTGCAGAAGAAATAAGCATACCGGCTTTTCTACTGACGTAATCAGAAAAAACCCCAAAAGACAATTGACCCACAACTGTTCCCACAAATGCAATGGAGGAAACATTGTTCATGGCGTCCGATCTAGTGAACGCCTCAACACCATATATTTTTTTCAAGCATGTGGTGGCTGTACCGACGGAGTTGTTCACATAACCATCAGAAAAGAGCCCTGCACCCGCAGTAAAAATCGGCCAGTACGATTTGGTTTCCTCTGACGGTTTCAGTGCTTCCTCAGGTATATATGCCACCCTGCCTGGTGACATCGAAGGCTGAATGATATCCGCGTCCTGGTTGGACTGCTCTTTTCCCCAGGCAACCTCCTTCCTTAGAACTCTAGGAAGATCTGCTAAATATGTCATGGATAAATTTTGTACTTCCTATTTTTGAGGAATTTCTGGTATTTTTATTATGCGTGCTTATCTACTTATATTAATGCATCCAATTTTTCGCACGTGCAAGAAAATGACCCAACGAAATGCTCAGAAATGTTTACGAGCAAGCTGATCAACATGGAGCCCAAGTTACAATACCGAGACAGTGAGCCCGAGAACAGTGACCTATATTCAACGCCAATACTGCAATTTGTTCTTTTTACTGGGCATATGTAGTCACAACGCAGATCTGCTGCTTGGCGAGAGCAGTAGATAACGCAAAGATAGGCGACACTATGTCGACCATCGACAGCTCTGCTTTTTTTGTTTTTTTTTTTTTGTCCAAGTGAAGTAAGCATTTTTTTTACTCTCGTCCCCAAAAGCGCGTCGCGTTATGGATCTCCTTGACGAATTGGGCGACCTGCCCACTGTGCGCAGGACTTTCAAGGCGGCTAGCAAGGAGACCGACTTTACGCAGTTCAGTATATTCCAAGATGCCACGCAGGAAGTTTCACAGTCCACGCAGGTGATTGAGCAGGAGAAATCCAGTAGTTTTGGGCTGCTGGGAATTGACTCGGGGTTCATTGGGGCGGTGATGAAGCGACTAAATGGCGAAAAGGAGGAGACTACAGAGAAGGCTATTGACACTGAAGACGAGGCGACACCAGAAATCGAGCCTCGGGAACGCGACAAAACCCAGCATACACCTATAATTGAAAAGCCCGTTATCGAGGTACCCACCACGCAACAGGCGGATGAAATATTGCGTGCCGACAGCGACGAGGCCGAGGGCCACGAGGACACACAGGAGTTTGTTCCAGACCGTCAGATCAACCCTGAAGACGATATCATTGCTGCAATACCAGACTACGACAAGCTAAGCGTGCAGGACAAGATCCAAGCCCGTATCAACGAGAAGCGGCGCCGAAGAGAGCTTGCGGAACAGCAGAAGGAGGCTCCTGTACCTGTTGCAGTGCGTGAAGAACGGAAAAAGGCCATCAATCCGCTCGTTGAGGTGGTGAAGCAGAATGAGCTGATTAAAAAGTCTGCTTTCACAGTGAAGAAGCAGAACGCGTCGAAATTCGATCCGAAAAAGCTGGTAGAGGAATTCATGGATTCAGATGAGGACCCCTTTTCCCAGACCGCCCGAGACACTCCCCAGACATCGCCCAAGGCCGATAATCCGCCGGAGGCCGCAGAGCTGCAGAAAGGAGAAATGGTCGAGCTAGACTCCGACTCCGACGATGATCTTGCGCAAATCAAGTTTGGTGCATCAAAGAAGAGTGTTTTTGAGGTTCGTCGCAAACTCTGCAGAAAAGCGCGTCCTCCTCCGGTCACGTTGAAGAAACTGATCAGAGAAGAAAAGCGGCGTCAGATGCAGGCTCTGGGCCGCAAGCACGTGGAAGTCGTGGTGGAAGAGAAGGAGGACGAGATCATGAAGATGATGCAGGACGAGATCGAGCGCAACAAACGATTGAGGGAACGCGAACGCGATGCGGCCGAGCGTCGGAAGCGAGAGAAGGAGAGACTGCTTAAAGGTGAGATTAGTGAGGACGAGAGTGATTTAGACTACGACGGGGAGGAAGAGGAGGAAGAGGAGGAAGCAGAAGATGAACAAGAGGAGACCGAGGAAAGAGAAGAGAGGAAGGAGCAAGAGGAGCAAGAGGAGCAAGATGCCGGGGAGATGGCACGGTCCACCGATCCACCAAAGTCGCCGGCAATCACCTTTGAGCTGCAGACTCAGGATGTCAACTCGAAAACTTTTGGGCCCCTGTCGCTGTCTGATGCGTTTGACCAGACTTTACCCAAGAAGTACGACGGGATGAGCTCTTTGGATGTGATGAAGCGTCTTGGCGAAGCTGCGGACGAGACAATGAACACGAGCATCAGCGAAACGACAGACCGCCAGGACGAGAGCGCAGTCGTTACCGAGAACTTCCAGCTGGGCACGTTGCCGGTTGACGAGCCAGACGTGCCGAAAACCATACTTGAGAGTCAGAACTTTCTGCCAGATACACAGGATGACGAGTCGGAGGCTGTTCGGGAGGCTGTTCGGGAAGCCAAGCGGCTTGCTGAGCAGAAACGAAGGCAACGCGAGCGGGAGCTACAGAGCAAGGGCCTGAACCAGATCATGGAGAACGAGGCCGAGGAGTCTGAGGACGAGTGGCAGGGGATGGGAGGCCGCGACGGCGAGATTTCCGACGAGGAAAACAGCGAGGATGAGAAAATGCTGAACGACGCTGCGATAGACGTGAACAGCGACGCGATCCGCGAGGCCCTGTTAAGGAACGAAGTCGCTGCGGACGACGAGATGGTCAAGAAGATATACAAGGATATCAAGACCGGCGCGTTCAGAAAGCGGCGCGCACGTGACGGGGCGTACGAGCTGGAGCTGAGCGACGACGAAGACCAGCAGATCCTTGAGTACTACAACCGGCGTCGTCTGGAGCAACAGCGGCAGCAGATGATGCAGAGCAAGGACGTCAAGGAGCTCGCTAAGGATAGCAACCGCAAGGCGTTCTTCGACACCATCATGGAGACGGAGAAGAGCAGCTACCAGTTTGAAGAGGAGCCGGAGGATCCTGAAGAGGAAGAGAACGGGGGCGAGCACGACGACGACGAGGAGACTCTGGTGATGCCTAAAAGGCGGAAGATCACGAGGGACCAGGTTCGGTCTATGATCTCGTTCCTGGAAGACGAGGAAAAGCCTCAGGACGCAATTTACATAGACGACGACGGACACGAGGAAATCAAGCAGATGCGCGAAAGCTCTGTTGTGCTGGCCGAGCGGACAGAGACGCGGCGGGTGGAAGTCCGCGAGGAGGACGAGGACGAAGACTTCGGCATTCTCGCGAGAAAATCGATCACCTCGAGCTTCCGGATGAGCTCGCTCAAACGTGAACGCAAAGCACACGAAGTCAACGTGACGACGAGCTCCAAGACCGTTGGAGACGGCCGTGGAGCCGTTACTTTCCTGACAAAGGCCCCGCGTCTGCTCAAGCCCAAGGAGGCCCGCATCGAGCAGACACTGCACAAGAGACAGCTCAAGGTAAAGGGCGGCGAGTGGAAAACAGAGTGAATATACATGCCGTGCAATTAGCTCTATTTAATTTAGTGTATGCTGCGATCCTCCAGATTGCTTCTCAGAGCGTCCCGGAGCGCACCGTGACTGACTCTGGTGCTGAGGACATCGCTCAAACCGGGCCCAGGTCCGTGCCGTATGATCCAGCCCTTCCTATTGATGATCATGGTGGAATGCGCCCCACCTCGAACACTCTCACGAGGGAACACGTGGGCGGCCGGCTGACCTATCAGCCGACCTGTTTCGCTCGTTACCTGCGAGCTATTAGGTATCAAGTCTACTAGCCAGTTCTTGGGCGTTTTGGGCTTTCGCGCCGGTCCTTTCTGTATCAGCGAGTGCAATGCGTCGACCGTTGATCGCGGCCGGAACGACATCTCGCTCACAATGTCTGTCATCTCGTTCGTCACCACCGGTCGGCCCGCACCGATCTGAATAGGAGCACAGCGTGGCTCGCTGCGGTACCACTCAATAATATCTGTGCTGCTGGCCGTGCTCTCGTCGTCGCTCGCGACCAGCTCCAGAATTCGCTCGTGGTCCGAGCAATCACCAAACTCGACATCAATGTCGTCCAAACTATGTGTTGATCTGCCCCGCTGTGGCTCTTTCTCGTCGGCCTCAGAAATGACGTCCAAGAATGGCGCGTCAAACCCTCGCACGGGCAAGAACTGTTGTTCTGGCGTCCAGCTTGAGTCTGACTCGTCCAGGATCGGCTCTATTGGCGGCATGCGCGGCTTGGACGCCAGATCAGCCTCGTTCATAGTGGCCCGCAAAGAATTCAGAGTAGTATCTGAATTGTCATGCCCAGAAAATAGCGATGTTTCGTTGGACTCGCTCGGCTCGCAGGTGTCGGTTTCTGCATCGCTCTCATGATAACTGTCTTTACCGAGCTGTCCATTGAGGTACAGATACTCTTTCTGTAAGTTCTCGATAGTGGTTTCTGTAGCTTTCCAGCTCAAGCCGTTGTCCTCGTCGCGCAGTGTTTGGGACTCCAAAAGTTGGGTGCGTAGCGTTAGAGACGTCAAGTTCTCCAGATATGCGGTGGAAGAGTCGATCTTGAAGCTCAACTCTTGGATCTTGTTTTCGTTGGCTACCAGATCTGCCTGGACACAATGCAGAGCCTGAGAGAGCTCTGCGTTGACTTGCATGGTCTCCTCAGACCGGGCGGTGAGAACGCTCAGTTTGTGGATAAGCTGGTCCATCCGCGCAGTCATGGTGACTCGTCAGATTAAAGGTAAATAAAAACACACAAATTTGGACAATGCAAAACAATAGGGCTGGAAAATTTTACCGAAATATTTTTACGGCCATCAAAAAAGTTTCGGCTGACATAATCGTGGTAGTGACATTAATGCTGGCTATTTAGACTCGGATCCCGACTTGTGCGACGTGGCTTCGATCGTGATGCCACTAAGCAGGTCCAGCTGACGCTCGAGGTCATCATTTTCTCTGGATTTCTCCGTTTTTGTTAGCTGGTCAAGTTTGTGGTCTGTCTGCAAGTTGGCAAACACTCCCTTGTCTTTTTTGAGCTCTGTGCCCTTCAGTATCTCCTGTACGTCTGAGGTCTCACTATTGAGCTTCTCGACCAATGCACGGGCCTTTTTGGAAGGCGCTCGTTTAGTCCGTTTCTTTGATATTCTGGTGCTCTTATTTTTCATGTCTGAGCACAGTTTTTGTATGTAAATTTTTTGTAAATTTTTTTCAAATCTTCTTGTATCGCCACAAATGCCCTCCACATACAACAAAGACAAGCCCTGGGACACGCCAGACATCGACAAATGGGCGATCCCGGAGTTTAAGCCAGAAGATAACGCATCCGGATCGCCTTTTCTTGAAGAGTCGTCTTTCATGACCCTGTTTCCAAAATATAGAGAAGAGTATCTTAGACAGATATGGGGAGACGTGACCAAGGCCCTTAACAAACACCACATTGCTTGCACATTGGATCTGATTGAAGGATCGATGACAGTGAAGACGACAAGAAAAACGTACGATCCAGCAGCGATTTTGAACGCTAGAGACCTGATCAAGCTTCTTGCGCGGTCGGTTCCATTCCCGCAAGCTGTGAAAATCTTACAGGACGACACTGCCTGCGAGATCATCAAAATCGGCAACATTGTGGCCAACAAGGAGCGGTTCATTAAAAGAAGACAGAGACTGATTGGTCCGAACGGTAACACCCTCAAGGCTTTGGAGCTTCTGACCGGGTGCTATATGCTTGTTCAAGGTAACACAGTGGCAGTGATGGGCCCACACAAAGGGCTGAAGGTGCTGAGAAGAGTCATCGAGGACTGCATGCACAACATCCATCCAATCTACCATATCAAAGAGCTGATGATCAAAAGAGAGCTAGCCAAAAGACCAGAGCTTGCCGAGGAAGACTGGTCAAGGTTCCTACCCAACTTCAAGAAGCGAAACGTTGCGCGCAAGAAGCCCAAGAAGGTCAGGGAGAAGAAGGAGTACACTCCATTCCCACCTGCGCAGACTCCTCGTAAGATCGATTTACAGATCGAATCTGGTGAGTACTTCCTTGGCAAGAAGGAGAAGAAGGCTAAGGAGTTACAAGAGAAGCGCGAGAAGCAGGAGGAGATGAAGAAGTTGAAAGAGGAGGAGAGAGCGAAGGACTATGTTGCTCCTGAAGAGGAAGTGAGAGAGAACAAGCTTTTGGAGAAGAAAGAAAAGAAGGGAAAGAAGGAGAAGAAGGAGAAGAAGGAGAAGAAGGAGAAGAAGCGCAAGAGCGAGGATGATGATGGGGAGTCGAAGAAGAAGAAGAAAAAAGAGTAGCGGTTTGTAATCAAATGCATATATGTACACGATTAGGGAGTCCAGCGCCGCGCAGTTTCTATGGTTGGGTCTGCGAAGGAAGTGGAAGAGTCTTCCAAGTGGCGAGGCTCAGAGTCTGGCTGGAAAGTGACAACAGTCTCGAAGGAGTTCAGACTGTCAACGGATTCTCGTTTTGCGTTGTAGCGCAATCTATTCAGCAGCTGCTGTAGTGTTTGATTAATATTGCCTGGGCCGGCAAAAAAATCGTGAGACTCATGATCATCCTCTCTGAGCTTCAGTTTTTCGGGCATTGCGAGGGATGAGCCGGATTGTGCCGTGTTTTGCCAGGTCTGAATGGTATCTAGCGTACTGATGCTTTCTGTTGTGTCTTTTCTAGGAGGAAGTAGCCAGGCAGTGAACACAGCAGCCCCAAGAGATAAGAGCCATATCCCCAACAAAACCAGAGATATGTACAGCTCGATTCTCAAAGAGGATCTGTATTTTTCCACCAAATTATCTCTGGTCTTGGCCAACGTCGACTTGGTGTCTTCCAAATACTGATCAACAGAACCCGAGTCTCTGGAGTCGGTCAGGTCGAATCCCGCAGAGTCGATCCGCGGAAACGACACGTGCGAGTGGTTGTTGATCCAGGAAAGCGCTTTTTCGACTTTCTGGATCTTTCGCGTCACTGTGCACCCAACAATGCCGCTCACATATGGGTACAACGGAGTATTGCCAAAAACATCAGAAATCTTGTCGTTCATCTCATCGACAAACTCTCCCAGAGTGGCATTGAGCGAGCCCGTGCTGTTGTGGATCCAGCCCAAAAGCTCATCATTGATTGAGGTTTCCTGGTCGGAAATGTAGAGGTTCGTGTCATTTGCCCACTCGGCAAGAGAATCGTTCACATTGGAGCGTACTTGCGACCCGATAGACTTGAAACTAGAATCAAGAGCAGCGGTGTCTTTTCCCGCAAGCAAATCAAGCAGAATCAGCTGCAGTATAAAAGTCGCCATTCCAGCCAGCGTAAGTAGCAATACTGGCAGCATGCGGTCGCTAGAAACGTAGTTCACCACCCACCGCACGGTATTGAGTCGTGTGACACTCGGCCCGAAAAACAACTTCCCCAGTTTTTGCCCTATTAGGAAACTGTATCGATTGCATGATATGTCGACGAGTTCTGCTGCAAGGTCGTCTTTGTGCTTGGTTGCTGCGGTTGCCTCTATTTGGTGGAAATTGGCTCCAATATCCCGGAGGCGGTCCCAATGCTTTTTTTCCATGTATATCTCAAACGCAATGAACCCTAGAGCTGCCAGAACGAGTACAACAAACATGATGCTGGATGCTTTCCATAGCAAGTGCGCAAGGTCCTGGTAAAACTCGTCTATGCCGGAGCCAGCGCAAAAAGTCATAGTTTTTTTGTCCGGAACCATCAGCTCGTCGGCGTCGAACTCGTGGTCGAGGCGCGACGACACCATTTTCTTCATAGAGTCAAACGGCTCACTCACAAGGCCTTCTGTGTAGTTCATCACATCGTCGAAATCTGGCAGGTTTTTGGACAGACTCTCCAGCTTGGTGTTGATCGAGCCTGGAATCTGCCATTTCTTAAGGGACGAGATAGTGAGATTGACCTTATTCATGCTGCTGCTCACGTCCGAGTCGTCATCGTCGTCATCAAAGAAATCTTTCACGTCCTCGTAGGTCTTGATTAGAGCATTGACCACCTTGGAAACACCGTCAAGCCCATCTTGCAGCTCCTCGGCAAACGTCTTTACCGTATCGTTGGCCAGTGAAATGACGCTCTCGGTAGCGTTCAAAGCAACCTCCGCGGTGGCATCCACTGTTGCTGTGAGTACGCAGACATACGTTCCGATGGTCATCTCAATCGCAAACATAATCAGCCCCTTCGACCCTGTCAGAACCATGTCAAGAACCTCCATAAAGCCCTTGTTAGCCTCGCTCAAGCCCTTGGCTATCATTACGTTCGCGCTCTTTGAAATATAATGCGGTACGCTCGTCAGTGAAGAGGCGTAGGTCTCTGCATTCAAGCAAGCGCCATAGGTCTGTTTTCTTGCCTGTTCTAGCGACGCATCGAGCGCGATCCGAAAAAGCAGAAGCTTGAAGAGCATCAGGATCATCACGATTGTGTACTTGTTCAGCCAGACCTGCGACAGCCTTTCGCGAAAATCTAGAAAAGGCCTTCGGTAGTTAGTGTTGTTGACTGTTCTCAGATACGCGTCCATGAGTCCTTTCGAACCCTGCCTGGCACAAAATATATATACTCGCTAGTCTTGCTACACTCTTAAAACCAGTCGAAAACTGCACAGCCTGGAAAAAGGCCCTTGCTTAAATTAAATAAACTTGTAAATATTCCAGCCCAGCGAATAGGTGGCCGCCGTATGCAGAACCTCGCATTTGCCCTTTCTGGCAGCACCTAGAGCCACAGCAAGCGGCAAGAAGTGCTCAGGAGTGGGATGGGCAGCACGGTACAACTTGTTCAGCTGGGGATCTGTCTCGAGTTTCTGCAGGTCAGACAGGCCACCGCCCTGTGTAAGGGTGTTCGTGAGCCAGGAGTTGAAAGGTTTGACGTAGGGAAGCGGCTCAGACGAGCCGCTGCCCATGGCTCTCGGCATGTCCTGAAGGTTATGCACGGACATCCCCGAGCAGATAATGGCCACGTTTTTCGCACGCAGATCATAAAGGGCTTCTCCGAGCCGGTAGCTGTCAAGTATTTTCGGAGAGGCAGGCAAAGATACCTGGATCAGCGGAATTTCCAAATCCAGCCGTTTGGTGTCTTGGACGTCTGGATTTCCGAACGCCACTCTGAGGGGTGTCCAAACTCCATGATCTAGGCCACGCGATTCGACTGCGGCTGGGATTCCCTTATTCTGGAGTGTCTTAACGATTTCCTTCGCGAAGGCGGGCGAGCCTAACGTGTGAAATTTGGTTTCGTAGTATTTGCGTGGAAAGTTGTAAAAGTCGTAAACCAACGGGTTCTCACCCTCGTTGCTGGACACCAAAACGTTACTGTGTGTATCCCAATGTGCCGATATGCATATGACGTAATCTGGCTTGGAGCTCACAATCTGGGGACCCAGCTTGTGGACGGTGTCCCAGGCACCCACCTCTGAGCCGGCGTGGCCTTTATCCGCAAACGTGGGTCCTCCGTGGGAGATGAAGTACACAGGAAGCATGTCGATAAGCGTGTTTAGCAAAATCAAACGGTATTTATAAATCAGCCAGCCGCACCTTCTCAATTAGTCAGAAATTATATTTCTTACTAAGCTTACAAACCACGACATGTCACGAAACGAGCTAGCACAATCAGTAGTCCTTGGGGCCTGAACTTTCAGAGGAGACGCTCTTGCGGGCAGAGCCGGTGCCTGCTCTTGGAGGGAACCTCGGGTCGCCGTCCTCGACGGCGTGCCTGCAGGTGCACCAGAGCTCTCTGTTGGTGTTACTCATAACCTCGGAGACGTGAGAGCCACATCCTGTCCACGATTTTCTCTGGCATAGAGGGCAAATGGCAGTCGAGCACATGGATTGAACGTAGTTGAGAAAGAACACTAGGCGGATCGATATTTATATACCCCGGACGCAAATCCATGAATTTGTGCGGTGCACCGCGCGCTTGTGCAGACGAAAATCCCGAGATAGCAAGATTATGACACAAGTCATGCAATTTACAAGTGGGTTACTTGCAGATAGAGAGATAAGAAGGCTGTCCCCGACCCTGTGTTGTAGAAGTATATCTATGCTTTTTCGATAATTAAGTCCGTGTCGTTGTCGGCGTCCATGACCAGCGTGATGTTTGGTCCTGACCTGACGGCATCGACTTTTGGAGACTCCACGACAGCTGGAGCAGCTGCTGCGCTCTCCTCCTTCTTCACCAGAAGAGTGGGACCCACAGTCTCGGTGATGTCACCCAAACCCCAGAAGGTCATCATGGCCACAAACGCGGTGGCCATGGCGACCTCCGGGTCCACTTTGGTGTCGTCCAAGGTCAACTCGTAGTCGAACTTTCTCTGTCTCATGAGTCTCACCTTGGCGACTCTCTCCCTGACTTCCTCGTCGTTGCCTCCAGGGTTGGTGAACTTCTCCAAAAACTTGGAGTTTCTTGTCCATCCGTACTTGTGGCCGTCGTTCAGATAGAACGTTCTCAGTCTGCCGCTCAAGCCAGACTCCCGGTTGATCACTCTGTGCTGCAGTCCTGGCTTGTTGTGGAAGTCAAGCGACTTCAAGAAAAATCCACAACGGATAGTAGCAATCTCTCTGTACGAAGGAAGAGTACGCAGAGACCAGGTCGGATTCAAGGCACTTTCTCTCTGGAAAATGTACACCTTCTCGCCCTTCTCGTTGAAAACATTGACAAGAACCTGTCTTCTGTCGTTGTCTCTTCTGATGTAGAAAGCCCTGTTAGGCGCAGAAAGAGGAAGAAAGTTGGCATCAGTGATGTGGACGTCCAACAGCTCTCTCAAATAAGCGTGAGAGATAAAGTAGGTTGCGAGCGTCGTGAGCGAGCTCTGGACGTACACGGCAGGCGATTCGAAAACTGGCATTTTGCAAGGAAAAGCAGAGCAATAGCTTCAAGAAGACCAAGAAGATAGCAATTAATAGTGCTCTCTTTTTATACTTGTGGCCGGCGCGTAGCTGCTACCCTGGCCGGCGCGCAGAAAAAACATCGCTCAAATATTACATCATCAAAAAATGCCCCAGGCATCTTCTGCGCCGTGACAGAACTTACTGCATGCAACGGATGCAGAGAGCGGATACTCCGACACTCCGATCTTGTCGTCCACGTACTCGTCTGCAAAGTTATCCTTTCCGCGGGCCATGGCTCCCACGAAAACGCAGATGCTTTCGTCTGGCTCCAGTTTCTTGATGTAGTCCTGCACCCTCACAACTGGTGCATCATACGACAGCGTGATTTTGCGACACTTTGTTGGCAGATGGTCCGTGATTGGGTTCTTGATCACCTTGAGCAGTTTTTCCTCAGAGTTGACAGACCTGATAGAGAGCTTGTGCAGAAGCTGCACCATAAGTCCTGAAAATCGCTTGAAAGTTCTGGGGATTCGCACCGAAGGGTTCACTTCTATCAGAACACCCTTGGCCGTCTGAATGTACACTTGCAGCTTACCAGCCTTGTTGATTGGCGAATCCAAAAGCGTTAGCAGACATTGGTGGGTGATATCTGGTCTGGCGCCAGAAATGTCTCTTCCCATTTTGCGGAGCAGTCCCTGGTGGTCATCACAGTTCAGCAAAGCGTACTTATCGCTTCCCGGTCCGCCACCAGTACTGATCTTGTGTGTTTCCAGACATGCCTGTGACAGGACGACTACCAGCCTCTGTGTATTCTTATCTTTTGAAGAAAGTGGCGTAGGCTGGACTGGCACAAGAGAAGCTGGAGGGACAGCTGTCTCGGACTTTGTATCCGTCTTTTTCGACTCAGAGTTCGTATTACCTTCAGTCATTGGAAACTAGCTGAATAAAATTTATACGGTATTAAATTTTTTTTTTTCACCTGGTCGTGTATCTACTGTCTCAAGGACATAAATACTGATTTAATCTAGCAGTGTTGATATGTCCTTCGACTCGTCAGATTCTTTCGACGACGACGATGTAGACTTTGACCAGCTATATTCAGCACGCTCCCAATCACGTGGACCTCCGGTAGCAGCCGTGGTGCCTGCCGAGCCTAGCACTGATCCGTTTGTTTTAAGGGGCGAAAACGCGATACTTCGTGCCCAGCTACAAAAAATCAGTGACAAGTTCGAGCAGGAAAGCAGGAAGCTAAAACAACATTATCATGTGCTACTGAGTGAACGAGAAAACCGCATCAATGAGCTCATGGACAGCGTTAATAAGGTGAAGGAGGACAATGAATTTCTGACATCTGAAAATAAAAATCTGGCAGCCAAGTACATCCCAGCCACCAAGAAGCGTCGTTTGCAGGACGAGTCAATAGAGATGTCGATATCGGACGTGTCTGTGCGGTCAGGAGGTGCAAAGGAAGCCAGCACCCTGGCAGAAGAGGGCCCTCAAACGGTTGCCATAATCAATCAAGTTTCGATATTTCAAGACGAGAAGAACTCGTTTATAGAGGCCATTTCGTCACACGTGATTCCCGGAATGAATCGCACAACACTAAGCTATTTATCGAATATATCATCGGCATTCAATTATGAGAACAGGGATTTTCATATATCAAAAGAACGAGAAAGCGTCAAAACTGCAATTGTCGACTATCTGATCCGATTTGAGAACAAAAATAGGATCGATATGCTGCTGAGTAGCTTTGTCGAAATTCTGTTTGACTATGTTGTGCAATCACTTGATCGAGACAATCTTTTTGCGGCCCCCTTCTTGCTGTCGCTCATTCATTTCAGTCTGAATTATAGACCCAAGGCAGTAGCTTTTCCACTGATACAAGACTCCATGAAGAGTGTGAACCACTTGCTGCAGAATTTCACCACAGTACTTAAGCAGGACCAGCCATATCTCTCAAACGAAAACATGGACGTCATAACAACAGCCAACTCGGCATCGACAGATCTCAAGCTTGACGTTGTGCAGAAGACTATGCATAAGAAAGTGCTCGATGTATTTATCACAGTCTATTTGATGGACATCATGGAAACTTTAGGCAAGCTTTCAGCATATCTTAATTCACCTAGCAACCCGACACTAACAGAGTACTGGTCGCTCTTTCCAAAATCATTACTCTTGCATTGCCTGTCATTGAAAACCCCAATAGGGTTTGTTTTCAATCTGGTGGAGATTCTAGCTAGCTCAATTACCAAAGATCGATTTGCATACACAGACAACTCAAAATCAAAAAACCAAACACTCACCAAAGAGTCGACAGATACGCTTACAAACCTTATTATATTCGTTACGCAGGGGCTGGAGCAAGATATGTGCATATACGGCCTTAACAGAAACATAGGGAGCAACGCGTATGCTCCGCTGCTAGATATTCTGGTTCCTAACCATACTTCGCCCAAGCCCATATCACACTCGTGGGATGATTATAGACAAATTCTGCAAACAAGCTCGAGCATTGGTCATTGCAACAAACACGAAATCGCGGTCTTGAAACTTCGGATCCGTATACTGCAACTTTTTGAAGCTTATTTCTCCCAGCGAGCTGCCAGCTCCATCAAGAAAGAAATCATTACAAGTTTTGTCTCGTCAATGGTGACGCAGCTTGGCTTTGAGCAAGAGCTGATTTATAGAGCCCCCCGCGCGAACACAGTTGGCTGCAGATTGCAACTAATCTCTCTGATTATGAGACTCGTGCATTTCATACTGCTATCATCAGGACAGGTCGCAATATCTGATTTGCCGGGAACCACCCTACGCGAGCTCGTTATAGCCCTGCTACGGATCTCTGCAGACAGCCTGAGGCCGCTGGCATTGGAAACGATACGGCAATGGCGTGAGCAAGGTCACGTGCCCGCAGTTTCTAGCTCGCCGAACGGAGTGGAGATCAACTACGACGACTGGACGATCGACATGGCGCGGGATGTGATTGGCCAGTGCATTACGGGAGACGAAGCTGACGCACTGCACTATAGCATCAACTATGACCTCCCGGACAACGATATTATGTTGGAGTAAAGTTAATTAATCTTCATATATTCACCTTCTAATTTTGAGTCTGGAAACCGTTCTTGAATCTTCTCGACACGTGCTTAAGGTAGGCCATTCTTCCGGTACCGGTAGTTCTTCTTCTCTTAGCTTTCAAAGCCCAGTTGTGGGATCTCATCTTAGCAGCTGGGTAACCGCAAGAGGCACATGTTTTCTTTTGGATGTGGAAGGATCTCTTACCGCATCTGTTACACAGAGTGTGCGACTTGTTGTGTTTCTTACCGAACGATGGAGTACCCTCTGAACTTGTTAGTAAATCACATAGTGCTCATACATACTTCCCATTGCGAATGTGTGTAAGTTTTAAGAAAGCTGAGACAAAATTTTTCAACTAAACGCTATCACGTGAACCTGCTAAAATTCTGTGTGACTGTTAAAGTCACGTGAAAGCTGAGACGGCTTTTTTGGCCGCCACTGCCGACCGTCGACCGTCGGCAAGTTCGAAGCGCGATGTGTCGACTGTTTATTTAGAAACACGCTTTGCAGAGTAAACTTTGTCCACAATGTATTTACCATCGTCACCAGTTCGCGGGGAGAACAGTCCATTGCGCGCCAAAACGGTCGCAAACGTGTCCGAGCCCCTGTCTTTGTCCAGGGACTACCCTACTCCAAACCCATCTTCGTCCCTTGGCTACGAGGAAGAGTCTGAGAAAGCCCGCAAAGTCGCCTTCGAACTGCCACCGCGCAAAGTCGAGATTGTTTCTCCGATGTCGCGGGTCCGCAGACTGAAGGTGCCACTGACAGGGCGTCAGATCAGCATCGGACGGTCATCGAGATCGAACCAGTGCGTGCTCAACCCCCATAACAAGCTGGTGTCGCGCACCCACTGCTCCGTCCACTACGTTCCAGAAACACACACTCTCAAGCTTCACTGCATTGGCTGGAACGGCGTCAACGTCACGGTGCCGGGACGCGTGGACGTCGAGAAAAAGGACGACGCGTTTGAGGTCACGAGCAGCACGGTTGCGCCAAAAAGTGCCCGTGTTTTATCCCAGGAGGCCTCGGTGACCAATCTCTACATACTTAAGGGCGAAACCGTATTTTTGCCAATGCTTCCAGGACTCATCTTGGACATCCGTGGCGAGCTGATCCTGGTCGAGACAGAGGATGAGCTGACGGAGGACGAGGCTGAAGAGGAACTGGAGCAGACCCCGGAGCCTCTGCAGCAAGAGACCAAGAAGCCTGTGAAACACGTCCAGACTGTGCACGAAGACAAGGAGAACGTCCCGCCTGTGGCCAAAAAAGAGCCTACTGCTATTTCTCCAGCGTACACGCCAGAACAATCGCCCGATCCGGTCGCAGCCACCAAAGCACGCGCAAGAAGCAAGAACCACAACTCTCCGAGAAAGAAGAAGGACACCGAACACCAGATCTCCAAGGAGGAGGCGGACGTCCTGTTGGAGCCGCTGCGGCCGCAACTGCCTCATCTGGCCAATATCCTGGTCAACCACTTGGCCTACTCCAGACTGCTGCAAACTCCGTTGCAGAATTTGATGGACCTCAAGGCTGTGCAAGATATGGGCTTGAGTAAGCAGCAGCTGCGCGGCTTACTAATATATTACGTGGACTGTATCGGCGTTATCTACCGCGTGGGTAAAGATGCGGCGGGCAAGCCGTTGGACGAGGAATACTACTACGACCCGGAAAAGGACCAGGACAAGTCGCGGGTCCAGCTCGTTGAGGAGCTGAAGGGGTCTGCCTCGCATTTGCGTAGTTGCAGAAAGACCCATAAACAGTACTTCTGGAAGAAGCCGGCAAAGAGATAAATCACATGGGTATCGGGGGATTATCTAATCAGAGGAGCCACACTTCTCGAACGAGCACGTAAGCAGCATGGAAGTGCAGACTTTCGCCATGCGTTGACGTGGTTGCCAGACTGTTAGCCCATTGGTGCATCTGCAACTTTTGCACTTGTCTCAGGACACGAAATTTGGGAGCTCCCATGTGCCTGTTTTTGTTGGATCTTTTTGCGCATGCGCATAATTTCTTCAGTGTATAAATATTGAAAAATTTTCCTAATTAAGATTTACGAGTCAATACAACATGTCTGGACACTTTTTCTTTACGTGAGTATGGTTCTGCTGTGTTGGTGCGCTAACCCCCAGTTCTGAGTCTGTCGGTGAAGGTCACCCTGACAAAATCTGCGATCAGGTTTCCGATGCCATTTTGGACGCCTGCCTGACTGCAGACCCCCTTTCTAAGGTCGCCTGTGAAACTGCCTCCAAGACCGGTATGATCATGGTGTTTGGTGAGATCACCACCAAGGCCAACCTCGATTACCAAAAAATCATCAGAGATACCATCAAGCACATCGGATACGATGACTCCGACAAAGGTTTTGACTACAAGACCTGTAATGTTCTGGTGGCTATCGAGCAACAATCTCCAGACATTGCTCAAGGTTTGCACTACGACAAGGCTTTGGAGGAGCTTGGAGCCGGTGACCAGGGTATCATGTTTGGTTACGCCACCGACGAGACCGACGAGAAGCTGCCATTGACCATCCTGTTGGCCCACAAACTGAACGCCGCTCTTGCCGATGCTAGAAGATCCGGTGCTCTCCCATGGTTGAGACCAGATACCAAGACCCAGGTCACTATCGAGTACAAGCACGACGGCGGCGCTGTTGTGCCGTTGAGAGTTGATACCGTCGTTATATCTGCTCAGCACGCCGAGGAGATTTCCACTGAGGATCTCAGATCCGAGATTAAGAAACACATTGTTCACAAGGTCATCCCTTCACACTTGCTGGACGACAAGACCATCTACCACATTCAACCTTCTGGCAGATTCGTCATTGGTGGTCCTCACGGAGATGCTGGTCTGACCGGTAGAAAGATCATTGTCGACACTTATGGCGGATGGGGTGCCCACGGTGGTGGCGCATTTTCCGGGAAGGACTTCTCCAAGGTGGACAGATCTGCCGCCTACGCTGCTAGATGGGTTGCCAAGTCTCTGGTCACCGCCGGACTTGCCAGAAGATGTCTGGTCCAATTCTCCTACGCTATCGGTGTGGCAGAGCCTCTTTCGATCTACATTGACACCTACGGAACCTCCAAGCTTTCCTCGGAGGAGCTGGTCGCCATTGTGAACAAAAACTTTGACCTGAGACCGGGTGTCTTGGTCAAGGAGCTTGATTTGGCTAGACCAATCTACTTCAAGACTGCCTCGTACGGTCACTTCACAGACCAGTCCAATCCTTGGGAGCAACCTAAGAAACTGGTTTTATAGACGGAGAAACAGTTCTCTTACGCTCAACTCGTACACGTTAATGATCAGCTGTGACTTGTGTTTGGATTGCATTAGAATGTATATTTACCTTTCAACAGGATAGTGAAATAAAAAATACGTAAGCGACGCGTCGAAATTCTCGCAAATAATCTGATATCTCCCATGTCGCAGAAATCGGTCGCTATCCTGCGGGTGCGGGACCTGCCCGTCACCACGTTTACCAGGAAACGAATCATGGGGCTCGTAGTGGGCATCACGACTCGCGATAAGCCGACCAAGCCAATTGTGGTGCATATGACGGACTTTTCTCGAAATCCATCTGTCGCGCAATCTGAGATGAACTACGCCAGCTGTGACCCGCCTTTTTTCGACGATCCTGAACAAGCCGACAGTATCATTGACGTGGCATTTTATCCCGAGTCGGTGACACATTTAAAACGCATTCTTGGCGACACTGTGAGCCCCAAATTGTTCGACAACAGGAGCGCGTCGTTTTATCCGCTCTATCAGCACGCGACCGTGATATCATTGCGGCTGAGATCGAAATTGTGGAGCGACCAGATTGACCTGATAGCTGACCCTGGATTTTCTGACAACTGTTACAGCCAGATCTGGCCGGTGAGTATTCTTGAAGCCAGAAACAATCCGGCAGCTGAGACGATCTACGACCCAAACGAGAATAATTATGCTCTGGCGCGGGAGATCCTGCGCGACTGGAAGACTCAATGCAGTGCGTATAGTGGCTCCAACCCGAAAGTCAAACAGGTTATGGACGAGCTTTCCGAGTCAGCTGCTAGTGTGACATGCTCACCGCCACACACTCTGCACCGCCACGAAGCACAGGAGCAGTACTCAGAGACAGGTTTTCTCAGCGACATGGAAAGCTCTGACGACGAAGAGCTCCCCAGAAAAGAGTCCAAAAGGGGAGCCTCTGCCAAGAAAAGCAGCCGTGTCAAAGATACGCCAAACGTGACCTTTCCTGTCTCCCAAATTCCCCTAGCTGACTACACCGGAGCATATTTCATCCATGTGCAGATAATGCGGCTGGAGACACGCACGGCCGATCTCATCTACAAAAGCTTCCCCGATAATAAGATAATGACAAAAGCAATCGACGTGCTGGTGCGGGAGGTCGACTCGGCTGCAACACTGCGAATCAGAGTGGAAGGGTACGATCTTTTCCGGTTTGCAGGCATCACGTTTACATACCCGCTATTAGACATGACAGCGGCGGAAGTCGAAACCGCAAAAAAATTGGCAGCTCTGGTGCACAGGCCGGTGCGTATGTTGGTGAGGCCGTACTCGCTGCCCCTGGAGGCAGCCACGGTGAACACTGGACGTTGTTACAGATGGCTGTTTACAGAATATCCTTGAACTGTAGCCTAATACATCCACTTGATGAAATTAATTTGCCCCACACGACAACCCCGGATTTTGGGGTTGCGAAGTATGATGATGCCCCTCAAATTTTGCTTAGATATTTAAGGCAGCCGTAAACTCCATTTTTTATTTCGAGTGGGGTTGTCTGATTAATCGTCCACCATAATGGCGTCTTTCAACAATTTCATGGACCAGTTCACCTTAGCTCCGGAGTTTGCACCTCGCCAAGAGAAGTTAGTGGACCCAGATCCTTTCTATGACGTGCTGTCATCCAAACTTGGTTACCTGAGAGATCAGGCGAATCAAAATAGTTCACCGCACTCGTCGGTGTCGAGCGCATCCAGGGATTCGATTTTCAGCAATCCGAGTGCCTTCACTCTGCCGGTCGAGCTACAGGGCGGTGTGTCGAACATTTCCTCGAGAAGACCAAGTTACACCGCAGAGCTATACTACACGACCCATAACAAGCTGGATCTTCCACCGGCGTTTGCACAAGTTCCACCATGTACTGCCTCATCCAGATTCTTTGATGTGGATCATTCGAGAACCCACAGCCTGGATTTTTCAGCGTCCTTTTTACCCCCTCTGAACTCCTTTCTTCCGCAGGTCCATTCACAGGAGTCTTTAGTCACGCTTGATAACGGGTTACTTCTTGAGAAAGTGTCAAACTCCATTGTCACGTCCGCAGAGCTGAAGGCCCAGTTTCTCAAGGACGCCAAATACTTTGGCGACTTTGACGTTTCGATGAAAATTGTGCACCAGCTAAACGTTTTGCTGGGTACCTCGCTGACCGAGACACCGGGACTTCTTCAAATTCGAGTTGGCAAATTATTGGATTATCTTCTCACACAGAACGAGGACCTTGCAGGTTCGCCGCAGAAGGCCTCTAAGACCTACTCTATGATCATCAACAAAAATGGAAAACTGGACATTATTTCGTTGCCGAAAACATCCAATCTGAAGCTCACTCCCAAGGACCTCATTATCATTGAAGGAGACCGCGGAAAAGATCTCGTGATGGTTCTCCAACCACAGATCGATTTTCGGTTTGCCTTGCTGTTCAACTATCTCAAAAAGAAGCTGCATCTCAAGTCACTCGAATTTGGCAACGCCAATTCGTCCCAGTCCCCATCCAACAACAAACCGCAGAACAATCAACACAACGCGAACAATCAACGCTCGATTATTAACGAAGATGAGAACTTCATCACTTTACCAAACAAACAAATTCTAAGATTTGCTAAACCTCACGAACTTACCCAATTGACGTCCAAATATAATGATGAATTAATGGCATACCGCATTTGTCTGAATTACGTTCAATCCTTGAACCTGGACCTAATCATCAAAAATGTCGAATTCCAGTTCGACAAGAAAAAGCTAATCATATACTACTACTGCCTTCGAAGACTAGACTTTAGAGGTTTGATCAAAGAGCTGTTCAAAATCTACAAGACTAGAATTTGGCTGTGCGCTGTGCTTCCTATCGAAAAGTCGTTTAAACCGCTTTTGACTTACGAAATGGAGAAGAAGTATCACGGGTCGGGTCCGCTGGCCAGCTCCAGCTCCAGATCCAACGATCTCACTATCGTCGACCCGCTGCCTGCTTCCGAAACCATCCACTCGTTGGAAGAGATCGAGGAGCCAGTGTGCTTCCACTCCAAGGTCTTCTTGAGTCTCATCGAATGGTTCAAATTTGAGATGCTTGACCAAGAAACATTTGATGAGAAATTTCCATTTTTGACATGAGTTTACAAACGTTCTTTTTAATGTAATAGATTGATTGACTTTGCTTGGAGATTATACGGATTGTTTTAAATAGACTTGAATACTGTATAAATTTAAGAACCACACACCTGAAACCTGTAAAAATGTCTAAGTCCGCTGTGTCGCTCTGGTACTTGGGCATCGACATAGGTACCAGCTCTTTGCGGACGTCCATTCTGAATGATCAGGGGGTTGTCGTAGGCGGATCTGAACAAGCAATCGATGTCTATTACCATCCCTCCAACAATCGTATCGTTACGCAAGACTCGGCTCAACTCTGGTCTAAACTGCTGACTGCTATCGATGAAAGCTTGCAAGCAGCAAAATCCAAAGCAGAAGGAACTTTGAACTCAATATGTTGCGGCGCAACCTGCTCGTTGGTGGTCGAGGACAATGATAACAGCCACGTAATTCTCTGGATGGATCACAGAGGAGAGACAAATTCTATCAACAGCAAGATGGAATTGCACTACCCAAAAGTTCTGCAACGTCTTGGAGGGTCCATCATAGCAGAGATGGCTTTGCCCAAAATCAAAGAGTATCTGAGGACGACCTCGTCCAGTCCTCGTATATATGATCTTCATGACTGGATCGAGTGGAAGCTTGCAGGTGAGGTGCTGACTATACGGAATTACAACACAGAAAATATAGGTATCGACGGGTCGTTAAAGGGATTTTCAATTGACTGTCTTCACGATCTGGATATCCCTCTCAAAGAGTCCCAGATCGGCAGAGTCGAGAGTATTCCATATCCAGGAATACCGTTCGCTGGTACCCCTATTGCCAAGCTTTCGCCCACCCTAGCTGAGAAATGGGACGCTAAGTCTGCTGTGGTTTGCTCCGGAGTCATAGACTGCTATGCTTCCTTTTTTGCTCTGCAAAAGAGCGACTCAAGTCCAGAAGAAAACTTGGTGATGGTAGCAGGAACATCCACATGCTACTTAACTGTTTCCAGAACGCCAAAAGATCCTCCGCCGGGAATTTGGGGACCATTCCATTTGACAGACAAGTTTTGGTTCTATGAGGGAGGACTAAGCTGTTCCGGAATTCTTTTCGAGTCTCTGCTTGAAAATCACCCAGCAGCAAAAACGTTGGACAAGTCCAAAGATAAATTTGAGCAGCTCGAAGAACTGGTGGGTTTTTTCGTGGAGAGTGAGAATCTGAGCTCCCCCTGGAAGCTGACAGAAAAAAGGATATATATTGGTGACTATCTGGGAAACAGAACGCCGTTTAACGATTCAGAGCTCTCGTCCGTCATAATTGGAGGATCATTGCGGCAGGACACAAAGGACCTGGTATGCTGCTACCTCTCAATCTTGGAATACCTTGCCCTCTCTACAAGAATGATTGTTGACTGTTTCCGCAAATCAGGATTTGATCTCAAGACATTGCAAGTCTGTGGGTCTCAGGCTAAAAACGCTAGACTCATGGAACTACTGGCATTTATTTTAGACGATATGAACATCCTTCTTCCTATAGACTTAGACTCGAAACTGATTGGCGCTCGCGGATGCTCGATACTTGGCGGATGTGCGGCGAAAGATGCAAAGTTCAAAGCTGTCAAACACGTTCCAAACGATACCCTGAAGAAACTGTTTGACACGAAATATGAAATCATGTTCGAGTTGATCCAAAAACAGCAGGAGATGAACCGGAGGCTTGCTAGCTGCACCAGTCGCTCTCAAGCACAGTGTTGATATCGGCCCTTTCATCCCTTTTAACAAGCAACATCTCAACGACGTGTTTGGCAGGCGCCCAGTCGTTTCCTAGTTGATCCACGTCATGATCTCTGTAATGATACCACCCCCAGGTCAGAGTCGCTATAAGATGGGCCGGCTTTGCCGAGCGTTTGCCTCGTCCAGTGCTGTTGGGAAGTGGATCAAAGGGCAGTCTGTTTTCCAGCATTGCATATAATAGCACGCCCAAAGACCAGCAGTCATTCTGCTTGCCATCGTATGCCAGTCCTAAAAGTAGTTCAGGAGACACGTAATCTTCAGAGCCGCATCGTGTAGTAAGAAGAGGCTGTTGAGGATCTATTTTTTTCGACAAGCCGAAATCAGATAGCACAGCAACTGAGTGCTCATATTTGCTGTCAAGGACGACAGCTGATGCGTTTCTAAATTCATCCGGAGTTGGCGCGAGCAATATGTTTTCAAGCTTGATGTCTCTATGGCAGATGTTCATATCATGAAGACATTTGACAGCGTTCACAATGTTTCTGAAGACCAGCTTTTTGTGGTGATAATTAAAGTCCTGCCCCAAAGTAACAAGTAGCGTGAACAGATCGCCTCCGGAATAGTACGGCATTGCCATGATCACTTGGTTTTTGTCCAATCTCGAGTTTGAACCTAGAAGCTTAACGATATTTGGGTGGTTGATAGATTGCAAGAGCGACAATTCTCGCATCAGCGAGCTTTGAATCCGAAGCCGTGTGTCCGGATCATGCGAAGGAATGTTGGAAACCTTGACAGCTACCGTCTGCGATTGGTCAATGTAAACTGTGCTGAATGTACCGCGGCCGATCTCCTTCGTGCAATGCCAGTGCTGTTTCACGTGGGTTGCCGTTTCGAGCGTGCAAAACGTAGCTACCGTCTCTTTACCGTATTCCATTTCTTCGTTTATCGAATCGGTGCTCTGAAGGCTGCACCCTGTCTGCTGCCACTCGGACGGTCGCAGGGGCACCGAGACGGTTCTTTGCACGGGCTCAATGTTCAGGGAAAATTTCCGTCTATCATCAATAGGCGCATCCGAAGCAATCCTGCCATTGTGTTCTGTAGAAATGTTTCCTGGTTCTCTGAGTTTCTTCAAATGTAGTGGGCCACCTAGCTGTTGGTTGCGAGGTATACTGGTGCCTCTGCTATCGACCGAGTCTGAGTCTGCGACCGAATCAATGGAAGGAGTCTGAGCAACATCTTCTGGAGAGGGCATGTTATTGATATCGACAAACTCCTTGGGCACTGGCACCTTTAGATCAACCTCCGGACCATTACTGTTGGACTCAGGCAACATCGTGAACGCTGGATCGGGTGACTTTACACGGGATCTTGCGAACGTTATAAGTGATGTAGATAATCTTATTCTATTTACTTTCTTGTTGACCAAGCCACGCCAAAAAAGTACACACCAGCCACAAGGAAGGCAAGAAAGTCACTCAGAGAAAAAGTGTTTTCCCCAACTGCGCACCATGTCAGACGCTGATGTTCCGCCAATTCCCCATGTGGCGGCGAATATGACTCCCTTTGGAGTTGTATTGCAACGATACGCTGTTCACAGCTATAAACAACTGAGCGAATATCTCAAAACACTGGAAAATACAACCCAACCTGATAGCGTCAAGAAACGCAACTTCCTCGACATCCTGGTGAGTATTCGAGAGAACTTTGTGAGATTATACGTGCTGAGCAAATGGGCTCGGAATTCGCAAAGCGTTGAGAAGCTGATCGACCTTTTTGTTTGGCTTCGAGAACAGAACCAAAGCATCACAAATGCCCTGATGCAAATCGGTGGGATCAAACAGTCGCTAGTTTCTGCAAAGCTCCCGAATCCAGACCTCGAAACCGCGCTCGAGGTACTTATCAAGGGAAGACCACAACTTCCGACTCATAACTATGGACCGCAAAAAAAGGTTGATCCTAAGCTGATTCTTCACACCCTGAAGACGCTCGACGTTGAGCTTTCTGCCAAGATGGCCCTTCAAGACAATCTTCCGAAACCGTTTTACAACTACGAAATTAAGGACGGCCGCGTCAAGTTTCGCATCCCGAACTTGTTTCAATGTTGTATTTCCATAGCTGATACCTATGATCAGTCGGGCTTCTTTTTAGTTGACTTTAAACTAGAATTTCAATCGAAAGACAACAAGTTAATCCCACAGGTGACAGCTCTTCCATATATGACATTTTCACACTTAGAGAAAGTGGCCAACATTGAACTGAGCAAGAATGGGCTCACCGGATTGTACAATATTTTCCATAATTATGCCATTACCTGCAAACTCTACTACCTTCATCGCCAGCTCATCCGCCTGCGCATGGGAATGTGGAAAGGACATTTGACCCATACATACAACGCGGAAAAGTGCTTTGTTGTTGTCACCTATTGGGTGAAAAGACGGTCTGTGAAGTCTACAATAGAGATTGGTAAACTCAAGAATAATCTACTAGGATTCCGCTGGATCCGTGAAGGTCGTCTGTGCACAGACCATGACTTCAAGATTGAGGACGAAGATGGGTCAATAACTATTGAACATCTAATCAGAGACATCATCCAAAAACACATCGAACTGCACATAAAAGAAGTCCAGCAAGAAGTCGCTGATAAGATCGACATGGCTGACAAGTTTGTGTCACTGCACAAGGATTCACAGTTGCTACTGACCTTGAGCTCCATGAAGTCAGCCTTGTATGGAATTGACGCTCTTTCTGGAGATGGTTTCTTCCAAAATCCCACTCCTATAATGGCAAAAGTCGCGGCTCAGATCAATGCAGACACTCGCGAGACCGCACTCAAGCTGCTTGTACTGCGCATGGAAACACAGCTAAGCGAGCTCGGGTCAATGCTTACGGCTACTGGCTGGATCTGCGTGGATGTTGTCAGGCTCTCCACCGCAGAATATGCGAAACTCAATATCGACTATAATCATTTGAAAGACCGCACCTTTGCGGAACAGCTATTTGCGCTCAAATTTTACCGCCGCAAGAAATGGCCAAGTGGGTGGTTTCTCGCGGTTGGCGTTTCGGGATTTTCGCCAAAGGTTCAGTGGTGGTGTTCCAGAATCAAGTCTTCTGCAGGTCAGTGGTCGATTTCTTGGTGTGAACCAATAACGTTAGGGGGCACGGAAAGCGAATACAGCTATCCATCGTTCGTCACGCTTGCAAAGAAAACAACATCCATGCTGCTTTGCAACCTGGTTGTCAAAGAGCTGGAAAACCAGGGCTGCAAGCTTAAAACCGTGGACAAAGGTGACGAAAAGGTCAGACAGTTCACGAAGCAAAACTTTGGGCTCGATTTGGACTCCATGCAAAAGGGAGACAGTGCTACAGTGATTTTAGACAATAAGTCCTTATTCAATATCCCCAACTGCCGCGATTCCTTGGTGCTCACCATGAACATCAAAAACAGCGAGCTGAAAATAATGATTTTCGGTAAGCTGCAAAGTGAGCTCAAATTGTCCTCTATATCTTTCAACGACGAGAAGAACAACTCAATACAGCTGAACCCAGACACGTCTATCTTCAAGATTCATTCACAAATCAACTTGCTCGAGAAACTAAACTACGAATCTACCGCTAGCTTTTTCAATCCTTTAGCGACATCGGAAATCTCCATCATGAGCGACTCGCTCCTGGTCCTCAACAAATTTTTCAGTTTGTTATCGCTCTTGCACATAATCAGCCATGACGAGTCGCTCAAAGTGATTGATATCTCCCTTACAAAAGTTTCCTTCCAATATGGATCTAATCGTGAAGAAATGATCACGCTAATTCTATTAAACGAAACGCAAGACTCGATCTCTATCGAGCTTCCAAAAGATAATCCGCACAGGCTTTGCTGTAAATACCTGAACGACATGGTCAGTGAGTTTGATTTCCAAAAGATCAAACTACTGGTCAGGTATCTGAAACTGACCTTACCATTTTACAAGCTTCTTGTGAAATTGTCGATGGACAGCGAAGAGTTCTACAGACACTTCTTGGAACAGAATGGCAATTCTCAGCAGCTTAGGATGACTCCCGAGAACGGCTTCGAATTGAATATGTTTGATTTCGAGATGTTCAAAATCACATACTATAGATATCTAGAACGCAAACTGGAGAAAAAAGCCAAGACTGATAGAGTTTGTCTTGGATTAACAGTACAACTGCGCCACAGGACTGACAACCTGTCGCTGGACAAGTCGCTTTTTGTCGTTAGCGTTGAGCCTTTTCAGTTTGACCAATATGATGACACTTCTAAGAAGTGGCTTCAGGACACAACCGACAAGATATATGCCACGTTGAGAGGCGACGAGCCTTTGCAAGCCTCTGGTCAAGTGGTATACTTGCGTCGCGCTATAGCTTGTGACTACCTGTCTGTGGAAACTGCCGTTCTCCAGTTGCACAAAAAGATCCTCACGCTCTGTAGCTCAAAATAGATCATGAATAAATCAACGATAAATTTACTATCTCTGGCTGTGTTTTATTACTTTCGTTATTTAAATATTGGCCAAAATGCATTTTGTCGAGGAAGTCGTGCGACACAAGCCAGCCGCCCACACAGCATCGACACCCAGCTCGGCAGCAAGAGCATCGAATAAACGAAAACGAGTCAACTACAACATTGCCGCTTTGCAGAACGCTATCGAACAGCAGAACTTCGATCAAGAGGGAGACGAGGAGAACGAAGAATCAGAACGCCACAATGCCATCGAACTCAAGAAAGCCAACCGACGCTTTGAAGAGCTCGACAGAGAGAACTTCAGCGAAATCCACAAGATGGAAATACCAAAGAACCTCGGACCACCAGCTGGAAAACGCACCTCTACACCGTCGGTGGCAGTTAAGAGGATACTCAACTCGAAGAAGAACTGGTCAAACTACGTGGACGAGCTGGATAAGGCCGAGATGCGCGCATTCAACGGTCTCGAAATTAAGCCAGGACACGTGATGGTCAAAAAGCTCTGCACGATTTGCGGCAACGTCAGCTACAGCTCGTGTATACGATGTAGTGCACGAGTTTGCTCCTTGAAATGTCAGACTACACATAACGAAACCCGGTGCAGCGGGTTCTAAACAGTGGTAAACAGGTTCCACACACCTTTCAAATAACCAATGATCTCATCTCCTCCAAGCTTGGACTCTCCGTATAGTCTATCGACGAACGAGATCGGCACCTCAGCTATGGTGAATCCCATGGCTCTGGCTCTCACCATCATCTCCATCTGGAAAACATAGCCTTTAGACTTTGTTGCGCCAATGATTTTAGCCAGCACGTCTTTTTTGTATAATCTGAACGAGCCTGTTAAATCCGAGACGTGTGGTCTAAGAACCACGGTAGCCAGAAAGTTCGCTCCACGACTGATGAGTTTTCTTTTCAAATCCCAACCGTAAACACCTCCATCACCTGCATAGCGTGTTCCAGTGACAATATCGTAATCCCCTTCTTTCTGTTTCTTTATGAACTCGGGGATGGCCGAAGGGTGGTGCGAGAAGTCGGCGTCCATGATGATCACAAAGTTACCGGTCGCATATTGCAGCCCGTGAATGTATGCTGTTCCCAGCCCCAGCTTTCCAGCACGCGCTCTAAGTTGGATGTGGTCTGCGCCATACACATTGATCAACTGTTTAGCCACATCTTGCGTTCCATCCGGAGACGCATCGTCCACAATGATCACTTCCCAGTTCAAACCAGCCTTCTCAAAGTGTTTCGCAATGAGATATGTGATAATTGGCAAGTTTTTGCGCTCGTTGTACGTTGGTAGAATAACCGAATACTTCTCCATCGTCGTACAGAATAGTAAATAGCAAAAATATATTTTTCAGAAAAACGGCGCCCGTGATGTATGACTCTCATTTGAGGAAAATATTCGGCAGCCAGACCGACGAATTCCGCCAGTCGAAGGTGCTCATGGTCGGTGCCGGAGGAATTGGATGCGAATTGCTCAAGGACCTGCTTCTGATGAATTACGGCGAGATACATATTTTAGACCTTGACACAATCGACCTGTCCAACCTCAACAGACAGTTCCTGTTCCGCCAGAAAGACATCAAGAAATCCAAGGCCATGACTGCACAGCAGGCTGTCAGTCACTTCAACCACGCCAGCAAACTGGTTGCGCATCACGGAAATATAATGGACACCAACATGTTCCCGTTGAGCTTTTTCACCCAGTTTGACATTATCTTCAATGCGCTGGACAATTTGGAGGCGAGATTCTTCGTCAACAAAATTGCGCTCTTCACAAAAATCCCACTCATTGAGAGCGGTACCTCGGGATTGAAGGGCCAAGTTCAACCCATCTACCCCTACGAAACAGAGTGTTTTGCGTGCATTCCTAAAGAACAGCCCAAAACGTATCCTGTCTGTACTATTCGTTCGACGCCTTCCAAGCCCATCCATTGTATCACCTGGGCGAAAAACTTCCTGTTTACACAGCTCTTTGGAGACGATGTCTCCGACCAGGATAAGCTGAAGCCTCAGGATATTGAGAGCGATAACAAGGCTGAAATAGAGGCACTACTAAAAGAATCGAATGAGTTGCTGGATCTTAAAGTTCTGATTAATGAAGCTGTTCCGGGAGATAGGAGCTCTGTGTTAAAAATTGTTGAGAAAATCTTCAAAGAGGATATCGAGAGACTTCTAAGGATCGAGACTCTCTGGAAGACGAGGGAAAAGCCAGAGCCATTGAATTGCGAACCGGCCAAGATTGAACGTCTTGATGAACAAAAGCTTTGGACGGTGGAGGAGAATCTTGCGCTTTTTATTGACTCCACCTGCAAAATTGCCCATCGACTCAAGCAGGGTCCCGTTGAATTTGACAAGGACGACGAAGACACGTTGGACTTTGTGGTTTCTGCGGCCAATCTACGGTCGTACATCTTCCACATTCCAATGAAAACAAAGTTTGAGATCAAACAAATAGCAGGAAACATCATTCCTGCAGTGGCCACCACCAACGCCATCATGGCTGGATTCAGCGCGCTTTCTTCAATCCATCTTTTCCACGCGACAATGCAAGAAAAAGTGTCCAAGTCGAAAATGGTGTACGACTCGAATCAACCCACCAGGTTTGTGAATACGTCGGGGTTGGCTGCTAAAAACCCTAAATGTCCAGCGTGTTCTGTAACTAGAGGCATAATCAAGATTGATCTTTCAAAATTGACAATAGACGAGCTACGCAAAGCGGTCATTGACAGATACGGATACTCAGATGACATTGGCATTGCAGAAGGGACGAGACTGCTTTACGATTACGATTTTGACGATAACCTCGGAACGAAGCTGGATAAGGTCTGCTCTTACGGCGATGTGTTGTTTATAACTGACGCTGATGATGAGCTAGACTCTTTGGAATTATTGGTGGACAGAGGAGATAAGTTGGAATTGCCAGAGTTAGAGGTTCCTGCGAAAACGGTACCAGAAGGAAATAAGGAGGAAGAAGGCGAGGAAGACGACCTGATCTTGGAGGCAGACGATCTCATTATGGAAGGTGACATAAACGGGCTGGACGGTCCTAAACGTAAAGCTGAGGACGACACGGTCCCAGTGAAGAAGAGAAAACTAGCAGTGGACGAAGTCGAAGTCATAGAACTATAATCTACAATTAGTGACTATTTAATTAAACTCTTGAGCTTTATCTTCTGGACTTGGAAGTAGACCTCGATCGTAATCTTTTAAACCAAGAAAGCTTTTCCCCATTAGCGCCATTTGGAGCCTCCTCCGACCGGGTCTCCCGCTCGTCATCTGTTGGGTCCTGGACGGAACTCAAGTTATCGTCGATTGACGATGGTATGTTTTTCGGAGAGCCAGGACGGTTTGGCAGTTTGATCGTTGTCCCCGTTTGGCCTGTCGAGGAAGAGAGCGAGGTGGATTCATACGCGCCAATTTTGAGCACTGGAGGTTTGAGCTCCGTTGTAGGAACTGAAACCTCAGACTTCAGCGGACTCTCTGCTTTGACTTCTGACGGTGATGTTTTCGAGGTTGATGGGATGGATGAACGCATCTTTTGAGATCCAATCGACGAAACAGAAAGCCTTTGAGCAAGCGGGCGTGTCTCATCGTCCGTGTCCACTGCTGAGTCCAGTGCCGAGTCCACTTCGTCTGTGGTGTTCGTTTGGGTATGTTCCAGCTTGGACTTACCGTTGTTCACGCGAAGCATGTCAGACGGAGATTGTACAGAGGATAAACTCTTGCTATGCTTTCTAGTGAACTTTGTGGTTGGCGGAGGCAGTAATGCTGTTGGGGCGGGAAGCTTGGGGTTTGTTTGCTCGGTTGTTGTGGGGGAAGCAGGAGCATTTAGTGTAGAATCTTTTCTGGAAACCTTTTGAGCAGCTGGCAAAATTTTGTACGAGTATTCAATCATGAATTCAATAACCAGAGACGAGAGAGCGTATTCTTCGGGTGACATATCGTGGTCTGAGTGAGACAAAACCGAAGGCTGGAAAATGGCAGCTAGGTTCTTGGCAGGCATGAGGTTTTTGTGGCAATGGGCGTTGAAAATAGCAAGGAGGTCTAAGATGTAGAAGAGCAGCTGTCGTTGCAGCTCGGGCAGTTGTTCTATTAATCTCGCGTAGTCTTTCAACGCCTCCTTGCGTTCTTTCTTTATCTTTTCCTTTTTGATCCTTTTGCGAAGTTTTATCTCGTCTTCCGTGAGCTGCTCCTGTTCTTGGTTCTGCTCCTCTTTGCACGAAGACAGGCCGCCGAGATCGCCCATCTTTTTTTCCTTCTCTTTGAGGAAGCGGACAATATTGGGACGAGATCGAAGAGGCTCCCTAAACTTGTCGTACATGGACAGCGGTATAAGCGGCTCTGGAAGCGAGCCAAGGAACCTCCTAAACAGCGACGCAGCGTCATGTACCGTATATCCATCCCAATCAATCTTCGATCCATAACTAGGCGGCGAAGAAAATATCAATTGCAGTTCTTTGATTCTCTTGGTAGAGCCTGCGACTCTGAATATTCCTTCGACCTCAAGTCCGTTCTTCTTCAGGTACGATCCACATAGTGCCACCACTCTGGGAATTCTGCCGTAACGTATTAGTCCATCACGGTCACTGCTAATGTATATTTTTGCCTCAGCAACTCTGATCGATTCCTCGATCGGGCATCCGAATATCGACGAATTGCCAATATAATCCATCTGTCGCTGCTGAATAAAAGAATCTCGGTGTTGTTTTAATTTTTCTTGCGACCCGTTGTCCTGGAACGATGACAGCGGTCTCACGTTATGTGACGAACGCGACTTGTAACCCAGGAAAGGCCTAGTCGGTGAAGCCAGAGGCGATAGCAAAGAAGGTGAATTCGCGCGGTATTGCGGGGAGGGAGACGAAATAGACTTAGACTCCACAGAAAACCCGGACGTGGAGTTGAGACTTTGACCGTTCATTGGTAGAGGCGGAGGCGAGCCAAGCTCCGATTCGCCCTTTTTGATGTGTTTCCACCAACCGGTTAGGGAGTTCTTGCTTGGAGACGAAGGTTCTGACATGAGTTTTCTGTGCCGGAAACCGTGTACTGTGAATATATTCTCGAGGATTTTTCAGTATAGTGTTGCGCTATCTTCGTAAATGCATCCAATATCACCACAATATTCAGGCCGAGTACAAGGGTGTGCTTTCAGTGGGCATATATTTGTAACTACGCGGTCCCAGAAGCAATAACAGCGAAAATAACAGTATATTTTTAGATTTTTATTTTATGTTTCCGGGGTCGATCGGCTCGGTGTAGAGATGAGTTTCCGTAAATGCGGGATTGGTTGTTGGTCAGCTTTTTCTCATTTAACCAGATAAAAACACACCAACTTTATCGAGAATACCATCCGTGCAATGAGTTTTAAAGGATTCCAGAAAGCCATTGTGCGGGCTCCGCAGAACCTGCGGCAGAAGCTCAATATGGGAGAATCCACCAACGATCCCGTTTACCAGGACGCTGAGAGAAGGTTCAAGGAACTAGAGGATATGACGAAACGTTTGAGTGAGGAATCGAAACGGTACCACAAGGCGGTGAATGACATGCTGGATAGGCAGCTGGGATTTTCCAAGTCGATTGAGGAAATATTCAAGCCAATTAGCGGCAAAGTGTCAGACCCTAACTCTACGATTCCAGAAGGCAACCCTGAAGGTATTGAGGCTTGTGTCCAATACAGAGACGTTGTTCAGGAGCTCAAAGAAACGCTGAAACCTGACCTGGAGCTCATTGAGACCAGAATTGTTGGTCCGGCTAACGAGCTGTTGCGCATCATCCAGGCTATCCGGAAGATGGCCACAAAGAGAAACCACAAGCAACTTGATTTGGACAGACACCAAAACTCGTTAAAGAAAGCCCAGCTGAAAGCCGAAAAGAACGAGAAGATGGAGGAAAAAGTGTACAAGTACGAGAATGATGTTGCCATTGCGCAGCAAGAGTTCGACTACTACAACGAGATGTTGAAGACCGAGCTGCCTATCCTCTTCCGATTGGAGGGTGAGTTTATCAAGCCCTTGTTTGTCAGTTTGTACTACATGCAACTGAACGTTTTTTACACGCTCTCGTCCAGAATGGAGGAGATGAAGATCCCATACTTTGATCTGAGTTCGGATATCCTGGAACAATTCCGGAACAAAAGGGGCGACGTCGAGGAAAGAGCTGAAGCCATTGGACTGACACACTTCAAGATTGGACACGCGAAGGCCAAGCTTGAGGCTACCAAGAGAAGGTACGCCTCGGGACAACACGCCGACCCTTCTTCTCCAGCATCATCCTACGGAAGTGGATCCGCTTACGGCCAATCCTCCCCTGTCCCTGCCTACGGTCAGACCTCACCTCCACCATATGGACAGAACTCGCCTGCGCCAGCCTATGGCCAAGCCTATGGCCAAACCTACAGCCAAACACCACCCACGACCACGTCGACATACGGCTACCCGGAGGAGAAGAAGACTCCGTATGGTGCTCCCCAGGCTACTTCCTATGGCTACTCATCGCCAACTTCTTACACGTCTGCTCCTTCGCCAGTGGCTCCTGTTGCTCCTGCTGCTCCTGTTGCTGCTGCACCAGGAGCAGAAACTTGCACCGCTTTGTATGACTATGCAGCCCAAGCGGAAGGAGATTTGTCTTTCAGTGCTGGACAGGTCATTACAATCTTGCAAAGGTCCGAAAATCAGAACGACTGGTGGACTGGATCTCTTAATGGTGTGACTGGAGTTTTCCCAGGTAATTACGTTCAGCTTAATTAGGCGGTGTACGGATGCAATAAAAAGGGTTTATTCGGCGTCTGGAAGAGAAGGATATAGTTTTTCCCACTTCGTTATGGACAGAATTGCAAGCACGTATACCAGCTTTGCGAGTTCTGTCTCAACGCTTGGGCGAGTCCTCTTGGTTCCCTATGTGTTTCTGAGAGTGATCTTGCAGTTTGCACATTACAATACCCTGAATGTTCTTTCATATACCAAACTTTTTATTTTGTATCACTACAACATGATTTTGATGATTAATGGGGCTACAGAAGACGAATTGACTTTCCGAGAGTCCTGGGAGCAGAAAAAACGCTTTAACATGGGCAGAACGTACAATGAAACAAGACCTGTAGCAGAGGATGCAAGACCTTGGTTCGAATCGCCTGCGTTGCCAGCTATCCCAAGTATCACGTGGAAAAGAACAGCATACTATTATGAAAGATATGTCGTCCACGCCCCGATCTGCACACTCAGAAGACTTCCATTTGTGCCTGACCATACAGGCTCTTATCTATTTGACCCCCATTCCACTACTGCTCCTTCAGCGGACAAAGATAGCCAAATGCTTGAAAGAGAGTCCAGATTCCCCAACAGTGACGCTATTAGAGACTCAAGTCGTGTCATTGCACCCCGAGTCAGGTCAGATTTTACTCCAAAATCGTACATCCTCAGTTCCGAGTCGGTGAGACAGACACATGACTCAGGTCATCTGGTGTCCCAAACCGTGCCGATTAAATCTCCTTCGATCACTAAACTTTTCGAGCAACCAGCAGACGCACCACCACCATCTCCAACTCCCATACAAAAAGAGCAACAGGTGATTGAGGACAGGCCAATCAAGTCTTCAGATTCGAACTCGTCTTTTTTCTATAAGATCAGAATTAGGCGAAAAAATAAACCTCAGGATCCCACTTTAGGAAATTATGAACTTGTCAGACAAGCGATCAGAGACTGTCTTCCAAAACCAGATTATGACGATGGATCTATCGGTCCCAACATGGTTAGGTTTACTTGGCATTGTTGTGCCCATTTCGACCGTGATTCAGGTACTGGTGGTAGTAATGGGGGTACAATGAGATTCGCTCAGGAATTCAATGATCCCGGAAATACGGGGCTCCACACTGCAAAATCGTATCTGGATCAAATTCACGAGAAATACCCATGGATATCTTTTGCTGATCTGTATACCTTAGGAGGGGTGGTTGCCATTGAAGCCATGGGGGGACCTGAGATTGAGTGGAAACCAGGAAGAACCGATTGTCCAGATTCTAACAAAGTGCCTCCGATGGGAAGACTTCCACTAGCTACCAAAGGTACTGAGCACCTTCATGAGGTATTCACTCAACGTCTTGGATTCAATGACCAGGAACTTGTTGCGCTAATTGGTGGTGGCCACACGTTGGGGGGCTGTCATGTGAAGTTTAGTGGATTTGACGGCAGTTGGACTCCCCATCCAATAAAGTTTGACAATGAGTTTTTCAGAGTGTTATTGGAAGATACATGGAACTTCGAGCAAGTGCCTTTGACGGGTATGCCACAATATTACAATTCCAATCACAGCTTGATGATGCTGCTCACAGATATGGAGTTGATCAAAAATCCTACATTCAGATACTGGATCGAAGTGTATGCAAAAGATTCGGAACTATTTATGAGAGACTTTGCTCTAGTGTTTGCTAAACTATTAGAACTGGGAGTGAACAGAGACCCTGATGGGATTGCTCGGACCAAAGTTTAGTTTACATCGATGAAGGTGGTATCATCTTCCAACCCCGATGTTTCATCTAGACCCAAGCTTTCAGTTATTGAGGAGCTGGGGAGATTGTTTGTATCCAGAAGTCGCGACTGAACGATGCTGGGCACAGCATTGAGAATTCCGTCGTCTTCTGCTGTGGACGGACCGCCAAGGAAATCCAGCATCATATGCATTCCACCACCTCCAGAATATTCTTCGACGTCCACCGGAAGAACAGAAGACACACCTTCCAAAAACCAGACCTTGTCCTTCATTTCGTCGGTGAAATTCCGAAGCAGTTTATAATAGCATCGCATTATCCTCATTGCAGAGAGGTCACAACTGATGAGCAGTCCCAGGAATCGTTTGTCCAGAAGGGCAGGAAAGGCAAACACTCTCAAGATAAAATCTTTTTTGTTCCGTTCCATATGAAGCTTTGCCATATAAGCCAGTGTCGGCAGATACGGCGAGTCGAGTGGGATAGGGAACATGTCCTGAATCTCTTCGTCAAAGCACTGAATGGATGAGTACTTCATTTTTAGCATGTCAGCCTTTGCTGTATCTGTTGATAGTTCGCCAGAAATCAAGTCGTAACCGATTTCTCCCAGGTCGCCGAGGTCGACCGAAATAAACTTGTAGAATCTTGATTTTTCACTCAGGGGCCACACTGCCGTCAATATAGTTGCCGCTCCTTTGACATGGAAGATCCACGCTGAAGGTGGAAGCGACTTGAGGGAGGTAGACGTTGGCAAAGAGGCGTTCGCGAGAGAATCCATGATTAGAATCAAAGCAGCTGCTACCAGGGCGTCAGTGTTCTCGGGCGACATTTCGAGCACTGCTTCACGTAGCAGTCCCAATGCGTCTGCGCGGTGTCCGGTGACGCACTGGTCCAGGCCGCGTTCTGTTCGGGAGAGATGTGTAGCGCTGAAAGCAAGGACCGAATGCATAAGGAACGGGTACTTGAAAGCGAGCATCGGGATCTCCTCCGACCATATTTTGGAGTCTGATATTCCGGCCTCTGTGATCGTAGGCCAGACCTTGGTGGTGTAGTGATACATGAGTCTTAGATCGAGCATGTTGAGGGTTTGATGCGTATCATATGCTAAGGTTTGAGTGGGAGGCGGTTGGGTTATCATGTTCGGGCACAAGTTCGGCTCTTGCACAACTTCAGGGGGCTGAAGTGGGTTCGGCTTTTGCTCTCGCATAGGTAAAGGTCCTGATGTGTTCGCCACTTGGTCGGTGGTCAGGGCCTGTGTAGGCTGCACAGTTGCAGGTATAGTGTAAACGCATTGGATTCCCATGCGATCGCAATTACCGCACACTGGACGGGTCTCATCGCACTTGACGCGTCTTTTTTTGCAAGTAGCACATCCCTTGCGACTTTTCTTGTGGAACTTGCGCTTTGCACCTGGACGTTTGGGCACACGGGACTCATCTGGGGACTCCTCTTTCATTCGTTTAGGTCGTAAAATATTTTAAGTCTGCTTAGCTAAGAAAGCGCGAGACATACGGAGAAGCACTGCCAATAAAAACAAGGTTAGATTTAACGGTTTCGGACTTTGATTCGGATACGGTTATCCGTGGCTGAGTAACCGGAACCATATCGCTACTACTACTTTTTTGCTGTCATCTAATCAGTATTCGATCACTATTAATGGTCATGGGTCTCCTTTGGAGGGTCTGGATCCACGTTGATCATTGTATCTATACGCAGGATGGCAATACAGGCCTCCAGCGCCGACTTGAGAGATTTGATCTTAGAGATGGTAGGCTCCAAAACACCGTGGCTGACTGAATTGACCACTTTACCTCTCACAAGGTCCAGACCATAGTTTTTGTAGTTTTTGCGCTTCGTATCTATGTGAGAAACTTGCTGCGATGCAGCGTGGTAGGAGCGCAATTTGGCAATCAGGTCCGACGCGTCCTTGGCAGCATTCACGGCCAAGGTCTTTGGAATGACAAGCAGCGCAGCTGCAAATTCGGCAATGGCCAGCTGCTCACGGGATCCGACAGTGGTGGCGAAATTTTCCAGGTATATGTTCAAAGCACACTCGACAGCTCCACCGCCTGGCACCACATGTCCGCTTTCTAATGTCCGCTTTACCACGGAAAGGGAATCATGTAGCGAGCGTTCCATCTCGTCCAAAGTGTAGTCGTTAGGGCCTCTCAGAACGATCGAGGACGAAGAGTGGGTTTTGGTGCCTTTGATCAGGATACACTCATCGTCGCTGAAACGCTCTTGGACGACCTCCTCGGCCTGTCCCAGATAAGTGCTTTCAAAGACTTCTTCTCCTTCCAAATTGGACATACTGCTGATCAGGGTGGCTCCAGTGGCACGGGCAATTCTTCTTAGATCTTCCTTTTTACAACGTCTCACGGCCATCACCTTAGCCTCAACAAATTCCTTCAAGCACAGATCATCAATACCCTTCGTGGTCAGAACAACATTTGCGCCTGCGTCAATTATCTTGCGGACACGCTCAAGAACAATTCCGTATTCTCTCTTGCGGATCTCCTCCAGTTGTTCTGGGTCGTCAATGTTGATTTGAACACCCATGGCCATTCGTGCTTTTTGCAGATTAATATCCAGAACAGCAATACGAGCATCCGTGACGCGTTTCACCATAGCCTGTGACCCCACCGTACAATTGAGCGCGTAACCGTTCACCAACACAGACTCAGTGGCAGATCTTCCATGTGCCTTGAGAATATTCACTGCCTTGACTGGGTACTTTGTTTCCCCCTTGCTGTTAGTGGTCTTCACAGCCAAAAGGGCGTCAACCACCATTTGGCTGAAAAAGTCAGAGTCGGATCCAATGATTTTGGAAGACATGGAGGTCTTCGCAATGTTGACAAGAGTCTCTTTTCCGAGCGAGTCGACCGGTTGAGAGAGCATTTCGTTGATGAAACGAGTAGATTCTCTCAACGCAAGACGGTAGCCTGTAATCACAGTTGTTGGGTGAATTTTATTCTTGACCAGCTCGTTAGCCCTCTTCAAAAGTTCGGAGGCAATGATCACCACGGAGGTGGTTCCATCTCCCACCTCACGGTCTTGCTGGTGCGCAAGCTCAACCAGAATCTTTCCTGCCGGATGCTGAACATCTAGGAGTGACAGGATGGTGGCGCCATCATTGGTGACGGTCACATCGCCGATGTCGTCGACCAGCATTTTGTCCAGTCCGACCGGCCCCAGGGACGATTTCACAACATTGGCAACTGCTTGTGTAGCCAGCACGTTCTGGTTGCGAACATCATCACCGCTGACTTTCTCTCCGCCCAAAAATAGGGTATCCGAACGCGCAGCAGAGAACATTGATTTACTAGGTATAGAAAAGGGTGTTTTTTTTTTCACTAGCATTGACAACTAGTTCTTATAGTCCGGGTAACTCTACATAGAATGGTCATAGAATAGTGCACTTCTTGGCCTTCTTAATGACTGGAGGCTCTAGGGCGGCCACAATAGCCTCGTCAAACACGTTCTTGAGTCCCTCCTGGCTCAAGGCAGAGCATTCGACGTACTTGACGGCTTTCAGATCTTTCGCAAGCTTTTCGCCCTGCTGTGGTGTAATCGGCTTCTGGCCTTGTCTCATGAGGTTGGAGAGCGTTGTAGGATCCTTACGAAGATCAATCTGGGTGCCGACGATCAGACACGGAACTTGAGGAGCGTGGTGGCTGACTTCAGGGAACCATTTTTCTCTCACGTTATCGAACGACGAAGGAACAACCACAGAGAAACAGATCAAAAACACGTCAGTTTGAGGATACGAAAGTGGTCTCAGTCTATCGTAATCTTCCTGGCCAGCTGTATCAAACAACCCCACGGTATATGGCTCGTCTCCAATCATGACCGTCACTGCGTAGTTGTCGAAGACAGTTGGGACATAATCTTCTGGGAATTTGTTGGTAGTGTAGGAGATCAGCAGACACGTCTTGCCGACTGCACCATCTCCCACCACGACACATTTTATCGTCATCATTTTGAATTAAGTTGGTCCAGCCAAAAGAGATATTTTCACGGTTTATCTGTTACAATTTGAAGGGGGGTAGGGTAACAAAAAATAGGAATAAAAAATAAAGAAAGAGAAATGACGGTGATTGGAAAGAAAGCAGAAAAAAAGCAGCATTACATGTAGTCTTTTTCGATGGCGCAATACAAAACATCAAATAGCTGTTTGAGGCATCTAAATTTCGCACTCATTCTTCCTCGCTCTCTGCCTCCTGCAACCACTCGATCCATTTTTCCACCCTGTCCCGAGCACCAATTTCCTTACTCTTTTCGCTGTGCCACCACTTGTAAATGTTTTCCTCTTCAATGATTTCCTCGTCGTACAAAACAATGAGGATCCACAGTAGCACGACCGAGCTATACGATGTATCGAGCTGCGAGCACAAAGTTTGTAGAATGATGAGCAAGTCCACCTGGTCCTCGTTGTCGAACACCTGTCTATCAAACAAGGATGACCATTTGCGGAAAATCTTCTCAACTGCCTCTTTTGCTCCTAGAGTCTGTGTTTCGATGAAATGGTCTACCCGTTTCACCAGAGCAGTGCTAGTTGCCACACGGACTTCGTGGTAAGTCACGTTCATACTCATTCTCAGCGTGTTGAGCTCTAGAAGAGCAGTGTCGATGTCGTGGTTGAACTCCATGGCCCGCTCAACGGTGGCAATCGCCTCTTTATCAAACTGCTCGTCTTCTTCCTCCGAAACGTATACAGAAGTTGTGCTTTGAGTGCGTTTCTTGCGACGATGTTGGTGTGCTACCGTGGTGGAAGCCAATGAAGTATCAGAAACGTTGAGCTTGGCCATCTGGTAAATCATGCCTCCATATTGGCCGTCTTCGTGGATGTCTTCCCTATACAACTTGCCGATTCCGTTCGGACCCACGAGATTGGCATCGCTCTCCTCCTCCTCATCTTCCTCTTCTGAAAGCGACAGACTGTCGTCCATCTTGCGTATTTTCTCCTTGACGATTTTTGTATCCTGCGGTATTTCGACATTGTCGTCGATTCGGACTCCAAAACCAACCACGGCCCCTGGGTTCAGAATCGAGTTGGCCCCCACAACAGCGTCGGCAGCGACTATCGAGTGTTTGATCACCGAACCGTCACCAATCACGGCCCCTTCCCAGATATATGAGTTCTCCACTAGCACGTTGTTACCGATGCGGCAATGGCGGCCAATCACAGAAGCCTGGATTTTGGACCCATCGCCAATAAATGTGTCGTCGCCTATTACAACTCTCGAGTGGATTTTGCAGGACTGAGAAAGTCTGATGTTTTGCTCTTTATAAATATGCTTGCTTTCATACGTGTAGGTCTGGTCATCAATGATGTTGCGCTCAGGGACAATAGGATAGCACCATCTTTCCAAAACATCCTGCGAAATGCCGTCGTAAGTCTGCCAGCTCTCGACTCGCGCAGCGTACTCGTCCCCGGTGACATATGCATAAATGTGCTTTTTCAACAAATCACTGGACAAGACTCCCTTGACGAAGTCTGAGCGCAGCGCCTGATAGTCAAAATTCTCCTGGAAAATAGTTGGTACTTGGGGAGTGCATATATCGACGTGACAGTCAATAAGATCATTTCTGATATCGAACTCGGCAACATCTTGCAATATTTCAGGATCGATATTCACCGACGTTTTCTGGCCGTTAACTGGCGGGATATCTTGATAATACAAGCACTTGTCTGTTCCCTTTTCGAGAATAAAACATGCAGGCTCGATACGGGATCTCGCTCTGTGCAACTCGGACGCCTGCTTGAGAACCATAGTGGCGATGTAATCTCTATCGGCAGCTTTTCGTTGTTTGTGGATTGCCAGAACCTTGCTGAGATCCAGATTGGTCACAACGTCGCCAGAAACGAGAACGAAGTCTCCTGTGATCAGGCCTCGGGAATCGACGTCTCTCATGGCGTCTCCAACACTTCTCGACTCCAGCGACATGATAGTCTGGATCTTGGTAAATGGCGATGACGGCTGCACCCACTTCGAGTCATCAATATATTGTTGGACCAGGTCTGCGTGGGAACAACACATCAGATAGACCTCCGAGACGTTGGCCTGAGCCAAGAACTCCAGGGTGTATTCTATCAGCGGAACGTTTGCCAGCGGCAGCAGACACCGGGGTCGAATAGCTGTCAGCGGCATGAACCGCGTCTGGAACGAGTCCGTGAGCACAATTGCTTGGATTTTCTGCTCCTCAATATCGTCTTTCTTCATTAGTTACAAGATGAAAATCGGGAAAAAAATATGAATACAGAAACAAGAACACCACAAACCTTCACTATACACCTACACTACACACCAAAGCCTGCATCCGAGGAATGACGTATTTTTGGTTGCTTCTCGGGAAGCATGACCTGAAAATTTGACTCACATGCGTGACACACCCCATGCAATATAAAGTCCGGGGCTAATCCACCAAATGATTCCTAGATCATCTATAGATTATTTTAGTTATGGAAGCCGTCGAGTTAATGAAAAGTGTTAATTCTTCTTTGAACGAAAGCCAAGACGTTAAGATGGAGGACTTCTTGCCTCCTAGCACAGGACCGACACAGAATAAGTATTTGGACCTATCAAACTCTGTGAGTGCACCATTTGTCATCGAGGGAGTTTCGCCTTGCTCTCCAGAATTTGGAGGCGAGAAAAGAGGGCGCAGCGATAGCGACGTGAGCGAAGTTAGCATGAAGATGTTGTAAGGGTCGCGGTTGGGTATACAGTTATTTACGCTATAAGAAGTTTAGTTTCGCAATTAGGAACAATGCTGTAGTAAATAACGAGTATGATCTCCAATTAGAGATCAAATGCATACTTGGACTTTTGTCTGAGCTTCTTTCCGTACATGACGAAAAGAATTGGGCAGGCAATCAGAGCTATGGAGAAAAGTCCGAGAAGAAGACCTGCCCAGTTGGTGTGCATGTTCTTGAACATGAAGGAAGCAAACAGCGGGAAAACACCACCGAAAGACGATCTTAGGAAGGTGTTAGCGGCCATGGCAGAGGCGGCAAAAATCAGGTAACTGTCGATGATGTAGTTCATACTCGGAATGAAAATTCCCATCAGACCGAAACCGGTAAAGATACCAGAAATGGTTGGCACAATCCAATGGATGTCCTTGTGGTAGTTACCGGTCCAAGAGAACCACAAAATACCAATAGGAAAGGCCACACCTCCCCAAATGATGGTCGGGAGTCTAGCTTCTGGGATAACCTTTCCTTTATTTGCCTCCAAAGCACGAACGTAAGCTTTTTCACGGTAGATACAGAAACAGCCTCCGATAACCTCGCCAACCACCATCCCAAAATATGGCAATTCGGCAACACCAGGAGCCATTTTGTATCCTTCCTGGAAGACAAATGGGTATGCAGTTAGAAACAAGTACAACATTCCGTAAATGAAAGCATTGTACAGACTGACGAAAAAAATGATTGGCTCCGTGAAGAGCATCTTGAGCGGTCTGGAAAGGTTATTTTCGACGATCTCTTTAACGCTGAGCTGGAACTCGTCGTGAGGAGCATGAATACCCCAATTATTAGTACGTCTCTTGATTTCTCTGGCTTTCTGGACCAGCAAAATGGGATGATGTGTTTCTCTCTGGAACAGGAGGACAAGAACCACGTTCGCTGATGCAATGATAGCTGTGATGAACTCGGTCCATCTCCAACCAAGCTTTGGGTTCGCTACAGTAAAACCTCCAATGAACGGAGCCAGTAATGGGCCCACGAAGACAGCCATCGAGAAAACCACCATCGCGGTACCTCTCGTCCGGTTGCCAAACATATCGGCGAAACCGGCCGGGGCAACCACCATTGGTGCCGCCCCCAAACAGCCAGCAAAAAATCTGCAGATTAAAATGGACTCTAGTCTATCCGAACATGCGACAGCAAAATTGAAGGAAGCAAAGGCAATCGAGGAAAGAAGCATCACAGGCCTTCTACCGTACAACTCGGACAGTGGAGCCCAGATCACGGGACCTGTCGCAAAACCGAGAACATACAGGGTGATCCCCAACGTTGCAACGACATTCGCCACATGGTACTTCTCAGCGATTTGTGGGACTGCTTCAGAGAAAACGGCTGAGCCAAACGCGATACAGAAGGTGTCTACCCCAATGATTGCACACTGGATGACTTTTGTACTTAACGGCCAGTTATGTGGATGGAACGGATCGTCTTCACCGTCAAAAGCGACCACATAAGGCTCCTTGTCGGGCAGCATAGGTGGGTAATCCTTCCCTCCGCCCATAGGAGGAATGGGAACACCTGCCTCTTCTTGTTTTTTTATCCTCTCCTCGATAGACTTGGCGTTCGTGAGCACTTTAGACAGCTCCCTGGAAATCTCAGTAATCGACTCCCTACGAGAATTGGGTTCTAAGTCAGGAGGAAAATCGTCTTCGTTGACTGCTTGAGGCTCGTATTTGGTAGGGTGGGTAACGTATCCATCAGGACTGAGTGGGTCATGTTCCAGGGTCGACGTACTGGATTTGACCTCCGAGTCCTGGGAAATAGTGTTATCTCCAGGCAAATTTTCCGTCTGAGACGAGCCGTCATGCTCGCTAATGGGTTCTGCGGTGTGAAACGAGTCTGTAGTATTATAAGACGAGCTCATAGAGTGCGTACGTAAAGAACTCATATTGGCCAAAAAAATAACGTCGTATTTCTCTCGCTTTTGTAGGAATAAGTCAGTTTCCGCGAGAAAAAAATAATTACTAATGCGAGGAATAAACAAACTTTGACTGTATAGAACGGCACATACGCCCTGCCGATCAGTAGTAGCAAACAAGGCAAACAATAATTAAGTCCGAACCGATCGGTGTCTCGCGGAGTTAACACTACAATTTGGGCCTAGAAATTTCTGTTTCAGGAGAACTATTATGCAGCAAGGGAAAAAAATCACCGAATATAAACTCTTTTTCGCGAACCGTCTATAACCGAGCACTAGGGCTTTTGGCAGAGCTCCGCTTCATTCTCGGCCTTGCCACCGCCTGAAGTGCCCACGCTGACGAAAAGCGATATGATTAGCGCTGCCGCGCTGAACCCGATCGCCAGATAATAAACGTTTCGTATGCCATAGAACAGGGCCTTTGGGTGTAAATTTTGCTCCGGCTCTCCGTAGTATGGATCTCGGGCTGAAATTAAAACTGAACCTAAACTGAGCCCGACCACTGTGACTAGCTGAAGAATTGTGTTAAACACTCCAGCTGCCGCCCCCTGGTCTTTCACGTCGACGGCAGACATGGTCACCATGGTACAGACGTTGTAGGTAATATCACAAGCAATGGCTGACAAAATGTAGCCCCAGAACGGACCCAGCCAGTAATTTCTGTGGTAGTCTGTGGTAGCCCAGATAATGCTAGCTCCCAAAATGCAGGCGTTCCCTAGTATGAGCATCAGTTTTCCAGAGATCACGTGAAACGAAACCGCAACAAATAGGTTTGCGAAGATGCCACTCACCCCCATCGGCATTGCCGCAAGTGCAGTGTGCAGGGCTCCCCATTTTTTAATATCCTGGAAATAGAGCATCGGGTAGTATCCCAGACACCCGATGAACGTCACCCACGTGAGCGATGCCACCGCCATGCAGAGCACGAAGTTGTTGTTTTTCCAAAGCTGCATTGGCATGATCGGGTCGCGCGCCACGTACAGCTCCACCAGAACAAAAACTCCCAGCAGAAGAATTCCAACGAGCAGAAGAGAGTAGATGTAAGGGGTGTGCCATCTACGTTTTGTTGCGTCGACCTGCGTAAGAGAAAACGAGATGAGGGCAAATGCACCAAGAATCAAAACTGACCCGAGATAATCTAGCTTCAGTAACGTTTGCTTGACCGTTGTCCTGTCCAAGGGTTTGTCTTTGGGGATCACAAAATATGCAACTACAGTCACTGCCCCGAAAAATATAGCAGTGAAAAATTGCACAGCCTTCCAGCTGAATGCAGTAACAGACACGCCGCCGATCAGAAGACCAGCTATATATCCAACGGCACCACCGCTGGAGAACACGGCAAACGCAACATTGCGTCGTCGCGACTCTTTGTACAACGATCCTATGAGACCAGCACCCGCAGGTATCAGAGGCGCAAAAAATAGACCCTCAATGGCCCTGAGGATGACCAGACCGATGAAGTTTTTCATGAACCCCGCTACCAGTGACGCCAGAGTGAAGCCCAAAAAGCAGAAAAGCATCACACGACGTCGGCCGAAACAGTCAGTAAGCTTACCACCAATCAGCAGAAAGCTTCCACTCGAGAGCACAATTGACGAAACGCTCCACACCAGCTGGCCTCCATTGACCTGAAAGCTGTCAGCTAGATCCGTGAGGCTTGTTTGGAAACTGCCTTCCGGAATTGAACTGGTTGCCACCGCAAAGCAAACGACAATCACACAAAGAACCTCTTGGAAAGTGGATTTGAAAGCCTCAGGACGTGCATTAGGATCTCGAACGTGATGGCAGTCGGCAGCGCACTCCTCATCCTTGAGCTCAGGTTCAAGTGTCGCGACCATGCTCTATAAATTAAGGGGAATTGAGGCCACGGCTATAGACATGAATTTTACAATATATTTTTCTCGCCAAAATTTGTGAAATTTTTTGAGTTGTGGATTGCGCGCGGCGCTATTGTTAAACAAGCGGAAAAAACTGTTATAAGGGTAAAAGATAGCGGTTTGTGCATGAGTTCAAAGATTACTCACCAGTAATCGTCGGTCGTTGAGAAAATCCGAGACCTTCTGCCGAGTCGTGGCTAGGTTCTCCATGTAGTCCTGGTAGAACTGGATACCTTGCTTCAGGTTGTCGACCACCTCTCGAAAACCGCTCATCGTGTCTTGCAATACCCGTAAAGCAGTCTCGCGCTCCTTGCCTCCATGCAGCTGTCGTTTCAATGACTTGAAAATATCGTATAGGTCGTATATGAGCGATATGTCGCTGTCTTGGATCGCGGCTGTGCTTGTCAGAAATCCGAGCTCTGCATCGAACTTCCGCAAACTCTCGTCTAGAATGTACTGCATTGAGTTTTCATCCACAACGATATTTTGCGACACAAGCTTCTTATATTGTTCTGTCACCTGCATCAAGATTTGGTTTTCGTTCATTTTGATTCTCATGTTCTCCAGGAATTCATAGCGCTCGTTCTTCAGTTTTTTCAAATGCTTCACCTTGTCATCCAACTTAAACACCACGTCCTTGAAATCCGGGTTTAGATCCAATACTTGGCTTTTCGGAATAAATTCCTCCAAACTCTCAGCCGACTCGTACACCTGCAAATATGGCTTGAGGTCTTTGAGCTGCTGAAAAATAATGCGGTCGCCCTTTGCGGACTGGTCCAAGTATGATTCCAGCTTATTTAGCATTTCGTAGCACTCAGCCCCAGACTCGTCAAAATCTGGGACTTGCCACTTCGAGCCGTGCAATCTGCGCTGCTGCTGGTCGTTCTCTCGAGCTAGCTGCACTTCTTCCCAGAGCTTGACCAACTGAGGCCGTGCATTGCGCCGCGCCTCTCGCAACTCTGACTCTAGCTCTCTCAAAGTGCTCTGCCACCTCATCTGTTCCAATTTTTCTTTGTTTTCCCAAACCCAATTGGGTATGCTTTGTGGCTTCAAGATTGCTTCAATTTGTGCAGTCATGCCCGTATCACTTATTACCGTATCAATCTTTTTGTTGAGTTCTTCCAACGGTTCCTTAAAGTTGACCACAAAGTAGTTTTCCACACGGTCTTTGTAGGACATTGCAACCTGGATCACGCTATAGGGGACCAATCCCTCAAAGAGAGGTCTGCCGTATTCACCGCTATTAATGGCCTTATGCAAATCTATCAATTCCTCGGGCAGAATGCTTTTCACCATAGAAACTTTGGTTGGAGGCTCCACTTTTGGTATATCCTGTAAGTATATCAGGTCATTTTCTCGCTCAGCTTTCCGTAATGTATCATAAACTGTCTGGCGGAGCATCTTGAAGTCCTCCAGAGCTATTTCGTTGTCCAGTTTCGGCAATTTAGTGCTGAAAACTTGCTCTGCCTCGCGTAAATATGCTATTTCTTCACCGTATTTTTCCTGCTCTCCAGAGTGAATTGAGCATCGGTAATAGGCCGCAGCCTTGAAATGCAAAGCCTTGACATGTATGTGCTCAATCCAATCTTTTTTGAAACAAACAGTTTTCTTAGCCAGTGCAAGCGAATCGGCGTAGAATTGCGACACTTGCGCAGAGAGCTTTGAAATCACTGTGTTTTTCAGGTCGCTCTTCAGCGCAAAGAGCCAAAATTTCTCCTGTGCCTGCGCAAGCATCAGCAGCTGTAATGTTTCGAGAACATCCGACCGCAGCTCAAGCGGTACATTGGTTAGCTGCGGTATGATATGAGTTCGTAAAAGCTCAAAGTAGCCGGCAGAGTGCTGCAAATAGATGCACGACTGTTTGATTGCATCCAGACTGTGCTTATTGTCAACATTCAATGCCAGCTGAGAATAGGCCGCTGCTATTTGGTAAAGTACGTTTGCTCGTTCATAGGTTATTGATCTGTAAGTAAAAGGGCCGTCCACACGAACTCCCAGAGTGCCGTACCACGGCGACTCAATCGAATCTTCGGGAAACTTAGTCTGCAAAGACGCTAGCTGCACATAGTAGCGTTTAAGAAGAGCTATCGACTCCAGCGAGTAGGATGGAGCCTCTGCAGCCTTGCGCAACTGGTCGATCTCCTGCAAGTTTTTGTCAAAAGTAGAAGATGACTGATAAAACTCAGAATCTATTACCCCCTTCAGACATGTGTATAAACTCACACGATCTGTCTTCCGAAAGGGAACACTCAACAGTTTCGTTTCCATGCGCTCCTGGTAAATAAATAAATAAATAATGTCAGCCTGAAGTCGCGAACGGCGTATTTTTTTAACTGGTGTTCGGTGTGGGCACACCAGAGACCCCTTGAGAGTGATGTCTCAGATCAAATGCTACCTCCTGTCATGATCAACGGCTAACGAGATTTGCCGCAACTATATTCCGATATTCTGTATCTGACAAGAGGACAACATTGCCGACGGAATTTGCCGCTGTCTGTCTACCAAAAAGAACAGTGTCCCAAAAATCATTGATGCTCCGATTCAAACCGGGAACGAACTTTCAGCTGCTGCAATCTGAAGTGTGGGCTTATACAGTTGATTACAGTCAACAATAAACAAGTATTCGACTTCTCCTGCCACCAAGGAGCTCTGATAATGTCCAAGCCCAGCGCTTGAGGAATTAGGCACGTCTCTGTGCAAGCCATTTCGAAAATTCTATTGTGCAACGCGGACTTCTAAGCTGCCAGATCAAGGATTCTTTGGCCGAAGCAGCAAGTCTCAATATCTCCGACGGCCAACGCTAAAGATGAGGTGGATTTGTGAAGTGGCATGAGTAGGGCCTAGAAGGCTCAAATTTCAAAGAACGCGACCGATTGCTGCGCAGAGAACACGACACGTCGTTTAGGGTGTTGCATACTATTCTATGGTCTGTCCCTGCTATTTTTGGTTCCACACTTTCCAAGAATTGCTCGCTAGTTTCGGCATCTCGATGCCACCCAGAGTACTTTTGAAAATAAAGCTGATCCTCCCTTTAATTTTACTCTCCTGTGATTTCAGGAGAGACTCAAAAAATAATAAATATGGCAGGAAAGCAAGTAAAAGAACCGAATACCATAAGATCTAGATCTGTGACAGAGATTATGAAAACGAAATTCGCAACCAAACAGCTCGCGTACGGCACATTACCTCGCTGTCACCACCACCATGCTTGAGAAATGTGAGCTATCACATACCGAGGATTTCAAACCGGTCACACTGCAACTTGCCTACATGGCTTTTGCAAATTATGCTGCCACAGGAGATGAAACTAATGGCCTTGACGATATTGTAGCGTGATACATGTGACGCAGTGACGACTCCCTGCGCAGCAGCAAGGCAGCAAGGCTGTGCAATGTAACAGGAGTCCAAATAAAGCTTGGCTACACGTTAATAGACTCATGTGCAAAGATGTGCGGCGTTTTGTTTTTCCCTTTGCGATCTTTTTTTACTTTTCAATAATTCCTAGGAAGGAAATCTGAAAAAAAAAATTTCGCGTACAATAGGATCACGCTTGAGACAATAGATGGTGACGCCAGATACAATGTACTTTGATGTGTCGTGCACGTAATTTATCGTTCTAGACCTATATCGACAGGGGTCGACGAGGAAAATATAACGAAAATTTTCACCCTTAGGGGAGACGTTAGCGCTCTTGAAGAGCGCTAGGCATATACAGGAGCTGGCCTCTTCTGATATTCTTCCCTCGCCATTCATTTGTAAAGTCCGCTAAGCAGGCTGAGCGTACAAGGTAGCTCCACAAAAGAAAAGAGTTTGCTACCCGTGTTTTTTTTGTATACTTTTCAGACGCATCCGCCTCCGGATCAGGCAGCTGCATTGATTCCCGTTTCCCACCTTATAAAAATCCTCGATTCCCCATCTGTTTCAAGATTTGTCTTGAACCGGTACATTCATTTACTAGCTAGTTGATCCTGTCTTTTGACTCAGTCGTTCCTTACTACTCAACTACTGTCATTCTTTTAATTAAAATGAAGGTTTCCGCTGCTTTGGCCTCTTTGGCCCTTATTTCCTCCTCATTGGCTGCTCCTATGGCCCACGAGCACCACCACCACAAGAGAGAGGCTGCTGTTGTCTACGTGACCCACACCGTTGTTGTTGATTCAAACGGCCAGTTATCCACATTGAACGCGCAGGCTGCCGTTCCAACCACTGACAGCTCGGAGTCTTCTGTTACTTCGACGCCTCAAACTACCTCGAGTTCCTCTTCTTCTGAGGCCAGCGCAACCTCGAGCTCTGGCTCGAGCTCTGGTTCCTCGTCCATCGGCGGTGACCTTAGCGACTTTTCGGGCCCGAACGAGGAGTTCCAGGATGGTACCATCAAATGTTCTGACTTCCCATCTGGTCAAGGTGTTGTTGCCGTTGACTGGTTAGGATTCGGTGGATGGGCTTCCATCATGAAGGAGGATGGCACTACTTCCTCTTCTTGTGAGGACGGCTTCTACTGTTCTTACGCTTGCCAGGCCGGTATGTCCAAAACGCAGTTCCCATCGACCCAACCGTCCGACGGAAAGTCGATCGGTGGCCTCTACTGCAAAGATGGATACCTTTACAAATCCAACTCGGACTCTAACTACTTGTGTGAGTGGGGTCAGGACACTGGTTACGTCGAGTCCAGCATCGACCAGAATATTGCTCTTTGCAGAACCGACTACCCAGGTTCCGAGAACATGGTTGTTCCAACTCTGTTGGAGGCCGGTGGAAAGGCTCCATTGAGCGTCGTCGACGAGGACAACTACTACCACTGGCGGGGAGGCAAGACTTCTGCTCAGTACTACGTCAACAACGCTGGTGTCTCTATCGAGGATGGATGTGTCTGGGGTGACTCTTCGTCTGGTGTTGGTAACTGGGCTCCTTTGGTTATTGGTTCTGGCTACACCAACGGCAACACTTACTTGTCGCTGATTCCAAACCCTAACAACAAGAACGCACCAAATTACAACGTCAAGATCGAGGCTACCGACGGCTCCACCATCAACGGTGACTGCTCCTACATCGACGGTAACTTCAGCGGCGACAACACCGACGGATGTACCGTCACTGTCACCCAGGGCTCTGCCGTTGTCAAGTTCTACTAGATTGGCTGATGATTTTTTTGCTTTCTCCAAAATGTTGTGTTAACATTTCGTTTTTGATACCAGTCTCTTGCTATGCCGTTTAAGTATATGACGTAACAAGTATATTTGTACACTTAATATTTTGCCAAACACTCGGCTGTGCTATCCCCATGTATGGGGAAGCCAGATTAAGCAACAACTTAATTAAACCACTTTTAGAATGGAATCCGAGTATCCGCAATTGAACGTTGGCGCACAATTTAAGCCCGTCGACTCCATTTACGAGAACAGGCTGCGCCAGTTCATCGACGAGGGCGGCCAGTACTCTGGTCTTATGCTGCCAAAGTTCTACACCAAGGCCCGTCTCGACAACGGCTACAAAGAAGGGTCTGAAGGCTACATTGAGCTGAGAACGTGGGCGGCCCCCGGTCTTTCGAAGCCGCTGTTCAAGGACGTTATTCCGGCAAAGCTGGACGAGTTCAAGCCGTGCCGGAAGGGCGACCGCTTTGGCCCGGCCTGGTCGTCCCATTGGTTCGAGGTCAAAATAAAGGTCCCCGCTGCGTGGTCCGACGAGGAGCTTGTTGTTCTGAAGTGGGACGCTGGCGGCGAGGCGCTTGTTTTTGACGCCCATGGCCTCCCTCTGCAAGGCCTCACGGGCGGCGGTGAGCGCGTGGAGTTCGAGCTTCCAGCAGCGTGGCGGAGCACAGAGACCACGTTCTACATCGAGATCGGCTGCAACGGCATGTTTGGCAGCACGCAGGACAGCTACGAGTTGCGCGATGCCGACCTGGTTGTGCCGAACCTGGCTGCGCGCGCCCTGTACTACGACTTCTGGATGATCGGCGACGCTGCGCGCGAGCTCCAGGGTGCTCCAAAGCACAAGGCGCGCGAGGTGTGCAATCGTATCATGGACATTTTTGACAGCGACGATTCGGAAAGCATCCTGCGGTGTCGCGAGGTGGCCAGGGAGTACCTGGGCCCCGATGTGGACTCGGAGAAGGTATACGAGGGAAAGATGAGCAAATACAACGCCGTGTATGCGATTGGCAACTGTCACATTGACACAGCTTGGCTGTGGGACTTTGCCACGTCCAAGACGAAAATTGCGCGCAGTTGGTCCACCCAGCTGCGTCTGATCGACAAGTATCCGGAGTACGTGTTTGTGGCGTCTGCTGCACAGCACTTCAAGTGGTTGAAAAAATACTATCCCGACCTGTTTGCCAGGGTTAAGGAGTACGTCGCGCAGGGACGTTTCATCGCGCTCGGTGGCAGCTGGGTCGAAAACGACACTAATCTACCGAGCGGTGAGGGCCTGGCAAGACAGTTTTTGCTGGGCCAGCGCTGGTTCGAGGACCTGTTTGGCATCAAGAGCAACATATACTGGCTGCCCGACTCGTTTGGCTACTCGAGCCAGATCCCGCAGCTGTGCCGGCTGGCCGAGATGCCCAACTTCCTGACTCAGAAGCTATCGTGGAACAACATCAACCAGTTCCCGGAAAACACGTTCAACTGGGTCGGCATCGACGCGTCGCAGGTGCTCGTGCACATGCCGCCCGCCAACACGTACACGGCGGACGCGAACTTTGGCGACGTGAAACGGTCGATTTCGGGTCACAAGAACCTGTACAACGACCAGAAAGGTCTCCTGCTGTACGGCAAGGGCGACGGCGGCGGCGGGCCGAACGCGTCGATGCTCGAGAGACTGCGGCGAATTAGAGGCCTTGCCGAGACCGCTGCCGGCGAGATGCCGACGGTCCAGGTCGGTGTCACCGTTTCGGACTTTTTCGACAAGCTGCGCAGTGACACCGCCAACGGCGACAAGCTGCCCTCCTGGCGCGGCGAGCTGTATCTGGAGTTCCACCGGGGTACGTATACGTCGCAAGCCCGCGTCAAGCATCTGATGCGCACCGTCGAGCTGCTGATGCGCGATCTCGAGTATCTGGCTACCAAAGCCTCCGTGGAGCTAGACTACGCGTATCCGCACCGCAAGATCGACCGTCTGTGGCAGGATATCCTGCTGTGCCAGTTCCATGACGTGCTGCCAGGCTCGTGCATTGAGAAAGTGTACCGCGACGACGTGTGGCCGATGCTGGAACGTGTGCAGCGCATAGAGCTTGAGATGCTCGCCGAGATCAAAAAACTGTTCAAGCCCGGTAAGTATATTCTCAACACGTTTGGCTGGGACCGCGCCGCCATTGTGAGAACGGGCAGCAGCTGGATGCAGAAAGGGTACACCGCGGTGTCGTCGAAAAACGGCGTGCTCGTGCCGGTCGAGTCGTCGCAGGCGGTCAAGTACCGTTCCAAGATCACGCACCGCGACGGCGTGTACGTGATGGAGAACGGACGGCTGCGTGCCACGATCAGCGCGGACGGCGTGGTGACGAGTCTGTACGACCTGGTGCACCGCCGCGAGGTGCTCGATAGCTCCAAGATCGGCGGCGTGCGCTACGTGCTGTACTCCGACACGCCGCTGAGCTTCCCTGCGTGGGACACAGAGCTGTTTTCCTGGGAGAAGTACCATTTCATCAAGGCCACGGAAGTCAAAGTTCTGGAGACAGGCCCGCTGGTGTCGTCGCTCAAGGTGGAGCACGAGATCTCGGCAGACAGCAAGATCACGACGGTGATATCGCTGGATGCACTGCAGTCGCTGTCTGACAGAACGATGCTCAGGTTCGAGTGCCACGCCGACTGGCACGAAACGTACAAATTCCTCAAGGTGCAAGTCCCTGTTTCCGTGTACAACGACTTTGCCAGTTACGAGACGCAGTTTGGCATCACCAAGCGTCCAACGCACTTCAACACGACATGGGATATCGCTAAGTTCGAGTGCTGCTGCCACAAGTTTGTGGACTACTCGGACTACAACTACGGCGTGTCGATCCTGAACAATAACAAGTACGGTGCCAACGTACATGGCAACACTATGACACTGTCTCTGCTGCGTGCACCCAAGTACCCGGACGGCAACGCGGACATGGGCTCGAACGCGTTCAACTACGCAATCCTGCCCCACGGCGGCGCCCTGGGTATGGAAACCGTGCGTGCGGGCTGGGAGTTCAACGAACGCACGAGCCACGTTGGAGACTTTGGCAAGAGCATTGTTTCGGTTACCGGAGACGAAAACCTCGTTCTGTCGAATATCAAGCGGGGTGAAGACGATTCTGGCATGGATTCTGGCCACATTTACAGAAATCTTCCGAAGAAGTACGTTGGCCAGAAGACTCTTGTTCTGCGTTTGTACGAGGCTCTTGGTGGCAGAGCCAAAGCCACCGTCAAAATCAACTATCCTGTCGACAAGGTGTTCAAGACGAACTTACTAGAGGAGGAGAAGGAGGAGATCGCTGTTAAGGACGATGCATTTGAGGTGATCTCTAGGAGCTTCGAGGTGTCCACCTACAAGGTGGTTTTGAAAAAATAAAATGAAGCAAAGCAGAAATTAGGATAAATTCATTACTAGAAGCCAATATGAAATAATCAAGATATTATCTACCCAGATGGCGAGGCTGATGCTGAGCCAACTGGTTGCATCTGAGCTCGTAAATCTATAGCGATGGTGCTTTGAGGACTAAGTTAGTTTGAAGAGATATACGTCCTTGCTCTCTCATTCATGCACTAGACGTATGAACTTAAATTATAGGCTATGTCCCAAGTAGAGATTAGTAAAAAGTACTGTACATTGTCTGTGGCCGCCAATGCTTGCCTAGATACTAGAAGTGGCCACTTGTGTAGTATCTGAAAAGTGCTCCCGACTATCAACATGAACCTTGGCCGCATACAGAAACTAATCCACCTTCGCGTCAAACTCGATCTGTTTATCTGTGTCAATGTAAGAGTCGCAAACACACCATATACCAAGCCTATGCTCTCCAGCATCAGGTATCGTAAAATTCACACGCACTTGCTGGGACTCCCGGGGAATGGTAAGCTTTTTAATAGCATACAATTCTTTCCTCCTGCGCTCGCCAATGACAATCCACCAGTTCTCAGACTTTTTGTATGGGAACCGAGGACAAACGGCGTCCAAATCTTCTAGTTCCTCGTCTCGTTCAATGTTCACCACAATTTCCTTGGGCTGATTTGCTCTGATAGGTTCTTTGAGATCCAATTCATATGACAGTTCGAGGTTTGGATACTTGTTAACGAATTCGGCAACGCTTCCAAGCTCTTTTTCGTTTAGTGTTCTGAGAAGCTCGTCTCTGTCGTCGTCCTCAAGCGCCATGATGTCATACACAGTCTCAATTTTCTTTGCCTCACATTCTTTCAGTATGTCGTCGCTGAAGTAAGGGATCTGTTTCAACGGGTTGTCATTGGCCCACATGGCTTGGACGACCATCTGTGTCAGATCCATGGCAGACATAGCGTTTAGGAAACCTTCACTTGAGAGAACATCAACGGCCGCGTATAACAGGTTCACGAGCTTCAGTAAAATTTTGTTCAGGTCTCCTGTCAGGTCTGGGGGCAGATTAATTCTCGAAAGGTGGGCCTGAATCAGAACGAAACATTTGAATGACGGCGATTCAAAGTTCTTGAGGCTCACGCTTCTCAACGGGAGTCGGTTGTAAAGCTTTCCTAGGAATTCGTCTTCGTGGTTTCGAATAGGAAGGTTGTCAAATTCATGAGCAGAAGCCACGATTTCTAAGAGTCCACGCAAATTAGTTTTGTTGTTGAGAGACAGTGAAAACGTTTGCATAGTCACAAACGAGACATTGTAGTACGCAGATATCATGCAGCCGTTCAAAGGTTTTATTTCATCCTTGAGCTCCTCTTCCTCTTCCTCTTCCTCGTCTTCATCAATATCAAGCTTCATAATTTTGGCCTCAACCAGATCATTCAGTGTGTTTTCAACAAGCTCAGACAAGTACTCGGAGACACCGTCCTCGCTCGTATCCCTTAGGCCATAGTAGCTTGGGTTGCTTTGTAATCTTCTGTAGAAGTAAGAGTAAGTTATCCAATCAACACAGTCCTGTCGACTTTTAAGTAGCTGGGTGCTAATATCGTTCACAAATGCATCATGAATATGATACGTGAGCTGACTTTCAATTGGCAGCGACTCTCCAAGGAACTTCTTGTAATAACCGACTTTCTCTTCATTTGTGAGAATCAACGCCCTAGAAGTCGCTTTCTGGTTTCTCGAAAGGCCCACCATCTCAAGTATATCGTTGATTGTGTAGTCAACATACCTGTGTTCTTTTCCTTCATAAATTTGTGTGCTCAAGACAATGACAAATTCCGCAGGCGGAGACCAATTACAGGTATCTTTGGTGGCGATCAAACATGTCAGGGCGCCGGCAGAATACAATTTCTCAACAAGAGTCCGATCACTGTTTGCCATGCCCGTGTAGTAAAAACCAATACCGTACTTGAGAGCTTCTTTCAAAGATGAATCATGTACGCGGTCCAGATACTTTTCAATACTTTCCAACTCGACTCTCAGCCAGTTGGCGTCGTCTTTCGTTATCAATCTAATCAGCTCCTTGGAGATATCGACGCAGTGGCTTCTTGACGGTACAAACAACGTACACCTTTCCTCGTTAAGATGCTTGATTGCGTTGAATGCTGGTCGAATCATTGCTAAAATCATGGATGGATGGTGTGTCAGCTGATAGGCCTGGAATTTTACTTCGAGAGGATACTCTCTTTCCTTTGAATCGAAATTGAAGTTGCATTGTTTGGAGACACCAAGCCAATCAGCAACGTCTCTTGAGTTTGCCAGAGGGGAACCTAGAGCAACGATTCGGATGTTTTTCTTCAAATTGAGGGCGATAAACCTAAGACGGCTCAGGACAAGCTCATAAACGGGATCAAAACCGATTGCGTGACAGTCATCTGCAATAACGAGCTCTATCGATTGCACATTCTTTCTTTGCTGCCAACGCCTAGAAATGAGATCAAACTGTTCGGGAGTTGCCAAGATCAAATGTGAGCCTCCGATTAATTTCAAGTCCGCACTTAATTCGCCAGTCAACTTATTTATCTCTTTGCCCCCAAATAGCGGACCTAAGACCTTTTTCCAGCGTTTCAATAGCTGATCAATTTGATACTGTTCAGTGGCAAGATAAACAGCCCGACCTTTTTCTTCATTCCAGTGGCTCAGCAATGCAATCTCCGCAATTGTAGTCTTTCCGCATCCCTTAGAGCAAAAACAGAGCGTACTCTCCGATGTATTGAACACAGTATCGAAAACCTGCGATTGGATCCTATTGAAGGTTTTGAAGCTGAAAATCTTGCTGAACTCTCCAACTTCGCTGGTCTCAATCAAATCAAAATCCAAAAGGGGTGTAGGAGCAGGGAATTTTTTCGGCACTTTGAGATTGCTCAACATAATGGGCACCCTTGTCTCGCAGTGAAGCCATCGATCGCTAACCAAAGACACAAAATAGTTTGGCTGTGAAGAATCAATGAATGGCACGGTGAAATCAACTAAATGTGGCTGGTCAATGTACTTGCTTTGCACAATGAGGGTGGTGTAATAAAGAAGTTTCTCTGAGTCGCAATCTTCCACAAGAAGAATAAACTGCTCACTCCATCCATGGATATCATAGTCCCATTTCCACGAAGGTATTATTTCTGCCTCCACCTTCAGTAATGACGGAGTGATTGGCTGGGCTTGGCAAGACATCGTCAACTTGGGGAATTTTTGAAGCAGCTCGAAGCCAATACGTCCGAACCGCTCAGACTTTAGAGCCTGCGCAACCTCGAATTCGTCAGAAAGACGCAAATAGTATTTCCACGGAGTCATCGACCGCTCAGTAGTTTGTATGATCTCAAAGGGGGCCTTAGGAAACTGCCGGAACGGCGAGTTCGTCAACCATAAACGTCTTTCGATGATTTTGCATAGGTCAATCAGTAGAGCTGCTAGCCGGGGCCAGCCCTTCTTTAACGCCATTTCCAGCATGGCCCGAAATAGACGACCAGCAGATTGAACCACATAAATCATGTCTGCCATCAAAGCAAAACCTTCAAGTCGAAGCTGTGAAATATAGGCCTGAAGCAGAATACTGATTTTTGCTAGTGGATCTTCATTTGATTCGCTCACCGGTATTGGAGCTCTCTCCATCAGCTTCTTGATTTCCATCTTTTCTTCCTGTCTGACAGGAATGTATTTGAACTCCTCACTGCTAGCAAACATTCTGAACAGATCAGTCTCGTTCATATCAGGATGCAGGTGTTTGGAATAATTGCGAATGCTTCTGTAAGAGATATAGTAATGCGAGGCAATGCGGCCCATGTCAGTGGCCGTTATTTGGTCTTTTTCAAAGCTGTATTTTATCAACCCGTTTTTCATGAGCAGCAGAAGAGCGGAGTATGCCAAATCGCGTCGTCTTTCAATTAGATCTGTGTCATTTTCGTATTCCATCCCAACGTGATACAAACTGCGTGAGTGCAACATGCGGACATACAGGTAGGTGTAACCCAGCCATTTTATGCAGTCCTCCAAAGACTGGATGGTTCCCAGCACTATTTCGGCATTGAGATTGTCCACAAGCTTGGAAACCAGTTGGGACTCAATTGGCAGCTGCTGATTCAATATTGCAAGGTAGTACTTCACCTCGTCCTGGTTGGTGATAATTATACCCTCACCATGAGTATCATATCTCGGTCTACCAGCTCTTCCTAGCATCTGAAGAATATCCTGAGGGGAGAGCTCAACCCACGTGCCTTTCTCAGGAGAATAAACATTCGTACCTTTTATAATGACCGTATGCGCAGGTAAGTTCACACCCCATGCCAGAGTTGCCGTGGAAACCAGCACCTTCAAATAGCCTTGGGCAAAAAGGTCCTCGGTCGTAGACCGATCCTTTTTGTTCATTCCAGCGTGATGGATTCCAAAACCCATAGGTAGCACATTTTTGAGGCCCTCGCTGGCCGCTTCTTGCGCTTCAGTTCTCAGAATCTCTTGGACTCCTGAAGTAAACGTGAGCAAATCTGTCACCCTCTCTGTTTCAATCAGCTTGTCCACGATCCATTTAGCCGTCTTCTCCGTCTCCTTTCTAGAGTGCACAAAAATAATCACCTGGTGTCCATTGGAAAGATTTTCCACAACTTTATCGTAGCACACTTCATACATTGCCTGAAATCGCTTTAGTGACTTCTTCTCCGTAATGCCAACAAATTGCTGAGCTAGCGGACATGGACGGTAGGTCGCATCGAAATAAAACAAACCTCTTTCGTCCACTCGCAAGAATCGGGCAACATCAACGTAGTTTGGTAACGTAGCAGACAGTCCAACCAGCCTCACTGGTTCCTCATTGTTGTCATCCACGTATTTGAGCGTTCTGGCCACGATACTTTCCAGAACGGGTCCTCTTACATCGTGCAACAGATGAATTTCGTCCAGAATGATCAGCCTGACCAGTCGAACATAAGAGGCATCGTTCATTTTTCTCGTGATGACGTCCCATTTCTCTGGAGTCGTGACCAATATTTGAGTGGTCGCAATTTGGTGTTTAGTGAGATTGGAGTCACCTGTCAGCTCGTTCACAGTTATATTGAACTGACTCAGTCTTCTTTGTAGCTCGCGTACCTGCTCCTGGACCAAAGCTTTCAGAGGAGCAATGTATACAATTTTGAAGTCATTCAGACTTATAGTTTCATCGTCGTTCATAAATTGGGAGATTGTTCGCAAAATAGTCAACATAGCAACGTTGGTCTTACCTGCTCCTGTGGGAGCACACATTAATATGTTTCGATCGTCGTGAAAGGCTGCGGGATAAACTTTGGACTGTATTCTATTAAGAGTTTTGGTTTCGTTTGAAGGAAATGCGGTCTGTGCCCATTCCGGCAGCTCGGTAATGTCCACAAGTTTCTCGTCGGCCTCGAAATCTGGTTTTTTAGGGGGCGGTACATGTATTTCCTCCCAGCTTTTGCGAACACGTTTGAAAGATCCTTGAGGAAGCTGAAATTTAGTATTTGTCATCAGATGCGAGCCCTGCTCGAAAATTAAGCTCTCAAGGTCAACGTATCTGGGCACTTGCTTTTTGACGTCTTTCTTTTCTGTTTCAGTCAGCTTTTGTCGTTTCGTTGATGTCTCTTCGTCGCTATGTTTTCTTATGCCCTTATACTGGTTGACCCAAAACTCTAATCCTTTAGAAATCATGGTGTCAAATATCTGTGGTTTTTCTGTCTCTGACGCTTGTGAAAGCTTGATAGCAAAATATATCTCCAACGGATGCTTAGCGATTTTCCTTACAAGGTCATTGGGCTCATAATCAAATAATTGAAGAACACTAGACTCGAATTTGCGCATATCGAGTTCCTCGTCGGCAAGCTTGGTAAGTAATTCATTGATCCTTTGCGAAAGCTCTGTGTGTCTGTAGGAGTCAAAATCCTTCAACTCTTGAGCAAGGAGTCTCGTAAGCCAGTACTTATCCACCGATTTAATATCAAATTCTTCAGTCTCGGCAGATCCGTCAGCTGTAAGCACAAGAACGTCGTCTCGAACTTCTTGAGCTTCAGCCGGCTCCTCTTCCTCTTCCTCTTCGTCCTCTTCCTCTTCTTCTTCCTCTTCTGCAGCATCTTCGTCTTCCTCATCTATAACTACTCCTCCCTCTTCGTCGCCGTCCAGAGGCTTCCAGTCATCGATTTCCTTGCTCAGATCGAGAACCTTTTGAAAAACCTCGTCCTCAAGTTTCTTACCCATAGTCTCTTCAATAGTGTCTTTTCGCTGCAGGTCCGTCAGTCGCTCATTTTTCAATATCTCTAGAATAATGTCGGCCATCGACTGGACAATGTCTCCCGGAACGTCGCTATCCAATTGCTCTGAACACCAAACGAGTATATTCTCGTATACTTGCTGAGACTTTTCACTGGTCGGCACATAAGTAAGCTCCTCAACAGAAGCATCAAGAAGCGTCTTCATCGAACGATTAACTTTCTTCTTTTTCCTTGCGACCGGCACAGGGGCTTCCTTTATCTCTCTTTCCACTCGAGAGCCCATCTCCTTAATGCTGATCTTACCAACGACGCTCTGGGGAGTAGTCGAGACAGGAGAGTCGCGTCTCTCATCCATCAATCGTCGGTTGGCCCGAAGGACCTTATTCGACATTTCGTCGTACTTATACTGGGAATTCGAGGACATGTACTTGATATATTTTTTGTATTATTTTTTATACCATTATATAAGCACAACGAAGTGCTCTGTCGCGACTGCTGTTTTTCTCGTCGACCGTCGGCAAGCGACGCTGGAAATTTGCTTTCCGAAACCTCATGGCTCAAGAATTTTTATTTAGAGGGGATAACAAAACCACCTTATCTTTAGCACTTCTCTTCATAATAGTTCAATGCTGAGATTTTTATCCAAGAGAGCTCCGGTCCGCGTCTCTCCCAGACTGGCCAGAACACTGGCCACCGAGTCCGACATCGTGAGAATTGATTTGCCCGAATCCTCATTCGAGACTTACGAGTTGGACGCACCAGAGTTGACCTTCGAAACCGAAAAGAGTACTTTGCTGCAAATGTACAAAGACATGATCATCATCAGAAGAATGGAGATGGCAGCCGACGCTCTTTACAAGGCCAAGAAGATCAGAGGTTTCTGCCATCTTTCTGTCGGACAAGAGGCCATTGCTGTCGGTATTGAAAATGCCATTGACGGCAATGACGACGTGATCACCTCTTACAGATGCCACGGCTTCACCTACATGAGAGGTGCTCCAGTGAAGGCTGTCCTTGGAGAGCTGATGGGTAAGAGATGTGGAGTGTCTTACGGTAAGGGAGGATCCATGCATATGTACGCCCCGGGATTCTACGGAGGAAACGGTATCGTGGGAGCCCAGGTGCCATTGGGAGCAGGACTTGCCTTTGCTCACCAATACAGAGACAAGCCAAACTGCACATTCACCTTGTATGGTGACGGTGCCGCCAATCAAGGTCAGGTGTTCGAGTCCTTCAACATGGCCAAGCTGTGGAACCTCCCATGCGTCTTTGCCTGTGAGAACAACAAGTACGGTATGGGTACTTCGGCCTCCAGATCTTCTGCCATGGTGGAGTACTACAAGAGAGGTCAATACATTCCTGGTCTGAAGGTCAACGGTATGGACATCCTTGCCGTCTACCAGGCCTCCAAGTTTGCCAAGGACTGGTGTATTTCCGGCAACGGACCTCTGGTGTTGGAATACGAGACCTACCGGTACGGAGGACACTCCATGTCCGACCCAGGCACCACCTACAGAACCAGAGAGGAGGTTCAGAACATGAGATCCAGGAACGATCCTATCTCCGGCCTCAAGGCCCATCTTTTGGAGTTCGGAATTGCCACTGAGGACGAGATCAAGGCCTTTGACAAGTCTGCTAGAAAGTACGTCGACGAGCAAGTCAAGGAGGCAGAGATCTCTCCACCACCTGAGGCCAAGATGGACATCCTGTTTGAAGACGTCTACGTTCCAGGTTCCGAGATTCCGGTTCTCAGAGGAAGAATCAGAGACGACTCGTGGTCTTTCGAGAAGAAAGGCTTTGCCTACAAATAGATGTGCTACCACAAAAATACAATGTCAGATTCTTAACTCAAAAATACACTTCTTACTCGTCCGCAGGCACCTCCATGTAGTTTGGATCGTGCTTGTTCTTCTCGTACTCGCCCGACTCGATCGTCTCGTAGGTGATCACCTCCTGGTAATCGTCGTTGTCAACCACCTCTGTGAACACGGGCTTGGCCTGCGACCGGGCGTCGATCGAGTCGACGTCGACGTCGCCGTCGCCATGAACCGTCACCGGAGGAGACTCCTTGGCGGCGGCAGGGTCCAGCGACTTGTACGTGACTGGCTCAGGTTCCTGTTTCGGCTCCTGTTTCTCGCTGCTGCCGGTCGACAGCGGAACCACCTTTTTGGTCAAAGAGCTGGCTCCCGACTTCGGTTTCGTCTCGGATTCTTGTGTATTGGTCTGCTCCGACGAATCCACTTTCTGGGAGGTGGTCGGAGAGCCTGCGGCCACAGCAACGCCCGGCGTCGAGGCAGCAGCACCACCTTGTCTGGCCGGTGGCTCCTCCTGGAGAGGTTCGACGGATTTCTTGGATTCTGCGAGCTTTGCGATATCCGCCACATCGGCGCCTTTCTCGAGGTGCTCTGTGACAGCATCGATACCGGCAGCGTCAACGGCGGCGGCAGCGATGCCGGCGCTGGCTCCCGTGGCGGTCACCGAGGTGATCTCCTCAGAGGGGACCTTAGACTTGCTAGGCTTGCTGGAGCTGGCGGACGGTGGCGAGCCAGCATCCACAGAAGCTTCCTTGGAGTCGCCCTTGGAGACGTATTTCGAAACATCTTTGGGAATATCCTTCGGAGAGTCTTTCACGGAGTGATTCAGATTGTCAGTGGAAACGCCTTTGGAAGCTTGCTCGTCCAGTGTGCCGGTATGGGCCCCTGGAGCGACGAACGCAGTGCTTTCCGGCTTTGGCTCAGGCTTAGGATCAACAGACTTCTGAGCTGGGGTACCTCCTATCTGAGGACTCGCAATGCCAGAAACGCTCTTGGCTCCGGTGTTCAGCAGCGCATCTGCACCAGCGACGCCTGCACCAGCGACGCCTGCACCAGCGACGCCTGCACCAGCGGCAGCGGCAGCGGCACCAACACCTGCAGCGGCACCGACTCCAAGTGCTCCAATGGCATTGTGCGTTTTCTTTTCATGCTCCTTTGCCTCTCTCTCCTCCCGCTCCTTCTGCTGAGCAGCTAGCTCCTCCTTTTTCTTTCGCTGCTCCTCCTCGGCGAGCCGCTTGCGCTCGGCCTCGGCCTGAATACGGAGCCGCTCCTGCCTTCTGGCCTCCTCAGTTCTCATCTGCTGCTTCTCCAACTCCCAGTCCTCAGCAGCCTTAGTTGCTGCGCTGTGTTTCTCTTTCAGCTGTTCTTGGGCCTCGGTGGTCAAATACTCCTTCTTGGCCTTGTGCTGGTCCACATGGCTCTGGATTAAATTAACGTGCTCCTGTAGTGTGTCTGCGTTGCGCTTGCTCTGTGCGTGCTGGGCACCGATAATGGCAACCTTGCGCTCGGCCTCGAGCTTCTTTCTCGTGGCGCCGGCAATAGCTCCCAGTTTCTCGTGTTTCGACGAAGCAAGCCCCTCCAATTGCGCAATCTTCTCCTCGAGCTCCTTCTCTTTCTCGCTTAGCTGGCTCTCTGCCTCGTCCGCCTTCTGCCTGTACTCCTCCGCCAAAGCGCGCACTTCCTTCTCCATTTGAGTCTCGACCTCCTGCTGCTCCTTGGCATGCGTCAGGGCCTCTGTCAGCTCCTGCTGGCGCCGCTCCGCGCGCTGGTGCGCCTCCTCCTTGTCGGTCACGTGCTTCTCGGCAGCCTTTTTCTCGGCCTCCTCGTAGTCGATGGCGTCTTGCTCGATCTTGGCCTTCACGTCCGCAATGTACTGCTCGTACGCGCTTTTGCTGGCGGCCATGTCCTCGTCGAGCTTCTTCATCGGCTCGGCAAACGCAGCCAAAATCGCAGCGTTCTCCTTGTCGATGACAGCCGTATACTTCCGGAGCTCTTTCGCGAGCTTCGACTCGTCCTTCTTGACAAAATTCTCCTCTTCCTCCTTGGCGCGCAACTCGTCCCGCTTGAGGTTCTCCTGCACCTGCTCGTCCACCTGCTTCAAAACTGGGGCGACTCTCTTTTTAGCAATTTCGTAGATCTGGGCCTCGGTCAGCATCAGGCCAGCGCCGAGATTTAGCACCCGGTCCAAATTCTGCACCTGTGTGTTGTTCAGCGCCTGCGACGCCAGAAGCTTGTTCTCCTTGTAACGATAGAGCATCTTGGGCTTGTCGAACGTGGCCTCGCGCTCGTCTGGCGGCGCAGCAAGCGGCTCGGTCTCGCCTATCGGCTCCTCGTCCTCCACGACGTCGCCGGTCGGCTCCTGCAGGGCCTCTTCTGAAGCGGTGTCTGCAACAGGCTCTGGTTCGGGCTCCTGAGTCTCTTCAGGCTCTTCCGTCTCTTCGGGCTCTTCAGTCTCTTCGGGCTTCTCGGGCTCTGCAGGCTCCTGTGTCTGTTCGACAGGCTCACTTTCTGTCGTTTCTGTCTGCGGCTCCTGCGCAACTTCTTCAGCCGCCACGGCTTCTTCCTGCTTCTCCTCCTGTGTCTCCGACTCCGCGTCGGATTTCTGCACTGGAGCCGGCTCCGTCACTGTCTCATTTTCCTTCGTCTTCTCCTGGTTTGATGCTGCTTTTGTGCTCTTTCCCTTAGGACGGAACGGAGAAATCCAGATGTTGTCCTTGGACGTGCTGGCCACACGCTTCAATTGGGTCACCACGCCGGTCTTGGTCGACTTGGGCGCCATCAGGTCTGCGATTTCTGCGGACGCCATTAGATTAAATTGTCTTAATATTTCCTAGCAATAAATGCTGCACTTGAAATTTCGCTACCCCAAATAAGGTTGCTCCATTAGGACATGTTGCCAAAAACGGAATATTCGTACCACTATTTAGTCTCCTATTTACTCTCTTCCAGCGGAACCTCGGCCGCCAACTGGGCCGTCGTGGACTCAGGCGTGATGTTCGACTCGTGGCCGGCCTTCTTCAGCTCCGCAAGCCGCTTGGCTTCCTCGTGCACCTGCTTTGCGTCGCTGGCTACCTCCGTGTAAAACTTGTGGATTCTCGAGCCCAGCTTGTCGTTCTTGAACTTGTCGAAGTAGCTGTCGAGCTTAGTGCGGCCAATCGCGATCTTGCTGTCCAGGCCTAGCTGCGAGTTGGCCTGGTCCAGCAGCTGCTGGTTCTTGTCGTGGATATGGTACTTGGCGTCCAAATTCGACAGGAATTGCTTAAAGTTCGACGAGATGCCGTTTTTCTGGTCAAACTCAACAGCCTTCTGCACAAGCCCGTCCGAGATCGCATACCCTTGCGACAGATACTCCGCCAAAATCGTCGTCTTGGGCTTATCTTCCTGCGGAATGTCGCCAGTGGCTGAAGCGCTCGCGTCAGCCGGCCTCACCTCGCTCGTCGGCACAATAGGCTGCTTGGCCAGGCCCTCGCCAATGACCTTGATGCTGCCGCCGCCTAGCTCGGCGCCGTTCAGCAAAAGTGCCGTGGAGACAGCACTCGCGTTCACAAACTCCACCTTGACCGTCTTGGTCTTTTCGTTCTTGTCGACGGTGGCGATCGTCTTGGTCTTGCCACAGAAATTGAAAAACTCCTCCACCTCGGAGTCTGAGACCCCCAATGGAATGCCGGAAGCAAGGATTGTAGAAGACATTTAATCACATATTCTGCACACCCTAGCACTATATATACGCAACGGTTGCTCCTCTGGGTGCGAGGTGTGCCAACCCTCAGACCAGGTAGCATGTGCGCCAGAGCTTAGCCACTCAGCAATCTCACGTCCTCGTTGCGTGTCTTTGTCAATTCCTTCCGCACAGCCAGGACGCTGTCGACGATGACGGCATCCACACCTGCCGCCATCTCCAGCTTGGCATTTTCAGGGTCGTTGTTTGCTGCGCCATACGTCACGCACACCAGCCCGCTCGCCTTCACCACCGAGGCCAGTCTAGGACACATCACTATGGTGTCCGCAGCGGACACAATTCCCAGCAAATTCCATTTGCGGGCGAATCTGATGGCGCTCTGCAGCGAGCTGGCCCGCACGTCCGCCATAGGCTGTGTCCCGGCCTCCGTGAGGAACAGAATCGGGATCGATGGCTGTTTCAAGGAAAGCAGAACACACACGTCCGGATGGAAGGACGAAAAAATAATGTCTCTTCCGTCCGCGTTTTCGTACACCACTTTCAGCACTGTGTCGACGTAGTAGTTCAGGTCGATCGCGATCTGGCCCATGTCCTCGTGCTCTGCCTCGTCCAGCATCGGGTATTTGCACTCGATGTTGAAGCCGACGTTTTTCGGCACTTTCTTGAACAGCTCCACCAGCGTCACGAACGAGGACGCAATCGAAGAGCCGCGCGAGTTTCCCTTGTACTGCTTGAGTTTCCAGGTTTTGGTGAGCTTCATCCGCTCGTTCTCGGGCGAGAAGTCGTCGCTGTCCTTCTCATTAGGAACAGACGTGTGCGGCTCGAACGACGCGGCCCGGCCACGTGACTTCTTGTACAGGTAGTAGTCGTCTCTGCTCTCCTTGATGCCGTTCTGCTTGCTGGAGTCGGTGTTGTTGAGCCCAAGGAACTGCTCGAGCGTCAGCGCGTGCATAGGAACGTCCATGCCGGACTCGGCGACCAAAAAGTCGTGGTACACAACGGGGACGTGGTCCTTGGTGAGCTGGACGTCGAACTCGACGTACGACGCTCCCAACGACGCCGCCGCAATGAACGACTCGACTGTGTTCTCTCCGAGCTGAAGCGACTTGCGGTCGCGGCTGTTCATGCCGTTTCCGCGGTGGCCGATGACTCGTGACGACACTAAAGACTTCCAGTACGTTTCCGGTCTGTCAAGGACCATCTTCGGATGTCTGAACGGTGTGATCAGCATGATCTCGAACTTGATGGTTCCCAGCACCTCCAACGTGTCGCTTTCCAGGATTGGCAGACTAATCGAGTTCGACAACGACCGCAGGTTCGGACCCACTTTGGTGTACGCAGACCTCAAGAGAGCAGCGGCACGGCCCAAGATCTTCTTCTCCTTGTTTTCCTCCGCCGACTGGTATGTAGGCACGATGTCGAAGAAGATCACCGTGTCCAGAGGATCCTTATCGACGCATTTGAAACTGATCGGGTCGCTGGCGCCGCCGTGGTTGTCATCCAACGGCAAATCCAAAAGCACGGACGGCTGGTCCAGGTTCTTTGCGTTGATGACAATCGACAGCGCAGTATCGAGCTCTGTGCTATGCGCTTTCGACAACGGCACTCGTTTCAAGTCGATCGCAGGCGTCTTGTCTCTCAAATCAGTGGTGCCCAGGGTAATGAGAATCAGCGACTCGTTCGGTTTCAGGTACTGGTGACCGAAGGACTTGACTGGACGGGCGTTTGGCGACGCAGACCGCTGCTGCCTCAGATGCTTGAGGACGTTGTGATCGTTGTTGCTGTCGGAAATTCTGTCCAGACTGGTGGCCAGCTCGCTCATGTTGTACGGCTTGGTTTGCGGCGACAATACGGGCGAAATAGGTTTGGACTCTAGGAGCTTATAAGGATCGTAGTCCTTCGGAGTGAGAATCCGAGCAATGTCCAGATGGCCTCTCAAACAAGCGTGTTCCCGCGGAGTCCAGCCACTGAGGTCTTGCAGATCAAATTTGGCCCCGTGATCGATCAGCAGCTGGACCACGTCCTTGTATCCCTCAGCAGCCGCAACGAAAATAGGCGTCCAGCCGAACGTGGCCTCGCCCAGCTCTGTGTTGGCTCCTCTGGTAAGCAGGAACTCAACGGATTGCTTCAAGTCCAACTTGGCAGCAATGTAGAGCGCCGTTTCCTTGGTGTCAGGGTCTGCGTAGTCGATGCTGGTCCCCTTGCACCTGAGCAGCGACTCAATAATTCCCGGAGAGTCCAGCCGTGTGGCTATCAGAAGCAGCTCGGGACACGTCAGGGCAACTTTATCGTTCATGGCATCAATCAACACAGACGTGGTCCTTGGGTGGGTGCCGAGAATCGAAAGATGCAGAGGCGTCAACAGCTCAGAGTCTCCCCACACGTGTTTGTCGTCCAGCGAAATGTTCTCGTTGTAAAGGCCCCATTTTTTCAAAAACTCAAGAATAATATGCGTCACCTCTTTAAGGCCGTACTGTGCCGCGTAGTGGAGGGGGGTCCGCTTGTACGTGTCCTTCTGCAAGATGGCAAATTTCAAGTGCGCAGGGAGATGTTCAAAGATGTACAGCAAGCCTTGCGAAGAATCGTTGGAGTTTATTCCGTCGGGGCCAAAAGTGGAAACCAGTCTAAAATTGATGTCCGCAGGAGTGTGGGCCACCGGAATGGTCTGGCTCTCGACCTGCTGCTCCTTCTTTATGACATACTGTTTTCCCAGCGCGATGACGTGGTGATGGATGAAGTTTCTGCCGCTGATGTCGGAAGAATCAGACAGAATAGGGATGATCTCCAAAAGCGCGTCAATACACTTATAGCTGAGATTTAAAGTGGCCTTGTTGAGCAAAGAGATGAGAAGCTTCAGGGGAGCAAGAACAGGGGACATAAAGTCCTTGATCAGCGCCTGGTTCAAGCTGTCGGGGTCATCTCTCTGGATGTGCTCGAGATAGTTGTCCATCGGAGTAGGTTTGAGCGGCTTGACGCCTCCGTTGTAAGTGGTCGACGGCGGCAGAAGAGACGACGACGACGAGCTGATTATGTTCATGTCGATGTTAGATATCGACGACGCAGCAGACGAGTTAATGTTCTTGCTTGCTTGTTGCAGAGCCGTTTCATTGTACATGTCGATAGGAATAGGGTTCTTGTTAGTCTCGTTGGAAGGAAGCAGCTGGTTCAGATACAGATTAATCTGGTTCAAGTTGCGGATAATCTCAGACTCGTTGCAGAAAGGCAGCGGATAAATACGCGCACTCAAGTAGACTTCCTGACGGTTGGTGCCGACTTTCTTATCGAGCTTTTTGAGGATCTTCCTGAACCCGCGTCTGTTGAGCTCCCCGAACCATTTCAGATTACGGAAACAGTTCCGTAACTCGAGCATGATGCCGATCACCTCGTCCGCCTCTTCGTCGTCATTGAACTGCAGCTGTGACGGCGCCAAAACACTTGTTATTTTCTTGAGACGCCTTTCGTACTCACTATATTGCTTGTTGTAGAAGTCGTCCACTTTCTCTATATTTCGGTCAAGGTTGAAGAAAAAGGAGGCCAGCTCCGCCCGAATGTCCGGATCGTTCAAAGTGTCGGCCTCGGGGTCTTTCGCCAAGAGCTCCAGCTGCTGCTGGGAAATGGCCTTGATCTGTTTTTTCAGGGCCTTGTAGTTCATATAAGAGTGTTGCCACTCCGGGACCTGGTGGCCCAGGAACGTCTTTCCAAACTTCATGCCGCACTAAGGATGAAATCTAAACACCTATAATTCCCTAGCGTACCTGAGATTTATATGACTACTTCTCCACGTGAGCAGCGGCACGCCTCCCACCGGCTGGCTACACAATATACACCTCACACCGCATGTGCTCTTTTCTTTGCTACCAAATTCTAGTAATCCGGACAGAGGCCGTCGCTCTTGACCAGACGGTAAACCTGGTTGGTTAGTAGGGCCGGTGTTGGTACTTACGTCGTGCACGGATGCGTTGACAAACTGTCTCGCCTCGAGCGTCATCCAGATCTTGAGCATGTGCAGCTTGTCGCTGTTCTGCGATATTAGTTTACCATCCTGGAAGCTCAGTTTCCGCAAGATTGGCAACGATCTATGCCTTGTTAGTATTCATTCAGTATGTGGGGAACCCCACATTCCATGCAAATACACACCTGGCGAAGAGGTCGAGGTCCGGGTCCAGTTGGCGTCCGATACCTTCCATGAGCAGTATTGCCACTATCACCGTGATGAAGTCTCCGTCCATGCGGACATGGTGCGAACGCACCATGCCGAGCATCTGGTCTAGTAGATCTCCAATTGATATCGATCCCAGTGTGAATGTCCGCTGTTTGACTCTGTTGACGAGTCTCTCTACCTTCATCTTGAACACCTCCGTGTCAATGGCCGATCCTGGTGTTTTTGAGCGCTCTATCATGAGCGTGCCCGCCTGGTAGCCGTCAAACTGTGAGAGCGCGTTGAACAGCGAGATGAAATTGTATCTATCGGTGTCGTCCAGCTCTGTCACCAGCCCCGCGTCGATGAGACAGATTTGAGGGTGGTAGTCCTCCCTGTCCAGTTTTTCGAGCTCAGCCATCAGCTCGGAAGATTGGTTGATCTGGCGCAGACGGACCATCAGTTGGTCTGTTTCCAGCTCGTCCGAGGTCGTCTTGCGCGTCTTTCTATCGCGCTGCACGAAGCGAACGAAAATGTTGCCCGGGTGCAAGTCGGCGTGGATAAAGTTGTCTAGAATCAGCATCTTGAGGAACGCGTCTATCATGCTGTCGCTGACCTCTTTAGAGATGTGCTTGCCTCCCTTTCTGAGATTCAGTATCTTTGTCATCGTCAGACCTTTGATTTCCTCTTCCACGAGCACCTTTCGCGAACTGATATTCATGAAAGGCTTAGGGAATCGGATCTCGTCGCCCGGGAATTTCTCCTTGAACTTCAGTAGGTTGTGGCCCTCTATTCTAAGATCCAGCTGCATTTTCATCAATATAGAAAACTGCTCCACCTCCTGCGGTAACGAGAGCCACTCCATCGTAGGAATGACGTCTATCGCGTTCGCAAAGAACCGCATAAGACGCAGGTCTCTCTCGATTTTGACCTCAATGTTCGGGTGCACTACCTTGACAGCAACGAACTGCTCGTGGTCGTCCTCGGCAAACTTCTTGTTCAGCTTCGCCTTGTACACTTGCGCAATGGCTCCACAGCCAATGGGCACGGGGTCAAACTCGTCGAACACGTCCTCCAGCTTGTTTCCGCCAAACGTGCTCTCGATAATCTGTCTAGTGTGGCGGAAGGAGTGGGATTTTGCATTGGAGTGCAACTGGGCCAGCTCCTCGCACAACCCTTTGGAGAAGATATCGGTACGCGACGCGGCCCATTGGCCAAGCTTGATGAAGGAGGCCCCAGCAAGCTCTGCCAGATGACGAACCAAGCGATACCACAGCAGCGCTCCCGATGTGTCGCCCTCCTTGTTGCGTTTGCCAAAGAATACTATCGGGTACGCCGCAAACATGGGTATAAACAGCGACGTGAGCTCCACAAACCGCGTGACAGTGATCACCGGTTCCCAAACGTAATCCAGCAGCCAGTACTTGATGTAGTAGAACCAGCCGGTGTATTTGCGGCTCTTCTGCTCGCGTCGGATGTCGTTGGACTCGTTTTCCAGCTCCTTTTGCGAGGCAACATAGAGTCCCATTTCGTACGTTGGCTGCTGAGGGTCTACCACTAACTGGTTCTTGTTGCTCAGAACCAAGGGGTTTTTATACAGACCCCTGGACACCCTGGCGTCGTTCAGGAGCGAGTTCTGGCACCAGTACGCGGTCAGCGCCCCGGCGCCGGCTCCAAGAGCCAGCCGGACGCTGCGCTTGTGCACAATTGGCAGCACTAGGCGGAACATGGCAGATAAATAATATTTATTTTTATTTTTTGCCGTAGCAACTAAGTATACACTTTACATCTGCTCCTCTTTGATCACGTCGATAAGCCAATCGAGGCCCTCGGACAGTCCCTCGCCCTTGATGGCACTGGACGCAACGATGCTCCAACTGCGGTCTTTCAAATCCACCAATCCCAATGCCTTCGACACCTCGGCCGCCGTCAAGGCGCCCGGCTGGTCCTGTTTGTTGGCGAACACGAGCAATGCGCTGTCTGTGAGCTCGTCCTCCTTCAGCATCATGTGTAGTTCCTTTTTGGCCACGTCTATACGCTCCTTGTCCGTGGAATCGACCACAAAGATCACTGCTGCGGTGTTGGCGTAGTAGCATCGCCAGTACGGGCGGATCGACGTTTGCCCGCCCAGATCCCACATGTTGATCGATATGTTCTTGTATGTGAGTGTTTCGACGTTGAATCCGATCGTAGGCTTGGTTTTCACCACTTCGCCCATCTGCAGCTTGTACAGAATAGTGGTCTTTCCCGCGCCGTCCAGGCCGAGAATCAAAATGCGGATCTCCTTGTTCACCCCCCAGAGTCGCCCAAAAATGCCGCTGAAGACGTTTCCCATGGTTTTGCCTTTATTTTAATATAAAAATACAGTTAAAACCGGAAATAGTGGATTTCTTTTGAATATTTGATATCCCCGTCGGAAACATTTGACTAATCCGTCGCTAGAAATTGTATCGTGATTTGAGCCATGTGACGAGAAGTGTCGATTTGGTGCTCAGGAAGAATTGTGCTCAGACTTGCGTTCACCCTGTCCCTCGATGTGGGTCAAGGGCATATATTGTAACGGCATAGAAAATAAATACGTGTGATTTGTGTGGCTTCGTGATCCGTCTGCAAATGGCGAAACTGAGATAAGGTACAAGTGTGGCCTCGGTCGATGGATCTCCAATGAGGCAGACGGAACCCTTTTGATATTGGACAAGCACAGTGGATCCGCTAAAAGTTGCTTTATCATATAACTAGCGTGAGCTGGAGATTGCAACCAAAATGCAAATTACGCAAGATTTTGTGCTACAATAGTGCTGATCTGAGCGCTTTTGAGTCACGTTTGGCCACCAGATGATGCATTGCGGCAATGCATGATTTAAGCGTACACTTGAGTATAAGCCATGCGCCATTTAGTTCGATATGAGTAGAAAGTACTGAACTACAATCGTGCCGAATCGTATTCTCGGCTGGAACGTGAATAATAGAATTATTGCACTTTAGGGCTGTATCTGGGCCGAAAGTGGATAATTAGCTGTTTCTTGACCGATACCGCTTAGTTTCCTGCGTTCGTGTAATGTTTGTGCTGGAGTCGAGTTCTATATAGACTATTACTGCCGCACAACAAAGTAAAACCACTTAGGCAGAAATGGTGCCAGTATTGCTCACACCGAATGGCACTATTCACATTGAATTGAGTTGCAACAGAGTCTCGGACGAGCATATATCCTGATTCCATGGTCTTCAGCAGGAATGAATCGGCTGTTTTTGACTTTTCTCGGTACTTCAAATACGACGTTAAATTAGACTGATCATCGCAAACGCATTGATCTCTTTTGACTCAATGGCAAACAATCACACATCAGCTGAAGCATTTCTCCATAGCAGTTACCTACCAAAACCAACAAACGAGTCAGTGGTTGATCATTTATTTTCTGAGGAGAGCACAACGCAGGTAGGAAAAACATCACCAGAACATCAGAGAGTGCCGACGAGGATGCAAAGATCTCCACAAGTATCCAGTATTTCCGGTTTGAGCTTCTCGCAGATCCTTTCCCAGTAGTCGACAGACAAGGCATGCCCGCCCTACCGTGCAATTCAATAATGGCCCGCGCCGGGGCCGCCCTCACGCTCCGCAACCCGCTGCAGAATCGTCTTGATCATCTCGTTGCCTGTCTTGTTAGCCTCGCCGATCATCGGCATAAAGAAATTCTGGGTCTTAACAAACCTTTCCTTGTACAGCTCGTAGTCTCCAAAGGAGACAATGCTCGACCATTCGCGCGCGGCGATAACAAAATTTAGGTCGTCCTGGCGGAACGAGGTCTTGCTCAGACCGTCCTCCAGACACTCTTCCAGAAGGCCAGGCGTGCAGAACAGATACTCCGTCACGCCCAAAAAGATCCGAAACAGCGGAGTCGAGCAGATAATGTGGTCGTACGGCACAATGCCCAGACAGCTCCAGCTGTCCACGATGGCCAAAAGCGAGAGGTGCGAGTTCGGCTGCTTGCCCTCTGGCGGGATCTTGCTGAGCGAGTACTGCTGCAGCAAGTTGTCGTCGAGCAACAGAGTGTGGTCTTTAGGTAGATGCCCGAAAACGGCCTGTTTGGCAGCAAACACTCTGCGCCGCAGCTCGTCGCCCTTGTTCTGAATCATGAGCGAAAACAGCTCCGTGCACGAGTTGGCGTACTGCAAAATCTGCTCGTGCGCGGACGGGTTCGTGATCGCGAGGCCGGCATAGACGTGGTACTTGTTACTGTAGATTCTGAGGCTGATGTTGATCTTTGCGTTCTCTATTCCGCCCAGCCATTTCGGGGTCTCCCAGGGGTACTGGTTGTTGTTGTGCCAGGCGACCCCCATGCTGAGAAACGCCGCGTGGGTGACGGCCTGCGTGTCGGCCGTGATTCTGTCGTGTTCCTGGTAGCTCAGGTAAACGTGTTTCGAGTTGAGACACGACAGCAGCGACTCGACCAGATCGAAGCTCGCGTCGCTTGCGCGGTGCTTGATCAGCACCAGCGGCTGGCCCGTCGTGTCGACGTTCGGCCCGTGCAACGAGTGCATGGACACGATATTCAGGTCGTCGGGCAGATACTCCTCAAACGCCCGGATCTCGGCCTGTTTGCAGGAGGTCTGGCCGCCCACGACGGCGCCGACCTTTGTCGACGGCGCATACATCTTGACAACCTTGGCGATGTTCTCGGCCTCCACGCTGTAGATGACCACGTCGCTTTTGCGCGAAACCAGATGCCCGTTTCTTAGCACCTCAAACGGTTCAGCGCTGAACTTGTCGTAGTTCTCCTCTCTGTCGCAGCCGCACACGTTCCAGCCGGCCTGGCTAAATCGGCGGGCGTACAGAAGGCCCATGTCGCCAAGTCCGATGATGCCAATGGTTTTGGTCGCCTTGAGAGCGTCGATCTCCGAATCAGCCAAAATCATCGAGGTCTAAGTTTTTCTGCGCGTCGATCGTCCAGATAACGACGGACTACTGGGTGGAACGGGTTCGAAGCCGTCGACGAGGGAGCTCCAAAACCGGTCAGCAGCAGTCTCCTTTGTGATCCAGCGCTGTGTATTTGGTGCAGTCGGTACACGCTGCCACCAAGCGTCTTGTAAAATCTCTCAACCTACCGCTTCTACAGTCCCCTTGATCTTTTTCCAGTTCTATTTTTGTTTACCATTTTTTGTTGCTTTCTCCCCATGGCCAAAGCACTTCCCAGCCTGCCTGCCTTTAAAATGGCCGAACCCGAAGAGGCCGGCTCGTTTACCTACAGTGCAGACCTGGACAGAGCAACCGCTGCAAACTATAAACCGAAAACACAGTACCGTTACGGCCTCGCGGGCGACAAGTACGACGTGGAATTCCAGAGGAAAGACGTGAAAGATGCGATCCACATCATCACATCCGAGATCAAACGGAAAGGAACGAAAACCCCGTATTTGCTACTGCCCTTCAGACCACAACAACATGAGCCGGCCCTCAAGTCTTTCTTAAATGCCATATTCGACAACGGAAAAGTGGCAGATCCAGAAGTAGTCCGTGCAGAAACAAGCCAAGCGAGTCCCTACGTGCTGATCAGTGCGCTCAAATTCTTCTGGTGCCGACTCCCGGGAAATTGCGTGGTAGGCTGGAAGACATACACCAAGTTCGTCACGCTCGACGAGGAGGCAGGCTTCCCCAAACGTGCGTTTCTGGAGTTCATGCCGAGCTGTCTTTCGTCCGGCGCGCACGCGTCGATCGTGTACGATTTCTTTGACCTAATCGTTGCACTGATCCTTAACTCGAAGCACAACATGCTCAGTGCGAAGAAGGTGGCCAGGCTGTGCGGCCTGTGGGCGTTCCATCCTGTGAAAAACAAACAGAACGAAACCCCAAGTTTCGAGAGAGGCATGTACGAGTGGATCCCTGCAGGCGATGCGACCTTCCACTTGCTGCTTTCCTTTCTTGATTCGATGCCGCCAAAGGGACAAATAGAAAAGTTGCCCAAGTCATTACAGCATATCTTGAAAAATACCCCGTACCCTCCACCGGCAACAACCACATCCAGCTCGTCGTCGCGTTTTCTCCAGGAAGTGCCTATGATCACCATCAAGGTGAACAATCCGTCAAAGAACCCGGCAGAATTGCTGGTAAGAGTCTCCAAGACCCTAAAATTCAACGACCCGACCGTGTTCTACACCAGAGAAGACTATCTACTACTCAAGCGGCTATTCAAAGACGTGGACGGTCTTATAAGCAAACTCTCGAGCGAGGGAAGCCGTCTTCTGGACAATATGTGCATATTCGACGAAGACATGATCAGCGATGGGACCTCAGGTAACCAGCTGGCTTACAAGCTTGTTCCCGGTTGGTCTGCAGATATGACATCTCCGAAGCCCGTCGAGCTGCGCGATGCGGATTACTTCACAGCTACCGTCTCGAGGGCTACTATAGACGACTATTTTATATGGACATGGTTGGCTTCTCTGGGCAGCGAGGAGACTAGTGCCAAAAAGAAAATGTTTGGTAAGACATACATCATGGAGGTCGAGCTTGCAGAAGGTTTCAAGAAATGGGTCATTGTGGAGGAACAGGATATCGAAAGGGATAACTATGATATTGAGATGGAGCTTAAGCAGGAGAAGCTCAAGTACTTGCAAGACAAGATCCGGGAGGCTGAGAAGGAGGTCGAAAAGATGAAGGTTGCCAACAGAACGAGGGTTGTGTCCGAGAGCAAAGACCTGAATGATATCACCAATAAGATATCTGAACCTCTTCCTTCCAAGCCATATGAAACAAGCCCCTTACCGCCTCCTCCTGTTCCAGAAAAGGATTTTCCAAGAACTCCTGATGGGAAAGAGAATGGGTCTTCTAACCCGCCAAATGAGCGCGGTGCCAAAGCCTATAGTGGCAGTTCTTATTATACTGCACTGCAGACTCCGTCTCCTGCGAGAGACGACAGAAAACCGCCGCCAATGAGACCGATTAGCGAACTGACACATGAGGTTGACAGGTCGGCGATATTATTGCCACCTCCAGCCAGCGTTCCCGCAAATAAGACCGTGCGTACTAATAACAGGCTCCCACCACCTCAGCACGATCATTTGGCGCCACAGCCGAAGCAGGAACATCACAGAGAGCAACCTGCGGATGATTTGCAAAACCGTCGTTCGGCGGTCAGCCAGAAACCTCTGCCTCCGGTAAAGCAGAAAGTTGTGCCTGGCTCTTTCTCACACCAGGCACTCGCATATACCCCTGAGAATATTTCGCCAGAAACTACAGCCTCTGCTGCCTTAGCGTCTCCTTCACCGGCACCGATAGCAGCTTCGTCGCCGGCTTCAGTCTCAGTGCCTAGCTTTGAGCCGCCAAGGATGCTGCAGCAGAAACGCAACTCCAAGATTATCGATGACATCGAGAGTTTGGAGTCTGAATTGATGGATGTCCTGAAGGATGACGAGGAGCCCGCAGATTCAGCCGAACCGTCACCTCACAAAGCCAGAATCTCGCCTCCTGTCCATATACGCGGCCCAGTGCATGCGGCCGCGCCATCTGGATCAAACCAGGCTATGCAGCGTTACTCTCACCACGGGGCTCCCTCAATCGGCTACGGCATCAACGCTCCTCGTCCAGCATACGCGTCGCCGGCTCCGCGGTCTCGCTCGTCGTCTCTGCTGCGCTACGACCAGAGCTTATCACCGTCACCGGAGCACGTGGCACAGTCTCCATACGGCTCTCCTGGTTTCGAACAACGCGGCAGGATGCCTCCTCCTATGCAGGCAGTGCAACCAATGCCTATGAACTACTACCCACAATACCCCCAATACCGTACATACCCGGTGCCCCCGCCAAACGGTTATGCTGTTCCCCACGGTCTACCGTACGGGGGCTACCCTCCGCCAAACGGCTACGCTGCTGCTGCTGTTCCTCCTCAGGGCTACGCACCTGCGCCAGCTTATGGTGGTGGCCAATTTGCCCCGGCTCCTGTGGGTCTTGCGCCCCGCCACAAGAACAAGAACCAGAACCCAAACAAGACGCAGGCGCGCAATGCTCTCATGAAAGGCGATTTCGGAATATGACCGTGGGAACGGCCCTTAGACATTCTAATGAACGAGCACTATTTATCTCCGCTGACGTAAAAAAAACCTAAATTCTCTAACTCAAATGTCCAAGCTGGTCAAGCTGCAACTCTCGTCGACGGCGCTGGCACAGTTTCCAGATCTGCCCACAGAGCTGGCTCGCCCGAAGCGCAAACCGAAGCCGAAGGTGAAGCACGAGGACGATGCTGGTGAGTCGCCCGTGCGAATTGAAGGAACAGACGAAAACGATAAAAAGAGGCGGATCATCATCAAGCCGCTGAAAAAACCGGGTGTGCCTTCGTCTCCGGTGGTGGAGGACACGCCTAGCCGTGCAGAAACGCCTACGGGGAGCAAGGCGCGGGCAAGCGGCCTTTCGGGCGAGCTGGATCGCTCAGGAAGACCCTGCAAGCGGTGGACCAACAAGACGCGCGTGTTCAAGACGTTCAGCGGCTGGGACATCGAGGTCGGGATCTGGAGACCGTCTACGTAGGTTCCTGCATTTTTACTACGTACGCTTTCAATAAATCATCAAATACGGACTGGCCTATATTTGCGTTTGGCTAGGCTAAAATAGTTATTGCTTTTTATGTTCAAGCTTCTGTCTTTTGCCAATGCTCCAGCGATTGTGCGGGCCAACCAAAAGGACTCCTATTTTGAGTCTCGGCTGCACAAGCAGCTCTCCGACGCTGTGAAGGCTGTCAAAGGCTCTCGCTTTGTCCACAAGTACCCGGAAGAGCTGCGAACCCTGGCAACGGCCCTTTATCTGTGTCTGACAACATTGGTGGGCTCAAAGACGCTGGGCGAGGAGTACGTCGACCTGGTGTATGTGAGTCGCGATGGCCGCAAAATACCGAAGTTTGCGTCCCGATTGGGCTTCATCACGGCGTACGTGCTCTTCCCCTACGCTGTTCGGCAGCTGCTACAGAAACTGAAATCACAGCAAACCCGGCTCGCACAATGGGTTTCCGGTGTCAGCTACGTGAACGTGATGGATCTCATGAACCTGCACCTGGCCCTCTTCTACTTCACAGGCAAATACTACCAGTTTGCGAAAAGACTCTTTGGTCTGCGATATGCGTTTGGGTACCGGGTCGATAAAGCTCAGCAGGGAGCGCGGGGCAACTACGAGTTGCTGGGGCTGCTGATCATCTTCCAGACGGTCTTCAAGAACGTGGCAAACGTGCGGAAGCTGTGGGGGGCCACCGAGACCGTGCAGGACACTGGCGACCTGATCTTCCGGTTCAGAGACCAGACGAGCAACGTCGTGGACCTTGCAGACCCGAATGTGCTGCCGTACCTTCCTGAGGCTTCGCGCACGTGCATGCTGTGTCTGTCGCCGATGAAGGATCCGTCGTGCGGCGAGTGCGGCCACGTCTTCTGCTGGAAATGCGTGCTGGACTGGGTCAAGGAGCGCCAGGAGTGCCCGTTGTGCCGGGCCAAGATGAGAGAGTCGCAGCTGCTGCCTCTACGATAACCGTCTATCAACAATGCATTTGGGTTACGGATCAGTTTCTATTAACTCCCATGCGGAACAGCACCTGCTTGCCCTTCTTGCCCTTTTTGACCTCGAGGTCGGACTCCTCGCGTCGTTGCGGCAGGCCCTGGCCCCACTGCCCGATAGAGGTGTTGACCGGGTTGACCCTTGGCGGCTTGGGTTTCTGGACACTGGGCAGCTTGGGGAACAGCTGGTCGTCCAATGCCGGGGCCTGGGGCTTGGGCTGCGTGTTGTTGAGATACGTCAGTCGCACGTTTGACGAGGTGCCTCTATTGACAACGGGCTTCGACTTTGGTGGCGCCTTGCGCAGCCCCGTCACGGGCTGGTTCTGGCCCCACGGGCCCACGGGCCGCGAGGCCGGCGCCGTGCTGAGCGCTGGGAACTGCTGGTCGAGCAGTTTTTCGCGGTTATGGCTCTTGAGCTCTGTCTCGAGAAATTTATGTGGGGACGAGTTTTGCGGGAACAGCTCCTTGAGCTCGAGCAGCAGCAGGCCAAGATCCTCGGCCGAGCTCTGCACAAACAGCTGGCGCAGTTTCGCAAGCACCTCGCGCTCGTTGCCGTTCTTGCCGAACTCGCCCACCAGCCTCTGGAACTCGTCCACCTTGGCCTGGTCATAGTTCAGGTAATGTCTAGCTCGCTCGTCGAGCCGCAGCTTCTTGGTCTCGTAGCTGTCCTTGGGCTCGTCCTGCTTCTTTTTCTCGATCGTTAGCTTGCCGCCGAACGCCGGCAGCTTGCGGTCGCCGCCCAGAATGGAGCCGTGCTCCTTGATCTGGTGCGCGCGCAGGTCCAGCTCGTCGCGGAACACGACAAACTTCTGGTCCAGACAGGACTGCACGTTGCAAACGTAGTGCGCGTCGCGGAAGTGCGACGCGAGATGGTCGTAGTCTCGGAAATACTGCGGTTTTGTAGCGTCGATCTGGTCGCAAATATGGCACTTCTCGTGCTTCTCACGCATGTGCACAAACAGCTCGTCGTCGCTGTAGAACCGCTTGCCAGTGCAGAACCGGCACGGCGGGTGGCCCTTGAACCCGTTCTGGTCGCCCTTGACCTGGTGCTGGTGCAGCTGGCGCGAGTTGTACAGCTTGAGCTCGCACACAAACTGGTTTTTCTGGTTGACGCAAATGTTGCAGAAAACTCTGTCGTGCTGCGTGCGAACGTGCTCGCTGAGCTGCTTGAAAGTGCTGAACACAGTGCTGCACCTGGGACACTTGTTGAGCAGCAGGTCGAGCGTCTGTTTCTTGGCGTCGTGCGACGTGAAGTCGATGGCGTACCGGTCGTCCGAGGCCGCGACCGTCTGGCTCTCGGAGTCGGCAAACAGCACTCTCTCGTTCTCTGTGCGACACACCAGACACTGTTTCTTGTGGTACAGGGCACGGGTCCGAAACGCGCACACATGGCACGTGTCGTGCTTGCAGGGTGTAACGGCCCTGATTCTGATCGGGTTCGTGCACACTATACAGGACATGGCCGCTTTGCAAACTTTTTTATTTTTTCATGCTAAATTTGAGTGCTACGCTGCACGTCTGGAAGGCCGTCGCCAACCCGGCGCTCGTGAACCCGCAGCTGATTGTCCCCACGTTCCAGCACCTGCCGCATCACCTCCCCCACATCAGAGGCATGGTGCTGGACAAGGACAACTGCATTGCAAAAGACCACGACGACAGAGTCTGGCCCGCTTACGAGGAGCGCTGGAGCTCTCTCAAGGAGGAATACCCCGGACGGCTGCTCATTGTGAGCAACTCGGCGGGCACGAACGACGACGTGGACGGCCAGGCGCAGCGGCTCGAAAAGAACACTGGCGTGCCTGTTCTGCGGCACTCCACCAAGAAGCCCGGGTGCTGGCCTGAGATTGTGGCCTGGTTCGGGCAGCGCGGCGTGGCGCCGCACGAGATCGCCGTCGTGGGCGACCGCCTGTTCACAGACATCTTGATGGCCAACATGATGGGCTCGTACGGGGTGTGGGTGCGCGACGGGGTGCACCTCTCGCAGTCTGTGCTCTGCCGTTTTGAGCGCTTCCTAAAAAAATAATTAAAAATAATCTGCTACCACCAGCTACCATGGCCGCACGCAACAACATGTCCACATTCCGGCTGCTTCTGGAGGCGCACGGCCGCGCCGCCGACATCCGCCCTGCGCGGATCAACGAGGTGGCCAACTGGGACGCCATATTCTCCGACCCCAAGATGTTCTCCTCGATGCTCATCTACATAGCGTTCATGATGGCACAACTGGGGCTCAGCTACGCCGGGTTCGTGTATTTTGAGGTCGAAAACAGGCCCGCCATCTACAGCGTGTCGCTGCTGTACAACATATTTGCGTCGTACTTCTTCCCGATCCTCATAGCCAGCACCATGGAGGAGAACCTGGAGAACCCGTTCGAGAGCCTGCGCAAGGAGGTGCGCGCGTGCCAGGGGTTTTTGGTGTGCGTGTGCATCCAGGCGGCGGCTCTGGCGCTGTCAGCGTGGTCCACGGTGCGGATATTGCAGACGGGGCAAGTGCTGCTTGTCGACTACGACTACGTCTCGAGAAGCACCAAGAAAATCGACGTCACCAGCATGATCAAGGTGTTCCAGGTGGTGAGCTTGAGCCTGACGGTGTTTGGGTTCCTGATGAGCCTCGTGAACTTCGTCATCACGCGAAACAGACTCATCCGGTACCTGCACCGCATCGAGCGCGAGGGCGAGCACGAGTGGGCCGGACACAATCTGCCGGACGACTTCTACGAGCGCTGTCTCAAGACGCACCGCGGCACGGCTTAATAGATCCAATACCAGTATATTTTGCAAATTTACATGTATGCCATCCACAGGGTGTCTGTGCTGGCGAGGTTGCGCGGGTTGACGGCGTGCGCAATGAGGTTGAGGATGAACTGCGACGCGATGCCCTGGCCCTCCATGTGGCCGAGCTGTGCCACGCGCTTGGTGACGTAGTTGACGTTGACCCTGACGATCTCGCGCAGGTGCGGGTCGCCCGCAGAGGGTCTGTGCTGCTGCGTGAACCAGGCGACCACCTCGTCGCGCACAAAAAGACTCAAAAAGTGCTCCATCTCGTACTGCGGGTCGCTCAGACACTGCGCGATGATCATGATGTGCGCAGACAGGATGCCCTCCATGCCGGCCTCGCCGATCAGCTTCTGCACGTTGGGCGTGAGCCGGAAGGGCACCATCTCCAGCGAGCAGAACAGCGGCGCCGCGCGCTGCGCCGACACGTCGAGCGTGCTGTTGGCGAACGCGTTCGAGTGTGTCTTGCCGCTCGCCACCTTGTACGGCAGCATCTCGGACGTCCACACGCGGCCGGAGCTCTGGTTGATGTGGATTTTCTGCGGCTGTCTGGAGTTGATGCACAGCATGTACGTCATGAAGATGAACGAGGCATACTGCGACGTGAACTGCTTGCGGAACAGCCAGAACTCCTCGAATCTGGTGTAGTGCCTGAGGAAGTAGTCCTTCATGACGGTGCTTGGCACCAGCGTCGACTGGATCGCGGCCAGGATCTCTGTCTTGACGCTCAGGATGTCTGGCTTCGGCAGCCGCGGGTCGTACGCGGCATGCAGCTTCTCGATCGTGTACGCGAACGGCTCGTCCTTGTTGAGCCCGTTCTTGCGGCAGTAGTCCTCGTAGATGCTCAGCATGTTGACGTAGTCCTCGCTGTCGCTCATGATGCGGATGTGTGGGCTGAGCGGGATTGCCACGGGCAGCGTGAGCTCGATGTTGCGTCTTCTGGCCTGCACGTTCTTCGAGAGCGCGTCGTTGAAGATGCGGAACAGCTGGAAAATGCGCTCCTCGCGGCGGCAGTGTCTCGCGGCCGGGAACTGCACCGCAAACGAGTGCAGGCTGCCGTCGTGGCCGCGGATCGTGATGCGCTTGTAGCACGCTGTCGAGCCGCGAATCAGCTCCAGCGTCGGCAAAAACCTCTCGATCTTGACGAAGTGGTTGTTGGTCTCCTTGTTGAGCAGGTACTGGCCCGGAATCTCGATGTCCTCAAATTTCTGGTGGTGGAACTGGCTCAGGTGCGGACACACGCGCTCCATGTTCATCTTGCCGAAACTGCGGTCCAGCTTCTCCTCCAAACAGTCCTTCCACTTGCGCAGCTTGCTGATGTAAGTCTCGAGGTTCGGCTTGCTCTTGATGATGTCCACGTCGAACTCCTCGCGGATGTGCTTCGGCAGCACGGTGTCTGCGAACCGGATGATGTTGGCCTCCGTGGCAGGCGGCAGCCTGGCGTCCTCCTTCGGGTTCGAGAGCCGGTTGAAGTACTGCACACCGTCGTTGTACAGCGCCACCACGAGCCGGTACGCGTCGTCGTCGTGGCTGCTCTTGAACCGCTGGCTGATCTGGTCAACGAGCGACTCGAGCGACAGAGCCAGCAGCGGGTACGCGGTCTTCAAAATGCCCATGATCTCCTCAACGTGCTGCCACGGCTGCGAGTTGACCCCTGGCGTCGACCCTGGCGCCGGCGACGAGCTGCCCACAGGCGTAGCCCCCGTTGGGTGCTGCGCAAGCGCCTCGGGACTCGTTGGCGCGTTGTCGCCGTTCGAGTCCGGCCGCTGCGTCATCTGCCGTTGCAGCACGGCAAAGTCCTCTTTGGTGGTGCGCAGCTGGAAGTGCAGCGCCTGCGGATACGACTTGGCGATGCGGATGAGCACGTGACGCGCCAGCCGTGCTTCGCGGTGCGACAGCGACGTGAGCAGCTGTGGAATGAACGTGATCCAGTGCCACACGGGCATCTCGCCCTGGTGCGACTCGAAGGTCTCCGCCAGAGTGCCGCTGGCGTCGTCCAGACTGATCAGCCACAGAATGCGGCACAGCAGCCGGCGCGCCTTGTTGTTCTTGTACAGTCCTGCCGCCTGCAGGTAGCAGCTGATGGCGTGTTTGGCGTACGCGATGTCGTTGCTCTCTTTGAACCGGGCATCGTTGAAGAAGCCCCACTCGGCCCACGCCTTGGGCAGGTTGAGGTCGAGCTGGACCGCCGTGGCGAACGCCTGGTTCGCCTCGTCGGGCGAGTTCAGCTTGGCCAAGAACATGCCCTTGAGCGTGATGAACTCGGCCTTCTGCTGCGCAGCAAAGTAAACGAGGTTCGTGTTGCTGATCACGTCCAGCCCGGTGTTGAGCTCGGCCGGGTTCTGGTAGTGGCACTTGGCCTGCTCGCGCAGCTTCAGGAAGGCCTCCTGGATCTCGATGTTGGGCAGAGTGTAGATCTTGGTCAGCTGGTTGATGCACACCTCGGGCATGTTGTGCTTTCTGGCGACGTGGGCAAACCGGTTGATCACCCAGGCGATCTCGTGGTAGCCGCGGAACGCGTACGAGTTGTTGTTGCTGTTGTTCTGCTGCAGCGCAGGAATCAGAGGCATGTACACCTTGTTGATCACGTTGAACGCGTGCTGGCGCCACGTGACCAGGTCGTTCCAGATATTGATGTCGTCCCAGATGTTGGGCAGCCGCTCGCGCCACGCCTGCAGCACGCGCTTGAGCTCCTGGCTCTTGACGTCCAGGTTCTGCGCCGTCGTCGTCGCGAGGCTGCGGTACACCTGGCTCGCCTCCATGAACTCGACGTACTGCTGGAATATGTGCAGCAACGAGATGTGCGCGCCCGTGATTCTTGTCGGCAGCGAGTGCCACTTGCGCAGCGCCAGCTGGATACCCTCGTCGCAGTACCGCGTCACGTTCTGGATCGTCTCCTTGCTGTGCGCGTAGCCCTGCAGACACAGGAACGTCTGGAACATCTGCCGGCGCGGCGTCGGCACGTCCATCACCGTCTTGACGCTCTGCTCGAGCGGCTCCCTGTCGGAGATCCAGTCCGCCACGCGCCAGCCGCACTCGAGCAGCAGGTCTGTGAACCCTTCGTGTTTCGCCAGCTCGGTGAGGATGTCCCAGTGCTGCAACTTTTCTGCGCACAGAATCCAGTTGTCCTCCCATAGTGCGTACTCGCTCTCGCTGTACGGCAGCACGCCGCTGCGCGCCTTGATCTGCGCGTTCTCGTAGAGCTGCAACGCCTTGTCCCATAGCCCGATCTGCTCGTACGACAGCGCCGAGTTTGTCTCAAAGTACTTGGCCCGACGCCGCCACATCCCGTAGAACATGTCGTCCTCCTGCAGGTTCGAGTACATCTCCACGAGCGCGTCGCGGTTCGTCTCTTTGATTTTCTGGTTCTCGGTGACGGGGTTGGTCTCGATCTGCTCCATAATGCGCACTCCAGAGTACCAGGCGTCGTAATTCAGCCCAAGATACTTGACGAGGTGCGGTGGCAGCTGCAGATCCGCACACTTGCCTGCGGCCTCCAGCATCGTGTGGATCACGTTCGGCTTGCCGTCCTGCTGCCGCACGTGGTAGTCCTTCGACAGCAGCGTCACAAACGAGTGCAAGAAGTCTGCCTTGTTGCGGTGGTCGATCGCGCCGTACGCGATCGGGAACAGTGTGCACCACGAGTTGTGGATCGTTTCTGGGCTCTGGTACGAGATGTCCATCAGCGGCTCCAGCACGTCGCGTGCACGCACCCGCACGTGCGTCTTGAGGAAGTCCATGTGCTTGCTGACGAACGCCTTGATCGGCTCGCGAGCCGCAGGCTCCTCCGTGCCGCGTTTTGGCAGCGCCTCGTCGATGTCGCCCAGAGCAGCAAGTTTGTACTCGTTATCAGTGTACTTCAGCACATGGTCGAAATCAAAGCTGCCGTAGAGCAGCTGCGCAGCCTGGTTCAGCCATGGGTACTCAGCAAGGTACTCCCAGTTCTGTTCGCGCACAATATAGAAGAGCCGTTTGTCGAGGTCTTTCTCGATCGAGCGGTCCAAGATGCTCATCAGCTCGCGACGCACGCCCGTGTCGGACAGTTTCGTGCCGACGAGGAACGGATGCTCCATGCGCACGGTCAGCTCGGTGCCGGCGAGCGCGGGGTCCTTGAAAATGTCGATGATGATCTGGTAGAACGCTCTTGCCAGCTCTGAGTCGCCCTTCATCTCGAACACCATCATTTTGGACAGTATGCCGGCGTTCTCCTTGGTAGTCGGGAAGAGCTCGTTCTTTGCAAAGACCCAGCCGCGCGCAATGTTGATGATGCGCATCAGAAGGTTCTTGTCGACGGACCGGTCGATCAGTTGCACCAGCAGCGACAGGAAGATGCGACGCTGGTCACCAAGCACGGAAATACGCATGCTCGAGAAATCCAAAATCTTCTTCAGCAGCTTCGTCGTCATCTTGGCCTCGTAGTCCGTCTGGTACGCGCTCTGCTCGGCCGAGTTGCTGAACTGTCTGTTCTGGCTCGCTATAGCAATGTGGTCCTTCACGAGCTTGCTGAGCGTGCGCATAATCAGCGGAATCTGCGCGTTCTGCGCGTCCGGCTTGTACTGCGCCAGCGTCCACGACAGAGTCACCCCTGCCGCGACAGAGTTCATGCTATTCAGATCTTCGGCGATCACGTTGGTCAAAAAGGTAAGGAAGTTCGTCACCTCCTCGGGCTGCTCCTCCTCGGTGGCCGGCACCTGCGTGTTGATTGCGCTCAGAATCAAGTTCAGCACCTTCTGCAGCGCCTCCTGGATGTCGTGGTTGTCGGAACGGATACATTTCTCGAGCAGTTTCTGCAAGTACTCCAGGTTTGAGACGATCCATTCCGCAGGCTTCCACTCCAGCGCAACACCCAGCACCTCCAGCGCGTTCAAACAGTAGCCTAGCACGTTGCTCGTGCTGAAGTCCGCGGCCACCAAGAACCGCTCAAAAAAGGCAAGCTTGACTGTCACCTCGGGCCAGTACTTTGGAGACAGCAGAATGTGCAGAATGTTGAGCGCACGCTGTCCCAGCTCGTTCTCTGACGCGCGCTGTTGGCTGATGCAGACGTAGCGGATGAGGAACGTGATACAGGTCTCGCGCTGGCCAAATGGCACCGTGTACGTCTTGGCGTCCGAGTCGACGTCCATCTTGTCGCCGTCGCCGGTGCCCGCCGCCTCCTCCTTCGCCTTGGTCTCCCAATTCAAAATCAGCTCGCCCATGTCGATCGCCAGGACCTGGTTCTCGGTCGAGCTGTTGTTCAATATCGTCAGCTTGCCCACGGCAGTGATGATGTTCGGCACAAACTGGTCACGTGCCTCGTAGAACAGGTCTGCGTGGTGCACAATAAACTGGTACACGTTAAGCACCTGGGTCACGTTGAAGCCGTCCTCGGACAGCACGCGGCGCGGCCACTTGAGCCACTCCATGCTGGACCCGATGCGGGTCTCCAGCACAGGGGCAAGGATGTCCAGCGCCTGTCGCACAAGGTACCGCACGTCGATCTGGTTGGCGCGCAGCAGCGCCACGAAGATCTGCGTCACCAACTTCGCCGGCGTCTCAAACGCAGCGATGAAGTACGCCGTCGACACGTAAGCGGCCTGTTTCGTGATAGCGTCGTCCAGCGTGATCAGGTTCCAGTTGAACTTGATCACGTCTTTTTTATAGTCGGCAATTAGCTCCGGTGACGTTTTCTCCAGCAGCGCGGTCAGTTGCAGAAGCTCCACGCGGTACGAGTCAAACGAGCCCGTTTCCTCTCCGTGGTGGTTTGCTTTCCAGATTTTTTCGTTCACAGCACCGAGCCAGGCGTCGTTCACAAGCCCTGCAAGGTTTCCGTTCTCGTGCAGCTCGAACAGCAGCGTTGGCAGCAGTATATTGCGCAACAAGTACAGCTTGGCGCCCATGCAGACGTCTGTGCCGAGAGCTTCGAGGATGGCGCTCAGATATGCCTGGCGCAGCTCGACGCTTGTGTTCTTGACGATTCTCTCAAACGTGTAGTCCTCAAAAGCTGGCGACACTGCTACCTGTTTCGCGGTCACAAACGCCACGAGGGCAAGCGTCTCCTCCGTTCCTGCGCCAGTTGCCTCGAGGAAATGGACGTAGGTCGTCTGCAGTTTGTCCATCGCCTGTTCGAGCATGAAATGGCAGTCGGACTTGAGCCCGGCGGTTTTCGCGTACTCGATCGACTGCACCGACGCGTCGAAAAGCTGCTGGAAGAGCGGTTGCTGCTGCTTGAGCCAGTCGCGGTCCGTGTGCGCGATCGCGGCAACAAGGTCTACCAGGTTGGCGAATTTCACGTAGCGCACGTTCTGGTCCTGCTCGTCGGCCAGGCTCTTGGCAAAGGTGTCCAGTTGTGCGCGGACCTGGCTGCGGAGCTCGGGCGAGTCTGGCAGGGCGACAAAGTACGCAAGCCAGCAGCCGTACGTCCTGTGGCTGAACTTCTGGATGAAGTAGGTCACGGAGTGCTCGCTGAACCGGTTGAGGAACTTGGCGATCGGGAGCCGGAACGGAGATGTCTGGTGACGGCGCAGGTGCGTCTCGAGGTACAGCAGCGTGCTCAGCAGCTCTTCCATAAAAGTGTACGCCTGTGGGGGCAGCAGGTGGAAGATGTTGAGGATGGCGACGATGATCTGAACGGTCGAGTTATTGTCGAGCTCCTGTAGGGCGATGCGTTGCAGAGTCTGCGGCTGGGCCCATGCCATTAGGTGGTCAAGCAGTTTGCGGCCGATTTCGACCTTGAAGTACGAGATGAGCAGCTCCAGAAGCCGCGATAGCGCCTCCAGCCCAGACACAGACAGCTTCTTGTGGTCCGAGAGGTTCATGAGCATCGGCCGCAGACCGCTCTGCAGCAGCTCCTTGGGCAGCTTGGAGTTCTGCGACAGCACCTGCTTGAGCCCGGCGTGTGCCGCGTTGATGATCTGCGACGACTTGGCACACAGCGTCTTGAAGAAGACGCCAAGGATGCGGATCCGGATCTGCGGGTTGCCGTTGGAAAACGCCGGTTTGGTGAGCGCAAGCGACAGCAGCTTGATGCACACGACACGCAGCTTCACAAGCTGCTCGGACGTGCGGTGCTCGGAAATGCGGTGCGCGCTGATCAGCGACTCGTCCTCCGCGTCGACGAGCGCGAGCGCCTCGGAGAGCAGTCTGTTCAGCTCGTCGTTGAACTCCAAAAACGTGTCCTCGAGCCCGAGACAGAACGTGATGGCGTCGATGTTGCCGATCTGCATGTGGAACGGCAGTGCGCGCAGCGGCTTGCCGAAGATCGGCGCCAGCAGAATGCCCTTGCTCGGCGAGATCATCGTCGCGACGGGGACCTGGGTCACGTGCGAGAGCGTCTCGAGCGCCTCCTGCGCCGTCTCGCGCACGTTCGGGTTCGAGTTGCTCAGGTCAAACACGATCTGGCTCACCACCGACTGGAACGGTTGCTGGAACACCGCTTCCTTGGAGACCTCGCGGTTGCAGTCGTTCAGCAGCTTGAGCACGAGCTGCTTTGCCACGCGACAGACTTCGGACGGCACGTCCGGCGGCGTGTCGCGCAGCACAAAGAACATCGCGCGGCAGATCTCCAGCTGCCGCAGCGCAAAGTACTGCACAGGAATGTCCAGCTCGTACATCATCGTCTGCAGCCCCAGGCATCCGCCCAGTTTCGTGTAGTACGCCTCCTCGAAGCAGCAGTGCACAAACTTGGAGCACATGCGCCGGATCGGCAGAAACTTGATCGCGTCGTCAATGCTGCCAAAGAGCGTCACGCACGCGTTGAAAATCGTGCGCACCGCGTCCACGCCCGCGTCGCGGACGGCCTTGATGTGGAAGCTGAGAGCGTACGAGATGGCGTCAAAAATGGTGTTCTCGTTCAGCGACTTCTTGCCCTCGTGGTCGCTCACACTGAACCTGCGGTTGAACTTGTACGCGTCCACCATCGTGCGCCCGAAAAAGAGCAGCACGTAGTGCTCGCAGATCCCCTGGATCAGCGCGGCCGCCTCGTCGCGCACCTCGTCGATCGACACCGCGTAGAACAGCGCCTCCAGAAGCCGCACGAGCAGCTCCTCCTGCCGCGTGAACCGTGCCGGGTCCTTCACGTTGTCCGCAGCCAGCACGATCTCGCCGCTCGTGCCGAGCTCCTTGGCCTTGGCCTCGTTGGTCACGTGACTGATCACCTGCTGGATGCGTGCGTCGAGATCCGCCGGCACGGCGTCTGTGTCGATGAAGAGCTTGAGCACAGCAGAGAGGTACTTGAACGCACTCACGCGGTAGTGCATCTTGTAGCGGGTGTTGACGAGCGTGTTGAGCGCGGTGGAGATGCCCGCCGTGATGGACACTGGGGTCTCATTTGGCAGGCCCTCGATGCGGAACAGTGCCTCCAGCTCCTGGTTCGTGGCCGTGCTACCCTGCAAATCGTGGTGCAGCCCGATGAAATTGTGGTTGCGGCCGCCCAGCTTGCCCAGCAGCCGGAACGTGGTGTGCGAGTGCTGGTGGTAGTACGGCAGCGGGCGCAGGTGCTTCCAGAGCGCCTTCATCACGTCCTCGATGACGGGCTCGATGATCGGGTCGAAGTACTCGGCGGTCAGGTTGTCGACGCAGAGCTCCAGCGTGCGCAGACCCTGGCTGATCAGCTCCTGCGAGCCGTTCAGGGCGTACACGAGCGGGCGCATCAGGTAGCTGAGGTGCGGGACCAGCACGCTGAGCCGCACAGGAACGGTAAGACACAACTCGACGTAGATATCGCGCTCCTGCGGTCTTCTGGCGCTCTGGATGAGTCTGTTGAGCGATTCGAGCAGCACCTGCAGCAGCGGCAGGATCTCTTTATAGAGAGCTTCGAACCTGCCGCCGCCGATGCTGCGGAAGAGCGTCCGGATGAGGTAGAAGTACACGATGGGCTCCTTGGCAGTGGTGGTGTACTCCAGCGAGCGCAGGATCATCTTGTTGAGATGCGGCAGGATGACGGTCTCGTTGGCGGCCTGGAACAGGTTGACCGACATGAAGCACAGCTTGAAGAGCCGGATCAGGATGTTGGACTTGACTATGTCCATCTCGCCGAGCTCGCCGAGCTTTGACATGACGAAGATGATCAAAATGCCGGAGAAGTTGGACGTCGTGGTCTCGCTGGCCAGGAAGAACTGCGGGATGTGCAACAGCGCGGCGTTTTTCAGCATCGCGTCGAACATCAGCTCCAGCTGCGACTGCATCACCTCGTTAAACGCAGACGGCTCCAGATAGATGAACATCGTGGCCAGGATCTCCATCAGGTCTTTTTCCTCCTTGGACGAGGTGATCGGCAGGTTTGGCCCGCTCACGTCGAACGTCTGCTTCACTTGCGCGCTGCTGAGCACAGGTTTCGAGCTCTGGAAGAACCGCAGCCCAAAAATGCACTCGCGGAACAGCTCTTTCAGTATGTTGATCTCCTCGCTGCTCACAATCCGCGCACAGTCGTTCCACACCTGCGGCGTGTAGTCCTTTTGTGGAGGCGGGTTGCAGCTCCGGAACCCATAAAAAATCGACTTTAGGAACGTCATCAGCGTCCGGAACAGGTACTTGGCGCTCTCGAGCGGGTCCTGAGGCGACGGCTGCGCGAGGTGGATCGGCAGCTCGCGCTGCATCTCATAGAAAGTGTATTCTGGCGAGTCGATGTCCATGGCGTCAGCGGCGTTCGATTCCGGTTTCGCTTCTGGTTTCGGATCCTCCGCACCAAACAGAGGCTTACCGGTGAGCTGTTCTGCCTTGCTGCGCCAGGACAGGCTGTCGACGCGTTTCTGTTCCTTGTTTTGCACAAATTTCTCATGCTGCTGCACAATTTCGGCGTACTGTCTGTTCAGCAGCGCAAACCGCTTCACAAACGCGTTGATCATGATCAGAAACAGCTGGCGTCCGTTCTCTTTGTCGTCCAGCTTCAAAACGCGGTCCACGAGATTCAGCAGCAGCTTGGCGCTCATGATGTGCACGGTCTGGGCCAAAGTCGCGTCCTGCAGGTGATCGCAGTATAGCTGAACGCTCTTCCAAATGCGGTCGGTCGATAAATTGCCGTTGACGTGGATAAAGTCTGCGACGATCGAGTAAGCGAGCGGCCGCAGTGTCTCGTGCGCAGTCAGGCCCTCGCCGATGATCACACGGTCGTCAAAGAGAAGATCCATTTTGGGCAGAAACAACGAGCGGAACTCGGTCGACAAGATGTGTCTGGTGGCATGCAAAAGCTCTCTTCTGGCCGTGGCAAGCTCCGGCGGACAGTCCTGCAACAATCGCACTATGAGGTCCGGAATCTCGCCCAGAAACGGCTCGAGCGCAGAGTTGGCTCCGCGCCGGATAAACACGTACGCCAGAAAAGAGGCGGCCTTGACCTGGCCCAGAATGAAGTCGGCATATAAGGCACGGTTCTTGATCTCCTTCGTCACCCCGGTGACGTACTCGCCACGTGCCTTGGCGGCCTCGTGGGCCTCCTGTTGCTTCTTGGCCTGCAATCTCAGCAACCCGATAACCTGCGGAATAAAGTTGGCAACCGAGCCGTCGATGATCTCCTTGTACGACGAGTAAAGCGAAACCATTGTTATCGGACACTCGGCGATCATCTTGAACGAATGAGTCGCCTTGAACAGCGTCTTGGACGGGTTTTCCTCCAACTCCAGCGAGCCAGGCGAGCCACTTGTCGGTGGAGCTGACGACTCGTCGTGGCCGCCGAACTGCTCGTCGACGACTTGCGGGATGTTGCTGTAAATTTCTCGTAGAATATCGATGAATTCCTGCACTCTGTCGGCAAACTTCGTCTTGTAGCTCTTGTGCAGCGACGCAATGATCTTCATACACTGTATTCCGTTCTCTTCGTTTTCCTCTCTGATTAATTTCGTCAACACGTCCAAAACCTGGACGCTGTACGGCTGGAAAGCCTCGTTAACAGGCAAACGGTGAATGATGTCCAGCACCAAGTGCCGCAGCTTCTGCTCAGGCGAATTGGACACCATGCTGACGGGCACAGAGTCGAGAAGCTGGAAAAAAACCGGCATCAGGCTCTTGAGAAAATGCTCATACTCCTGGGCACCATTGTAGGTCTCCAGAGTATCACAAAGCTCGGACAGGACGGCGTGTTGCGCGCCCAGGTCTAGGCTCGGGTCCTGCAGCCTTGTAACAAAGCGTTCTAGAGATGCCATGTTATTTTCTCTATAAACAATATTTCACGAAAAAAAAGGGGATTTCTCAGACTTTTTGATCATTTGCCGGTCACGTGACTGCCGCCGGTGTGCTTCAGCCGGCTGCACAGACTGGCGTACTTGTGGAGCAGGTCGAGATACTCGGCAACAGGGATGTATGTGCGGTCGCCAACGGACCTGAAGAGCACCTCGGGGGGCACAAAATACTCGTTCTTGTTCAGCTTATGCAGCGGACCGCCTCTATAAATGTTCTCGCTCTGGTCTATTTCCAGCTGGGCCTGCCTGGCGAGATTGTCGGCCACCTGGATGATTTCTGGGTTCTGGTATGCGTAGTCGTCAAAAATTGGAACGGAGCAGGGTTCCTTTTTGGCCGGCGTTTTTGGTGCAAAGGATGTAAAGATCTTCTCTTTCAGATCTCCCGGCTCGCCTTGGTGTGCCTGGTTTTCCTCTCCGGAAGCGGGCTTTTCTGACTCCTGTGATGATTTTCTGAACAGATTCCACACTCCCTGGCGGATTTTGGAGGATTTGTTTTCCGGCTGCTGCATTTTTGGTGACCCCAGCTTCAGTTCCATCGCCGTGGGGGGTCTAGTGCGTACTGTCTTAGGACGCTCAGGCCTGGGGCTGCCTGTTTTGGACTTGCGGATGGAAGCGCAGGTGGGCCGGGCATAGTGGGGCAGCTCCTTTGGCGACTCCTCTGTCATGAGAACCAGACTTTTGGCTAAAGACATGCCTGGCGCTAAAAGAAGGAGGGAAGACAAGATCCTTAAAATGATTACATAAGAGGCAGAAAAAATTATCAGATCTTTAAAAAAAATAAACCCAGCTAGATAATTATGGGCAAGGCCAAGAAGACCAGAAAGTTTGCACAGGTGAAACGGGTGCTTTCGAAAAACGACCCGAGGAAAAAGGAGAATGCAGACAAACCGAAGCAGACAAGCGATAAAGAGCTTGTGAAGGAAGTGCCGCAAGTTTCATCTGCCCTTTTCTTCCAGTACAACGAGGCAATCAAGCCACCTTACCAGGTACTGGTGGATACCAACTTCTTCAATTTTAGCATCCAGAAGAAAATCGATATAGTGCGCGGCATGATGGACTGTCTCTATGCCAAATGTATTCCGATTGTGACAGACTGCGTCATGGCGGAGCTCGAAAAACTGGGCCATAGATACAGAATAGCGCTCACGCTCGCCAAGGACCCCCGGATCAAACGGCTGACGTGCTCGCACAAGGGAACGTACGCGGACGACTGCCTGGTGCACCGGGTAATGCAACACAAGTGCTACATCGTGGCTACCAACGACGCAGACCTCAAACGACGCATACGGAAGGTGCCCGGTGTGCCGATCATGAGTGTCGGTAGCCACTCGTACGTGATCGAAAGGCTGCCGGACGTGTTTTAGTGCATGTAAATGGCGTTGTTATAATTTGCGGTGTAAGGGTGTATCGAGCTTCAAAGATAAAGACTAAATTTTGTACAGAAATACATCTCTTGTTAGCATGTCTCTCCAGGACAACATTGAGAGTCTTGTGAACATGGGTTTTGACGCCGCTGTTGCGCGTGCAGCGCTCGAGCGGGCAAATAATAACATTGAGGTTGCCGTCAATTACATCTACGCGGACTCCGCAGGAGAGTTGCCCTCCTACAACGGGCAAGCGGCAGCCTTGGGGCCCGTCCATGACGGCCGCAGCGCCTCTACGGCGATCCCAATCGAGGACGATATCAGAGACAAGATTGCCAGTTACGGCTATGGTGCAGATAATCAGGAGATCCGATTGGACTCTGACGAGTCGGAGCATGAGGCTTTGCCCAAATATGACGTCTACGACGACATTTCGCGGTACATTAGAGTACCAGAAGTTCCTGGAGTTTTGCTTCCAGTGAAAGTCGATCTTCTAGAGGGCTATTTCGCTCCATTGTTGATGGTTCTGAGCAACATTCCCGCTTTCAGAGATACAATTCTAGAGCATGAATTTGAAGACTACGGGTACTCGCCGTACTGGTGGAAAAAAGAGCGGTGTCTTGCGAATGCGGACGTGGCCATGGAAGTCCAGAGACTCGTAGCGTTCCTGTCTGCAGACTCGAAAAGAGCTTTCGCCTCTATTAGGACGCTAATTGATGCCAGTGCAAAACTGATCACAGACGATTACGAGAGCATTTCGGAGTTTATTCAATTCATTTACAGCACCATTATCGAGCTGTTCGGGAATTTGGGCTGGACATCCAAGGAGCGGCTGGCCGACCTGTTCACTTCACGGTTCCAGTTTGAGAACGACGAAACCCAGACACACCGCATCTTCCCTGTCGAGTCAAACTATTTCTACAAGGACATCTACCGGATCATGCACTCCCTTTTGTGGGGCAAGGATTTAAGTCGCATAGCTCAGCACAGCTTTGTGCGACTCAGTGATGTTTTGACGATCAGCTTTGAAGGAAACGGCGACACTGTTCCTGGAGGCGGGTTTGAGCTTACAGAGGAGTTCTACCCTCAAATTTACACATCCGAGTATGAGAAGCTGGTGGTGGAAAAATTTCAGCGGATCAGCGAGTTAAGAGAAGAGGTGAGCAAGATCAATGGTCAGAACATGCAGCTCAAGGCATTCAAAGGTAAACGTGTTGCTGCGTTGCTCGAGTCCACTCTCAACCACTTGTCTTCTCTTGGCGAAGACGAAAAAATCCAATCGGCTTCCAAAGAGCTCGAAGCAATAGCCAGTCACATTCTAGATCAGAAAACGCTAAACACAGACAAGCTAACGGCTCTGAATAAGGAACGGTCGCAAATGGACATATACAGCATAGATTACATTTTGGATGAGCGCAAGGCAGACCTGGAGCCTTGGATGCTTGTAGGTATTATTGTCAGCGAGCGCCAATTCTGCTACAAAACGGAAAAGGGCTGGTACACTTTTGTCTACGAGCTGGAAGAAGGGAAGAATTTCACCATATCAGAGTCCACCTTTGAGACCATCAGAGACCAGATAAGGGATTACTCAGCGGATAGCTTTGATACCGGTATGGTGCTGCTGTACGTGAGAAAGTCTCTTTTGACCAGCACACCGCCGATAATAAACGAGAAGCTGAAGCAGTTCATCAGCACGGATAACGACAAAGTGACACAGGACTACGAAGCGTTTATGGCACAGCAGCCAAAGAAGAAAGAAGACAGCTACGTTCTGGTGGACATGTGACCAATCGCATTCCCCAGAAGGCTGACGTAAGCGGTTGCGGGATTGCAGTGAAAAAAAACAGGTTCCAAAAATTTCCGACGAAAATTTTGCTGTTTGCACAATGTCTATTTTGGTTACTAGAGCGCTCTCAGCGCTGAAGTTCGGCCGTGTTGCAGGTACGCGTGCTGTTCCAAGAGTTGTGGCCAACTCGTTCGTCAGATTCGCTGGAACTTTCGACAGATCCAAGCCTCACGTCAACATTGGTACCATTGGCCATGTGGATCACGGCAAAACCACTTTGACCGCTGCCATCACCAAGGTGCTTTCTGAAAATGGAGGTGCCTCCTTCTTGGACTACTCTGCCATTGACAAGGCTCCAGAAGAGCGTGCTAGAGGTATCACCATTTCCACTGCACACGTTGAGTACGAGACTCCTAACAGGCACTATTCGCACGTTGACTGTCCAGGCCATCAAGATTACATCAAAAACATGATTACTGGTGCTGCTCAGATGGACGGCGCTATCATTGTTGTTGCTGCCACTGACGGACAAATGCCTCAAACCAGAGAGCACTTGTTGCTTGCTAGACAGGTTGGTGTTCAGAAACTGGTTGTCTTCGTCAACAAGGTTGACACCATTGACGACCCAGAGATGCTGGAGCTGGTCGAAATGGAAATGAGAGAGCTTTTGAGCTCGTACGGCTTCGACGGTGACGAGACTCCTGTCATCATGGGATCTGCTCTGTGTGCTTTGGAAGGAAGACAGCCGGAGATCGGAAAGCAGGCCATCGAGAAACTGATGAACGCTGTTGACGAGTACATTCCTACCCCTGTCAGAGACCTTGAGCAGCCATTCCTGTTGCCTATCGACGAGGTCTTCTCTATTTCTGGTAGAGGTACTGTTGTTTCTGGAACTGTCGAGAGAGGTGTGCTGAAGAAGGGTGAGGAAGTTGAGATCGTTGGAGGCAAGAACGCTACTCCTCTCAAGACGACGGTGACGGGTATCGAGATGTACCACAAGGAGCTTGACCAAGCCATGGCTGGTGACACGCCAGGTATTCTGCTGAGAGGTATGAAGAGAGAGCAAATCCAAAGAGGTATGATTCTTGCCAAGCCTGGCTCCCTGAAATCCTACAAGAAGTTCCTGGCCTCCATGTACATCCTGACTAAGGAGGAGGGAGGAAGACACACTCCGTTCTCCGAGAACTACAGACCGCAGATGTTTGTTAGGACCACCAACGTCAGTGTCACTCTGAGATTCCCAGAGTCTGAGGAGGACCACTCCAAACAGGTCATGCCAGGAGACAACGTGGAGATGGAGTGCGAGATGCTCCACCCTGTTGCCCTGGAGGTTGGCCAGAGATTCAATCTCAGAGAGTCTGGAAAAACCGTCGGTACTGGAATGATCACCAGGCTGTATGAGTAGTTGCTTGTATATGGATTTGAGAGAGGGATAGTTGTATAGTTTAAAATCCCTGGAAAATAAACTAATCGAAAATAAAAAAAATAAGTTCTTATCTTTTTTATTTCTTACTAATCCATGGACGGCCTTGAGGAACAGCCGTTATTGAGCCCCTCAGCAGGTCGCAAGCGGTCACTGCGGCTTCGCCCCAAGCACAGAACCAAGGTCATTGCCACGGCTGCCGCTCTGATAGCGCTGTTTGTCGTATATCTGTCGTGGCCGTCCCACTACAAACCTCCCGAGCTGCCTAAATATCCAGCTCATGTCCCATTTCTGGGCGGGCCTACTTGGAATCCGCAAACAAACCTGACTGCCCGCGGCTCTCACGGTGGTGTGGCGTCGGACTCTGCGCTATGCTCGCAGCTGGGGGTTGAAATACTCAAGAAAGGAGGGTTTGCTGCCGACGCGGCTGTGACCACTTGTTTGTGCATAGGAGCCACAAACACTATGTTTTCGGCAGGAATTGGTGGGGGCGCGTTCATCACCACCATAAAACACGGCGAGGGGGGCGCCGTATCGATCGACGCGCGCGAGATGGCCCCTGCAAAGGCGCACAAGGACATGTTTAACGGCCGCGAGGTGCTTTCGAAATTTGGAGGTCTGGCCGTGGCCATCCCGGGCGAGCTACAAGGACTGTATGAGCTGCACAGACTGCACGGCTCGGGCAACTTGAGCTGGGAAGAGCTGATTCTGCCCGTTGTGGACGTTTTGGAAGCAGGGTTCGAGGTCGACGAGCTGCTGGCGTTGGCCCTGTCAACGTACAAGTCGTATTTCCACAACCACAGGCACGACTGGGAATTTGCTTTCAAAGACGGCCGTCTGCTGAGGGCCGGCGAAGTGATGAAACGGCCGCAGCTAGCCGCGACACTGCGCCTGGTTGCACAGAACGGATCGGCCGCAATATTCTACGACCCGCACGGGCCAATTGCTCCCCATCTCGCCCGCAAGGTGCAAAGGATGGGCGGCGTGCTGCAGGCTGAGGACTTTGCACGGTACCAGGCCGTGGTTGAACCGGCCCTCGTGATGAACAATTTCTCGCGGCGCGCACTGGACATTTATACAAGCTCTGGCGCGTCGTCAGGACCGGCGTTGCTGTCTGGGCTCAAAATCATAGACACTTTTGAGCCGGCGAAAAATAAAGACTTTTCTGTGAAGGAGTCGCACCGGCTCGTGGAGACGATGAAGTGGCTGGCGAGTGTGCGGAGCAATCTGGGAGACGTGGGGGTCTTGAGTGATAACCAGACTGCCCGGGAGCTACGTGATGCCCGGTATTCACGGCTCACCAGCGAGGAATGGTGTGGTGCCACTGCCGGAAAAATCAACGACAACAGGACACTCCCGTGGCAGGCTTACGAACCTGCGTATCAGCCCAACGAGCCGCACGGAACTTCGCACCTGAGCGTGGTGGACAGATTCCAAAATGCAGTGAGTCTGACCACGACTGTCAATTTGCTTTTCGGTTCGCTGGTGCACGACCCCGTTACCGGAATAATTCTGAATAACGAGATGGATGATTTTTCCATTCCCACGGCCAAGAACGCGTTTGGGCTGCAGCCCTCAGTGTACAACTACATTGAGCCTTTCAAGAGGCCCCTGTCGTCGACGTCGCCAAGTATTGTGGTGGACCGTGCGACGGGCAAGGTGGACATGGTGATTGGCGCAGCCGGCGGGTCCCGCATCACCACTGCTGTTCTCCAGGCGCTGGTTAGAACGTACCACTACGACTTGGGGCTGCTCGAGACAATTGCGTTTCCACGGTTGCACCACCAGCTGCTTCCAGAGACTTTATTTGTGGAGAACCCGAAAAGTGAGCCGTTCGTGCAGGGCATGATCGAACTAGGACATTCTGTGGAGACAATAGACCACGCTACTGCAATGAACGGGATCCGGTTGCAAAATGACACCATCACGGCGCAGAGCGATTATTGGCGGAAGCTGGGCCAGGCCGCCTGTTACTAACACGCGAGAATAACGTTATTTTAGGCAATGGTGAGGGAAAATTCCCCCAAGCCTAAAAAGAAACATGGAGAACAATAGAATTGCCTTTGCGTATGCTGTAGATCCGGAATATTTTGCAGGGGAAAACAAAAACCACTCCACTCTTAGGAGGCGGAAAATTCGGGGAGAAATGATGGTGGGACGTGGGGCGTGGGGACCACATCGACCCGTTTTTTTTTCTGTTCGGCGTGATGTACTGTTATTTTGCAGCCAGTAATACATGGGTGTCTGTAACACAGCGGTTTAGCACAGAGGTCTGACGGTAGTCCAGGGATGAGTCTACGGGATCTGGCGGGCTGGAGCAACTGCATGGCCTTTTCGCAACGCCGTTGAATTCCAGCAGAATGGAAAAAGTTTTTCCGGAACAGTCTCCCCACCCGGGTTTGTGCGTTCTCCGTCATGCATGTAAAAGAAAACAGACAATTGAAAAGTTTTTCCGAAATTGCAGAATACGCAACGGCAAATAAGGTATAAATATGGCCCTTTCTCCCCAAGAATATTCTCTGTTCATAAACACAAATGTCTAATAACACAGATCAACACTCCAAAAAATCTGATATTGGCTCTGTCACTCCTCCTCCGGAGAACGTGTACGAGGACCAAGCTCACAACAAGGCAACACTGCCTGAACAACAGGACGTCAGTCCCGGAAAGAGCGCTTCCCAGTACATCGGTATAGCTTTGCTTATTTCACTGATCGCTTTCGGTGGTTTCGTCTTCGGATGGGATACCGGTACCATTTCTGGTTTCGTCAACATGCCAGATTTCAAGCGTCGTTTCGGTCAAGTCAACGGTAAGGGCGAGCACTACCTCTCCAATGTGAGAACCGGTTTGATGATCTCCATTTTCAACATCGGTTGTGCTATCGGTGGTCTTACTCTTGGTAGACTCGGAGACATCAAGGGTAGAAAGATCGGTCTTATGCTCACCATGGTGGTTTACATTGTTGGTATTGTCATCCAGATCGCTTCTGTTTCTTCGTGGGTGCAGTTTTTCATCGGCAGAATCATCTCTGGTCTGGCCGTCGGTTCCGTTTCTGTGCTGTGTCCAATGTTCATCTCTGAGACCTCGCCTAAGGAGGTCAGAGGTGCTCTTGTTTCCAGCTACCAGCTTATGATTACTCTCGGTATCTTCCTTGGTTACTGCACGACCTACGGTACCTACCACAACTACGACAACTCGAGACAGTGGAGAATTCCTCTGGGTCTGTGTTTCGCATGGGCCCTCTTGATGATCTTCGGTATGACGTTTATGCCTGAGTCTCCAAGATATCTGATCGAGAAAGACAGACTCGAGGATGCCAAGAGGTCGATGGCCAAGGTCAACAAGGTGGCTGTCGACTCCGAGTTCGTCGAGCACGAGGCTGCCATCATTCTGAACTCCATTGAGATTGAGCGCCAGGCCGGTTCCGCATCGTGGGGCGAGCTGGTCACCGGTAAGCCAAAGATTTTCTACAGACTGATGGTTGGTGTGATCTTGCAATCTCTGCAGCAGCTGTCTGGTGACAACTATTTCTTCTACTATGGTACCACCGTCTTCAAGTCTGTGGGTCTGAACGACTCGTTCGAGACCTCGATTGTCCTTGGTGTTGTCAACTTTGCCTCCACCATCGGCTCGCTGTTTGTTGTTGACCGTTTCGGAAGAAGATTCACTCTGATCGGTGGTGCTATCGGTATGGCCGTTTGCTTGGTCATTTTCGCAGCCATCGGTACCAAGTCTCTGTACAAGGGCAAGTTCGGTGTGGATCCAGACGAGAGCGTGGGAGATGCCATGATTTTCCTCTCGTGTTTCTACATCTTCTTCTTCGCCACCACGTGGGGTCCATGTGTCTTCGTCGTTGTTTCGGAAACCTACCCATTGAGAATTAGACAGAAGGGTATGGGTATTGCCCAGTCTGCCAACTGGATCTGGGGATTCCTGATTGCCTTTTTCACTCCATTTATCTCGAAAGCCATTCACTTTGCATATGGATTTGTCTTCTTCGGCTGTGTGGTCTTCTCCATCTTCTTTGTCTTCGCCTTTGTTCCAGAGACCAAGGGTCTGACGTTGGAGGAAGTCGACCAGCTTTACATTGACTACACTCCGGGTCTTGCATTCATGACGAAATTCCATAAACAGCAGGACTCCGCTGAAAAGGTCTAATGTATACTAATACGAATTGATGAATATAGAAAGGTTTATTGAATGATTAAAATTAACGTTATTTTTTTTTGCTCCAGCCGAACAGCGTAGCTTGCCGCGAGTCATGCTTGGCAGACTTGGTCCGCTTGGTCGGCCGGCCTGCATCGCCCGGCCCGCCACGCTTTTCCCTGCCGTAGAGCAGTCGCTCGCCGTAACTCTGCGTGTTGAGCGTGCTGTCCAGCGTCTTGGCGTAGTGGTAGTCCTCGTGCTCCGTCCGGTTGCTCGCAGGCATCTCACGCCCGCACTGCGGGCAGACGTACTGCTCCGGTGTAGCTGGTCTGCTCGTCTCCTCCTGCCTCTCCGAGTCCTCCGGCTCCCCAGGTTTCTCCACTTCCTGCTCCCTCCTAGGAGCGCTTTTGATCATCTCGTCTATCCGCGAGTACCCGCTGAGTTCCTGGAAGCCGCTCAATGCAAGTCCTCCGTGCGTGCTCGGAAACATGGGCCCGTGGCGCTGGGCATCCCAAATCTCTTCCAGCTCCTTCAATAACCTCAGACTCAGCTCGTGGCACTTGCGGCGAATCTCGTCCAGATCGCGGATGATCGGAAACGTGCACTGTCGCGAGCACGTCACGTTGGCCCGGTTGCGCATGTACAGAGTCAGCTTGGTCGGACGGCGTTTGGCGTCGCTTTCCTCGTCCAGCTCCTGCAACCGCAGAGTAAGATCCACAATAAATACTTTAAACCAGTCCAGGATGTCTTCCGGCCTGCTCACGGAATTACCACGGAAGTTCTTGTGCGAGCCCATCGATTTCACGTCAGTGCGTTGCTTGATCTGCTGGCGCATCTCGCCACGCACCATCTTGTACAATCTCTCAGCCAGCTGATGATCCTTGAGTTCGCGCGTGAGGTCCGCCAAACTGAAGTTGTCCCTGATGTAACGCACTTCGCGGCTGCCAGAATCAATTTCTAGCGTCTCCAAAATCTGGCGGCCGATCTTGCCTCCCATAGACCAGAAATCCGTGAGACTGAAGTTATCGAAGAAGTTATCGATCGCCCTGTTCAGCACCGTGGTCTGCTCGTTGGGCTTTTTAAAATCGCTTGCCAGCTTCGCCACCGTCTTGACCCGGCCGACACCAAAAGATGTGGTATAACCCATCTCCTTCTTGAGCTGCTGCCGCAGTTCATACCCCAGGAGCGAGCCAATCATCATCGCTACGTCGTCCCAGTCGCTCACAATGATGTCGTCGTTCTCCACCGGAATGAAGATCCCGTGCGTCTCCTCGAGCTCGCGCGGCAGCTTGTCTGGTATCGGGGGCAGCATTGTGTCTCTCGGATTTTCTGGGATCTCTCGCAGCTGCGGAAATAACTCCATCATTTTGCGGTACACCATACGCCCGAGATCCAGAAAACACTCGTCCACACTGGCCTTCTCCACAGAATCGCAAAACCCTTTGAAGAAGCGCATCATCTTGCGACTCTCGCGTCTGTACGGCTCCAGAGAAACTTTGTGATCCACCGGCTCTGGCAAATAGTCCACATACTTCCACACGTCCTCTCCTTTCTTGAAAACGGCTGTGTGGGCCACCACGACGTCGGGACACTTCATTTTCGCCGTCTGCAGCGAGTCCATGCGACTTATGCCGTACTCGCGGGCTGCATACGACACGGCAATTAGAGAGTTCCACTGCAGACAAACGACGGGGTCCTGCGGCGTCAAACCCAGCCTGATCTGCTCGTACTGGGCGAAGTACGCGTTGATGTCGATGTGGCCAATTACGCTGAGCGGCGAGTCCGTGGAACGCTCTATATTGTTCAAATCTAGCAGGTTCTGATAAGTGTAGCTGGAGTTGGATGGAACAATAAGCATGGTGTGGGGGGGTGATTAAGTTTTTCCTAGTGGTGAAAATATTTTTTGCATAAAAAATTATTCACCACTTCCTGTGTAACCTGAAAATGTATGTATCTGTGATGACAAGCTGTCGCCCCAAACGGAGACCAATGACGATTCGATTTTATGCCAAACACACTGAAAATTCTGAGACACATACTAACAATCAGATATCTCGTGCTTTTCGAAAAAGTAGTTCTGCGGCGGCCGAGGCCGCCGCTAAAACTCGCTAATGATGATCATCCATGCTAATCATGAGCCTCTCTGGCCGGGATTAACACGAATTTATCTGAAGCGATATAAGTATTGCCAATGTATTAGCGACGATCATCTCTATTTATTTTTATTTACATCGTAATTTTTTTTTATTGTGCTGTCACCATGCTTGCTCGCCGAGAAGAAGTCGCACACGGTGCGGAAGAGCAGGCGGCCGCCGTTTCTTTCGGAGAGCTTGCCCTCCCTCTCCCGTATAAATGTCTGCTCCTTGTCACCGCAGGGGTCTGGCTCTGGTACATGAACTTGCGTGTTTGCTACGCGTGCAAGATCGACACGCTCCAGGTTCTCAAGCTGAGCGGAACTGACAACTACAGGCTCGTCCAAGCGAGTCTGAACGTTGCATACAAGGTCTCCTTCATGAACCTTGTGAATTACAGCATCTACCTGCTGTTTGTGTCCAACGAGCAGTATTTTAGAGTACTCGAGTATCTCCCCCTGCTGGCCATTCTGCTGACGTTTGGAACCCTCATGTGGCCGTATGGAGCGCAGTCGCCAGAACGAAAACGGTTTGTCGAGACCGTGGGTCGCATTAGCGTCGGAAAGATCGACATTCCTCACAGAAATAACGATATCTTGCTGGCTGATACTCTTACGTCGTACACCAAGGTCCTCGTAGACTTTCTGGTGTATTTGACAGCCCTGGCTCTTGGCTACCAGACTCTGCCGTCGCCAGGCATCAAACAGGAGCTCTCCAAGGACCACTTGAAAATATACAACCTAGACATCCTGCTCTCGATGTATCCGTCCCTGATCCGGCTCAAGCAGTGTCTGCACGAATATGAGCAGAGCAGACGCAGAAATAAGCAGCATTTGCTGAACGCAATCAAGTACTCGTCTGCGTTTCTGCCCCCTTTTGCCAATATTTTCATCCGGTCCAATATGGCTGGTCTGGGGATCTGGTATCTCGCCGTCTTCATAAACTCGTCCTACGCTTTCTTCTGGGACGTGCATTACGACTGGAACTTTCAAGTTTTCATGAGATTCCTGTCCAACAAGCGCGGTCAGCCGCTTCTGCGCCACAAGCTCGTGTACACGTCCACGTTTTACTACCTCGCCATCTTCATTGACCTCCAACTGCGGTTCGTTTGGGTCTACAGACTGCTGTACCCAGATCTGCTTTCAGGCGAGCAGTACTCTTTCATAGCCACCATTTTGAGCTCGCTGTACGTCAACGAGACGGGCAACTTTGTTCTCGAGATCCTCGAGATCTTCAGAAGATGGATCTGGGTCTTCCTCAAGATCGAGACAGAGTATCTGAAATCATCGACCGAGCTGGACCTCGAGTTGCAAAGTATGTAACATTAGGTTATGTATCTGATAGACAGACATAGACTTTCTACTTTCTGCGCTCCTTGAGCTTCTGGATCCTCCTCTCAACCTTGCTCAGGTATCTGAACTTCTTCTTTTTCTTCTTGGGCTTCTCGTCGGCCCCCACCAAACGGGCGTACTTCTTGGCACGCTCGATAGACTGTTCTAGTACTTCTTCTGCCTTTTGCAGATTAACGTGGTTTTTTCGCGCCAGCTCCATCAGATCGATATGGTTAGGGTTCTCGATGGCCTCCACCTCCACGGTAGACACGCCAGGAACAGGCGCGTCTGCGTCGTCGACCTCGTACTTTTGCTTTAGGATTCCCTTCTTGCCAACCTCCGTGTTGCTTTCTTCCTCGGACTCTGACCGCTGTGAGTCAAAACCTGTCCACTGTTCCTCCTTGTCCTCATCGCCCTCTTGTTCCGTCTCCTCGCTCTCCTCGTCGTCAGACGCCTGGATCTTCAACGCCTCATTCAGCTCCTGCAGCCGTCTCTGGACCTGTTGTCTGCGCTCCTCACGGATCCGTTGTCGCTCCTCGAGCCGTGCTTTACGCTCCTGCTCTTGATTGAATTCCTGGGCCTTCTTTTTCCTTTGGAGCTTCCTCTTGTGAAATCCGGTCAGGTACTGCACCCTTGAGTCCTTGTCAAACACAACTTCCTCCACGCGGTTGGCCTTCTTCCTCTTCTGAGCATACTTCTTGCCCCCGGTAAGGATCTCCCTGTTGGGCCGTGCCATGAAAAATAATTAAATTTTTTTAGTATTAATCTAGATAGATATTTTATTCAATCTTGAAATTTATAGCTCCCGCTGGCCATGGTGATCGATCCACCACGGTAAGAGCCGCGCTTCATTTTATTCTTGTTCTTCGTGAAATCCTTGCCCCTCACCTTGCCAAGTCGCTCGTTGGCCTGCTCTCCCCACGTGCCGGCAGCGCCCTTGTATGCATTATCCATTAGAGCCTTGTCCTCGAACGAAACCTTTTCTTTCTCAATGCGCGAGAAATGCTTGCGTTGACCGGGCTTCAGGGTCTCCTTCGGAGCTGGAATTGGCGACTTTGAGTTCCTGGGAGATTCACTAGGGCTGTCCGGTTGCGAGGCAGTGGAAGACGACGACGGAGATTCCGCTCCAGACTTGCTTCTCTTCGATGGAGGCTCGCTGAAATTCTTCTTGCGCTTCTTGGTCTTCTCGGCCTCGGAATCGCTATCTGAGTCGGAACCAGAACTTGAGTCGGAATCAGAACTTGAGTCGGAGTCTGAATCTGAATTCATGGCTGCGTCCGAGCCTGCCCCTGAGTCGGAGTCGGAGTCTGAACTGTCCGAGCTCGAGTCGGAGCTCGAGTCTGAATCTGAATCGGAGCTCTCAGACTCAGAGCTGTCAGAGTCGGAGCTGGAGCTCTCTGAATCAGAGCTGGAGCTACCAGAGTCGGAACTGGAATCCTCTGAGTCGGAGCTAGACTTGGAGCTCTTCTCGACCTTCTCGTCTTCCGAGTCGGAGCTGGAGTCGGAGCTAGAGTCTGAATCGGAGTCTGGGCTGGAATCGGAGTCTGAATCGGAGTCTGAATCGGAGTCTGAATCGGAGGCTGAATCGGAGTCTGAGTCTGAGTCTGAGCTTGAACTAGAGCCCGAGCCCGATTGGTCAGACTCGTCGTCAGAACTGCCGGAACTCGAATCTTCGCCATCAGAGTCGGAGTCAGAAGCTTCGTTGTCAGAGCTGGAATCAGAACTAGAGCTAGAGCTAGAGCTAGAGCCAGCCTCGCTAGCCGATTCGTCATCGGAGCCCTTCTCAGACGCCTCATCCGAGTCCGAGTCCGAATCGGAGCTTGAACCGCTGCTCGAAGTCGAAGCATCCTCAGAATCAGAGCTGGAGTCGCTGTCTGAGTCTGAACTGCTGGATTCACCATCGGAGCTGGACTCAGAAGAATCCTCCTCAGAGCCTTCTTTGCTCTCTACCCATTTGTCCTCTAGTTTTCCCTCGACTTCAGTGATTTTTCCCTTGGCCTCCTTGCGTAGAGCACTTTCGGCCTTCTTGTAACCGTTACGCTTCAAGTAGTCAGCAACGTAGGAGATAATCTCTTCTTCGCCAGCCATAGATTGGTAAAGAAAATTTGAAAAACTTAAAATTTTTGCGCACGACCCTGTCAAATGGATGGGGGCAGGCCCTAAGGCCTTGCGGGCAGTCAGCGGGACACCGCTTGCCAGCAGCAAGAATTCCCAAATCACGGTCGAGTTCGCCATGTAGATCGTCAAAAACCTTGGTCTCGACTCTATAGACCTACTCTGTTTTTTAAAAGGCGTGTTTTTAAATTTGGTGCTGTCTTCCTGTAACAGGCTGAAAATCATAACCTTGTAGCCCTTCTGATAAAGCGGTCAGTTTTTGCCTCGCCTTTTCAGGAAATCTAACGACATCCTCCTCGTTGGACTGCCCCGCTACTTATCCACCACAACCAAAATGTTATATACCTCCTTACACCGATGCAAATGGAAAAAACCATCCTTTCTTTGTTTTTGCCATGACTGAGAGAAAGATCATCATTATTACGTCGGACGGCGACAAGTTCCCCGTGGAGCGCAAGGTCGCCGAAAAAAGCATTCTCATCAAGAACATGCTGAAAAACCTGTTGCCTGCTGAAGAGGAAGAGGAGGATGACGAGGACGAGGACGAACCCATCGAGATCCCGACCCAGAACGTGCGTTCCGCAGTCATGAAAAACATTCTTGAATGGTGTGACCACTACAAAGACTACAACTTCCCAGACGACGAGCAGGATGACGATTCGAAGAAGAGCGCCCCAATTGACGCCTGGGACAAGAATTTCCTTAATGTCGACCAGGAGATGCTGTACGAGATCATCCTTGCTGCCAACTATCTCAACATCAAGCCGCTGCTGAACGCCGGATGCAAGGTTGTGGCAGAGATGATCCGCGGCAAGTCTCCTGAAGAGATCCGCAAGACTTTCAATATAGTTAATGATTTCACACCAGAGGAGGAGGCAGCAATCAGACGGGAAAACGAGTGGGCTGAGGACCGCTGATTGCACTTGCTCATCTGCTCGCTTATGTCCAGTCAAAAAAAATTAGGCAAATGTCCCTGCATACGGCTTCTGTAGAGTACCTTATTTTTGATCTTTAGGTTTATTTTTTTTTCTGTTGCGGTTTTCTTGTAATATTATTAATGGCATCTGAATCTTCAAAATCCAGGCCCCGAGGAGCCAGTTTGAGAATAAAGAACTTTCTGAACAAAAGAAAGAGCCATTCATCTGTGTCTAGTGCAGGTTCCATGCTTTCCAAGAATCAAAGACCGGAAGCGAACGCCGATGTGAGCTCTACAGGTTCATTCTTGGTTCTTCCCACCATTTCGCCAATTTCACCCAACGACTCCATATCGGGACTCAAGTCGAAAATCAAGGAGCACACAAGGACCAACAACGACGATGAAGACGATGAAGACGTCGACGACATAGCATCGTCGTCAACAAGATCTACAACTTCCGTCACAAACCGCACGAGTCGGTCCCTGAAAAAACTTGTGTCTCACAAGTCAAACTCGTCGGCAGGCGCACGATCCACCACAAAACCCAAGAATGGCACAGGGATTTTGGAGAGCCTAATGCATTCCTTCAATCTCAAGTCCCAGACAAGCTTCCATGAGATTCCGCCCTCTTTGAACACTTCAGGCGAACAAGAAAGCCACGAAAGCGCGTCTCCCGTTGATAATATCGAATTCAAGCCCATCAAGACCTCTGTGCTTAGCTCATTGGGCAAAGGCTCATTGGCGCTCGATTATTTTCCCAAACCCGCTGCTTCCGAAGCTCACGAGCTACCGTTCTCTGCCATTGGCAGCGACAGCACCAACCGAACAAATGCCAACACCCTTGCTGATCCGACAACAACAACCACCCAGCCAACGTCTCCAAATACCAATACTCCTGTGGAAGAGGCTCCAAGCTTATCCAGAGATCTGACCGTCGCCAGGAGAACGCTGTCTCCTAGCTCAATGAAAAAGTCTGTGAGTGCGAACGCGCTGTACACGTTGAACTCCTACAACAATAGCAGCATTTTTGAAGAGGATGGGACCCTTCACAACAGACGTTCTAGACAGCCAAGAGAAACAGGACGGCTTACTGTTAGCGACACTGCACAGTTGAGCCGCCATACCACAAGTTTTATAGACCACGAAGAAGATCTCGAGGCTCGCAAAAAGCGACTGACGGAACAGCTGGGTATAAAGCTTCCCAGTCAGAAGCGACAAGACTCGTTCCATCAGATGTTTCCTGAAATTCCCGCATCAGAAATATTTATCGAAGACTACACATGCGCATACCGCAAAGACGTGCTAATCCATGGCCGCATGTACGTGAGCGAGAACCACATTAGCTTCCACTCGAACCTAATTGTTCTAATCACGCATTTCACCATCACGTTGAGTAAAGTGCTGTCCATCAAAAAGAAGAAAACCGTCGGTATCCCCAATGCTCTCGAGTTCAGCACTCTGCATGATAAGTACACCTTCGCATCGTTCATTTCCAGAGACTCAACGTACGAGCTGCTTGTGACGATCTGGTCATCGTCGCTCTCGGGCTCTGTTCTCAACACCGTCGACCTGGACTTCACCACCTCTGAGGTGGACTCTGACATTCCCGATTCTGAGGAGAGCGATGACCCTGACGCCATGAAAATGTCCCGTAACGGAACCATACAAAGCAAAACCATCAAAACCGCGAAGGAGCCTCTTCCTGACTCTGGGAGTGACAGTGAAGTATCCGACAAGGAGAACATGATTTCAGACGACGAGCCAGAAGTCAACGATAATTCTGAGAATCGCACATTCAGTGGAATACCCTACGATGGTCCTTTGCAACACGAACCTACCAGCAATGCATACTCTCCGGAGTCGGGAGAAGTGGAAGTTATCAAGGATACGATTCCTGCTCCTCTCGGGGCAGTATACTCGCTTTTATTTGGCCAGGATACCAACTTTTTGAAAAATGTCTTAAAAACGCAGAAGAACATAGACATATCGGAAATCCCTGCCTTTGATGAGACGACAAAAAAGAGAAAGTACTCATACGTCAAGCCGCTCAATGGTCCAATTGGCCCCAAGCAGACCAAATGTAACGTGGAAGAGGAAATTGAGCGCTGCGATTTCAACTCGAGCTGTCTAGTGACCCAGATGACAGAAACTCCGGACGTGCCATCCGGAAACTCATTCCGCGTGAAGACGCGGATCTTTTTGAGTTGGGCTAACAACAATGGCTGCAGAATCCAAATTGTGACGTCACTTGTCTGGAGCGGCAAGTCGTGGATCAAGAGCGCGGTGGAAAAGGGAACCATCTCAGGACAGAAGGAATCCCTAGGCATTTTGGTGAAGGAAGTGAAGAAACGCGTGGCTGGAACTCCCGTTTCTATTTCGATCAAAAGGAGAAGGTCGGCCTCTGATAAGAAGCGCAAGGAAGTTGAGGAGGAGCCTGAAGAGACCCCGGTCGTTTCGCCGACTCCTGCAGAGCCTATGCTCAAAGACAGGATTCTTGCTCAGCTGGATCTCAAGGCGGTGCTCTTGATAATTCTGATCCTCCTTATGTTGTGGGACAAGTTTACACGACCAGACCCGGAGCCCAGACACAGGGCACTGGACAACCAGATATACAGGACGAGCGAGGCAGATTTGTGGAACTGGATCGACCAGCGCCAGAACGGCTTTTCTGCCGACCAGCCCCCAGAGGTAGGTGTCCAGCAGCTGAAGGAGGTGATCAGAGTGGTGGAGAAACAACTCGATGGTCTGAAGGATTCGACCAAATAATTACATGCTACAAAAGTAGCAGCTCCACCACCAAAGATAATATTCTAATATATAGGGCTGTGTTACCACTAAAAAAAAATCATATACTATATTTATTACTAATGGCAACCGAGTCTGAGATCTATGACGAGGACGATATATTCGATTCGGATGACTCGTACTCGTCCGACTCGGACTACGAGTTGAGCAAACAAGCTGCACGGTCGAAGAAGAGGAGCTTGCAACTGGAACAGAAGGCAAATGACGCTAAGGAGGCAATACGCAAAATCGAGAAGACAGCGAAGGACACTAAATTCAACGACTCCGAGCTTGTGACTATCTCCATGGCGCGGCCGCCAGACTTTGTGCCCGATTCTGTTTCTGCTGTCTTTGGAAAGGCAGATTTTTCGTACTTGAAGCTGAAACCAGATCATGCGGCCAGACCTATATGGATCAGTCCGCTCGACGGCAAAATCTTCTTGGAAGGGCTGTCACCTCTTTCAGAACAGGCGCAGGATTTTTTGGTGACCATTGCCGAGCCCGTGAGTCGTCCAAGCTTCATCCACGAGTACAGAATTACCACGCATTCGCTCTATGCGGCAGTTTCCGTCGGACTCGAGACAGATGACATCATTTCTGTTTTGAGCCGATTGTCAAAGGTGCCGCTGGCGTCCTCTGTTGTCAACTTCATCAAACAGGCCACGGTCTCGTACGGTAAGGTGAAGCTGGTGTTGAAGCACAACAGGTATTTTGTGGAAAGTCCGCAGGCCGATATTTTGCAGATGCTTCTGAAAGACGAGGTGATCGGAAAATTGCGAATACAAAGCAGCGAGACGACCGTGACGATGAGTGATGGTTTGGTGATCACCAAGCCCGCGCAGAAGGGCGACCTGGTGATTCCAGGAACAGAGGAAAGCAAGAAACGAGAGCAGGAAAAAAAGGACAAGCAGATCAAGGCAGAGGAGACGCCGCTTGCAGCCGAAGACGGTACCCAGGACGAAAACCTGGAAAATATATTTGCTACAGTGATCGGCGACGCAGGCGAAGAAGAAGACGACGATACGGTGCACTCGTTTGAGATTGCACACGAGTCTGTCGAAATCGTCAAAAAACGGTGTCAGGAGATTGACTACCCGATGCTGGAAGAGTATGATTTTAGAAACGATACCCAAAACCCAGATCTGGAGATTGACCTCAAACCATCTACTCAAATCAGACCTTACCAGGAGAAGTCGCTGAGCAAAATGTTTGGTAACGGACGTGCAAGGTCTGGAATCATTGTGCTTCCCTGTGGAGCTGGAAAGACGCTGGTGGGAATCACGGCTGCCTGTACGATCCGTAAGTCCGTTATTGTGCTCTGTACATCCTCTGTTTCCGTGATGCAGTGGAGACAGCAATTCCTGCAATGGTGCACGATTCAGCCCGAGAACGTTGCTGTGTTCACGTCTGAAAATAAAGAGATGTTTTCGGGGGATGCCGGGCTAGTGGTTTCGACGTACTCCATGGTCGCCAATACCAGAAACCGTTCTTACGACGCCCAAAAAGTTATGGACTTCCTCACGTCACGTGAATGGGGATTCATCATTCTGGACGAGGTGCACGTCGTTCCCGCTGCCATGTTCCGGAGAGTCGTCACGACCATTGCTGCGCATGCAAAATTGGGTCTCACGGCAACGCTGGTCCGTGAGGATGAGAAGATTTCGGATTTGAATTTCCTCATTGGTCCAAAGCTCTATGAGGCTAACTGGATGGAGCTCTCGCAAAAAGGACACATTGCTAACGTCCAGTGCGCGGAAGTTTGGTGTCCAATGACATCAGAGTTCTATCAAGAGTATCTGAGAGAAAGTGCGCGCAAAAGAATGCTTCTTTACATCATGAACCCTACGAAGTTCCAGGCTTGCCAGTTCCTGATCCATTACCACGAGAAACGAGGAGACAAAATTATTGTCTTTTCAGATAATGTCTACGCTTTGCAGGAATACGCACTCAAGCTTGGAAAACCATTCATTTACGGCTCCACGCCGCAACAAGAGAGAATGAACATTTTACAGAACTTTCAGTACAACGACCAGGTCAACACGATTTTCTTGTCGAAAGTTGGAGACACGTCTATTGACCTGCCCGAAGCGACGTGCCTGATCCAAATCTCGTCTCACTACGGTTCCAGAAGACAGGAGGCCCAGCGATTGGGCAGAATTTTGCGAGCTAAACGGAGAAACGACGAAGGTTTCAACGCATTCTTTTACAGTCTTGTTTCGAAAGACACTCAGGAAATGTATTACTCTACCAAAAGGCAGGCGTTCTTGGTTGACCAGGGTTACGCGTTCAAAATTATCACGCATCTTCACGGAATGGAGAACTTGCCGAACCTCGCGTACTCGACGGCCAAGGAACGCCGTGAACTTCTTCAGGAGGTGCTGCTGAAGAATGAAGACGTGGCAGGCATTGAGTTGGGTGAAGATTCCGAGAACCTTGTCGGAAATGGAGTCTCCAAAAAACTGAAGAACACCTCCAAGGCAGTGAAGAACCAAGGATCGCTGGCCGGTCTGGCCGGAGGTGAAGACATGGCTTACGTTGAATATTCCAAGAGCAAGGCCAAGGAAGTTTCCCATCACCCCTTCTTCCAGAGGAACTACTACAAAAAGAACAAGAGAAGGAAGCAGAATCAATAGTGGATCACCATTTTCGCTAATATACATCTTATTAATTCACACGTATTTGAGTTTGCTGAGTTCTATGTGCTCTTGGTACTCGTTCACGATCTTGGTGTTCATCGATTCCAAGCTTGCGGTGATATCGTTCTTGAAGTTTAGAGTTTGGTTCATACAATCTCCGATTCTATGGAAAAATGAAAAGTATTGATACTTCAAATCGCTCTTAAACTTGTCAAGCTCTGCCTTGGCCTTGAAGTGTCTGGCTTCCACCGCCTTACGGTCGGCCAGCATCCTCTTTTGTAGATTTCGGATTGTGCTTTGATCGGCCTCCACTTCTGCGTCCTTGGTCGAGAGCTCGTATTCCAGTTGTTCTTTGGTGTCTTTGTCGATAGCTTGAAAGCTGGCGAGCTCAGACTCCAAGTCGTGGATTGCATACTCTTTGGCCGTGAGCTCCTGCTGTTGGTTATCAAGCTGTTCATGTAATTTGATCAGGGTGTCCTGGTTTTTACGGTGAGCTTCCACTAGATCGTATTTCAACACGGTGAGGTTAGTTCTAATATTGAGTTCCTTGAGTTGCGGAATGATCTCATCTGGCTTCCTGCCAAGTTTCGAATCATCATTTATCACTTCCTCCGTAAATCCGGTGATGGTTATCTGCGGCAATTCTTTAAACGTGATTGAATGGAGCAGGTTATATATGTAAGAATTGTATGAGTCGATGAGCTTTTCTAATCCTTCATAAGCTTTTCTTAAACTTGAAAATTTCTCGTTGACAGTCTTTTGAACCGAATTACTCTTGTCCACCACGGAATCGATATCTTTTGCCAGTTGGGCGCGCTCTCTATGCATCATTTCTATGGCCTGAACAGTGAAGTTTTTGGAACTGAGATTTGACAGAATCTGGGATTTGGCCTCTTCAGACTTCGCAAGCTTCTCCTTGATTGATTCAATATCTTTTTCGATCTTCATGATAGTGGTAGGCCATTTCAGTTTCTTTTGCATCTGTGCATCAATGAACGCTTGGTACCGTGACACGTCAAGCTCTAACAACCTTGACTTTTCGTGATTAGCACGCATTTTTTCCTCTTGTGTTGAAAGACTTTCAACCTTAATGTTAAGCTCGTTGTTTTCCTCCTCGATGGAATGTAATCTCTGAGCGACCTCCTTCAAAAATTCATGATATTCCTTTTCCATCTCTTTGAAATACGAGTCAAAGTTCGAGCCACCAGTAGACATATACGATTTGTAGGATTTCAGAGCATACTTCGTGAAAAGTTTATCAACGAGATCCTGCTCTTTCATCACAACAGAGTCATTAATGGAATCATCGTACAGGAACGAGTTGTTCTGAGGCAAATTTTGCGCTTCTTGGAAATTGTCCAGCTCAACACTATCAAGATCAAAGCTTTCACCGACAAGTTGACGCATCCAGTAGAGCATACCCAAAAAAATATGCCAATTAGAGCCACCCACTGCACTAATCTGTGATTTGTTTATGGTGTCCAAGTATGGATACTCCAAAAACTTCAACAGAGAGTACACTTCTTGCTCAATGGAACGAAGAAACTTGTACCCAGGATCGATCTTCTTGTAAAGCCACTGGAACATAAGCACAAAGTCTTTTTGTGTGGGGTTTTTCAAAGTCTTGTTGGTCAAGGGATGTTTCATCTCTATGTCAAACTTGTTGGTGGATAGAAATGCATACAATTCCTGTTGCATCTTGAGTTGGAAATTGCGATCCCGCAATGGTCGGGGGTCTCTGGGTTGAGTTGGCGTCATGTAATTGGCACCCGGAGTATTCACCACGGAGTTCTCAAACAGCCTGCCATTGGAAGATGGAGGAAGCTGATGCTGAGCCAGAGACCTGCGTCTGTTTACGCTTCCGGGAGCAGGGATTCCTGTTCTGGTGATGGATCTTTGCACTAGGTCTTGCACACTCGGAGCGTGCTGCGAGAGACCAAACGAGCTTTGTCTCTTCTGAGCACTGGGTTGGTTCAGCAATCTTGGAGCTCCAATGTTGACATTCTTAGGAAGCAGACTAAGCCTTTTGCGTTTGATAGAGGAGGCTGATGGGATATTCGTATCCAAGGCGGAGAGGATGTTTGTTGTTCCATTAAAGTACTGGCCTGTTGGCTGCTGACTAAAATTGGTTGAGAAGGACTGTCTTTTCCTCGGAACCGACGATTCCAAATGGTACTCAGACATGATAGACGCGAACAAAGCCGGTTTCAGCGCTATTTATATTTCTTTGGAGAAACGATGTAAAGAACGTTTTGTTTACTTTTATGTTTTGTTTTGGTTTTACTTTTGCGACAGAAAAATATGAGCTCAAGCTGACATAATCAAGAAAAAAGAGTTAGAAATATA